TTTCTTGACGGAAACTTCAACACACATAAAAATGGTTTTGTTTTCGAAATCGTGTTCCCTTGAATCATAAAATTTTAAATTATCCAAATTCACTTCAGCGCAAGTCAAGAAAGCCATTTGTTCACAAACCGAAATGGTTTTATTCCACGCGCCATCTTCGAAGTGCACTCGCTTTCTTGAATGTGTTTCGCCGGTCGAATTGATATAATAGTATTTGCCGTTTTCAATCGAAGTGTAATTTTCTCGGAAATAAGTTTTTTTCCTGATGCAAGCGTGCCTTCGAGCCAAAGTTGCATCGAATTGGGGAACAGTGTTATTGTGTCCGTTCCAGAAGATTATTTCACTGGGAAAAAGCGACGTGTTTCCAACAAAGAAATAATAACTTTCGTTCAAGAGAAATATCGGTTCTACAACATATTTTATCACTTCTGGAGTTGGATGATACTGAGAACGTTAACTTTTTCTTTTACTACGACTTTCACTGACACCATCTTAGGTATTTCTATCTGATGTTTTAATTGCATGACGTAAATTATTCGAGTGTTATCTGCACTTTGGCACAAACGAATTGTTTTTTCCAAAGCGGCCTTCGCTTCAATACAAGTCAAGGAAACGTTCTGTTTGCAAACCGAAATACTTTTGTGAGTCTCATCTCCTGGAAAGTAAACTCGCTCTCTATGAAACCTTTCGCCGGTTGAAGTAATGTAATAATATTCTCCCTTTTCTACGAAATCATCGTGCGAATACGTCTGTTTTTCGACACAGGCGTGTTCAAACGTTGCGTTGCGTGCAGTAATTGTCTTGCCGTCAACAACTATGAATTCAGCAAGTTGGCATTCTTTGAAATGTTCGTTATAAGCTTCCCCAGGTTGACATTGCTTCGAACCATTTTGTGATACATTTTTGACTCGTTCTTCGATTAATTCGGCATTTATTGAAGGTAATATTAGGAATTGTTCAGGTTTCATCGGTGGTCTCATAGCAGTTGGAGTTTTGAAGTACCTTATGTAATACACTTTGTTTTCGATATAACGCCCGCTCTCGCACACTTCAAATGTTATTGTTGTATTGAAGGACTTTTCCTCGTGACAATCCAAGTGCTTCGTTTCGTTGCACACTGAAATGGTTGTATTCGTTCCAAAACCGGCATGAAAGAACACTAGCCGCTTGGAGTACAATTTATCAGTGGAATTGATATAATAAAACTCACCGTTGTCTCTTGAGCTGTAATTACCCTCTACGTAGATCTGTCTCTCGAAGCAAGCGTATTTACCTAATGTTGTTGTGAATACAAATACCGTGTCGTTGCCGCTGAAGATGACCATATCCGTATTTAACCGGTATTTTGGGTTTTTCACGGCACCATCAACTTGAGAACGCAAAGGTTCTTGTTTTATTGAAGGTCTGTAATGTGTCCATTGAGTCGTGTTTGAACTGTGATTAGAAGTATTCAGTGTATTCACACCTAGGCACACGTTTATTACTTGATGTAACACGAATAAGCTCAATACGATGGTCATTATGAAACTCTGAATTGAACTTCCACCTTGTTATGCGTACGATTTCTCGATTTGGTCGCGGTCTTGTTGATATAAATTCTTCTGTCCTTAAATGCTTCCCGTGAACCGTGCAGATCTGACTTACATCAATTTGAGAGTGTTGATGAATATCGTTGACCTGTGTCGTTGATAATAATATCGTTGACAATAATATCGTTGACGAATATCGTTGACATGAAGCGAATTATTTATATTTAAGACGAACACAAAAATAAAACCCACGACTGTTTGCATCCAGTTGAAAACAAAAAAATAGAGGACATAAATTCGACAATAGATTCGATTTGATGTGCACATAGTCTTAGTTCTGTCTTGCCTTTGTTTACTGGAAACACGGACCATAAATTCCCAACAGTTCCATGCTTTTCTACAAACTGCTTTGAGCAAAATAAACCGAAAATAAATAAAAAGGAACAGTTTTATCAAATCGTTTTTCTAGCACACGCGCTGGGTTGAATTAGTTCAATTGGTTTAAACACTTTCGCATTAATTACCACGTCCTGTTGATTGTACATATTATGGGAATTGTCAAATTCTAGCCATAAGTTCGCGGCTAATTTGACTTTCCTTTGCATGAACTCACCCTGTATTGCGCCTTTAGATAAATAAAGCCCGCCGCACACGAGATATATCAGCTGAACTAACGACCGCGCGAGGCAGTAAGCTCAACCCGAAAACCATCCGCAAACGTGAGAAACTTGCCTTTCGAAGCGAATTCCTTACGCAAACTGTCCCCACACGAGAGTAAATTGCCGAGCTAACAACCTCGCGAGGTCTTTAGCTCAGGTAATAGGGAGTTTACGATCTACGACGCGGTTAGTTCGACATCGCTTGTCAATTATTTTGCTAGAAATAAGCTATTAGCTACGGGAAATTAATTATGCTGCCAGGACTTTGAAATAATCATACAAAATAACGTTTCAATTGGGTCAAGAACCTTGGATGTCTGCATGGTCGATATTGCTGTTTCATATGAGCTGTAAAACAGCTATCGCGCGTTGCCGCCGCTTTCATATCATTGAGAGGCCGTGAAAATGCCGCATTTGAAGGCGTCTAAAGCCGGTTTTCCACTAGCGATATTTTTTGCGCGAAGCGACATTTTACTTTTGTTTCAGAGCTCTCAACTGCGACCATCTGGAAAAAAATGCTCAAGTGCAAAGGAATAAAGTTGTTTCGCGCGAAAAATAGCGCTAGTGGAAAACTGGCCTAAGAATGACAACGCTGTCCTGGGACTATAAATTATGCATGTCTATTGTCTCGCGTGTGGATTTCTCTGTTTTGCAAGCGCGTCGTCGAGCTGGCCGCGTCGTGAATCGTAAACTCCCTAATAGCTCTCGTGTGCGGCGGGCGTAATAGTATGTAGTACAAGAGAGGGGAATTTAAGTTTCCTAGAGTTGCTGGTACCGGTTAAACTTGGCAGACCGATTAGAGCTGTTTTCCTGCCAATGCAATTTTATGAGCACAACAATTACGGCGACCGTGAACGCAGGTGAATGACAATGTCAGCCTTGTCAGTCGGTAAAAGCACTTCCGATAATATACATTAACGAACCGGTGACTCAATTGGTAATGCATATGTATTGTCGCCATGTTTTCAAACTCTAAGCGAATTTATTCGCGCGACGCGAAGCGATATCCCGATATCTGAAATCCAGTGATTTGATTGAATAAATTCGCCTAGTGGAGAACGGGCTTAAGTGCGGGCTTTTCCTTTCATGTTTGCAATTTGCAATACAAAATAGTTTGTATAGCGAATTCATGTTAAAGCCAAAACAGGTGTTTTGCTTAGAAAAGAAATTTTTTAATTCGGATGTTCTTGCGGTTTTACCAACTGGATACGGTAAATCATTGATTTTTTACTTGCTTCCTGCTCTGTTATTTGCGGCTATAGCAACTGTTCTTATAAGAACGGTGTTCCAAATACACCGAACACATTTATCAGTTATATAATCGTCGTCGTGTCGCCTTTAAATGCTCTCAATGAAAGACCAGATTTCACGATTGAATGCGGGTATAAGTCTGTTTGACCGTGTTCACACGCAGACGAATTAGAAAACGAACTATAGCAAGCTTTTGCTTGCCCGAGTTCGCTAGACGGATGGTCCGTCTTTATAAATAAACATACTTGCAGGGAGGTGAGTTCGTGATCAACGCACCCAGAGAAGAGACTTACTTTGAAATAAAGTCGAAATATCACCTTAAATTCTTGTCTTGCTGTCTATAATAGCTTATATCATGAGTTTACAAGATGTCATTTTTCGGAGTATGTTTTTTCTTGTACTTCTTGTAGCGAGGTGAGATCGGGAAACTTTCAACCTCACTCGGTGCCTTAATCACGGACTCACCGAACCTGCAAGTATGTTTAGATTTTACCTCAGGGTTCGACAGGTGGATTCGAGTTTCAACGCACCTGCTCTTAAAGGGTTCGACAGGTGGATTCGAGTTTCAACGCACCTGCTCTTAACCAATAGGAACACAGCTTTTACACTGGGTATGGTATAAATAGAGATTACTTCATGGTTGGCGAGTGCGTACGATTTTTATGCACGAGTTGTGAAGGATCGCAAAACGAAAGAGTGAGCGTAGTGAACGAAGGAGTTTGGGATCCTTCACAACGAGTTCATAATAAAAATCGTACAAACGAGCCAACCATGAAGTAATTTGTTTATTAAATGTGTATAGAGATCAATTTGACAACGACACGCTTTTAATATACAAAAACACAGCGAGCAACAAAATCGAAACTTTATGCATGAAAACATATTTATTACCGTTTAGTTTCTTTGTAATTTTGTTCAATAGAAGTTAGACATTCTTTCCGAAAGATTTGAGAATGTGCTGAATGTAAAAATATCTTGAATATGAGAATTATGTTTTGAATCTCACGTCTATATTTCGACGCCATCTTGAAAGAAAATGTAAACAAATTGCCGCCAAAATGACATGCGACAATTTTCACGTGTGAAGTATCGCATTTTTTTACCCAGTGAAATACGATTTTTATACACATATTATAAAGAGCATTTATTATAACGTTAAAATGATACCTTTCTTACACACTAGATGCTTGCCTTGTGACAAACTATCAAAAAAATACCAGAAATTACCAGAAAATAGTGCAATATAGAAATATGTGAGCTTTAAAAATAGAGATTACTATTTTGACCGGTAATTAAGTAAAATGTCAAGACTAGATTCAGCAATCGATGCATAATCATCCTCCAAGTAATCAGTTTTTAAGTGGCGGCCTGAAGACGCTCGCGCGTATATTCTGAAAGCTCACTCAAACTTATTGAGTGGGTGGTCTTGATTACCTCCCGGCGATTGATTCTCTTGCGGTTTTTCCACCTGAAAAAAGCTTTCTTAACTCAACCCTTCCATTGATTATAATAATTAAGAGAGAACTATCTCACTGATATTACACTCAATGAGTGTGAGTGAGCTTTTTGAATCACAGGCGTTATTCATCTCACATTATTCCTCGCATTGAATAATAAATACGCCAAGTATTTTAACTTGTCTTTAACTTTATCTCTAATCTAATCTATTCTAATCTAATTTAAACCCCGTATGATACTAATCTTCATGCTAAAAGGACTACAATTTTACTATACACGCAAATTTAAACTTTTCCCATTGAATCGTTGGGGATTCGTCCCAATACATATAACCTTTTCATATAGCTGCTGTTCTAACGAATTCAAAGAAACTAACAATTCTTTTAGTGCATCACAATAGACCTCATAATAGCGTCTGATGTTACACGAAGTTTGATTGGCCGGCAAAATTAACGAGCCAATCAAACATCAGGTTTTCCACGTTTGACGACATTATAAGAAAGGCCTATTCCAGTTACACGCTTGTTTCTTCGCCCTTGGAGAGGCTTTCAGAGCAAGTTGTGCTATAACCAGTTTTGAACTTGTCAGGATTTCGTCCTAATAATTTCGCGTACATTTTCCAAATTCTTTTGTTCATCACGAAAGCGAGGGCGATGTAGACGCCTTGGAGAGAAGAGAAAACCACGAACAAATACGCGAAGACAACAGTTGACGAACCCACGAGCAGATGGACGAAACCAAACAACCAACTGAAGCCCATCAAAGATGACAATTTGAGGTAGATCCAAAACATTGTTTTTTTCCGTTGATCTGAACGGACTGATTTTGTGCTGGAGTGAGTGCGTTGAATACGAAACACAGTTAATGTAAAGAGGACGATGTTGAACAGCTGGAGTAGTCCAAGTGGAAGAATGAAGAGATATTTGTGTGCTTGTGGATTGTCAAACCAACACATCAGGTCATTAACATAAACCGCGTATATTTCCCTTTCGTCCACGACTGCGCACGTGACCACGAGAATGGCGGGAAGACCCCAAACGATCGCCAAGTACTTGTAGAATTTTCTTTTTTCGCGTTTCTTCATTTCACTCCTTTGGACTGGGACTTCATTGCTTGTGAACACTGCATGTGTCTTCCACGCAATTATTGCCATGGCAACGAATGATACCAGGAACAGGTAATGCTTCACGATCGCTGCCACGTGACACAGCTTCGGCGAATACCGCTGGTCTGGAATTAGCCACAACAACTGCGCCAGGAATAACGAAATTGATAAACTGAGAAGGTTTTTGCCAGGAAGATTGCGGAGCTCGGGAAATATCAGATAGGTTTGAATGACGAGGAATAGACACGCCAGCGATAAAGACAAACAAACCAAAGATAAATATATTTGAATAACGTTTGATTTACTTTTTAGTAAATATATTTTCTTCTCGGAAACTCCAACACACATAAAAATGGTTTTGTTTTCGAAATCGTGTTCGCTTGAATCATAAAATTTTAAAATATCTAAACTCACTTCCGCGCAAGTCAAGAAAGCCATTTGTTCACAAACCGAAATGGTTTTATTCCACGCGCCATCTTCGAAGTGCACTCGCTTTCTTTGATGTGTTTCGCCGGTTGAATTGATATAATAGTATTTGCCGTTTTCAATCGAAGTGTAATTTTCTCGGAAATAAGTTTTTTTCCTGATGCAAGCGTGCCTTCGAGCCAAAGTTGCATCGAATTGGGGAACAGTGTTATTGTGTCCGTTCCAGAAGATTATTTCACTCGGAAAAAGCGACGTGTTTCCAACAAAGAAATAATAACTTTCGTTCAAGAGAAATATCGGTTCTACAACATATTTTATCACTTCTGGAGATTGGATGATACTGAGAACGTTAACTTTTTCTTTTACTACGACTTTCACTGACACCATCTTAGGTATTTCTATCTGATGTTTTAATTGCATGACGTAAATTATTCGAGTGTTATCTGCACTTTGGCACAAACGAATTGTTTTTTCCAAAGCGGCCTTCGCTTCAATACAAGTCAAGGAAACGTTCTGTTGGCAAACCGAAATACTTTTGTGAGTCCCATCTCCTTCAAAGTAAACTCGCTTTCTATGAAACCTTTCGCCGGTCGAATTAATGTAATAATATTCTCCCTTTTCTACGAAAGCATCATGCGAATACGTCTGTTTTTCGACACAGGCGAGTTCAAACGTTGCGTTGCGTGCAGTATTAATTGTCTTCCCGTCAACAATGAATTCAGCACGTTGGCACTCTTTCAAATGTTGGTTATAAGCTTCCCCAGGTTGGCATTGCTTCGAACCATTTAGTGATGCATTTTTCACTCGTTCTTCGATTAATTCGGCGTTTATTGAAGGTAATATTAGGAATTGTTCAGGTTTCATCGGTGGTTTCATAGCAGCTGGAGTTTTGAAGTACCTTATGTAATACACTTTGTAATAACGCCCGCTCTCGCACACTTCAAATGTTACTGTTGTATTGAAAAACTTTACCTCTTGACAATCTAAGTACTCCGTGTAGTCGCACACTGAAATTGTTGTATTCGTTCCAAAACCGGCATGAAAGAACACTCGCTGCTTGGAGTACAATTTATCAGTGGCATTAATATAATAAAACCGACCGTTGTCTGTCGAGCTGTAATTACCCGCTACGTAGATCTGTCTCTCGAAGCAAGCGTATTTACCTAATGTCGTTGTGAATACAAATACCGTGTCGTTGCCGCTGAAGATGGCCATATCCACATTCAATCGATATTTGGGGTTTCTCACGGGACCATTCACTTGAGGAGGCAAAGGTTCTTGTTTTATTGAAGGTTTGTAGTGTGTCCATTGAGTCGTGTTTGAACTGTGATTTGATGTATTCGCACCCAGGCACACGCACATTACTTGATGTAACACGAATAACCTCAACACGATGGCCATTATGAAACTCTGTAATCTAATTCCACCTTGTTATGCGTAGGATTTCTCGATTGAAAATGGTGTGTTTCAGAAGGGCTCGCTTTCTTGTGGGCTTGTTTATATTCTCCTGTATTTCAATGTTGGCGTGCAGATCTGACTTACGTCAGTCTAAGTGTTAAGAAATACCGTTGACATGTGTCATAAGTAGGTGTGATAATTAGATGGGCTTGATATTAAGGCCCGTTTACGCGATTTCTGCTGCGATTTCATGTGCGATTTTTCCCTTTTGATGGATGTGAATGAGTAATAAGTTACGAATACTCTGCATGATGTTGGCTCAGGGGCCGGTTGTATCGAGCTCGTGCGTTGCACGTAACTTTCATCCACGTCTCGTCTTAATATCGTTGTCTCAGCCTGTCAGGACGTTTTAAGCTTGGCATTGTCATTGTCTCACGTCGTAAATCATGCGGAGCAAAGGATATAGGCCCTGGAGACGAGGATGATTGTAAATAGATTCACGACCGCGGCTAGAGAATATGCGTGAGAAAGGCTTGGTGACAAGCGTGGCCAACGCGTCTTGTGTGATTCTTTCGCGTACTCTATGATTCTAGGACAGAATTTTGTTAATTTTACGTTGTGATCTCTACGCAACAAACTTCAAATGACTATAGAATATATTTTTTCATTCAAAACTTGAAATTAAGTTCTTACCTTTTATTGTTTGATCAATTTATTCCTTTAACTACTGGTATTCAATCGTTAAATTTCGACAAATCGATTTGTTTATCACATTGTGTTTTTAATATAGATCAGTAGCGTCCATATTTTTATCTTAGAACTGGAAGATTACTTAAATGCATATCCGGGATTACAGAAATTAATAAACAACAGGGTTATGTAAACAGCCGTTTTCGAACGTTTTCACGAGTTTTTGTCTAGTTTAGACTTTAGGTCCAGTGAAAAATAATCCCAATATGTTAAAGTGGAAGTCAAGTTCTTTCTGCCCTCGGTTTTGCTCAGAACAACACGAGGTTCTCAGATAAAAATTTTGCCCAAATTTCGAGATGTTTCGAGTTTTTCTCATCAACAATTCATTGCAGGCCTAGCTAACTTAAATGTTTTAGATATTCAGACAACACCATGGTATTTCAAAAAGTAAAGAAGTTCAAAAGGTAAACACAACGTTTGTTTACATACGGACTTGACTTTCATTTTAAATTAGCTACAACTTCAATTGTAAATTAACGGTATTTGAAACTGTTTTGGCGTGAAAAAAAAATGAAAACGTTCCAAAACCTTACTGCGGGCACATAGTTGAAATACCACTACGACATTTTCCTGTTAGATACTGATACTTGTGTTGCATCTTTCAAAAGTCGTTCCTACTGGGAACTGAGAATTTGATCATCTTGTGCTAAAAGGCAAAATTGTATAACAAAAATATAATTGAACTTTTATGTAGATGCTGGCTGACTGCTCAGAAGGCAAAATAAAAGTTTATAATGAGAATATCATGAAGTTTAATGTTCCTGCAGCTTTCTCCAAAGTGGAAGGTGTCGAGTGGGAAAAGGATTGTAAGTATTCGCAGGTATTTGGCCCCAGTGAACTCTATCTGAAATGATATTTGGTGCTGAACATGCCTGAAGGCCAAGATAGAGTTTTGTGACCAAAAATACTTGACCCTAAACTTTGGGCTGTATATGAAACTGGAGCTATCGAATGTTATTATTCGTTGTGGCAGTTCATGAATTTTTCTTGTATATAGCTACGCGGGGTGTTTAAAAAAAAGCGAAATCACAAATTTAACCTACCGTAACAGGAGTTATTTAGCTTTTTAGCAATAGTTTTTTTATGTCATAATGGCCAGAAATAACCATGTTAATAATTGTGTGTTAAAGTTGAAGGATATTTTGAAATCATTGAATAGACAATGTTGCCTTCAGTCGGACATGTTTGATTTCAATCGCTAATTTTCATTTAAAAAAAAGTCGATCATTTCTTGTAGTTATGAACTGAAGAAAGGTATCGGGAAGCCAAATAACTCAGTGCTCTTTTAAACGACATAAGAATTATATCGTCATATTTATTATATCCTTCGTATGAAGATCTGTTAATTTCGTTTCATTTTTTTATACGCCTGGGGCAGGTTGTTCGAAAGGCAGATAAGTTCAAAATGAAAATCGAAATTATTAATTTATTGAACAACTGAGCCGAACTAATTCGATGTAAATAGTTTAATTGTCAATGAAAGTACATATTTAATGCATAAGATGTAGGTTCAATCATTTACAAGATGTATGAGAGAGTTTTTAAACTTTTGCTTATCCATGCAGCGTTTAAGCTAAACGCCTTTCGAACAGCGGCCCCTGATATAAGCAGTGTTCTTCACATTTGTATATTCTTTTCTTTAGACTTGCCAAGCGTTCGTTTGGTCGGAAATTTACCCTTCAATGTGTCGATTCCGCTTCTCCTGCAGTGGTTGGAAGCAATCTCCCATCGCGCTGGACCGTTCACGTTTGGGCGAGTACCTATGTCGCTTGTGTTTCAGAAAGAAGTCGCCGATGTAAGTTTGGTGGCAATGACAAAACTTGTTTTGATTGTTTTAAAAAATATATTTTTAAACAATCATATCAGAAACTTGGGTCGTATATGAGCTGATAGCCGCCATATATATATATATATACGAGAGACCGAATAGTATTTAATTAACGCCGAAGGCGAGATGAATGTCGCTAAATAGTTGATGTTTTTAGTCATAAATAATCTTTTTTCACTTTGTGTTTTCAGATACAGTATTTCCGTTAAGATAAATGATTTCTTCGTCTGTCACTTTGACCGGCATGAAATATATTGAATATTCGCATGCCATGCATCCATTTCGCGTGATATCAGTGAATTTACCTGGAATCTTCATTTAGAATATCGTAGCAAAACCGGGACACCCTAATTGCTCACGGTTATCAATAATGGCGCAACATTTGTGCGAAGTAAAGAGAAATTATCGATTGCCCAGGACTGTATTTGTCCCCGAACCCAAGGTAAGAAATGAAGTTTGCAAAACTTTGAACTGAAAAGAACTGGAACGCTACTTTCGACCGAAACTGTGAAGTGAAGTCCTTGAAGTCATACCGAATCTTTTCAAGCGACGAAAAAACGTGATTTTCTAATCTATCTTAGGTGGATGCTGCATTGTTGCACTTGATACCTTTAAAACAACCAAAAATTGACGCTCCCTACGAAATTGTGGAACAAGTTGTCAAAGCTTTATTCTCCTTGAAAAGAAAGTTCATTCGTTCTTCACTCAAGTATGAAATATATTCAGGTTTCTTCGATGCATTTGCTAAAAAAACTAAATTATCCTAATGGTCCAGTAAGGATCATCCCTCATTGGACCCGTGTTCCTACAGGGGGAAACCTAAACTATATTTATCCTGGGTATCTCTATGAGGACTAAGCTGTCCTAGAGGTCCAGAAGGATCATCTCTTATTGATCCAGTGTTACTACAGGAGGAAACCTAAACTAAACTATCTTTATTTATACTGGATAGCTCTATACGTTCTAAACTGTTCTTCGTAGAGGTCTAGTAAGGATCATCTCTTATTGATCCAGTGTTACTACAGAAGGAAAACTAAACTAAACTAACTATATTTATACTTGATAGCTCTATCAGTTTTAAACTGTTCTTCCAAGAGGCCCAGTAAGGATCATCTCTTATTGATCCAGTGTTACTACAGAAGGAAATCTAAACTGAACTAACTTTATCTATATCGGCTAGTTCGTTATTCTTAAAATGTAATTACGTATGTTTTTGATTACAGATGCTTATTTCCAGGCGATGAACATTTAGTCGATGATTTCTTAGCTCTGGCCGATATTGATCCAACTCTGAGAGCAACAGACGTAGATATGGCAGGGGCAAATAGATTATGCGGGGCGTTCCTCGAGATGACAGAAAACATGAACTTAGATCGTCTGCCGCTAAAAATCAACAGACCATCGCCTGTGCAGTGAATACACTGATCTTATAATACACTGGATTAAGCAACCACACCTATCGAAAACGAAGGCAGAATTAATAAACTTTCAGAGCAACAATGAAAAGAGAAAATACATCCCTGGAACTTAGGAGGTGTCTTTTCTGTCGACTTTGTATTTTTAAAAGTCGTGCGTCGATGGCGAGTATCGCATTTCCCTTGGATCTGGGTCTTCGGTAGTGCTGGCCCTCCGGTAATGCTTGGCCTCCCGTATTGCTGGGCCCCCGGTAATGCTGGATGAATCCCCGGTAATGCATGGTCTCCGATTATGGTGGGTCTCCGATAATGCTGGGTCTTATGCTGGGATATCAGTCGCCAGTGTATTATGAGATCATTGAGTGATTACGAGAAAGACGCTAGCAAAACTATTGCTTTCTGGAGAGTCATCCCAGTTCAGTTTCAGTGCGTTATATATCATACTGTGAGTCTCTTGCCGTGAAAGTAATGTTTCGTCAGGTTTGCGCATGCTCATGCTCATAGTTTCTTCGTCTAATTTTGGTCATTTTTTGAAACTGGTTTCACTGAAAGTGAGACTATGTGCACACGGTAACGTTTTCGAGCGTTTTCATTTTCGTTTTCATGCCAAAACGGTTTGAAACACCGTCAATTTAGAATAGAAGTTGAAGCTAACTTATAAGATAAAGCATATTTTTCCTTGGAACGTGTGGACAGGGCGTCAAAACGATAAAATGGACAAAAACGATTTTGAAAACGCTCGAAAACGACGCTCGTGTGCACATAGCCTGAGTAAACAATATTTAGAGTCAATAAGCAGGTGATCTTAAGTGGGGGGGAATGACCGGGTCTCGTTGTCAAGTGGAAATCCATTTCTCGGCGGTTGAAACCACTTAATATCTCTCGAAATATGCATTATTTCGGTTTCAAATTTATGTCACATGCAGCTACAGTTCTTATAACCAAACATATTGTTGAAAAATACACAAAATGACGACCGGTTCCATAAAGAATAACAAGAGATATTATTGATCAAATACTGCAGTGATACTGATATTTGAAATCACGTCGGTAAAGCAACCCATCATAACAAGTAGTGTATTCATTAAAATTACTTTATTTGTCGGTGTATTCGACCGGAAATATTAAAGAACAAATCAAGTGATCGGGACTATTTCAATATTTCTATAAATTATTGTAATAAATTAGTTAATAATTAAATAATTAATATTATTGCATTAAAAAAATTTTTGACCTCTTTCTTTATCCTTATTATTATTTTGGGTTTAGTATGAATTATGTATAACCGAGCGTACGTCATGAGCATAAGTAGAATTCTATATTTGCATTTATAACAACAAACATGGTAGGCACGTTGTTATTGTTTTTGCTAGTTTCGTCCATTGCCGGTCGATATAAATTCGGGGCGGCCGACGAGTTGGTGAGGATATGCAAAATATCTTTCAAGGACTACGAAGCAACAATTTCGGGATGGTAAGTGCGCTGGAAATACTCTAAAGTCACGTTTATTGAGTCGCAATACAGCGGTCATATGACATGACATGGTTGAAATAACAGCGTGTCTGCGGCTCAAATTGTTCCTGGTTTGATGAGAACAGCTAGGACTGATCAATGTTGTGGTTTACCCCAGGAACAAGGTTGTTATTAACTTGCATTTGATGAAACCTACTAACGTGAGGTGAAGCACGATATTGTCGGGCACTTTGTTTTTATTGACCGTCATCTTACTCGTGTAATTGAACATATTGTTTGACTTTGACCTGTTATATGGAAATGTCATGTAATTTAAAGATTCTATATTTATTTGGCGAGTTTTGCAGCGTTGATAGTTAGTATTAGGGCTCGGTTTGTTGCTCGCCTTTTCTCATGTAATTTAAAAAGGATATTACATAACAAATTTCATGAATAAGGAAGTTTGGCTTTTTCAGGTGGGTTTCCGGTATCCTGTTGTGCGAACAGTTTACCTTTTTTAATGACTTGCATGTATGGAAAATTCCTGCTAGGGACCTTCGCACACCTTTGTTTTGGTAGCCTGAGCACTAGTAAAATTGGGCACGGATACCCATTTTAGCCGTGCCGTGCCGATAAATTGACTGTAGTGTAAACGGGGCTTAGGATTCAGGTAATATTACTAATATATACTATGAAATCTTTGCTCAGGAGTCAATTTGGTGAAATATAGAACCGAACAAACTTTGAATAGAATAATCTCGGCATTAAAACGCCAATGAAAATTTGCAAGTTTTATATATTATTCTTTGTTGTCTGGTTGGACGTTTGCGCAGAAAATCGAAATTGCTGTCGTATGCAAACAACGCTTGACTATATATAAAAATACTTTTTTTTCGAAAGTGCTGTTTTGAGCAATGTTACAGCTAGCCTTGGTTCCATTAGATCGACGGTTGTCGCTACGGCGACAAGTGGCGAATGAAAGACTAAGAGGTCAACATGTCGGTCAAAATTAGCTTGACCACGATATTTACGGGCAACAATGTTTCTAAAGAATTCTTTTAAGGGCTGTTTACATGTTCCCGCTTAGCCGAGATTCAACGAAGCATGAGATGACTTTGAGGTATTGAAATGAGTATTTAACACGATCCTGGCTGCCGTGTAGTCATCCCAACAGTAGCATATGCTTTTTTTGCTTCAGAACGACTTATTCTAATACCTCAAAGTTATCTCGCACTTCGTTGAATCTCCACTAAACGGGGTCATGTAACCAGCACCAGCAGCGCTTTTTTTAGAAACCTTAGCCCCGTTTATACTACACTCAATTTAACGGCACGGCTAAAATTGGTACCCGTACCCAATTTTATTAGTGTTCAGGCTACCAAAACAAAGGCCGAGCACAGATGAAATATGCACGGGTACCCATTTTAGCCGTGCCGTGCCAATAAATCGAGTGTAGTGTAAACGGGGCTATTATTGCCCGTAAATTGCCCGTGCTTAAGCTAATTTTTCGGCTCGCCCGTGCAAGTCGATCGCGTTGTGGACGTGGTTAATAGCCGCGCTTTTCTTGCAGGGACTGGGAAGTAAGGAACAGCAGGAACGAAACCTACCACATTAACATTTGTGGAACAGCCAAAAACTGTGGCAAAGATGTTTCTGTTTGCAAAAAAGAATCCAAGTCTGTAACAATAAACTATGGTACAAGTTTAAACAAAGGGAAAATAAAGACATCACAATATGCTACAGGTTTCTCAATTACTTTTACTGGTCAAAAGACAGATAAATGTACCACACTCCAAACCCAGATTAATTTCCAATGTATCTACACATTGGTAAGTTTTGTTTAGACGTTAGAATGAATACTTTGTATTAACCAGTTTTGTGCATTTTTTGTCATATATTTCACTCTATCAAATGCCTATTTTACAATTTGTTAGTGAACAAATGAGTATAATTTGCATCCAATATTAACACAGGAATAACTGTAAAATACTTTTCTCTTTCAACAATGTTTTCTGCAGTAGTTAATGTCAGAAACAATGCCTTAAAAGTGTGGTATATGAAACACTTCTTGATGTTACGACATCTCATTTTATCCCGAGATCTCGGGAATTTGTAAAGGAGTTGGAATTTTCTTTTATTTTTTTAAAATGTAAATGGATTTTGAGACAAGGGTGTTCGGAAGTTAAAAGTGGACTTTTTTTAGAATTGACTAACTATTTTCAGCTGTAATTATTTAAACACTTAAACACTTAGAAGTATGGTATAACAAACACTTAGAAGTGTGGTATAAGTGTGGTATAACAAACACTTCTTTATATTTCTACCGAGAGGCCTAATCAGTTGTGTCAAATGTGCCGCCTCTCCTTTAGGGGAGCATTTTTAGGCAGTTGTTATGCCACATCTATTAGAAGAGCTTTAGAAGAGATTTTTATTGTGTGTTTGAACAGGGTTCACCAGAACTTGTTGATGACAGTGGTTGTATTATAATCATCCAGTTCTTCACCAAGGAAGCATGTTCAAAAATAGACAAGATACCCGAGATACCCTGCGTTGTTTTCGATCGCAATAAACGGAAGATAGATTTGTCCCCCCTGATAAAGTTAAAAGGTTTGTTAGACATGGTAACATCATTTGTGATAAAACCTGATTTCCAGGATGGACGTGAAGGGGAGAGAGAGGGCCGGGGGGGTTGTGTGCAAAGTATTAATTCTGCCTTGTTTACTTTGTCAGTCGTAATTTTAATATACTTCGCTTTGAAACATGAATTCTAATATACGTTTATACTTTGAGATATTTTTTATTCATTGACAAATGATCGTATACTATAGCTGTAATGTAATAAAATGGTGTAATTTATATTCATCTACTAATATGTGCATTGTATCAAGCACATACTTGTGAGGGGGCGGGGTTAAAGTCAAAACTTTTAAGACAAAATGGTTGTAGTTTACTATAGTTATAGGTATTTTCAACTATCAACTGCAAAAGTGTACATACACCTGTATTTACCGACACCTTTTGGAGTGAGGGGTGGTTTAATTAAACACCTCCCTCTTGCAGCCTTTCCTACACCCTGTAGATAGCCTTATTCCATAGTTTGTCGTTTGTTTTGTCCCATAGGAGGACATCAGGTTTCGAATCCAACACACGGCGTCACAATGCTCATCAATGTTTGTCGAGACATAAAAAATGACGCGAAAATTCAAGCGAAATGGTGCGCTGATGGCGTTGGAAAATCTTTTCCAGCCTGTCGTCTTGATATCAAAAAACCAATTGGACAAATCACAAAAGAATCAAAGTTGATTTATGATGTCAGTGGTAAAATCAAGCTGGTTTATAAATACAACCCAAAGACAAAGTCCAAAGAATGTCCCAACGGCGTGTCAACTGAGATTACCTTCATGTGTCAAAAGAAGTTTTCTGATGTAAGCATTTTATAGAGGCAAAAAATCATAGCTCATGTAGTGTTGGTTAAAGTATAATTTTGCTGGTTTGTGTCTGAATAAACCAGGGCCTTTTTAACTTTATAACTAACAGGGGGGGAAGCCTTAACTTTATAACTAACAGGGGGGGAAAGCCCTCCAGGCTTTTCTTTGGTCCTCCAGTGATGACTTTAATAAGGATTAAGGTATCGATAGAGATACTCGATAAGGATTAAGGCAGTGATAGAAATACTGGATGAAGATTAAAGCAGCAATAGAGATATGTAGATATTGGATAAGGATTAAGGCAATGATAGAGATACTGAATAGGGATTAAGGTATGGATAGAGATGCTGAATGAGGATTAAAGCACGGACAGAGATAGGTAGATACTGGATAAAGATTCAGGCAGGGATAGAGATACTGGATAGGGATTAAGGTATGGATAGAGATACTGAATGAAGATTAAAGCAGGGACAGAGATAGGTAGATACTGGGTAAAGATTCAGGCAGGGTTAGGAGCCTAGGACGAGGTAACAACCGAGTAGTCCACAATGAATGCTTGTGAGATAGTAAATCCTAGACCCCAATGGTGTGATATACATTTCTTTCTTGATACAGGGAGGAACAGGTCCAGTTCTTATCACCGAAGTAAGTCCGGGTAAAATTGTATGCAAATACGACATACTGTGGAGAACCGGTCACGCTTGTCCAAACAATGACGTTATCACTAATAAGTGCAAATTCAGCAACAACGAAGTCACCTTTGATCTTACCAAGTTGAAAAAACCTACGAAGCAACTGAGCTACAAAGTCATAGGTCGTAATAATAACGAAGAATTCAGGATTAAAGTATGCAGCAATGGTCAGCCCTGTGGTAAGTTTTTCCTTGATTATTTCAGGCAAATCTATGTGACTGCAGCTAAAATACTATAGGGTATATACTGGGTATATTGTAATCCAGTTAATGAACTGACATTGCTGTTCAAAGAATTGATAGTCCTAAAATTTTGCATTGTGAATAACCTATCAAGAGAAAGGGGTTGTTAAGCGGTCCTGTGCAGTACAAACAGAGTCTGTATTCCTTGATCAATTATTTTTAGGAAGAGACACGGACGGCAGTCACACAGCAGTTTGTCAAATAACAAATGGCTCCAAATCCCATTCCTGTGGTAACGCCAATTATCCAAGCATTCGTTATGCTGATGGCGATCTGACCATGGTCTACAAGGATGGCGAAGTTTGCAGTACGAAGTTACTCCGAAGGACCATCATAACTTTCCGATGTGATCCGACCGTTGACGTGGGCGAACCGACGTTTGTCGGAGAAGAGCACTGTTACTATTTTTTCCAGTGGAAAACAAGACACGTGTGCCCGTCTCGAAACTCCGGGGACGGATGTGATTATAGTTTCACTGGGGATACAGGTAAGAATGAGCAAGTTGGAATTTCGTTTAAAACTATTCGGCATTGTTTACATTTTTTAGGCAAAGCCAATCAGAATGCCTTTAATACTTCAAGTAAAATAGTAAATAATGTACCTTTTTACCGCAAATAGTCAAAATTAATCCATTATGGTTGGTTACTAAAAATGTAAGCGAACTTGTTGATTGCTCTAAAACGAAATTCCCCTTCTTGTAAGGATGTACATTCTTTCATTTCCTTACGGTGAACTCTATGTCAACTGGAACGGTAAACTTGGTTGCCATATTTGAAGCCAATTTGAAGCTACAAATGCAGTGAAACAGCTTCAACAATTATACAGTTGTCTGAGAAAGGTCTAACTGTGTATATTCTTGTTTTGTATTTCGCAGTAAAAAGCAACCATTTTTCACGCATTAATATTTGCATGCAAATTCAAGACTAAAGGTCTGTTCACACGATCCAATCCAATTCACTTCTGATGGATATTTTACAGTCTGTTGTCTTATGTATATGGGCAGCTAATCCACTAAAGCCAATGCACTACAGCTTCATCAATAACCGACTATATTCCATACGTCAGAAGTGAATTGAATCCAATAAAATGGGATCGTGTGAACAGACCTTAAGAGAGTCTCTCTCTTCACAAACAGCCGCAGCGTGTAGTTGGCAGGTGGTCAATGGCGAAGGCTGTTTCTTGGAGGATTCTGTCACCGGCAATGTCTACGATCTTTCTCCCTTGGGAAAAGGAACAAGCTCTGGCAAGACTTATTTCACTGCAAAACACAGTGATACGACATACAATATACAGGTAAACACGTCAGATGGCGTGAGCAAATACCAGCGACTTCGGTGATATTTTCGGTGCGATTTTTTTTCCTTTGATTGATGTGAACGAGTACTTAGTTACGAATGCTCTGATGTACAAGAACCCTTATTTGAACATACGTAACTAATGCACTCGTTCGTACATAAAACGGCGGCAAAAATCGCAGTTTTCTCCTTCTCTGTAATATTTCTGTTGAATCTGATTTTTTTCATCCAGATTTGTGGTAAAACTGCTTCGGCTTTTGAATTTTGTGCTAACAGAGCTACTACTGGAATCTGCCAGAAGACCAAGGATATTGTCAAAATCATTGGAGGTGGGCAGGGTAATCTGTACTATAATGACGGAGTCTTGAAAATGGTTTTCAAAAATGGAGATAAATGTAAATCTTACATCACGCTTTTCTGCAATGAATCCGCTGGTACTGGATCCCCTGTGTTCGTTGAGGAGAAAAAAAGTTGTGTGTATTATTTTGTATGGTACACGAAACACGCATGTCCATTGAAGGTGAGAGGAACCGTTTAGAGCTGATAGAGCTGTCCAGTGTAAAATTAGTTTAGTTTAGGTTTCCTCCTGTAGTAACACTGGATCAATAAGAGATAATCCTTACTGCACCTCTAGGAAGAACAGTTTAGAACTGATAGAGATATCCGGCATAAATAAAGTTAGTTTAGTTTAGGTTTCCTCCTGTAATAAGACTAGATAAATAAGAGGTAATCCTTACTGGAACTCTAGGAAGAACAGTTTAGAACTGATAGAGCTATCCATTACTAAAATAAAGTTAGTTTAGTTTAGGTTTCCTCCTGTAGTAACACTGGATCAATAAGAGATGATCCTTACTGGAACTCTAGGAAGAACAGTTTAGAAGTGATAGAGCTATCCATTACTAAAATAAAGTTAGTTTAGTTTAGGTTTCCTCCTGTAGTAACACTGGATCAATAAGAGATGATCCTTACTGGATCTCTAGGAAGAACAGTTTAGAACTAATAGAGCTATCCAGTATAAATAAATTTATCAATTACCTTTACTATTTAACGTGCAGATGGAATACCAGGAGTTTTTCATGTATTTGAAATATTTCTCACCAGACGATGGAATGTGCTTTGAAAGACAAGCATGGCAATGAATACGATCTCTCCCCCCTGGTCAGAACAAAAGATAACTGGAAAGTGACAAAAAATGGAAAAATATATTTCATCAATATTTGTCGCGTTTTACATCGAAATAATGACACAAAGAGCTGCCCTGTCAGAAGCTCTGCCTGTATGGTATCCCCAAATAAACCTGGTGTTGATATGGGTAAGTACCGATGAACTGTAATAAATAACTGGAACGATACGTTCTTATTGTTTTTATCAAGCCAAAATTTGCGGGACTTTATGTCCAGACACGCGTGTGTGGAGGTAAAGTCCCGCGAATTTTGGCTTTACGAAAACAATGAGGAGGTATCGTTCCAGTTATTTATTAGAGTTCACGGGTAAGTACTATTTTTAGTATATTTATGTGTGTCGTGAGTGGGCGAAAAATATTTTAATAGTAAGTTACGAATGCTCTGATGTATAAGAACTCGTATTTGAACATCAGCAACTAATTCACTCGTTCGCATTATCAAAAGACGAAAATTGCACACAAAATCGCAAGTAAGTAACTTAGCGTTATAACAGCACCAGATAAATTACCATCCTGCATTTTCTTGGCGAGATAATCTAATTGTCGCGGGGTTTTTTCGCGCGTCGCAAGTTTTTGTCGCGGGTATATTTCGCGGGTCGTGGTTTTTTTACGTGATTTTTTTGTGCGCATGATTTTTTTGTTTAGTGATTTTTTGACAATTTGTACTTTGCCCTCTGAATCTGTTATAGTTTTATAAATTAACATTTCAAGGTTTTCAAAGCGTTATTTCATCGTTATTTCTGGTACAGTATTTATATTTCGATAGTTGTTTCAGTAATGGTAAGAAAACCCATACCACATATAATTTGCGGTTACAGTTTGTTTTTTTATGTGTAAAATGTTTAATATGCTGTTCGTATGTTGTCCAAGCCTCAAATGTACCAGCAACCTGCCTCCTTGGACTTATCTGAAACAACCTCAAATTATCTATGCCTAAAATACAGTCCCGGAAGAAGATCTTGGTAGGCTTGATTTACGGCAGATCAAATTTTTTTTTCTAGCTCTTCATTCCTAAATTGAGGTTATGAGGACTACCAGCTAAAAGAAACTCAGTTATAAGGGGTATCAAGTTATACGTATCATACGTCAATAAGTTATATTGCGACGCTTATCTTTTGCATTGCCAATATTTTGAAAGTTTAGCATTTTACATTGCCAACGTACATTTTGTATTGAAAACTGGAGTTTTTATAATCGGTTTCGTATGAAGCCACTGTATTATTGTTATTAGAATAGAGACGCGCTTGTTTCGCAAAATACCCACTCATTCGGACACTTTATTCTTCGGAAAACCAGCGAAAATACCGTAACTCGCCCAAAAGTGGAAAAACCCGTTAAAAAACCCCGCGAAAAACCCCGTGAAAAAACCCCCGACCCGCGAAATATATCGCGACCTGCGACAAAAACCCGCGACAATTAGATTATCTCTTTCTTGGCATAATTTGATTTTGACGTGTTACTGGAAGATCCTGTGCATCGTACTGTAATTGATTTAATGTGAATTACAGGTGAGATCGTTGGTCCCTTTATTGTGGATAATTTGGGAAATCCGGTTTTGCAGTATCAGAATAACAATTACAGAACTATAATTACCTTCATATGTGACCCAGAAGGAAAGGTGAGAAAGACGTGCGATTAGCTTACTGGTGGTAACACTGGATCAATAAGAGATGATCCTTACTGGATCTCTAGGAAGATTAGTTTGGAACTGATAGAGCTATCCAGTATAAATAAAGTTAGTTTAGTTTAGGTTTCCTCCTGTAGTAACACTGGATCAATAAGAGATGATCCTTATTGGACCTCTAGAAAGAACAGTTTAGAATTGATAGGGCTATCCAATATAAATAAAGCTAGTTTACTTTAGGTTTCATTTTGTAGTAACACTGGATCAATAAGTCGAATAAGAGATGATCCTTACTGGACCTCTAGGAAGAACAGTTTAGAACTGATCAGGGCCGTAACTAGAACGATAATTGGGGGGGGGATGGAAACCCGTCGGGCAGGACTTAATAATATGAATAAGCACCCCCCCAAATATCGTTCTAGTTACGTCCCTGGAACTGATACAGCTTTCCAGTATAAATAAAGTTAGTTTAGTTTAGGTTTCCTTCAGTAGTAACACTGACATTTAAACGTTACAGACGGGATCACCGGAGTGGTCGAATGTTGACGAGAAGAACAACATCTCTTCATTCACGTGGAAAACTAAGGAGGCTTGTAAAATCAAACCAAAAGTGGAATATGGTTGTAATGATAAAGACACTGGTTTATCTGTGTTGAGCAAGGGAGATGGAAAGGTTTCGTTGACCCGAACAATGTTTTTCTTAATCGGACTCCTCTTTAGGTTTCCTCCTGTAGTAACACTGGATCAATAAGAGATGATCCTTACTGGACCTCTAGGAGGAACAATTTAGAACTGATAGAGCTATCCAGTATAAATAAATTTAGTTTAGTTTAGGTTTCTTCCTGTTGTAACACTGGATCAATAAGAGATGATCCTTACTGGACCTCTAGAAGGAACATTTTAGAACTGATGAAGCTATTTAGTCTAAATAAATTTAGTTTAGCCCATTGACTATGTATAGGATTGTGTGTATTTCAATGGACATGCAATCTTTGGTAGTGTGCTTTATATGACTCCTTGCTAAATCATTTTGTTTACTAGGGATATGAAATACCACTTTCAAAAGGAAATATAAGATTGGATATCTGCCAAAATGTAACTTGCAACAAGAAGAGAGACTCGACTGCATGTTTTAATGATGGAGAAAAAGAGTTCTCGATCGGCCGTTCTTTTGGAAGCAAAGTGGAGCATAGCGATGGTGTGATCACCCTCACATATCCGTAAGTTTGTTGCCGTGTCTGTTGGTCGATTTCGTCCCGTATTTTAGGGCAGTTGATCAGGTCCTGGTTGGGCCTGGAATAAAGAGAAGAGGGGATGGGTTGACTGGGGAGTGTGACAGTGTATGAGGGGGATGAATGCGGGGGGGGTAGATGGGCAGGCGGGGATCGGAACAGGGTAAGTACTGGGATGGGGTGACTGGGGAGTGTAACACGCTGTGTGATAGGGAATGTGAGGGGTGAGTTCGGGGGGGGGGGGGTAGATGGGCAAGGTAAGTGGAAGGATGGGTTTACTGTATGGAGAGTGTAAGGGAGCATGAAGGGGATGTTGGGATATGAGAAATTTGTTCACATTTTTCAGGCAAAGCTAATAAGAATACCTCTGAATGTAAGGCCTAAGCCAATCAGAATGCATCTGAATGTAAACATATTTGCTGATTGGTCTAAACGAAATTTCTTCACAGAGGCGGGAAATGGACGACGAAAATCAACTTTGTCTGCACGCAAGAGATCGTGGATGGCAAACCAGTGTTTATTAAACGAGAGGAAAATGTTTATGTCATCGAGTTTCCGACGTCGCTGGTCTGTAAGCCGAAGGATGTTCAATGCGATGCTTACGATAAGAAACAGCGCTATAACTTGAGTCCACTCACTCTGAGGGATGGTAAGTTATGGTGAAGAAATTTCTTCCAGTATAAATAAATTAGTTTAGTTTAGGTTTCCTCCTGTAGTAACACTGGATCAATAAGAGATGATTTAGTTTAGGTTTCCTCCTGTAGTAACACTGGATCAATAAGAGATGATCCTTACTGGACCTCTAGGAAGAAAAGTTTAGAACTGATAGAACTATCCAGTATAAATAAAGTTAGTTTAGTTTAGGTTTCCTTCTGCAAAAGAATCAAATGATCGTCTTCTGTCTTTAGGCAATTGGATGGCAGAAGACACTCGCTCACACCTGGACTATTACATCAATGTTTGCAACGGATACTACCCGGGTGGTGTGAATCCCAAGTGCAAGGGTTCAATGGGGATAGGGGGGTGTCAAGTGGATAGAAAACACGGGCATTCACACAGCATGGGCTTGGTGCAAAGTCGTCCTACTGTTTCGTCAACAAACGACGTCACGTTACGCTATCAGGGGGGTGATATATGTCATCACAAGTATCATCGTAGCACGAGAATCAACTTCTTTTGTTCAAACGTTCATGTGAGTACCAACGTCGCTCCTCTCATTCGCCGAACCTAATGCAAATGAGCTCAAATAAAGACCTTAATTAGGTTCGGTGCATGAAAAGAGCGACGTTTGACCTGGCCTGAAACTGGCCTAAACTATATTTTGTTTAAAAGTACACGACTCTGATTGTTTTTTTGTAAAATTGTTTTTGTAAAAACAATGTTTTTTTGTGAAAGAATTATCAAGCCTTCGGTTTCGTTTGACGTTCGTTTAACTTCCGTATGATAATTCTTCTTTTTCATATGAGTTTAGTCTAATTAAATAATTGTTACACGTTTTGTATTAGCAGTGAGTTCACCACCATTTTTAATGCGAAAATGTAAATGAACTCACAGCTAATAATACTACAATTTGTTGACAAATTACCGAAAAATTTCTCGTGTCAAATTATCCTGCAGATTAGGCTGTAAATGTAATTATACATCATAACACTGCATCGACAAATTATCGAAAAATTTCCCGCGTACAAATTCTAACGCAAATTTGTTGGGCCTATGATATATACATATCCCTCCCCCCCCTAGGGTTCTCCTGTATACATGGCGGAAATGAAAGATTGCGAGTACGTGTTTAACTGGAGAACTCCAAGTGCTTGTCCAGTGAAGACGTTTAAAGGGAAGGATTGCCGTGTGTATGATGAAACAAACGGTGTTCATTATGACCTCAGTTCCCTGGCAGGGCAAGTGCAAAATGAGAAGGTTGACAAGGACGTTCAATATATCGTGAAATTTTGCGTTGAAACTCCAGCGAAAGACTTCGGTTGCGGCAAAGAAAATCCCTCGTGTCTCGTTGTTAACGGTAAGAGACCATTCATACAGGGCCTTACCGAAGGGGATATTGCAGGTGCACTGTACACTGTACCGAAGGTACTATTGAGAGTGCAGCCCCTGGCCGTATCGAAGGGTTATTGGGGGTACACCCTCTGGCCGTTCGGAAGGGGCTTTGGGGATACACCTCATAAGCGTACCGAATTTGGGGTGCACTCCACCACTCCCACATGTTCGTGCCAAGGCGGTGCCATATACAGTACTATTCTCGGAAATTTTGTTGGAAATGAAGCAGCTTTGATAGGAGTGATGAGCACTCAGTTCATATAGACGAATACATATAAATCAGTGATTAGAATATCGAAATGTGTTGGGGTCAGTCACTGGTTGGAGTAGAAACCGAAAATGTTCCCGGTTATACCCTAATTATTATACTGTTGATTTACCTATTGCGCTCGTGATTGGTTAATTTCATAGATTTATCACATTTGATTGGTTGATGGTTCTTCCTTTATTCTGTTTCTTCCTTTCCTCTGCAGTTTATTGCTCTATTGATTGGCTAATCTCATAGATTTGATTGGTTCATGTTTCCTCATTGGTAGCGATGGTCAAATCTAAGCCCCGCTAATACTGTAATTCTTCGTTTTAACTGAACCATCGAAAAGTAACGCCTTCATACTTCCTGGTATAGGGAGAATGGAAAATCTGAAGTTTTCAAACATGACATTTAACGATGGCAAAGCAATTTTTGAATACACAAGTAAAAGTGTTAACGTCGTTAATGAAATATCCTGCGATTCCAGCGTCAAAACGCTCTCCTTCAGGGAGAAAGCAAAAGTCAAAGATGGCTATCACATGTTCTGGACGAGCTGCCTGGTTTGTCCACCCATTACTGGGGAGGAATGCAGTATTACGACCGAAGACGGTCTCTTTGACCTCTCCGTCCTAGCAAAGGAGTCCTGGGACTGGCGTGCCCGAAATGCCTTGGATGGCGAACCAGAGAGTTCAGTCGTGTTTGGGCAGTTCTATTTTTCTTTGTGCACACCTCTAAAGAACATCTCTGGACTCGCGAATAAAGGATCACGAGGGGCGATTAAGGATAAAAATAATGGGTTAGTTTACATTATAACCTGAGAGGCATGAACTCAGAAGTGTTTACAATAGTCAGGAAGAAGATCATGATTAAATTTAACACTAGATCAACTAGATCAAAAAACATGAACATTGTTAAACTTAGTATAAAATAGTCATTGTTTTCATGTTCTTCCTCCATTAGAAAAATCACAAGTCTTGGTACAATGATAGAACGACTCAAAATTTCTGACGGATCACTCACAATGACGTATGGCAATGGCGACAAAATAAGCTCCTGTACAAATAAGAAATCCCCAAAAACTACCATACAGTTTATCTGTGATGATATTGTACCCGGGGGAGTGGGGGTAAGTACTGAAGGCTAGCACGTATCCAATCTAAAAATTTAAAGAAATCTAAAATGAAATTTAAAGTATCATTCTGCAAATGATGATTGCTTACGACCCAGTCTTTATACATTAGGTTGGACCAGTTGTCGACGGATTTGACGAAGATCAGTGTACATTTCACGTCACGTGGACAACACGCGCCGCTTGTCCTGTGCGAAGCCTCCTGGGAGGTTATTCCAATCCAAAGTGCACCGCCATCCATCCAGCTACAAGAAAAACAATAGATCTAAACCCACTGAAGAAGTTTGATAGTTACACGGTGGAAGATGAAAAAAATGGTGATAAATACTTGATTAATATTTGTGCCCCAGCAAGAGGTAATGTGTATAAGGTTCGGTCCTAACCTTTGTTTATTTTACCTCAAATATGCCTATTATTATAAAGTTGGAATTGACGTTAGATGGATGACGTGTAATGTCATGGTTGATTTTGCTGGGGGAAAGGGTGTTGAGGTTGTAACTCTGGTACATGTCGAGGACGGTGGTTAACTGCGGTACATGTGGATGTTAAAGGTTTGACTTGAGTGGATGTTATGGCTGGGAAAAAGCTCGTGTGCTAGGTGATCAAAGTGTATATTGAAGCTGCTAGTACAACAACCATCCCTAACCATTCTATCTATCAAAGCTACTTTTCCTAATCAGTCATGAATAGTACATTGACGGCCAAAGAGGCCCCTCTCACCCACCGCCCTCACTTATTCTCGTTAGGCTGCCCAGCGAACTCCGGGATCTGCAAGAAATATAGCAAGACGAGTGCAGGCAATGTGAACACGACACTCGTCTATCGTCAAGGATTTCTCTACCTTCATTACAAAGACGGTAGCGCCTGCAGTGAATCAGACAAAAGGACGAGCGAAACTTTGATATCGTTTATTTGCGATGCCAAGGCTGGCAAAGGAAAGCCGAAGTTGGAGCGGGTTAAAGATTGCACGCATTTTGTGACTTGGAGAACCAGTTTGGCTTGCGAAGCTGAGGTTTGTTTAAAATAAATAATCGACGCATTAATCAACGCTAGGGGAGAGTAAAATTCTGTGAAGTGAGCTATGCACAGTTTTAGTAATAGATATAATGAATGACAATGGTCTTATTACTGGATAGCTCTATCAGTTCTAAACTGTTCATCCTAGAGGTCCAGTAAGAATCATCTCTTATTGATCCAGTGTTATTACAGGAGGAAACGTAAACTAAACTAACATTATTGATACTGGATAGCTCTATCACTTCTAAACTACTCTTCTAGAGATCCAGTAAAGATAATTTCTTATTAAAGTTTTATCTAAGTACCGACTTGCTCAATCAACTTTTTCAGATTGATTGTGTTGCTCAAGACGGGAAGAACTTCTACGATCTCACACCCTTGATCCGAGACGATGCGAATTACGAAGTATTCATATTTACTACTTTTTTCGGATTACGCAGCTCCATTGTTAATTTAATATTGCTCAATGAAGATATGAGCTCATAATTTATAAAAGAATCAACCATCAACCATAGGTAGCCCAAAAATAAGCGTAAATGATAAACATCGATAACGCACGCTTATTTTTGGGCTGCTGTCTATGCATCAACCGTTCTTCTGTATTTCATTAATGCTTACTAAACTAACCCCTCATATGAATCCTGACCTAGTTTCTTTATTATTATTCTTAAGTCTTTGGATAAGGATGGAAAACATTACCTCATAAACGTGTGTCGTTCGTTGGTCGGTGATTCAAGATGCTCCTCGCAATCGAGTGCTGCAGTGTGTCGCACAGCGGTATGATGGTTTTTGGAAACTTCATTTATATAGATTTATAGAGATTTCTTTATGGAATAGATTTCATCGTTTTCAAGTCACTATTTTATGTCTATCTGTGCAACTTAGAGTGAAAATAAAGAAGACAAAAGTTTTGGACAAGTGGGTGCGCCACCAAAGTTTGTTTCATCTTCAGAGAGACAGAATGAAGTCAAAGCTCAGCTCATCTATGAGAACGGAAAATGTGGCAACACGACTATAAACTTTCACTGTGATCCGAAAGATCTTGCGGTAAATATAACTTTGTCTCAGCGATTGAGATCATCGTGATATTACTCGGTTTCCTTGAGCCCTAATCCTAACCCTAATCCTGACTCTAATCTCAATCTTAACCTGCAACCTGACTCTAATTCTAACGCTAATCCTAACCCTAATCCCAATCATAACGCTAATCCTGACCCTAATCCCAATCCTAACACCCTAATCCTGACTCTAATCCTAACGCTAATCCTAACCCTAATACCTAATCTCTAGCAGATTAAATTCGTGTATTCAGGATGTACTGAAAAAGAAATATTAGCTTTTTTATCGCAGATGACGGCTGTACGAAGGCTGGATAGCGCTATCTCCTGGGTATTTTTTTCAAATATTGTAAAAAATCTTGAAATGTAAGAAAACTACGGAAATGGGGTCAACAATCAGTAAAGAAAAACTCCACTTCAAGAATGCCAAGGTTTACTCTAAGGCATAGCGAACTTTAGGCAATTTTAAAGCGAGTAAAAAATTGCTATCCAGCTTAATGTGTACGGACCAGTTCTCCAAGACAATTATTCTTATTAGCGCCTCAGTCGATGCACTGTTTCTAAATGGCAAAGGTGTGCGGACGATTTTTCTAACGTTACCGTCTGGAAAACTTGATTAAGAATTTGATGATTAAGGATTTGATGTGTTTTTGCCTTATAGGTCAGGAAATTAGTTATCACATACGCCGATGAATGTTCGGTGCAAATATCCTGGTGGACTTCGTTGGTTTGCGACCCACCAGGTGGGAATCCACCAAATGGCAACCTAAGCTGCTTCTACAGCAATCCCGAGCAAACGTTCTGCTTTGATTTAAAAAGACTAGGGCAAAAAGGTAAAAATGTTAAGGTGAGTTGTGTCTTATAATTCGTAATAGAACTACTGAATAGATTAGGTACCAGGTAAGTTTTTAATCTCAAACTCTTATTGATTCATTGTTCATAAACTAGAAAGTATAATAAACTAGCTCTATTTATTTTGGATAGTTCTATCATTTCTAAACTGTTCTTCATAGAGATCCAGTAAGGATCATCTCTTATTGATCCAGTGTTACTACAGTAGGAAATCTAAACTCATTTAAAGACCTTTTTGATCCAGTAAATCATATACGTTCAAAAGAGCATTATAACAACCAACTTTCTATTCCTTTTGTTCTCCTAGTTTCCCGAAGGGGAAGTCCATTTCCATGTGTGTGGAACCGCAGCGAAGGATTGCCAGGAAGAAGGCAAGGAGTCCAAATCAGGCGAAGCTTGTTTGAAAACAAAAAACGAAAGACCGACGGTTCTTTCACTCGAAAACATCGTTTATAAGAACGGCGAAGTACGAATAACTTACGGCCAAGACGTCGTCCTTATTTTGTACTGCGGGAAAGAAAGCGAGTCAAATAATCCTCAGTATATTGGAAAGGTAAGCTGGTCCACTCATCCTGTGGAAATTATAAAGAGTTGAATACTCTCCATAATATGGGAACTGTGTGGAACTGTCTTGTAATCTAATAATATGGAATATACAGTTATCAAGGATAATCGATAACCCATACTAAGGATCTTTGCGCGTTTTTCTCGTTCACACATACGTGAGTAACGTGACGTTGGTGGCACCGTTTTATTGAAAATAAGGACATGAGACCACATTATAGACCATATTGATAAAATATCAGAGGATATGTTTCGCTGTTGAGTCGCTCTAGTTTTTACTTGTAATGCTCTTAACATACTCATCAAATGCATAGCCTGGACTGCGAATCTCGTAACTTCCAGCAAATAATTTAAGGCTTCTTACAAAGTTTTTAGGTCGGTCGAAACGCCGAGAAGTATTCTCGTTCATTCTTCCCACCCAATAAATCGAGTGGTCCCAACTTATCCGTTAAATACTGTTTTCCGTATATAGAAATTTATCGAAAATTTTTGTTTATGTGCATGTTGACAATAATCCTCTACTCAATAACTTAATTTTTTTTCGATACTGTATAGGTTGAACATAAAAAGCCAGATTATCAGACATATTATTTCAGTTTGATAACGCCAGAGGTTTGTCCACCTCGTGAGCTGTCGTGCGAGATCAGATACGGAGACAAAACGTTCAACTTGGCTGGTCTGAGTCGCGGCGAAAATTTTTATGCAAAAGGCGACGACAGCGATCAGTAAGAAACAAATCTTTGTACAATTCATGATAATGATATGCCTGATATGTAGAGATCAGTGGTTGAGATCAACACTGGAGTCTTATGAAGAAGAATTCTTTAAAAATACAGCGCTTTCCTGTAACCGGCCAAAATGGTCGAACCAGTAATATTTTGAATTGAAATAGAGTATTTCGTTAAGAATATAGCTGCGAAAGTGCATTTTACGTGCTAGGCAGATGTAAATAACGATATACTTGAATGCAGAGCTTTTAAAACACTTTAAAATACCAGTATTCTGTCTGTGCTGAAATACTACAGCACCGGTCTGGTAGTTTTTACCGTACAAAGGAAAGCTCCTTCAATACCTGACATTTATGTGCCATTTTTTCCTAGTTACTGGCTCAGTCCTTGTGGTCATGTCAGGCGCAATAAGGAAACAGGTAAGTCATAAAGTGTAAATCAACCGATGACGTTTAACCTTAACGTCACAGAGTAGCTAAAAGATATAATAGTCATATTTAATCACTATTCGCCACACAGTTCCATCTCTGTATCCTGGTTACTCTGTGAAAAGCATAGGCGGCCCAGAACTGATGTCAGTCATATATTATGACAGTCATAACATAAGACTGTTCAGACAACATGAGCGTCGCGCGAGGTCAGCGAGATTAGCGAGATCAGTTCTGGGCCGCCTATGGTAAAAGTGGAAGCGAAGTCCGTATGCAAACAAATGGTGAACTTCTATACTTTTTTCAAACACGTTGTGTTGTGTGAAAATTTAAACGAAACGGACTTGACTTCCACTTTAATTAAGTATAAATGAGCCGTAATGTGAGCCATTGTTTCCCTCGATGATCTAATATTTGCTTCTTTTTCCTGTAGAGGATATCTGCTCGTCCCGAGCGACAGCAATAAGAGTTTCATCGGACAAAGAATCTAAAGTGATAGCAGTGGATACGAATTATGATCTTACTTATCATGGTGGGTAGATTCTTGGTACTGGATAGCTCTATCAGTTCTAAACGGTTCCTCCTACCTTAGGATCATCTCTTATTGATCCAGTGTTACTACAGCAGGAAACCTAAACTAAACTTGTAATGATTAATTCTATCAGTTCTAAACTGTTCTTCATTTTAAAAAGCCGGAAAGCTAAACTAAGCTAACGTCATCAGTTTTAATATTTTATCCTCAGAGATTTTAAACTTTTAAGCCTGGTTTCCATTTAGTTGTAATTGTCGTGAACATGTCATTTTCACCGATGAGAAATTATGGGGATGTAAATTCGCCTTCATTCCTGTATTCAAATCTGTCATTGTTGACTGCACACGTATAGAAATATTCTATCACATCAGCCACCTTGACATGTTCACGACACTCACGACTAAATGGAAACCAGGCATTACTCGTCGATTACCCGGCTGTAGTTTTCAACCATTTTCATCTCGTCCCAAATCATTTTTCACCTATACAAAGGAAAAACATTACTTTATCATGTAGCTAAAACAGAATATCCTTTACAACTTCGATACTACGGAAATGAGGCGCTCAAAAGCTGCGGTAATAAAAAGCCAACGGTTGTGCACAAGTTTAAGTGTAGACATGGTGATTCGGAGGTGCATTTTGAGAGGTGAGATTATCTACTTGATATAACCACAACAAGTTTAAGCTGTCACATGAAAAAGCTTCAAAGATTTTTTAAACATCATAGGAAGTTATACTCTAACTTTGGTTTTTGGATGACAAAGGATTTTCTATATTTTAAATACACACGATTCTTGTTATCTGATGCTGTGAAAACGGTTGCAAATCTCCCATAAGCTAGTTGTTTTAAGAGGCTTTTGTGAATGTTTATCACCGTCATGTAGGGAAATCTTAGATATAATAAACAGTATATTGTACGTTCAACACTACAGAGGAGCAGCTTGCCAGCTTGTCACAGCTTCGAATCAAATGTAGTTTTACCATTGCATAAAATAGACAAAAAACATGCACTTATCTAAGGGCATTCGTTAAGTCACAGTTATTAGAATATACATGGTTTGGAGACAAGATGGAAGTACAATACAACTCATTATCTATGTTATTGTCCAGGTTTATGCAAAAAATGGTTCCTTATCCGTCACATGTCTATTGTATTTTAGCCCAACTAACCAATAGCAATGGCTTGGCTTAGCTCCTCAACCGTGATTTGAACAACGTGTTAATTCCGACCTTACTATTGGTTTATTTGTTCAAAATACAATAGACACGTGACGAATAAGGAACAATTTTTTGCATCAATTTTTCCCGATGTAGTTAATGAGCTCTATTGTACTTTGATGTAGTCTCTAAACCCTGTATATTCTATTAACTGTGGTTAAGTGAAATAGTATGTATACTATGTGTTTTTTTTTCTAGTGGTGAAAACTGCGAGTTCATCTTTTTGTGGAAGACAGCGGAAGCATGCCCCGAAAACAGGTATTTTGTCTTGCTTTAGTTGAAGGACTTCATATCTTGGAAACTTTAAAGTTCAACGCTTATAAAAACAAGAAAATGGAGCCGTATTTTTCACTAATTCCGCTTGTTTTCCCTCGAATACAAAACTACCATGTATCATGAATAAATGGTCATTTTCGCTCTCAGTTTAATGACAGTGGACTACATTTTTCCGTACCAAAATGCTTGTTATAGTCTAAATATTTCTTTTTTTTCAGTAAACCACTAAGGCAGGAAGGGGACAATTGGATATTTTACGATGACAAAGCCACAGGCTGCACACTGGATTTAACTCACGTGAAAGAAATGTAAGTTTTCAAAAAGACTTATTTCCCCCGGTGGGAACAAAAATGACTCCGACCTTGATAGGTAGGTGGGAGGGTGTTTGCGTGGGTCGTTTAGCAGGTAGGTGGGTACGTTAAATAGTAGATTGATTGGTGTTATTGAGCGTAGGCAGGTGAGTGTAGCCAAGACAGTGTAGGCAGGTGAGTGTTTGTAGGTAGAGTAGGACGATAGGGAGGAATGTTGGTAGGTAGGTGGGTGAGTGTAGCCAAGTGAGTGTAGCAGGTGATGTTGGTAGTGGTGTAGGACGATAGGGGGAATGTTGGTAGGTAGGTGGGTGAGTGTAGCTAAGTGAGTGTAGCCAAGTGAGTGTAGCCAGGTGAGTGTTGGTAGGTGGGTGTAGGATGATAGGGAGGAAGGTTGGTAGGTAGGTGAGTGAGTGTAGCCAAGTGAGTGTAGGCAGGTGAGTGTTGGTAGGTGGGTGTAGGATGATAGGGAGGAAGGTTGGTGGGTAGGTGGGTCGGTTAATGTGTATAGGTGGGTAATTTGGTGATGGGTGTTTGGCTTGTATAGATAGGTGGATGAGTGTATGCCAGTTGGTAGAAAGGTTGGTAAGTGGGTGGGTAGGAGAGTCGGTTAGCAGGTAGGTGGGAAATTAGGTACGCTTATGGGAGATTGGATGATCAATTTGTATACGTGGGTGCGTTTAGCCCCTAAATTACTACTTTCAGAAAATCAGTAAAGATCAGAAAATTTCTACAACTACATCTTTTTTTCATTCAGAGTGGAAAAACATGCAGGCAGCAAAGATTGCAAGCTCCGAAACAAGGTCACGGTCTATGCGTTAGGTATGTTTAAGTATGTTTATGGATTTTTATGGATGTTTATGGATGTATAAATATATCTTCACATCAAATGCATCACTGCAAGACCTCAAAGAATTTCTTTGTACACTAGATGAAATTAAACTGAGTAAACGGGGGATTAAAGTTCCAGTTATATATTAGAGATCACTGGTGTAGTGATCACTGGCAACTGAGTTATAGTCAGTTTTACAATTTGGAATGAGTTTTTGTAGTGTTTATTGGTGGAACCGGCCACTGACCTGTATATATGAATATTAGTTAATGAATTAGATTAGACTAATATAGTAATTATATACAAGTTAGAGGATATAGTTAAAAACCCCGACTATTTTTTTCAGATGATTCTTACGAGTTGTTTGTTTCTTGCGATTCAAAGACAACTAAGGAGGTGTATAGTTTTGAAGTCCTTATGCGATGCACAGTAAGTGATTGTACACAAAATGTTGTGAACTTTGATATTCATGGCGCGGTTTTGTTCATGCAAAAGAGTATTTTCACCGCTCTTGTTTCTTTCCTAGGCTGGCAAAGAATCAACATTAGTTGACGTCGGTGATTCATATGTGTCGATAATATTGAACACAAATTATGTCTGCGATGACATGGGGTAACAGTTATTATACTGCCTTATTCCAAATGATTGAAATTAATAGAATATACAGGGTTTGGAGACCACATAAAACTGCAATACAACTCATTAACTATGTTGAGGTAGATTTATGCAAAAAAATTGTTCCTTTCTCATCTCATGTCTGTTGTCTTTTGCACACATAAAGACGAATGCCATTGGTAAATTTGGCTAAAATACAATTAGACACGGCACGAAAAAGGAACCGTTTTTTGCATAAACCCGGACAATAACATAGTTAATGAGTTGTATTGTACTGACTTTTATGTAGTCTCCAAACTTTTATGTAGACACTTTACGCCGATAGTTTTGCCAATCCACTTATCATGGCGACATCTATGATAAGCAGGCAGGCTTGCACAAAGTTTTATGCTATGGAAAATGCAATTTGCTTTCGCCTAGTGATCTGGCTCCACGATTTGTGGTGGCAGTGAAGTTTTAATGGTCGCCCTTACTTTGGCCTCCAATCAAAGTGAATATAAAACTTACAGAGCTCCTTACTGATCAAAACTTACTAACTAAATATAGAGTGAATTTGTAGCTTAGCTATTATAATGTAAGGCCTGTGTTTGACCTCCAAGTAGAACAGCTTAGATCTGATAGAACTTTACAGTATAGGTAAAGTTAGTTCAGTTTAGGTTTCCTCCTGTAGTAACACTGGATCTATAAGAGATGACCCTTACTGACCTCTAGGAGGAACAGTTTAGAAATGATAGAGCTATCCAGTATAAATAAAGTTAGTTTAGTTTAGGTTTCCTCCTGAAGTAGCTGATCAATGAGATGATCCTTGCTGGACCTCTACGAAGAACAGTTTAGAACGGATAGAGCTATCCAGTATAAATAAAGTTTGGCTTTCATTTCATTAAATCGTTCTTGTAGAAAAAACGGGTGCACTGTATCTAAAAATTTCTCTCGTTCGACGGTAATATCTGCTGGGGCGATTGCAGGAATATTGATTGGCATTATTCTTCTTGCTGTCATCGTATTTCTTGCTTGTAAACCTGAGAAAAGGTAGCCTATCTAACTTCATTTTAACTACTAAGCCACTAACCTAAACACCCATCTACTAACCTAAATTAGGTAACTTACTGTTGAAATCATCCACGTAGTTATGTTATTATAGTTCATGGTACAGGTATAGTCCATTATTTTACCTTCCATATTCTGCCTACCCGCCTACCTACCTACCTACCTACCCACCTTTCTACCTACAGCGCAACAAGTACCCAACTATCTATCCAAACCGTTTAATCAATCCACCTACCTACATGCCCACCCACCTAATTACCGACCTACCTTCTAACCGACCTGCTAACTGACCCCTCACCTATCGACTTACCATCCACCTACTCCCTGCTTACCTACCTACTCTTCCATCTTTTCCCACCCATCCGTCTACCAACTTACTTGCGTACTCACCCACCTTCCTACCCACATATCTACCTACCTACCAATTTACCTATCTACCTGCTTACCTCCCTACCCACTCATCCATCTACCTTCCCATATATACCTACCTACCTACAAAATTTATCCATCTACTAATTTATCCAAATTTATTCATTTACTTACCTCCCTACCCAGTTTAAAACCCACCAACCACCACTCATCCATCTACCTACCCATATACCTACCTACCCACCTACAAATTTATCCATCTACCTGCTTACTTACCTCCCTACCCACTAAAAACCCACCCACCACCACTTATTTGTCTATTCATAAATATTTGATTTTTGTTTTATTGCAGACAAAGTGCTGCCTTATGGCTGAGGTGGCATTATCGTAAATGTACTTGCGGTTATCGTTATAAAAAGGTAATCTGTTAAGACCCGTTGACACTGCACTCTTTGCTGCGATATTCGGTGAGATTTTCTTCCTTTGATAGATGCAAACGAGTGAACAGTTAGTCAGTTATGAACGTTCAACTGTTATAAATCCCCTTATTTGAACATCCGTAACTTACCCACTAGTTCACATCTATCCAAAGTGGAAAATTGCACATAAAGTTGCAGCAAAAATTGCAAGTATATATGAACGAGCCTTTTGACATTATATTATATCGAGTTACATATCACAGTATATCGCAGCAGTCTATAGCAGAGCAATTGTAACTACAGAATTGTGAATTTTTAGGTCAACACAGACGAGGAAGATGGTGAAAACGACCATCTAATTGAAACTGGTGCTGGAGGTTCATTAGGTGATAATGATGATGATGATAATGAGGCTGGTGATCACGAGAAGAATCATAATAATGACGATGATGATAATGATGATCTATTACCTCTATTATTATGAGTGATTTCAATCCTAGAGTGGTTGTACGGAGCTCGTTTAGCTTAAATAGTAGATAGGTTAGAAAAAAGAGCAAAACTGCACATTCATCACGTAAAAAAGCTAAGCTTTTCGACACGAATACAATAGCATTGTTTAAAACTACACATTAAACCATGTAGAAAACTTCACATGTAGTATATTATTTAAATGCACGCTAATTTAACCATTTAACCGCATAGAAATGTTCAATGATAGCTAGTAACTGCAAAAAATCATAGAGAAACTAATTTAAAGTTAGTTAGATGTTTTGCAGAAATTCCTTGTTGTGAATACAATCATGGATTGTGATTTTAGCTGGAATTGAGTTCGTATATAAAGAGTCAAGAAGCTTGAAAATATTTTGAGAATATGATGAGCTAGCCATCTATAAACTGTTTGGCGAAAGTATATAATTTAATTGTGGAAACTGCTTGAACTTTCTCCTTAGTTAATGCTTCATCTTTTGCAGTCATTTCCAAACCGTGATAGGAACATATTTAGAAACGAGCCAAGCTTTTGAAGGTATGAAAAAAGTACTAAACCGATTGGTGTTTATTGCCGTTTTTGGAAACGCAAGGCGTACCTATTTCTAATTCTATGTGTTTTCTCTCTTTTATTTATCCACATTTATCCGGGCAACATGACGTATTTTACCATAAGAATGTAGAAATTAAAATTTAAAATTAAAACGAAAGGTTTCAAAATTCACTCCCCCTTGATATTTTAGAGCAGCGCAGAAATGGAAAAGGAATCCGAGAAAACTGTGTGCAATTTTTTCTCGATAAAGAAAGGGATAATGAATAAAAAAAAGTTTTCAAAATCATAGTTATTGCGGGCTCGAGCTCCGCCGCCATATTGTTTTCTTATCGTTTTGATTTCCAAAGAGACATTTTCAAGAACACATTTTCTACAATATTTCTGTACAATTTTCGCAAAGAGTGGAAAATTTATGAAATTGAAGCCGCTATGTTTCAGGACGAGGAATAAAGAGCGGTGTCGTTTGCCTCTTTGGAAAACAAAACGGTAAAAATACGTGTGTTTGAAAGATACCTTTCCTATTAAATTCCTAGTTTCACGTGGTTATTTAAATGCCAGGGGGCCCAGTCCGCCCAAAACACAAACTTTAGTAATGTTTTCACAAAGAAAGACTTTTTGAAAACCTTGCAGAAAGGCTTGAAGTACATGGAATTTGTTAAGAAGTATTGGTTGGCTGGAGATACCGACTCAACCTTAAAAGAGATTAGACAAATTTTGGCCAAAAACAAAGCTTCAATTTCAAGCATTAAGAACGACGATTTACTTCTGGTGTCCTCTGTTTACTATCAGCTAGGATATTTGCACCAGGCAGCTGAACTGTTAACCGAGGGTATGTGAATTTGAATTTGCTTATTAATATAATCAACCTACACTACATGATCCCAAGTCATATGGGACATGATTTGAGGTACTGAAATAAAAATAACATGACCCTGTTAGGGCTGTAGTACTGCTCGCCTATTTTTTTGCGATCTGATCTATTTTTGGTCAGTCGAGATATATTGGGCGTTCCAAAATTGCGGTAGTTAACCATAGGTAGCCCAATGCGCTGCATTACGTACGTCACTTGGGTCACGTATATAGTATATAATAACATAAGGTTGGCAAGAATATTTTATTTTCAATATACATCGTTTAAATATGATCAAAATATTAACATCTATTCTATAAAATACGCCAAAAAAATAACAGCCCCTAAGTGTAGGGTAGTTTTACTAAATTTGTACGTCGTTTTTTTGCAATGAAACGCGATTAAAAAATGAAAATATGCCAAAAGTTTGTTGAAATTTGCCGTGTCCCGATGCGGGATGCCTGTTGCCGTGCAAAAACATCAATTTGAAAACTCGTATACGCGATCCTATTGGTCATGCAGCTTTGACCGTTTTGTGATGACCAATAGGATCGCGTATACGAGTTTTCAAATTGATGTTTTTGCACGGCAACAGGCATCCCGCATCGGGACACGGCAAATTTCAACAAACTTTTGGCATATTTCATTTTTTTAATCGCGTTTCATTGCAAAAAAACGACGTACAAATTTAGTAAAACTACCCTACACTTAGGGGCTGTTATTTTTTTGGCGTATTTTATAGAATAGATGTTAATATTTTGATCATATTTAAACGATGTATATTGAAAATAAAATATTCTTGCCAACCTTATGTTATTATATACTATATACGTGACCCAAGTGACGTACGTAATGCAGCGCATTGGGCTACCTATGAGTTAACTGGTGATAGTGAGGCAGACATAGCATCAAGGACTGTTTTGGGGACGTAAACAAAAGGTTTGTCACAACAGCCCCATGATGCATTCTCAATACCACTATTACCAGTCCTTTACTGCAACTTCGGGATGATTAATTGAGACCTTTAGCTTGGTATAAATTACAAAGTAAAAAACCTAATCTTTGGCATTTACAAACCTCAAAACAAATGGGAGGTTTCTGAAGCCAGAGAAAATTGATGCATTATGTCCAAACTTTAAATGAGCTAAAACAAAGTACTGTACAAAGTGACTTGACATTAACAAACAACCCAGACACAACTCTCAGTGATTAGTCTTAGATCACCTAAGATCACCTTCATTGTACAAAACATCAACTTGTAACATCCCAGCCTCTTGGATTATATTGTCTTACAACCAACATACAACTAACTAGTATTTATAATTTCAGTCAAATTTGAACTGTTCAATGTTCAACAATGGATAGTCGAAAACAACTTACTTGTGCTAAAGTATTTGGTAAGCATACAGTGATACAGATGATATTTTTGTTTGTATATTGTTTGAGACAAGTAGACTACCCATTGTTATGAGCACAACCGATGCACAGAAACGACTGTGACCCCCTTTTAGGATTCATTGGAGTACCACACAGTATATTCAATGAACTCACAAATTTATAATAATTTGGTCATCATCTCTTAATTAATGAAAACTAAACTGTCAATCAGGCCCACACTTAATTTACAATGTGATGCACACTTGATTCTGACATTGGCATTGTTAAACTGGACCTAGCCCCCTATCCCCCCCCCCCCGTATAATCTGATTAGAATTTTGAAACTTGACATTAATGTTTGTTTCCTTCCAACACTTGGTCTGAAAGTCAGTGATTCATTCTTAGTAAATTATTTTTTTATTTAGTTATTTCTTATTTCAACAGAGAACTGAGAGTTTTGAAGATCAAAGAACAATCGCTCTGTCATTTGGATCGTTATATGAGAGAATAAGAGGTTTGATTATATTCATAAACAAGATATAATATTTTTCTACGTTATTAATTTCATCGATCGCTTCGAGTTCAACTGGAGCTACTTCGCTCGTTGCATGGATCAAAGGAGAAACTTAATATACAGAATACGCCTTTCTCTCGTACGCCTGACGTAATGGGCAGAAAGTTTAATTTACGCGACCTTTGATTGGCTCGTTTAATGTTTTGAGAAGCCAATTAAATTTCGTGTGACATTTGTTGCGCAGGCACTATATCGTCGTAAACGGTCTTTCAGAGATAATATTAGAGAAGTCGTAGTCCACCTACTCCCCCCTTGGTTTCTCCCCCCCTTACTCCCCCTGGGTTCCCCCATTCCCCCGAAGGTTTTCTCTCCCCCCCCAACTTCTCTCTGGGTTTTGCCCCAGTCTCTCTCTCTCTCTCTCTCTCTCTCTCGTACTAAATTTTCAGGTTTACCATTTCCTGATGTTGGTCTACTTGAGCTTAATGTCTGTTTAAACTATGCCTTGGTAATATTCTGCTCCAAATCCCGGCAAGCTCTGGCACCAGGAGGACACAACCTGAGCCAAACTGCTCTTCTTACGACGCTCGAAAGAGGTGCGAATTTTCAGAACATTTCGATAACTAGGCAAAGGAACATATTCCCAATCGAATATCTTATGGTTATAGTTCTTAGGTGTAAAGGCCTGGTTACACTATGCAATTTACCTTGCAATATAATTTATTTATTATTATAATAAGCGTGTTCAACACATGAGTGGTTTAACATGCTAAGAAAACGTTAGCAGTTCGTATGAAATGTTCGTATTTGACAACTTTAGATGCCTCAGGAGTAGAATTGCGTTGCAAGTTGCAAGGAAAGTGCAACAAAAACCTTGAATGAACCTGTTTCTGAGTTTAATTACGCGAGAATCTGTAGCTACGTATTTTCGAGCTACAGCCGAGTTGAACCATGATATAAATCAGTCAAAAACAAGAAAGAAGAGCCTTTTCATTAAAAAGATCACAATCCTCAAAAAATACAATAGAAGGCCCTAAAATAGTGAAGCTTTAATAGAAGTTTCTATTATCAGTATCGAATCAAAAATGAGATCCTTTTACACTAAATATTTCCTCTAATATATTGCTTTTCGAATCAATGTAACTATGCTGTAGCGAAGTTTTCCTATACAACAATTTTTTTTTTCGTTTCGTGCAATAAACTAGTATGTGGAAGTACCGCCAAGCTTAATCAAGGATTCAATGAAAGTATTGAAACGAAACTACGAGATTACTTCAAAAATGCGCGGGAAAAAAAGCAAGGTATACACATGGATTTACGATTAAATAGCTGCATGGATGCATAGATGAAGAAGTATGCTTGTCCAGTTTCGTATTGCGGTCTGTGACGTACATGACCGGACGATGCTCGACCGATGCTCGATTTGCCGACCGTGCTCGAATTCGTCGTCCCTGTCGCATTATGAATTCATAAAAATTGAATATCACATTTCATTTCTTCATTTCATCCTTGTAAAACAGATCAGCGAATATTACTTACAATTTTACGTTCTGTATTCAGAAATCTTCTTTGTGTCTGCGTTGATTTGGCTTTTGTCGTCCAACTATTTGGTGAACTCGCGAGGTAAAAACTGGTTTGCACTCTTCTGAAAACACTTGTGTTGTTTCCATCGTGTCAAGTAATTGCAGCGTTCGAACTAGTGTAAGATTTTAGCTTTTCTTCTGAAACTATAATGCTCATTCAAAATGAACGTAAACCCCGTTCTCCTCTGCGTGTAGATTAGGATCCCAAATTTCTCTCACCCTCCTTCCTAAAGGCGCAATTCATGCAAATAACCAAATCTCTCTCCCTCACTGAGTGTGAATGAGGATCCCAAATTTCTCTATCACCCTCCTTCCTGAAGGCGCAATTCATGCAAATAACCAAATCTCCCTCCCTCACTGAGTGTGAATTAGGATCCCAAATTTCTCTCACCCTCCTTCCTGAAGGCGCAATTCATGCAAATAACCAAATCTCCCTCCCCCCCTGAGTGTGAATTAGGATCCCAAATTTCTCTTTCACCCTCCTCCTTGAACTCGCAATTCATGCAAATAACCAGATCCCCGTACATATATCTTCGTTTGTTTCAGTGGCCGAAGCGCAAAAGCTAATTCGAATTATCCTGGATTTTTCTATTCGTGATGACTCACTAGCAACACAGGTACAAATCCTTCGAGACTATTTTTGCAATCGCCGTGCATCGTGTGATCATCGGAATGTATTCGTAAAAGCCCGCTTACTGCGCGCCTTCAATTTTTGCTGCGGTTTTCTTTTGATTGATGTGAAAGAGTAGATCAGTTACGGATGTTCAAACCTAAGTACATATACATCACAAGAGATTCACAGCATCATAACAATTCACTCGATTGCATCCATCAAAAAAGAAGAAAATTGCAGCGGCCCGAACAATTGAAAGTATATCTTTTTATAGAGAAAATTGAACGTAATCTTCACTTTCTTGCCAAACGGGAGCAATTTTCAAGGTAGTTATAAAAGCAAGCCTTAAGGCTCGATTTAAACGGCTGCCAGTTGTAATAAACACAGTGTAGAAGGTAACAATCGAATTCAATTTGTCTCAAGATTTCCTGACACCCGCTTCCCACCTCCTTCTGTCGTATGCTGCATTCACTCTAAGAGACAAGACGCTGTCACTGAGGCACTGTGAAAGTTGCTTGAATTTGCAACCCGAGTTTATCAGCGGTCTTTTTTTAAAAGGTATTTATGAGACGTTAGTGAATGTACTGGATATCTCTATCAGTTCTAAACTGTTCTTACTGGAGGACCTGTAAGGATCATCTCTTATTGATCTAGTGTTACTACAGGAGGAAACCTAAACTAAACTAACTTTATCTTTTATGGATGCGCTTTTTAACCACCAAAAGTCTTCAGGTTTATTGTTATACGACAGCAAGAAATACGAAGATTCTATCCACTATCTTCAACGAGTTGTGAACTTTTCCAACGACATCGGATACAAAGCCACAGCACTAAACATTTTGGGTTGTGTCTGTGCAAAGCTGGTATTGAGTCTTTTATACTATTATTTCCTCTTTTTTGCATGGAATACGTTTTAGCTTGCGAGGTTTTATGAGTTTCCTTTTATGATGGATAAGAGTTCATACAGTATATTTTTGTTATGTTAGAACAAACCCCAAACGGCTTTACTGAAGTTCAGAGAAGCGTTCTCTTCTGATTCTGGTCACATCGAGTCTTTGTACAATGTTGCTGTAGTTTACCATGATTGCGGAGAGTTCGAGTTAGAAATATCCATGTGGAAGTACATTTTAAAGGTTAGCATGGAATCCATGGAGAAAAAAGGACAGATGGGGATAGGAAAGGCTTGAATATGGGGGAGGAACTTGAGGGATGTGAGTGAAGTGAGGAGAAACATTGGGTATTTGAGGGATGTGAGTAGATTGAGGGGAAGGAAGAGGTGAATGAGTTTGATAACTGGTGGAAGGGTGTGTTGGACGGGGGGGTTTTTTGAACGTATGATTTGAAAAGTGTTGATAAGTTTGGGGGAGTGTACTGTATCACAAGAGCGGGGCGATGGAAGAGAAAATAGGGGGAAAAAGAGGTGGGGTAGAAATGAATAGAAACGAAGAGAAAACTTTACCTCAAAGTAGATGCTCTGTACTTCCGTTCTAATGTATTTTCAGATTCTTTCGCTTCATGGACAACATGATGATTTCAATTCTTCACCCGAGATGAATGTGGATTACTTTTGTGGAGTGTCGGCTCGGGCACTCGATGACTTAATTTCTGAAGATCGCTTCATTATATTCACCGATATCAACCCAGTGCTAGGAAATGATGGCAGGAATTCAAAACTAAGCATTCCGCCAGTTTTATTCAAGATAGCTCATTCCTGTTTCGCACAAAATAGGTTTGTTATACTTTCATGTCAATTGTATTGTTTGAAATGATGGTACGTACAAAATTCCACAGACCTATCATAGGATGCATGTTCATCCACATACTATCGGTTTACATTTAACACTGTATTAAACAAATTTGTTATCGACTTTGTGGTACATCATAGAAAACACAACATTTTGCAAATATGTTTACAAGCTTCCTTCAAGCTTGGTTTGAACGAATCTTGGGCTGGTTAAGCGTACGAAAGATGGATGCGGATACCCACTTGACAATGGTTTTAAAATTACCATAAAAGTGATCGTAGTTTGGCACAGCGTAGGATTCGCTTTAGTTTTTGAATATTAGGTTTTTCTCTTGTTCGTTCCATTTTTGTAATTTCTTTCTCAAACTTTGAAGATTTTTAAACTTTGTGAAGGTTTTTAGCTCTGATCCACTTTTTCGAAACATTATTTATTTTATTTTTATAGACATTCAGAAGCATCTGAGTTTTATGGGAAACTTTTTGACCATTTGAATGAGAAGTCAGTGGATTTGAACGAGGTATGATCAAATATTTCTCTCATACCTCATGTGCGTGGTTATTTGTATAGCCTCTTGGCTATTTTCTACTTTTTCCACGCACGACTACGGATTCGTGTGTTCGTGTTCGAAGTGGACACAGTTCGCACCGATTAATGTCTAATTTCACTTTACAAGTGCCGGATTCCAAAATTTTCCGTCCTGTACAAGAATTTCGCTGAGGCTTTGTTCAAAAGTGGCAGATGGGATGATTGTTATGCTGTCTGTGAGAAATTTTTGACCCAAAAAACAGGTACAAACATATTTCACCAACATGAAACTCATATATAAGAATGATGCTTTAGCTCTCAGAGTTTGGTAAAACCGTAGAAAAGACGCGATGATCATCGCTTGTTCGGTTTAGTATCGAAGGTATTATCAAACTCTTCACAAGAGGAAAAGGCTCTCATCGAGGTAATGTTGTGCAAAGCAGCCGTTCTAAAGGAACTTCAAAGACCAATCGAAGCTAACGAATGTTATGAAAGGTATATGTGAACTGATGGATGTGTTGTTGTTGTTGTTGTTGTTGTTTTTTGTTGTTGTGGAGTGAAAATTACTGGCTTTAATAACAGACCTTAATATGGAATAATGTAACTACACGTTGAAGCCCAGTGGGCGGTAATCTCGGCCAATGTTCAGGCACAATTCACAGCACAGTCATGTTAAATCCTGGATTGTTTTTCGTAGTCCTAGTCAAAGCTACAACTCTACTCTCAATTTGTATATCATAAATTGATACCAAAGTATACCTACTTTGCTATATAACAATTCACCGTCTGCCTTCGACAGGGAATTTCATTTTTTGTATTTTTTATTATTTGTATTATTTCTTATTAGTTTTGTAGTTAGTACCATATAAATTTTTTGGCTAAAAAATCTGATAACATAATATGTGATGTGTTCAATTGAAATCACATTTTAGTGAACCATAAGTCACAAGATTTTTTCTCATTCTATAGCATTCTTAATACGATACACAACAGATATGATGAAAGTTGTGCCCGGAAAATGAATCTGGGTGAACCGGAACGTAAAAGACAAAAAAGTGGAAAATGTAAGAGATGTTAGGAACTATTTTTGTAATGTTGTTTAGATTCATTATCTACACGCACCATTACTCAACGCTCGAACCTGATTGGTGTGTTTCTAAAATACTCATTTTTGATTGGCGAATACGATTCAGGTGAATTTTTGAAGCAAGAAGAAGTAATTAGGTTGAAGGTACGCGAAAGAGATCTTATTATCAAAGCATTTTGTTCTCACATAACGCACTGTAAATAGCATCACAGTTAATAGATAATACATGGTTTGGAGACGAAATAAAAGTACAATACGACTCATTAACTATGTTATTTTCCAGGTTTATGCAAAAAGTGGTTTCTTTCTCGTCACGTGTCTCATGTATTTTAGCCAAATTTACCAATGGCATTCGTCTTGCTAAGCTCCTCAACCTTGACTTGAAAAGTATGTTAATTATAAGATTGCCATTGGTTAATCTGTGTCAAATACAATAGACATGTGATGAGAAAGGAACAATTTTTTGGATCAATCTACCTCAACATAGTTAATGAGTTGTATTGTAGTTTTATGTGGTCTCCAAACCATGTATATTCTATTAACCGTGACAGCATAGACAGCCCAAATACGAAGTACCAAAATATACGAAGTGTAATTTCCTATATGTATTGCTATATGAGTTTCATGCACTCATTCCAGGCATTAACATTGAATGACCAAAGTTTGCTGTTGTCCTCATTGGGAAAGTATAAAGAGGCCTTGTTATTGCTTACACAAAGTATCAGTTGCCAGCCAGGTATGCCATATTATGACCTGTAATTTCACAGCCAAAGCTTCCGAGCCTGCTGTTGGCTCGGTTTGACAATAGCTCTACTGCCCTCAGTATTAGCGAAATTTAGCAAAATACGACGTGACGCCTAAGACGCCATGGAAATGGCGTGGATATGGCGTAATCACAACCATAGATGGACATATTACGTCGTGTTTGCTAAATCTCTCTATTAATCGTACTATCCGCCAGTTACTACTGTAAATGAGAAGTGATTTTGTACACAATTATCGTCTGTCCGTATTCTCGTGTGCAACTCGTATCTGTGAATGTATTTATTTTCATTTATATTCTGTAGATTGCTTGAAATATCGTTATAATCATACAAGGCTGTTGTTTGACATGGGCCAGGAAGACGAGGCGGCCAGGGATTGGTTGAAATTTCGTAGGATTGAAGAATTAAGTCCAGAGAAATTTGATGGAGATATTAGTAAACTAAAGTAAGAAATATTCACGGTCTTTGCTGATGAACACAGTACAGTTGTTCTCTGTAATTGTTGTTTTAAGACTAATACAGTATTTAGAGCTTTAGCATGCATTGATTAATAATAACGAGTTCAATATTCGTCATTTTCGCGCCAAATTTTGCTTACACCATCTGACGAAACTTGTAGTTGTTGGGCTTTTGAATGCGAAATTTATCAACAAACTTGTTCCCAAAAAGCCATAGAAATTATAGACATAGAACGCATGCTTGGTCATTTTACCGGTGTCCAAAATGAAGTCAAAATGCCCTTATAAATCGGTGATATTGAATAGCTTACTACTATGGTGTCAATTATTGAACTGAGATGGTACACGCATTCTCTGTCTATTGTTTCTATGCCAAAACCTCGTCTGTTCAATTCCCAGCGGTGACACAATGTAGCTTTCAACTGGCAATTTTTAACAAACTATTATTTAGATATTTTCAGCCATTATGGCATAAAAAATTGCTTGATAGGCCAAATAACCTCTCTTTCTAGGCTATTATACGAGTTAACTTTTATTCTATTCATCCTATGCAGAGGGTTGCCAAAGGATGACGGAGATACTGATCTCTATGTAGAAATGGATTCACGTGCGATAAACAGGTTGTTCTAAAAATGTTAGAGGGGAACCTTGCAAAGACGCGAGAAATATGAAGACTGTTGGTTAACTAAAAAACACTGAGGTTAACTAAATGGGACGTTGTTTGAGACGGATTCAAGGGTAGTATACAAACGCTATCAGCCAACAAAGTTAATCTTAATCCTAAACCTAATCCTGACCATAATATTAATACCGTATCCTGGCAACGATACGGTAGAGGTTTTCTTCAATGTATTATATTTTATATAATTATAAGCAAGTGGCAGCGAAACAGCGTTTTCTAGTAAATTCGCCCAGCAAATATTGTCTAACAACCATATATACATAAATACGTAAATAGACTCGTACACTTCCTGGTGTATTCACCCATGCCGTTCCTACCGTTGGCCGAGTTAATAATTCCGTGTTCAGTTAATCCTAATTACACGAATTTAATTCTTGAGATTACATTAGTCTAGATTAGGATTAGGGTTGGGAAAGCATTTTTTCCCTGTAAAACGTTTGACTATGTAGAATTGTCCTTCATTTTAGTTCATTGGACATCCCTAGTTTTTATCCCAGTGAGCTGAAGTAAGACTGGAACGCTAGCTCTGGGAAAAATTTGGCGGATATGAAGCCTTTCTTGTTAGATCCAGGCTTCCACGCAGAAATATAGGTAAAATGGCGGCAATTATGATTTTACCTTTGAAATTTCCGCGCCAGAGGCCAGGGTCATACCTACAAGAAAGGCTTCATGATCGGCCATCTTGGCTTCCCTCAATAACGAAGGAAAAGTCAGAGAGTGAGCGTTCCAGTCTTATTTGAGTTTACTGGTTTATACTGAAAAGTATTAGTTACCACAGTTTACATGTGAGGAGGAATTCAAAGAAATGAGTATTGTAATTTCCAACGATATCTGTCGTAATAAATCCGCCATGTTTACAAATGCATTGAAATTAGTTATGTTCAGTACATATGTTTGGCCAAAATAAAAAAGGCGATAAAAAGGACAAGCATTTGACCATTAAAACAGCGTGGTTATCCATGTCAAAATATTTGACATCATAACCAAAGCATGGTTATGTTTTCCGGTATATTCGACCATAGTCGAGTATACCGTTTTCCGGCCATATTCGACCATTGTCGAATGTACCGTTTTCCCGTATATTCGACCATGGTCGAGTATACCGTTTTCCGGCGTATTCGACCATGGTCGAGAACACCGTTTTCCGGCCATATTCGATGTTTGCAAGTTGCAACCGTTTATATAGATGTTTGTATATGAGCACCAAACATCTTGAAACTTTACATAGCACCAGAATTAGACCATTTAACCTGCGTGGTTATCCATATCAAAATATTTGACAACATAACCAAAGCATGGTTATATTGTTTAATGTTTGTATATGAGCACCAAACATGCTGGAAACTATACATAGAACAAGTATTTCACCATTAAATGAGCCAGAATAAAAGAAAGATTTACGCTGTCAAACGTTTTAGAGAAAAAAATATATACTTTTCGTAAGTATAATATATACTTTTATTATATGACTAGTGTTTGTTTTTGTAAATCCTGCAATTTGATTGGCTGCTGACGAGGTGGGATTTTCCCATATTGCCCACGGGCAATACGCTCAATTTTTATTGCCCTCGGGAAAAACAACAGCAATTCGAAATGAATTATTATTCGTGTTTATGGTTTTCCCAAATTAAGTCATATAATAAATAACTTACTGACTTCGATTGTTCGGTCTGTACGGTAAAATATCAAACCTCGGTCGTGCCGTATTGACCTCGCTATCGCTCGGTCAATACGGCACGACCTCGGTTTGATATTTTACCGTACAGACCTCACTCTCAGTCAGTAAGTTCTTATTACGTAATTTTTCATCGAGCCAGCATAAAATTCAAAAGAAAATATGCAAACACTTCGTCACCGAACCATTTCTCAAGTGGAAACCAGCCTTACAAGGTTCTCGGCCCAGTTTTCCTGCGTGTCACGGTTGAACGAATAATCTTATAACAGACAAGTTAAGATAACAGGTTAAGATATCCCGGTTTTACCGGATTCGCTTGTCCGTTGACACGATCATATCTTCGTTTGCCCTTAAAAGGCAATGGTTAGTAGCAAGTGTTCATTAGTTTGATAGTTTTTGGTATATTTATTTCGATCTCTCACAATGAATTTGTTTACCACCTTCTGATAGCCACAAATTTTGAAACACTCCGGAAGCGGGCAATGCGGTATAGTGTTAACGGGGCATAAATTTGTTCAATTTTATTTCGTATTGTTTAAGGCCCACACAGAGCGAATGCGATTTGGCAACGCTGCGCGATTTTTCAAAGCTTTTGATTTAGCACATGCAAGTAAATAAATTCTAAACTATGGTAATGATCTTGTATTTTGCTTTACGATAATACATTTTGACTGCTCTGGCGTCCACAGACTCCATATTTTGCTGCAAGAAATTAATTTATGTGCTTCTGAAAGCTGAAAATTCGCGTCGCTTTGCCACATCGCGTCCAGTCTGTGTCGACCTTTACATATTCCATGATGCAAATCATGCTTATCTCGATCAAAAATAAAGATAAAACGGATAAACATATTTTGTGACCATGTAAAGTCATTTAATACAACAATTCCCAGCTCTTTCAAAGAGGGCCTAGGCCAGATCACGCAAAATTAATTCTGAGCACTAATTTTCGTGGCATGCAAAATATTGCTAAAATTTTGAAGATTTTTAATATTTAGGTCATTGTCTTTAAAAAAACCCCTGAAAATTCGTCTTTTGCAAGTTAAGAAGTTTAATCGACCCTGAAACTAAAGTAATATACATGCAAGTCTTTCTATAAAGTCTATGGTCTTTTACCAGAGATGGTGTTTCACCACTGACAACACTTTCTGTGTTATATTTGAAACTTCTGAAGCGAATATAAAGTTCTATAGGAATTCTGCAGATATACATCGCAAAGGGAAAATTTAATTAGTATGGAACCGCGAAAGATGGCATTAAATATACACATGCATGCACTAGAGCGTCTAAAAGACCCGGTAATTAAGTGCAGATTAATGCATGACTGCCGGGTGTGTCAAATTTTTGCGATTTCAATGTTCCGTAGCTAGATGAGAGATGATACCTTTCCTATTTTAAAATAGCAAGAAATTCTTTTATAAATTCAAGTACTTTTGGTTCTAAAGTTAAGCGAAATTTATGAAAGCGTAAACAAACATGTCCAATTTAGGCCTAATTTGATGATAAAACAAAGCAGATCTGAGTTCAAAAATGACCATTCATTTTGAGACGCAAAGACATGATTAAGGTATTTTTAGGAAGCTAAATAACTCCTCTTTCTTGCTATGGAAAAATTAAATAATTAGGCTGAAAATATAATGCATTATACGGCATCATAAAGTTCGACTTTTTTTTTGAGGCACCCTGCATGTATGTTATTATTGTTCAATACCTGTCTGTTTTGTTAAAACTAATATAAACACGGCTTAATTATACCTCGCCGCTAACGTGATTTCACCTGTGAAGAATCTATGGGAAATTGTCTTAGACTAAGACGTCTATAAATTCTTCTGTTCTAGGGAGAGTTCGTTATATTTTATCGAGGAATATATATTTTCAAAGCATAATGTTTTGAATCAAAGTTAACGTCACGATGGACAGCAAGGTAGCAAAATGGCTACTCTTGGCTGCCTGTCTTTTAGAAGTTGCAAACGCCGGTAAGTCAAGCGAAAATATATAATGTAAACACAACTAATATATGTTAAATTTTCGAGGATTCTCTCTGTCAAAAATCAGAATAATATGCATGAAAATGCCAGTTATAAATTGTTGCTGTTACATACAACAATTTAGGTCTACGGTTCGGTAAGTCAGTGGTTCTGTAGTGTTCAGCAATCGAATGTGAAGTTAATATAATTATAAGATTACGAAGTTAAAGTACCTGACTGCTACATAGGCGTCTGCGAGGTTCCAGTATGTACGAAGATTTAATATATGATTCCGACTAAACTTTGAAGTAAGCAAGAAGTCGGAACGGAATCTAACACCACCGACAGAAAGAACAACTTAGAAATTTCGTAAACTGTCAACTAAAGCTTAGTTGACATGTTTTAAGTCTAAGCTGTAACAAAATCAACTTCGAGTACCGAGTACTTCAAAGTACCGAGTCGAAAGCTCATTAAAAACAATTTAGAATCCGGAGAACATATATATATATATATTTATATATATATATATATATATATATATATATATATTTATGTTATATATATATATATAATATAATATATATATTATAATATATTTATGTATATATATATAATATTATATATAATATAAATATATTATTATAATATATATATATATATATATATATATATATATATTCATGTTCTCCGGATATATATTGTATATTATAATATATATATATATATATATATATATATATATATATATATATATATATATATATATACAGGGTGTCTCAAAAAAAAAGCAAACACTTAAATATGCAAGACATCAATACAGCTCTAAAGCACAATAGATAAGCACCTCTTGGAATTGAAAATGGCTCTTAATCCTTCATTCAAAATGCTAAAAGTCATTTTAGCTGTGATGCAAACCCAAACAATATTAATATTCTTGCATATTTAAGTGGTTGCGTTTTTTTTGAGACACCCTGTATATATATATATATATATATATATATATATATATATATATATATATATATATATATATATATATATATATTCATGTTCTCCGATTATATATATATATAGAGAGAGAGAGAGTTGGTGATTCATGCTGCGACAACGTTTTTGTAAACGGGTATATTTATCTATATACCCGTTTACAAAAACGTTGTCGCAGCATGAATTCACCAAATCTATATTATATATACATATATTGGTATATATATATTGTATATATTTGACTCAAAAATAGTTTATGTACTATAATCTAAGAACACCTAAGCATGCACAACATCCTCGTGACTTATCGGAGCATTTTAGCAAACACGACGTGACGCCTAGGATGTCGCGAAAAAACCCTGGGAACAAGGTTCGGAAATGGCGTGCAATATGTCCAATTCTGTATGGGCAATGAATATGGGCAATTCCGAATAGCGAAATTAACAAGTCTGTGCCAGTGTTTGTTGGTGATAGTTTTACATCGGAATGTTTAAAAAATGGACTGTAGCTTTAAACGTGCAAATCAATTTGCGACACGTATTCTGTTTAGTGTAAATGATGTAAAATCTTTCAAAATTCGACTTATGTTTCCTTCTGCTAACACACTGTAAAAACTAGTGAGTTTCAATAAGCTATTTCAAAAAGTGGCGAAGATTCATAGAACTTTTTTTAATTCGAAAAAAGTTGTCCTACTATTGTTCTTTCTCGAAACCAAGGAAGTGTAATTATGACCGCATTTTTTTCTGCCTACATAATATAGAACAGTCAGGTTTGTGAATGAATTTGATTCGCGCAGCGGAGTAAATAGCACTGACGACCAAATGCAGAAAACAAACGTTCTCTTTTAATTACACAGAAAATGGCGTGAAAATGGAAACATGGAACAATATTGCTGGGAACGAGCTGTGGCTGATGACGTCAAACAGCCGTTACCCAAACAAGCCAGACACCACGGTGAAACTGGCGAGTCTCGAGTCACCGCGCAGTGGAAACAATCTGCCGGATAATTACGGTCTTCGAATGACCACGTACTACAAGGTAAATATGAATTCCTCTAGCTTAGATTTCCTGTTGCAACACCTGTTTAATAGAATATCATCCTATTAAACCTCTGTATAAGAGTAACTGATAGAGCTATCTAATATAAGCAAAGTTAGTTTAGATCAGGTTTCCTCCTGTAGTAACACTGGATCAATAAGAGATGATCCTTACTGGACCTCTAGGAAGAACAGTTTAGAACTGATAAGGTTATCCAGTATAAATAAAGTTAGTTTTTTTAGGTTACCTCCTGTAGTAACACTGGATCAATAAGAGATTATCCTTACTGGACCTCTAGGAAGAACAGTTTAGAACTGATATGGTTATCCAGTATAAATAAAGTTAGTTTTTTAGGTTACCTCCTGTAGTAACACTGGGTCAATAAGAGATGATCCTTACTGGACCTCTAGGAAGAACAGTTTAGAACTGATAGAGCTATCCAGTATATAAATAAAGTTAGTTTAGTTTAGGTTACCTCCTGTAGTAACACTGAATCAATAAGGGATGATCCTTACTGGACCTCTAGAAAGAACAGTTTAGGAATCATAGAACTATCCAGTATAAGTAAAGTTGGTTTAGTTTAGTTTAGGTTTCCTCCTGTAGTAACATTCACTCAATAAGAGATGATCCTTACTGGACTTTCTAGATTTTTACTAGAAAGAAAAGGTTAGAAATGATAGAGCTATTTAATGTCAATAACGTTAGATGCTGTCAGGAACTTGTAAAGATTTTGCATTCAACATAAACAGAGTTTTTCATTATGTTTTTTTCCACTTAAATACCATCTTCTTTGCCTTCCTCCTGATTTATTAGGCTCCAGAGACAGGATTATATACATTTGATGTATCTGGTGATGACCAATGTCAGCTGTCCATAAGCACAGATGAAAATCCAGATAATCTCAAGATGTATGTACTCTTTCCAAAAGGCTTGTGGACCAACGTGAAGCAGTTTGACAAGTGAGTCGTGATTGTTATTGTGGTTAGATATAAAGCTTTTTTATATGTCATAGAGCTTATCGAATCCTTATCCAATCTATTAGATAGTTCTGGACCTTTGGGAAGATAAAATCAACGTTATATTCATTTCTTTCCAATTTTATAGAGACGCTGCTCGTCAAACGACTGGTCCCATTCTGCTTCAGCAGGGCAGAGTATATTTCATAGAAGCCTTGATGAAAGATACCGCTGGTCCAGATCACATCATTGTGAGGGTCAAACTGCCGAGTGGAGTCACTCAGACACCTCCCTCAAAAAGTGATCTCTTTACTTCTCCACCAGGTACAAACATCTAGTACTGAGTCATCACCACTGACCTGTATGTCTTTTGTTAATTACTTTATGCATAGGTCAATACTCATCATACCACTGATCTTCGATAAACCTGGATTGATAATTTGAACCAATGCGATTTTCCCTTTTCTCCTTTATAGCTGACGCTGTTAAAACTCCGCCTTCAACGTTTGGTAAGAAATATTTCCATCTTATAAGTAATATTTGTTTTAAAAAACTAAACTATTTTGTATGGTAGAGTGATAAATTAATTTATTACATATTTTAAATTGACATCTCTGAGGTAAACTCTCGCCTCTGAGCGGTGATTCTGTCCCTGTGTGTGCATTTCCTTAGCACAGCCGAAGAGGTTGCTCTGTTTTCATTTTTCTTTCTTGTGTCAGATTGTATTCGGGATATTGCATACGGTAATGGTATCTTATACCTTGAAAAGTAGTACTTCATATAGCCCCCTCTGACGATACTGATATGTTATCAAACTTCCTTGTACATTATTCCAGGCAGTAAACGATTAATATAAATTGAACGTTTCTGTGCTGTTTAGAAAAAGGAGCGATTATGGATATCTGGAGAAATATTGGGAGCAGCCGACTGGCTCAACTTCTCTCTGACCCGCGTTATCCGGCCAAACCTTATTCATCAAATAAGGTGCCGGGTCTAGCTACGCTTAAGAATATCGGGGATAACTATGGACTGCGGTTGAAGACCGTGTACCTTGTAAGTTTCGTGATGTGGTTTTTCTGGATTAATGCATTGTGAAGCAATCACTATGAAATTATTTATTGTATGAAAGCCGAATAGCGCTTTAATAATTGTTGGTTGCGAAGATGATATACTTTATTGCTTTTCGAGCATTTTTAGAACGGTTATAAAAACCACTATCCGGTGGATAGCGCTGTCCAGCTTTCGTACAAATGGCCAGCTAAGCTTAAGCAGTGACTATGAATACAACTACGAGTCGGAGAACCGTCATTTCCGTGCCAAACTGGTGTGGTTATGACGAAACTCGTAGTCGTTGTACTTTTGAATACGTAATTAATCAACAAACTTGGACTCAAAACTTCGACAACTGCGAGTTTTGTCTGATAGCGTAAGCAAACAACACGGGAGAATGACAAATCGGTTTCTCGTAATCTTTCTTGTGGTCGCCATGGTAGTCCAAAAAATGTGGCACAAAGTGCTAGTGAGTTGCACGCGTTACAATTATTGGGCTACACATGTAGTCACTGCTGTTAACTGAGCGAACCATATTCTACCCAACCATTAACCTAACCAATATTTGGGATATCATCACTTCGTTTGCACAACCAAACATGATCAGAGCCGGAGTGACGTTGAAACATGATAAGCTGAGCTAAGGGAAGAGAAATGACAATGGATTTCTTTTCCTAGGCTCCCGAGACTGGCTCGTATACATTCTACGTTGCTGGTGATGATCAGTGTAGACTTTCAATAAGCTCAGACGAGAATCCTAAAAACTTGAATCAAGTTGTGGAGTTTAAGCCAGGTCTTTGGACCCACCAAAATCAGTGGGACAAGTAAGTGTGAACGTTTTCTTGTGATTTCCTTTCGTGGATTTCCAGCGAGTTTCTATTCTTTTTTCAGAGATGCCAGTCAAAAATCCGCCCCGGTGCAGCTGGAGAAAGGGAAAAGATACTACATGGAAGCACTCTTGAAAGAGGGAGGTGGGGGTGATCATATTGCGGTAGGAGTAAAACTGCCGAGTGGAACGCTACAGACACCCATTTCCCCGGAGGACATCTACATTCGACCCCCAGGTATTTAATACGACGTTTCAAAGTGTTCGAGGTTTAAAACGTGGATTGGGAAAGCGATTTCGAAATCGTGTGTGTAGGTTGTGAAACAAAACAGACAAAAATCAGCAAAGGTCTCTTGCGCATTCGTTTTACTTAACATCTAATGTAGTAATGTTAGATATTCATAGAGATTTATATCATATTTTAGGAGATATAACGTATTTAAATGTAAGCAAATTGTTTGTCAACATTGCTGATTTTAAACCATCTTTGAAGATCGTCTGTGTATGCTGGCTTGGCTTATCTCATGGCATAATAATGATTTCAGATTCTGAAGAACAATATAGGGGCCACGACACTGGACGTGATTCGCTATAACTGTACGCGAATTTCGAGTTTTGAAAAGAAAATACAGATTCCTTTACACCGTTGAAACTTTTTTGCTATCGTTAAATCTCAATTCGTACCATTTTTTTAACCTTTCTCATCTGATCGTATCTGATCTAACATTTTCTGTTTTTCTTTGCAGTCGTTCAAGCCCCAGTTGCCGGTCCCACTGGTAACCCTTCAGGTACCTAAATGTATCCATCTATTGCAATTATCCAAATTACATATGTCCTTAAAATGGATATAAATGTGTAGGATTTTGAACGCGAGAGACTTTTGAAAAGGCATCTAAAAGACATTGCAACGAATTTAGTATAATATAATTTAAATAAGATTGAATTACGCATATTTTTGGGGGAAAGTTTTATTTTAAAAAGCCTAAGGTATTGCTATTTGTCCATACCATTATTAAATATGAGTGGTTGAGCTGAATTATCTTTCCTTTTTTGTGTAATATATCCAAGTTGTTTGCATGGATCAGGGTTGTGCAGTCATAGATTGCCTTCTGGAGGTAATAATTCCATTAGAGAGATGGGAGGCAAAAAGCATATTTAGGAGGTATTTGTCTCCCTTCCTGTCGGAGACGCCACTTTACGTTTAATATCCAGCTAAAATGTCCACACATTACACAAGTTTGAATTGACATGTAAAATAGATATAGGACAAATAGATAGGAGTTTTTAGATCATGCCTGGATCATGTTTATTATAGTATAGTCATGACTTGTTTTGTTTCTTCCAGTTCGAGTCAAGGTTGACATGATTAGTGAGGGTTGCAACGATCCTGGGATTGTAGGCTGCGGTATGGCGTCCATCAGGATCAACGGCATCGAAAGATCGTACAGGAAACGCGGATACAATTTCGTTGTGTTGGATTACACCACTGGTAGGTCGTGGGTGAATTCAATCACCCCCCCCAACCTTTCTCGCCACTCTACCGCCCGGAAAAGTTTTCAATTTAACCTTTGCCCCTTTTGTTGTTAGGAAAGTTTGAAACTTATAGAAACTTCGATACCTATAAAAGTAGAAGCCAAGTTGATGATATGAGAAGTTTTGTTAATCAACTCCCAGTAAGGTATGATGTGGTGGTGGTTGTAATGGGAGAACTTTAAATAAACACGCTGGCCTTGATCAACTAATAATTTGCTTTTAATGTGCGGCGTCATACAAGTTGAACTATGTACAATTTTACATTAAAATACAAGTTAAAATACAATTCAAATCGAACTAAAGGTTGAGATGAATATAATTTAAATGAGATAAAAGAAATAATTATGACAGGCGTATTTTTCTTTTAGAAAAAGGAGTTTCAGAATTTTTAGAACACTAATGGTGACGATTCTTTAGTGCATAAGTGCCTTATTTGAACATCCTAAACTTACTCGCTCGTCATGCACGGTGCTTCAGGATGAGTAGGAATTCAGTGTGATAACCACCTATTCATACCAATTTTCATCTTCCTTTCTAAATTAGGAAAGTTGTACTGATTGCTACGCAGGACGAATATACGTCGAAGATGACAAGTGCGGATTACACCATTTTCGATAAACTCGGCGCACAGAATGTCATATTGAAAGATTATTTTCGATCTTCGTATGCTTTTGTTGGGTATACTGGACCTGGACGGCCATCTTGGGTTAAACAAGTAAGACGATGATACTTGGGACAGAAGATAGATGATAAATAAATGATGATAGGTGATGGATGATAGATAATAGTTGATAGATAAATGATGATAGATGATAGATGATAGATGATAGATGATAGATGATAGATGATAGATGATAGATGATAGATGATAGGTGATAGATGATAGATGATAGATGATAGATGATAGATGATAGATGATAGATGATAGATGATAGATGATAGATGATAGATGATAGATGATAGATGATAGAGATGATGAGATGATAGATGATAGATGATAGATGATAGATGATAGATGATAGATGATAGATGATAGATGATAGATGATAGATGATAGATGATAGATGATAGATGATAGATGATAGATGATAGATGATAGATGGATGATATAGATAGATGATAGACGATAGACGACAGACGATAGATGATAGATGATAAATGGTGGGTGATAGGTGGTAGGTAATATGTGATGAATGATAGGTGTCAGATTATAGATCGTAGGTGATAGGTGATAATAGATGATGAATGACAAGAGATAAGTGATAGATACTAAATGGCAAATGAAAGATTTGATATATGATGTGATGTGCCTTTTTATAGGAACAAAGGGACAGATACAAAGGACCAAGCAAGATCTCAACCGAGATTCCGTTTGGAGGTCAGTTTAGATATCTCCTCAAAATTTCAACTCCTTTGAGCCCTTGGAACTGTGAAATTGTTTTTGCTAATTTTGTTTTAAAACATTTTCTACAGAGTTTCCCAATATCGAAGTAATAAGCGAAGCCTGTAACGATAAGATAAGATCAGAGGGTTGCGGTAAAGCGTACATCTATCTTGATGGCGAACAAAAAGCATCTCAAAAACGCGGACATAACTTCGTAGTGATCAATGCTCTTACAGGTAAGATTATTTACCAATGAAAGGCGATTCGGAATTGATTAGCGCTAAATATAAACCAAGGCGAGCTTCTTATCATCTGTGATATTTACCGAGCTTAACACAATCCATTCAAATATTTACTTTAGTATGATTACAAATTTGATGATTTTCAGGATACCAATTTGTCATAAAAAATTCTTTTCACCAAGTAAATAAATGACTAAATAAAACCGTATCCTTTCATTTTAGAAGTTCACTTATGCCTGCTTTCCTTTTAGTCTTGACTCCGCAAATCTTTTTCGTCTAACTACCCCTCCCCCCAGCGATGAGCATTGTCGAGGTAATAAGCGAAGTCTGTAGCGCAGGCTCATTAATCTGTTTTCCGTCTTCAGGTAAATTTGAATCGGCACAAGCGTTTGACACCCATGGTGATAACGATGCCAGTGGAAAAGTCACTAATTTCATCAACAGTATTCAGAATGGGTATGGATATTTCCGTAACATCCCGTTTTAGGTGGTCTTGTAAAAATGAATTAGGACTCAACCAGTTCAAATCTTGAATAACGTTTCTTTATAAAGTCGCGTGGTTATAGTGGCTGTCCAAGATGAAGGTGCTAGAAAAATTGGCAATGCTCTGGGAGAGCTAAAAAAGATTGGCGCACAAGAGCCAATCATGAACGAGTATCGCTCATCTTTTGCTCTGATTGGTTACAAAGGAGTTGAAACACCAAAGTGGATCACGCAGGTGCGAACATCGTCTGTAGATACTACTAAATCAAATTTTGACTAAATCAAATTTTCACTAAATCGAGAGCACAAACCCTCATACGGAGACATTCTTCGACAAACACAGAAAATGGTTTATGAATCTTAGTAGTTACAATTATTTTAGCTAACCGTGCATCAATAAGCAATAGCCGTTAGTGAACGTCTTATCAAGTCAGTTTAATTTAGGTTTTCTCCTGTAGTAAAACTATCACTTGAGATGATCCTTACTGGACCTGCAGGAAGAACAGTTTAGAACTTAGTTATACAGTGTAAATAAAGATTGTTTACTTCCAGCTACTTCTTAGAAAAAAATTAATGAATCTCAAGGCGGAAAAAATTCGATTTCATTAATTCATGATATAATTGATTGCTTTTTCTTAGAGCCAGCAAAAAAGTCATCATGGGCCATCATTTGCGAGTGCTTTTGTTCCCTTTGGACCCTCAGCAGCAGGTTTGAAATATTCTTCACCTAGTATTCAACATGTTTATGCAAACTTCGTGTGGTAAAGCAAATGGAGAACGCAATTTTCTCTCATATAAATTCCTTGAAAGGCTGGTAGTACCTTCAGACGATTTTTACAGGTCAGTTTTTCCGGTGGTTCCTACTAATTGCAGTGTTCTTTAATTCAGAGGGAGAATTCATTGTCACCACGTACACTGGAAATGAAAAGGATGCGAGTACGAACGCCAAAGTTTACATCAAGTTCAGTGGTGCTAATGGTGATTCCAAGGAAGTTGAACTCGCTAAATCTGGGGCAGTTACATTCCAACAAGGAGGGTAAGAGTAGCAGTTTGTTGTAGTATCCTTGGGTGGTGTTTTGGTATGGTCTAACATTGCATAGTATGCTGTTGTATTGTATGGTATGATAATCCATTGTATGGTGCATGTGATGTGTGGTTATAGAGTAGAATAGAAAATGGTGATAGGTATAGAGTATAGAGTATAGAATAAAGGGGTAGCATGGGATGGTATGGTGTGATGTGACGTGGTATGGTATGGTATGGTATGTATGGTATGGTATGGTATGGTATGGTATGGTATGGTGTGGTGTGGTGTGGTGTGGTGTGGTGTGTGTGGTGTGGGGTATTATATATGGTTGTTGACAATGTAATTTTTTATCTTTTAAGAACTGATGCTTTCCGGATTCATGTTGGTGAACTTGGTGATATTCGCTCCGTTCGAATACGTCAAGATAATTCTCAAGACAGTCCCAACTGGTTCTTGGCTGCAGTAAGTGAAATTTGATAATAACAAAGAGGATTTCGTTACGTACGTGAATGTCTTTCCTAAAACGCAGAAATTTTATCAATAGTTGTCTGTGAAAGACGTGAGGACTGGAAAGACTTACATGTTCCTGGTTAATCAATGGCTTCAGGATGGCAGCCAAAGTACTGGCGGAAATCTTATTACTGCCTTAGCTGTCACTCTAAATCAACGTAGGTGTCGCACAATTTGAATTTAATTAAGTCATCCAGTATAAATAAAGTTAGTTTAACTTAGCCTACGTTTCCTCTTGTAGTAACACTGAATCAATAAGAGATGATCTTTACTGGACTTCTAGGAAGAGCAGTTTAGAACTGATAGAGCTATCCAGTATAAATAAAGTTAGTTTAGTTTCGGTTTCCTTCTGTAGTAACACTGGATCAATAATAGATTATCCTTGCTGGACCTCTACTGGAACTGATACTTTTATCGATAGGAGATTCCTCTAGGAAGACCAGTTTGAAATTGTTGAAGTTTTCCAGTATAAGTTTAGTTTTCCTCTTCTAGTGTTAGCACATTAATAAGAAATTCTCCTTGCTGGACCTCTAGGAAGAGCAGTTAAAACATGATTGAGCCATACCGAATTGATTAAGCCAATGGATTAAGTCACAAGAGTAAACCTCACTGAGCCTCAAATCTGAGATTTAGTCACGAGTTTATGGAGCTACAATGTATTCAAGTAGCTTCAGCAATTCCAATGGTGAAATTTGAATGCATATATCATTGTTTTAGCGTCGTCCCTGTTGAGCAACGAAATCCAGCACAATCTGAACAAATGGTGTATATCAAACATAAGGAATGCTGGCGACAACTTGATTGCCCTTTATGACCGAGGAAAGAAAGCTTCAAAATTCAAATGGCGTTGCTACGCCCCGGAAGCGTTGGTTCCAGAGCAAACTGCTTACGACACAGCGAAGAAAAATGTGAATTACTACACGCGGGAAGCTCTCGCGAAGGTGTATCAGGCAGGTACGTTGAAGAAGTTTGGTTAGTGCTTGTTTGTGTTCTGAATGAAGTATCCACTCTTTTATAACTTGCGCCTGGATATATTTTATTTATTTCACAAGAAGATTTGATTTAAAATGTGAAACATTCCGGCTTTAAAACGTGAAATGAATTTCCAAAATGTGACATTTCTCTATGTACAGTTTGCATGGTTGTGAATTTCCTAAAAATAGCATTCTAACTTGTCAGGAACATTATCCTGTATCAGGCAATGTATAAGGAATGATTTGCCAGGATGGCAAATGTCAGAATCTGACAATATCAGGATTTCTTGGATAAGCATCGTGAAAATCTGATGTTACAAGAAGTTTGATTGGTTCGTTAGGTTTTGGCGGAGCCAATCAAACCTCGTGTAGCACGAGACTCTGCGTTTGACGTCATTTTGAGAAAGGTCAAGTGCAATTGGTAGAATAGCAAATCTTTAAACTGCAGCATTTTTAATCTTCGATGGAAAGTTCACGTTATCATATGATATTTTCATGCAAGTTTCAATTGATAGTCTCTTTCTCTCTTTTTTTTTCTTTTCGTTTGTACTTTGTTAATATGTGAACATTATAATATTTTGTTTTAACTCGTTTCCTTCTATTTTCCAATGCAGCAACCAAAGCTGAAGACTTGGCTTTAAAAACACTGGAGGAAGATAAAGGTACTGGAAATTGTTCAATTCAAACGTATTTATGCGAACCATTTGTACATTTATTTGGACAAACAACTGTATAACATAAATATACGACCAAAAGGAAAAGGGCTGATATTATATTTTAGCATCATAGAGTTCGCTTATATTCCCGGCTTTGAATATAAATAAAATGGAATGAATTACTAGGATGAATTTTGATTAAGAAGCATTCCACAGTTTGCTAAGTTTAAAATAATAGTTCCTAATGTTGTCCAGTTTCGTGTTTTACCAGATAGCTGAAGTCAATGAAGATAGCTCAATGCTGGCTCAATTTATCTTGCGCATCCTAGTATTTTGTACCTCTATCAATTCCTCTTTCTTATCTCTGAAACGAAGTATAATTCTCACTGAAAACATTCACCAACTAAAGCCTAGATCACATCGTCCGCCAATTCATAGATCACCAGCTTAATTGCGATCTTTCTTTTTCGCTGTCCGTTGTTTAGCCGAGCGCGGAATAGTCGTCGAGTACTTCAACAATATTCGAGGTCTGGAAGTTGAGAAGCTGACGAGCAGTCCTAAGTACCCGAAATCACCAGATGAAGTGCAGAAAGTCCAAATCTTTGAAACACAGCAGGACATTGGGAATTACTACGGCGCGAGGTTGCGAACCTATTTTGTGGTAAGTCATTGGCGATGCCTTGAAACATTCATTTTAATTAAGCCGAATATGTGGTCTGTCTGGAAACAGGGAAGGTACCTACAAAGTTAATTTACTTGACAGGAATGGTGTTTGGTCGAAGTCGACAGGGGGGAGGGAGGGGGGTTGACGGGCTCAACACCCGTTCAATATTGTAAATATTGTACATTGTACATCTTTTTCTCCCAGCCACCAGCATCGGGCAAATACATCTTCTATATGTCCAGCGACGACGACAGTCAACTGTTCATCGCTATGACCGAGGGTGGAAACCCAGTGAAAATACTAGAACTGCATCACATGGCTACAGGATACCGACAATGGGACAAGTAAGACACCAGAAAGTTTGAACGCGTGCAGGCCATAATTTTTTGGAGAAGAAGGGAGGGGGGAGGCAAAGGCTTATTAGAGGTGCAAACCTGGTAGGGGTAGGGTGGGGGTTTCTTCGGGAAACGAGATTTCCTTAGTTATTTTTTTTGCTAAAGCAAAAATATCCCAACTCTTTCCACCAAAATGTGAACACTTCAATCCTCCGTTGGCGATGCATCCCTTGATATTTATTATCATATAAACATCAGACTACTTTATTATCACATAAACATCAGACTACTCTATTATCACATTATTAGACACCAGACTACTTTATTATCACATAAACATAAGGTTCGTCATCCTAACTAGAAAAGAAATACGGCTATTGTTGATATAAAATATTTTCAGAGACGTGAAGAAACAGACATCTAAGGAGATAGAACTTAAGCATGGCATGGCATACTTATTGACGGCTTTGCTGAAAGAACACGGTGGAAAAGATCATTTGAGTGTTGGAGTCAAATATCCTGGTGGAGAGGTTGAGAAACCAATGTCAGGAAAATACCTTTTCATAAGTAAGTCAGCAACCAAGGATTTATTTTGTGCTGAAAATGTTATTGGTCAATATGGAAGGTAATATACCGATCCTCTTCAGGGGCCGATTGTATAAAAGTATTGAACTACATTTTGCATAGTTAAATCCGAGTTAACTCAGAAATACGCGACTCTGACTGGCCAAGTCTGTCCTTAACTACAGTTTAAAGTTAACTAAGTTTTTATGCAACTGGCCCCAGAATACAAAGATGGATACAATATATCGTATACTTTCGTATATTATAGGACTCCCAGCAAAGACTGAAGATAAATCAGGTATGCTAACTAAGTAGAAATGTAAAGGGCAGATGATCAGCATTATCTTGTTTAAAGAAAAGAACTTGCGAGATAGATAGTAAAATGAAAATGAAACTTAATGAGATTTATTATCTAATTATCTATTGTAAAAATGTGCCCGAGTACATTTTTAGTTCCCTTAGATTTTAATAAGGACATTGGGAATATATTTTGTGCCTAAAACATTTTTCCTTGATGAGAAACTTTGTTTGGTATTATTACGTGTTGCAAATAGGTCACTTATTATTTGTTTTTTGGTAAACCATCAGATCCATAATAATATAAATATATTCCAGGTATTTTCACACCTTTAGCGTGATTCCAAATAGTATTCATCTTCATTACATAATATTCCAATCAAATTTCCATTTTTTCACTGTCCCGCAACTAATATGTAACTTATTATACTCTCCATCTTGACTCTGCCCGTTTGTGACCGGCTCAATTTCTTCGTTTACTTCATGTTAACAGTTACAAAGCCAACCACGGAAGGCGGTCCTCCTGCAGCTCCAGGAGAGTTAAAAGGTAAACCATTTCACGATGAATCTGCAGTAACAAGGGTGAATTTCGTTTTAGACCAATCAGCTTATTTGTTTACATTTTCAGTAAGCCAATCAGAATGCATAAATCTTGACTACTTACTTCCGGTATTAAGTATTTAGGATTCTGATTGGCTCTGCCTTAAAAATGTAAACGAACATGAAGATTTGTTCAAAACGAAATTCCTCCTTGTTATCTCCAGTACCATTGTATTCGATATTACCGATGGTTTCTAAGATTTTCCCACTGATAACCCAGGAAGAGTATTTTCGACAATATCAAAGCTAGGAGTTCCAGGGCCCTAGCTGAGATTTCTTGGAGTAACCGAAACCTTTAGAAGGAGAAATTTAATATAAATACAGTCGTAGAGAGTTAAGCAATATTTGGTTGCATGTTCCCACTTTACAATGTTTAATTCATGTGTATTTTCTATCAGTTCAAGTGGTTATCAACTGGAAAGTCATTCCAGGTTCTCTGATTGAGATCAGAGCCGGTTCAAAGAACGCAGTATGGGGTCGTGATGGCGAAGACAGAGTGTACGCCATGGTCAACGGAAAGTTCGAATATATTGCTGACGCACGTAAGATTATATCCTTCGGCGTCGGGGAATCGGCAGTGTGGGCTGTGGATAGCAAAGGTAGTGTCCTCTATCGCGAAGGAGTCACTGCGGCTGAACCGAAAGGAACAAGCTGGACTGTTATCGATAAACTCCCGCTCGAAAACGATGCCGCCGTTCAAATAGACGTTAGCGAAAAGAGTGGAATATGCGTGGTCACCAAAAACCATCTTATATTGTGTCGCGGAAGCGTGAACACTTTGAATCCAAAGGGATTTGGTTGGCAGAAAATGATTGGAAAATTGAAGTCTCTCTCGTGCGGTGGGCTAGGTTGCTGGGGTATTGGTCAGAATGGTGCCAGAGTTTGGTTCCGCACCAGCCTTGTCGGAGATTCTAGGTGGGAAATGATCAAGGAGGCCGTGTTGACCACCGTCAGAGCGGGTGGAGATGGTAGCGTTTGGGGTATCAATGCGAATGGTTACCTCTTCGAAAGACAGGGCGTGTCCGTAACGTTGCCGCAAGGAAAGAGCTGGGTTCGAGTGGCCTTGAGCAAACAGTTTCAAGACATTTCGATTGCTGAGGGCGTTCTCTTTGCTGTATCCACGACCGGAGCGGTTTACGAGTGTAAGTTTAAGAAACAGTTTTTTCCAGAAGTACATTGCCAGTCATACAGGAAAAATAGTTTAGAACTGATAGAGCTATCCAGTATAAATAAAGTTAGTTTAGTTTAATTTTCTTCCTGTAGTGACACTAGATCAATTAGAGATTATCCTTACTGGACCTCTAGGAAGAACAGTTTAGAACATTGAGATAGAAGAATAGTGAATACTCCAGTCAGATGTAAAAATTTATGACAGAACGTATTACACTAAGTTTAGTTAGCTCGATTAATTATTATTAATCTCATCGTGTTTCATCTTAGCTTCACCTGTGACCACTGGCCGTTTGCCTGCGATAAGTACAACTACAACGACAACCACTGGACCAACCATCATTGGAGGTAAACAAACCGTGTTTTTATTACTGTTGTAATATCACGACGCTGTTCAATAGATCTTTCTTATAATGACGTCAAACGCGGAAAGTCTGATGTTACACGAAATTTGATTGGCTCCACAAAACTATCGAGCCAATCAAACTTCGTGTAACATACTTTCCGCGTTTGACGTCATTATGAAAAAGGTCTATTGTTTTAGAAATTCATAAAACTGAAACAACTGTAGCAACGAAATATATCTAATACTCGATCAGCCTCCGTTTATTCTTAACTCGTAGTCTTAGTCGTATAGTATAGTCGTATAGTCGTATAGTCTTAGTCAACTGCGAAAGTTCCCTTTGGATTTCTGGGGTGAAACCTTTGTCCGCATTGGTTGTGTGCTTGGTATGGCAGTAGCTGTTATAAATCTCAATTTAAAATGCCTAACGAACCCTGCAAATATATTATCTTGTTTTAGGTCCTGGGTCTCTGCCCATCAACAACAATCAGAAATCGGTGGACACTGCAATCAACAATGCTGTTGCTACGGTCACAATTACTGCGTCAGGTAACAAAATCTTCTTTCCACTTTTTGTGGGATATTTTAGGACAAACGTTTAAGGTCACTTTCAGTAAAAAAGTGAGAAATATTAAAGAAGACAATGATAAAGGGAATGTTAAGAGAGAATTCAAGAATGAAATTACAGCAGTTTAGGAAGCCTTATCTGGCATTAACTTGAAGTAAACATCTATCTTTTACTTTTACAACTACAGCAGAAGTTTTTAAATTCTGTTTCAAATTTTTGAAAGTATTTATTGGGCAACTCCACTCATTCGCTCGACAAATAGCATCTTAACATTTTTTTGTCGGATTAATTACCTTTCTTTACTCAGTCTGACCATGGCTTATTAAAAATACCAGCTCACTCGGCGTAAGATACGCGATTTTAAGGCCGTGCATGATGATTTGAAAGACACCCAGTGATTGTTTTTCCTGGATATTTTGAAAATAGATTATCCTCATTGATATCAAATTATTATTTCCATTAAAGTGGTTAAACCTCATTCTCGTATTACTCTCATTTCGCATTACTGCCAATACTTTTGCATACCTGACAATTTCTTATTGTTCCTTTTTTAAATACTAAACTTTTGAGTTTTGGCGTAAACCTTTGATCTTTAATGTACGAAAAATGCAAGCCCTAAACTTCGTGCTACCGCTTTTCAGACTACGAATCCCTTATCGACGAAAACGAGGAAAAATTCGACGGCACACGTTTTATAAAGTACACAAAGAGCAGTGTAAGCTTCCTATCGAGCGATTTTTCTCTCGCCGTCCTGTTTAAAACGACCACAGCGGGAACCCTGATCTCGAAAACTAGTGTCACGTGGACCGCGGGGAATATTGCGTTCATGATCAGCGTCACTGGAACGGTCAGTTTTCAGATCAACGGCGTCGGAGCCGTCACTGGAACGACAAAAATCAATGATGGAGCATGGCACGAAGCCGCCATTGTGTTCTCATTTAAAGAGAAATCGTAAGTTTCTTTTGATGGCAAAACAGTCCAGATCAATAAGAGGCATTGATGTTGTGATGTATCCGTGTGTTTTAAAACAAATCACGAGCAGTAATTCGCAGTCTGTGTTGCACATTACTATTGATAATAATTTAATTCTGACCTCAGTTAGTTAGTTTTCTAAAAGCAGAAACTGCGCGCAGAACGGGGTTTACAACATCTTTAAAGAGCTGTGCAAACTGATCAAAACCCTTTTTTTAGCTACAAGCTGTTCGTTGACGCCAAAATGGAGGCCCAGCAAGTGATCGCAGGCCCAATCCCATCGGATCGTTCAGTGAAAACGATATACATAGGGAATACTCCAGGTTTTCAACCGCAGACAGCGGCTTTCTTCAACGGTTATATGAAAGAAATGCGCTACTATCGTTCCACATACTACATTCTGTTCGCGGCAAAGGGTAAGCGCCCGGAGACTGGATTCCTCTCGAGAATTTCCAACGTTCCACTAGTGGATATTTTCCTTACTTCACGTTCCTTCTCTTAGGTGGAATACTTGGCGAGATAGCTCGTACCAAAGTTTCAGTAACTCCTCCGTCAGCCACGGTTATCAAGCCAGTTGTTCAACCAGTTGCTCCTATACCAAGTAAGATAATGCAATACTTCATGTCGTACAACCAGCAGTGGTGTAGCCAGCCTGACTATTAGTCCCGCTATAATGATATTTTGGTGCTCATTGACTGTAAAAACAATTAACTTCTGAATATTGGATAATGGACTTATTATTATATGACTAGTGTTTGTTTTTGTAAATCCTGCAATTTGATTGGCTGCTGACGAGGCGGGATTTTCCCATATTGCCCACGGGCAATACGCTCAATTTTTTTTGCCCTCGGGAAAAACAACAGCAATTCGAAATGAATTATTATTCGTGTTTATGGTTTTCCCAAATTAAGTCATATAATAAATAACTTACTGACTTCGATTGTTCGGTCTGTACGGTAAAATATCAAACCTCGGTCGTGCCGTATTGACCTCGCTATCGCTCGGTCAATACGGCACGACCTCGGTTTGATATTTTACCGTACAGACCTCACTCTCAGTCAGTAAGTTCTTAAAATTTGCATAGCAAGACTTCATGCTCAGGTTGGTTAAACCACTATATTTCGGGCAAAGAATGGTAATTGCGTATTTCTGGTCCTCTTTCGCTTGTTGCTTCTTTCTTCTTCTTTCTGGGGAAAGCTATGAATGGTTCTTAAATGTATTTGTATATCTTCATGCAAATGCAATATTTACGGGTTATTTTGTTTTTTAGCTACACAGCTTACCTTTGTCACTACACAGCGATCAGGTAAGAAATCAGTGAGCATAGCGACTATCAAAGATTTTCCTTACTGGACCTTTATCGAGAACAGTTTAAAACTGATAGAGATATCCAGTATAAATAAAGTTAGTTTAGTTTAGGTTTCCTCCTGTAGTAACACTGGATCAATAATAGATGATCCTTACTGGACCTCTAGGAGGAATAATTTAGAACTGATAGAGTTACTCAGTATAAATAAAGTTAGGTTAGTTTAGGTTTCCTCCAGTAGTAACACTTTATCAATAAGAGATGATCCTTAGTGGACCTCTAGGAAGAACAGTTTAGAGCTGATAGAGCTATCCAGTATAAATAAAGTTAGTTTAGTTTAGGTTTCCTTCTGTAGTAACACTGTATCAATAAGAGATGATCCTTACGGGGCCTGTAGGAAGAAAAGTTTAGAACTGATAGAGCTATCCAGTATAAATAAAGTTAGTTTAGTTTATGTTTCCTCGTGTAGTAACACTGGATCAATAAGAGATGATCCTTACGGGGCCTGTAGGAAGAAAAGTTTAGAACTGATAGATCGAGCTATCTAGTATAAATAAAGTTTATAGTTTAGTTTAGGTTTCCAATATTTACAGTTATCCAATATTCATGAATCATTACGGACGTCATCATTACAAACATAACTTTACAACCGTACCAACAAACTACTGTAGCTATTGATTTCCCTAAATTATTTTCCTACAGCCCGTCTTGACCTTGCTTTCCTTGTGGATGGTTCAAGCAGTGTTGGTCAGCAAAATTTCATCCAATTCCTGAGTGTCGTTAAAGGAACATACCACGCTTTTCCTGTCAGTGAAGAGGAGATCCGAATCGCACTTATTGTCATCTCCAACGCCGGAAAAGTCGTCTTCAATTTCGACAAAGACTCGGAAATGACCGAAATCGACAAAAATGTCGATTACGTGACCTTCCCAGGCGGAAGTCGTAACGTCGGGAACGCGTTATCCGTCACCATACGAAACGTCTTGGCGACTACCGGAAGACGCGGCATGGTTCCTCAGATTCTCGTATCGATTTTGGCGGGAAAATCAAGTGATGACGTCAAGGCCATGGCAACGGAGCTTCACCGAGCCAAGGTTACGTCGATTGCCGTCGGAGTTGGCTCGGTGATTAACCAGGATGAGCTGAGATTGATTGCGAGTGATGGACAGAACGTGATCGTAAACTCGGATCTATCGAAACTGGTCACGGTCATTCCTGATATCGTGAGGAAAATTAACGCAGGTTAGACCCGGATGGAGGTAATTTATGCTACAGGGGGGAGACGTTTATAATTGATTTTCATTCATTTTGTCACCGTACCACGATGTGACTGAACACTGAACACTGAACCTGCGAAAAATTAACGCATGTTAGACCCGGATAAAGGATGATTTAAGAAACAGGAGGGGGAGAAGTTTACCATTTATTTTCATTCATTTTGTCACAGTTACACAATGTGACTGGGGATCTCCTTACATGAAATATAAAGTACCAAATTAAGTATATTCTACGCATAATTGATCCAGTAGAAGTTGCGCCCCGGAATGGAGAGTTTGATCTTCGGGGAAAGGCTTTCATCTGAGTTAACACCGATTATTACACAACAATATTTGTACATATATTTGGATTAAAAATCTCTCTAAAATATCTCCTGTCGATAAAGCTATCAATTTTCCTCTACTAAACCGTTATGTTATTCTAGCTTATGGATCAAGTATCGGACTTATTCCGGTCATGGTTGATGCCAACCTACCTCCTTCGACTGCCCAGACCGCAAAACCTGCCTTGCCTCAGAAACCTCTGGGTATGTACAGTACACCTCTCTTCCCTCTAAGGTTTCATAATATGAGACGTCTCATTTAGGGTAAATAGCTCTTTGGAGTTCACTGAGTCTAGGTCAGACATCGTACTTCCCATGCGTCGAACGCATTCAAAACAATAGATAATGAGGCATTTCAGATTATTATCTATTGTTTTTATTGCGTTTGGTGTATGGCAAAGGTGTTGTTCTTCGGCCCTAGGCCTACTATTATTTATTAATAGACCTACTATTATTATTAATGACAGCTACAAGAATTGATTTCCAAATTGACAGCTAGAGGAGTTGATTTTTATATAAATGTTACCTTAGATAAGAACCATCTGGTTTCCAGACTTACCCAACTAAGGGATCGGAGAACGTCAGTAGATCTGATCTCAAAACTGGAGCGTGCTATAGTTCTAGCCGCACGGTTTTGCAATAACTGTAGATCATAGCTGACTTCACTTGTAACTACGTTCAATGTTACTGAGACTTGCAAGGCCCACGAAATTTTCATTTATTCTACAGGCCCCATAACTTGTAATGATACGAAATTGCTTCAATAATCTTCACCAATCTTGTCAATGTTTTTCTCAGAAAATCGCCTGCCACTTTTGTGTAAGACGAAAGTGGACCTCGCCTTCCTGGTCGATGGCTCGGCTAGCGCGGAATACAACAGCCGTGGTGGATTTCGCCGAAATCTTGGCCTGGTCAAACAGTTTGCACGAGAGTTCATCGTGTCTCCAAACGATGCGCGCTTCGGATTGGTCGTGTTTGCGTCGGAAGCTAGCGTCGAGTTCACCTTCGAGTCGCACAATACCCGCGATAGTCTCATTGCTGATATCAACAAGATCAAATTCCCCGGCACTGCTACCTACCTTGGCGGTGGGCTGACTATGGCAAATGATGATCTGTTCCCCAAAGCTCGCGCAGACGCGAAAAAGATACTCGTAGTTCTTACAGATGCTCTTAGTCACGATGATATCGAGACACCATCTCGAGCAATCAAAAAACGCGGTAAGCCATATAGATATATTCCTTCATTTTGCTTTAAATGAGATGTTAATCAAATACTAAATCAATTCATTGCCTAGAATTGATAAGTTTTGGACTGACATACGTAGTATCCAGTTTAGTTTGCGTTAAACGTTTTTTCTTGTAGTAACACTGGATCAATAAGAGATGATCCTTACTGGACCTCTAGGAAGAACAATTTAGAACTGATAGAGCTATCCAGTATAAATAAAGATAGTTTAGTTTAAGTTTCCTCCTGTAGTAACACTAGATCAATAAGAGATGATCTTTACTGGACCTCTAGGAAGAACAGTTTAGAAGTGCATGATAGAGCTTTCCAGTATAAATAAATAAAGATAGTTTAGTTTACGTTTCTTCCTGTAGTAGCACTGGATCAATAAGAGATCATCCTTACTGGATCTCTAAAAAGAACAGTTTAGAACTGATAGAGCTATCCAGTTTAAATAAAGTTAGTTTAATTTAGGTTTCCTCGAATAGTAACGCTGGATTGGATAAATAAGAGATTATCCCAACTGGACCACGGGGAAAATATTTTAGAACCTATGAAGCTATCCAATGATGAAATAGCTGATAGGACTATCCGATATTCTGTATATGCGTGTCGAATATTAAGATGTTCGATTTAGTTTACATTATCTTACGTTTCTTTTACTTTTAATAAAGGAGTTGAGGTATTCACGGTCGGTGTGGGGATACGACAGGATGATAGGATACTCAAGGAGATGGCCTCCGAGCCGAAAGCTAAGCATTTCTTCTCAACACCACATCCAGCCAGATTAACTGACGTCTTACACGCGATAAAGGAGAAGTTTTGTTTCGGTAGGTGTATATTTCTCTCCATCACCTCCTTAGTGGCCAGCCAGGTCAACGTGATTTGATACCGAATACAGTCAACAAACCCACTTTTGCATTTTTGATGTTTTCATTGAGCCTCGCGCAAAGTCGGAAACCAAAGTTACCGCGTTTTGGAACTTTTTTGCCCGAACAAAAGTTGTCTTTTGGACAAACAAAAAACTACGAAACTTCTTCCAAGCCTGGTTCTTTGTTGCGAAAACGAAAACATGTGTTCCCTCTGGATCTTCTTTTCCTAGGAGTAATTTAGCGCTTACGCTAGTGTCTTTGCTGATTTTTTTGCCGGGCTAGTTTCAATTAGGAAACGTAATCAATGCGCGCGCAATCGAATTACCCAAGTCCAATTAGTGAACATAATCAGCAAACGCTCACCCAATTAAAGCATTTTAATTAGTGAACGTAATCAAAGAAAGTGCGACTCAGGACTAAAATTTCTCCAGATATTGTTGAACAAGAAAACTACGTGACCCTCATGACGGGAGACGTTTGTCTTCTCCCTGTTAATTATGCACTTTATTTTCAGAATATGTGGTCGGGCCAAGTCCTGGACCGGGTCCAGCGCCAATCCCTGTGAAGCCTATACCTGGTGGACCAGTGTGTAAGTATAAACAAAATAAAAACAATGGACTTTTGATTAAAAATGAGAGTCAGTATTAGGGATAGACTTTCGGTGGCTTGAATATCGAGAACGGACCATCTAAACACTGATTTCTCGTAATTTTGCAGTGCAAATTGATATTGGATTCCTTATCGATGGATCGACCCGCGTCACAAGCCTCAACTTCAAGTATATCTTGGAATACGTGAAGATGATCGTTCATGCTTTTCCCGTCTCCAAAGAAGGTATTCATGTTGGATTGGGCGTCATTTCAAGCAAAGGAAACGTCATTTTCGGTTTCAACAAGTACACTGACTCCTTATCAATGGACCCGGCCATCGACGCCACAGTCTACCCAGGCGGTAACTCGGCCGTCGGTGAATCTATGGCGAAAATCAAGGACGATTTATACGTGACGAGTTCGAGATCAGGGGCGATCAAGATTCTCATCGTCATTCTCGGCGGGAAATCGTCTGATGACGTCACCATACCAAGTCAGGATCTCAAGACCGCTGGAATCAACCGCGTGTTCGTGATCGCAATCACAAGTGATACCGACAAAACGGTCTACACTCCCCCAGCTGCGGTCCCAAATGATGTAATCATAATTGGCACATATGTTACTATCAAGATTACAGCACAAATACTGGTGGATCGCATAAATACCGGTAAGCTTCCTTCCCATTAATGTAATTTTCATTCATACACAATGCCAACTAAGCCAGAATAAAAAATACGGCAGGCATCAAAATTTTTTTTCTCGTAATTTTTTCCACGCAATCGAGTTGGATGAAAAAGCATTCTAATCAGTTATTTAGGCGATATTGAGGCTGAAATTGTACACATTTGAAACTAAACACAAAGCGCACGCCGCATACAATGAAGAACTAACTTAATCACATACTAAGTCTCGATTTGGAGTTCACAGTAAATAGTTCATAGTTCATGGTCAAGACTTTATCAAGATTTAGGGCAGGAACACCGCCGGCGAAGTCAAAAAACACTTTTAGTCAGGTCATACAAAAGAGAACCTTGGCTTCCCTTGGAAAGTACGCGTTTTATCCCGGAATGTGAATTGAAAACGTGCATGCTTTCTGTCTGACGGGTTCAACCCGAAATTACACCTGTTTGGCTTTTTCACTGGGGAATTTAGGGAAACTTTAGATTTAATCATAGGCGGCCCAAAATTGCGCGATATTTTTTCGCGCGAAATTTGTCAATGTAATGATTTAATTTTGATTATTTAAGTTTATTGAGTTATTCATGGGTTGGTTCGAGTCAAGGTCAAAATCGTAGCTCTTGAGGTCTCTAGAGATTATGTATAACATTGAACTTCATGTATTTTTTTCTAGTTGTTGGAAAGAATATTGGTGTTTTGCCCGGCGTTCCTGGTACCCCTGGAGTCCCTGGTGGGCCTGGTGGAAGAGCAACAGGTATAAAACATGTTTCCGAAAAGATTTTGCCCAAACAAACGTATTGGGTCAACAATTTAGCTGCTTTACCAGAGGCGGGAAGATGATTTCCTTTCTTGCTCGACCCTAAACCTCGTTTGGAGAACCACACAGTTTCGAAATTGACCTTCACAAAGCTTCACCTTAATTCTACCTGCTTTTCTAGCCGCCATTGATCTTGGTTTCATCATCGACGGCTCCGATACCATGGGCGAAGGCAACTTCAAACGTGCGTTGCAGTTTGCTCGAGATATCGTCAACGCGTTCCCCGTTTCCCTCGAGGGTGTCCACGTGGGCCTGGTCGTGGTGTCAAATGATGCGATGTTAATATTCCACTTCAGTCTTTACAACTCGAAGTCCGTTGTTGGCGCAGTTATGCTACAAACTCCGTACAGAGGTGGTAGTTCAGCCACAGGCGCTGCGATCAGTAAAGCAAAGACAACACTCTTCGATGCTTCAAAACGGGAGGCGGTTAAGGTATGAAAAACATCATCAAACTTTTAATTCACCGAAGTCACTTACACACTCGAAGACTCAGATTAGAATATGATGGAAAGGAAAAATGGCAAATGACTTACAAGATGTGATTTGTGTTCCTTAAGGTGTTGGTTTTAATTCTTGGCTCAAGTTCGTCCGACGATGTCCGTGTTCCTAGTGATACCATCAAAGGTAGTGGTGTGAAAACCATCGCAGTTGGTACGGATAGTACTGTTCCCGTCGATCAACTGAACATCATCGCTATTGGAGGCGATGCTGTCATAACTACAACCACCATTGTCAAGATTAATACCATTCTACAGCCTGTTATTGATAAAATCAACGATGGTGAGCGTCGAACTTTATTCAATATTAGAACGTGATCAAATTTCATCCAGTCCTAAGACTTGATCAAATTTCATTCAGTCCTAAGACTTGATCAAACTTCATCCAGTCTTAACATTTGATCAAACTTCATTCCTAAGACTTGATCAAATTTCATTCAGTCCTAACACTTGATCAAACTTCATCCAGTCTTAACACTTGATTAAACTTCATTCCTAAGATTTGATCAAACTTCATCCAGTTCTAAGACTTGATCAAACTTCATCCAGTCTTAACATTTGATCAAACTTCATTCCTAAGACTTGATCAAACTTCATCCAGTCCTAAGACTTGATCAAATTTCATTCAGTCCTAACACTTGATCAAACTTCATCCAGTCTTAACACTTGATTAAACTTCATTCCTAAGATTTGATCAAACTTCATCCAGTTCTAAGACTTGATCAAACTTCATCCAGTCAATCTTAATGTAAGATCAGACGCTTTATGGAATTTACTGAAAAGTCCTCAGTAGGGTAACGAGTTTAGAACTGGAGTTCAAAATCACAAAAATCACTATTCTGTGAATACCCATCTCTTTTTATGCTCATACTATCTGTAATTTTGTAGTGATTGGACAGCCTATCGGTGTTGGCCCCACTGGCCCACCGTCGCCTCCAACCCCACCTGTTTCAGAGGAGCATCTCTACACTGTGACGGTGTACACAGGCTCCGTGAGAGGAGCGGGCACTAAGTCAAATGTTTATCTTACCATATATGGTAAGAAGGGAAGCACCAATGAAGTTAATCTGAAGAAAGGAGGAAAGAAACTGTTTGAGAAGGGACAGTAAGTGAAAAACTGAATGAAAATTTGTTTAATTTACTTTAAGGCCTAGGTTATACCTCGCATTTTGGTCGCGTCGAATGCAATTCGAGCAATAGATAATGATATGGCAATGAAGCCATCATCGTCTTGATATTTCCGGGTGAACTCAATTTATACCAATCACGTATCTCTACAGAACTGAGGAATTCAAATTGGAATCCTTGAACCTTGGGCAGTTGATCAAAATCCGCATTCGTCACGATAATTTGGATGGCGATGGTTGGTTTTTGGAGAAGGTAAGTCTACTAGCTCTATCATCTGATTTGCAATATCGTATAAAACATGCAGTGACGTATAGGATGCAAGATAATTAGGTGGGGCACGTATGGTGCTTCCTACGCCACTGTAAAACACATCTCACAACTTTTTCAATCTGTCTAGATAACCGTGAAAGACGAAAAGACTGGTGCATTTTACATATTCACCGCTGGACGATGGCTGGACAGCAAACAGGAAGACAAGAAAATCGATATATTCATTCTTGTGGATAAATCATTGGTTCCTGGAGGCCCAGGTAGGCGACCTTTCCGTTAGACCTACGCAGCGGGGTATTGCAAAGGTGGTATGCTGTCCCCCTTCCCTAGAGGCATTTGTATCTGCAAAAATTGCCTCTATTTCACCAAAATTCGGGTAATTTTTGCTGAAATCGGTGATAAATTGGCTAATCATTCGCCTCCCCCCAAACATTTTAAAATCTGTAGCCGTATGGCTGTACTGCAGCCCATTTTATGACACGTGGTACTCACGTGGAATTTCGCATCTTGTAACAATTTTGACCAACTTTTTATCATGGTACTATTTTTTCGGGGCAGAGGGTCCCACGTCCCCCACACTCCCACCCAGTCGCCAAGCTCCTGGTCGCACCCATTCCAACTGGGTTTCAACTAGAAAAAGGGATGCACAATTAAAAAAGTTGGGAAGTATATTTTTTTTACTCATCTGTAAAAACTTGTTCTTGTTGCTTCTTCAAGGTGGTGAAAAAAAGGCTGCTGATATTGGCATCATCTTGGATGGATCGAAAGGTTTCCGGGAAGTTAACTTTAGGCGACAGTTGGAGCTTGTCAAGCTCATCGTTCAATCGTTCAGAGTCTCTTCAGAAGAAGTACACTTTGGCATCGTCGTTACGGCATTGAAACCGGAGGTTGTGATTCAATTAGACCAGTACACTGACTCGACAACCCTCCAGGCAGCCGTGGATAAAATCTCATACCCAGCAGGAAGGCGAAATACTGGTGCTGCCATCAAATTGGCGCAGACCGAGCTCTTCGCAAAAGCCCGCGATGGCGTCCCCAGGGTCTTAATCGTGTTCGTCGGCGGACGAATGAAGGACGCAACGCTAGAGACTGCTGAGACGGTTAAGAAAACAGGCACCAAACTGGTTGTAATAGGAATAAGCAAAAAAGTCGATCCCGTTGTTAAGGAATTGAAGTCGATTGCGTCCATGCCTAATTTTGTTATCATTCAACAATATCAAATTTACATCACGGCAATTATTGCTCCTTTGGTCGACAAGATAAACGAAGGTAGATCATTCGTAAATAGTTATGTTAGTTAAATATAGGTTCAGAATCTCCTAGCTTTTGGGCATGTCTAAAGGCTCTTTTTCCGCTCATCGCAAAATCAAGTCGCAAGCTCGCTGCGAGTGTTTGCATCTGATCAAAAAAGACTGTCAAACATTATGATTGGACGAAATTGCTCGCAGCGAGCTTGCAATGGTCGAGACTTGTCGTAGGAATCTGGGATTCCCTTTGTCTGAGGTCACTGGTGCGAAAAAACCTTTTTCTGTCGGAATATAGCACATTAGGCTCCCGATTTCTGTGATCTAGTGTGAATCAGGTCTTAAGATAAGCGGGTGAGAGCGTTAAGACTTTCATCTAGTTGCCTCAATGAAACTTAGGGCAGACTATAATAGAGCGGCGGATCCAGGGTTAATCAGAATAAATCAAGTATTGATAGATATTTTTGTAAATATTTTTTTTGGAATATTTGATAATTACGTGTAAAAATATTCTTTTTCGAACTGGAAATTTGGCCGTAATTTATTTTGATATTTGTCCATGATTTATTTTGAATTTATATAAACTGAATCCGCAACTGGTATAATAAACACATGTACACCTAATATTGTGTGATGTGTACCAAATTAAGTTGAATTAATTAATGGCAGTACGTGCAAATTCTCATGTTTATGTTATATTTATTTTTTGTTTTTCAGCTATTGGCTACCCATTAGGACGGCCACCAAATCCACTTGTTGGACCCGACGGCGCACCAATTGGTATTTATTGTATTATCTCCTCGGAACTCAATCCACGTTTTCTTTTCATCTGCGCAACACTCTTGTGATTGAACTGAAGTTTCCGTTCTCGTTGTTTTGTTTAGTTCCATTTGATTTGGGCTTCTTGGTTGATGGATCAAGGTTTGTCGGAAAGCATCGTTTTAATCTGCTTATGCAGTTTGTAAAATATATTTACAAACCTTTTGCTGTATCGCGAAATGGCGTTCACGTTGGTTTGGTTGTATTCACCGATACTGGAAAACTCCAGATTGGCTTGAAGGACCATTTTAGCCAAGTCGCACTCGATAAAGCTGTTAATGAAGTTTCATACCCAAGAGGAAGGGGGCATTCACTTGGACAAGCTGTCATTGACACGAAGAGAGTCCTCTTCGACGCAGGTGGTAGGAAAAATGCACGAAAGGCTTTGGTAACTATCATTGTAGGAAAATCTGATGATGATCTTGTTTCGGGCGCTACAGCGCTGAAGACAGACGGAATCACATCGGTTGTAGTTGGAATAGCTACGAATAATAAAAACCAGATAGAGACTTTGGCAAGCTCGGCCAAACATTACTACATCGATCTGAGATATCGCTTCTTGGCTGCTACTATTGATGGAGTCATTGAAAAGATCGGTAGGATGGGTTAATATAATTCAATAATCCCACCAATTTTTACAACTCATACTATGCCTATATATTGTAGTGAAAGTTAGTAAAAGTATATTTATACTGGAAGTTACCAAACCAATCCTGTGCATGGCAATACGTTAAAAACCGAATTTTCTTTTCTAGGTGCACCGATTCCTCTAGCACCAGAGCCAGGAAGTCCAGGAACAGGGGGAACAGGAGAGCCAGGAGGACCTGGTGGTCCAGGTGGCCCTGGCGGACCAGGTGGACCCGGTGGACCTGGAGGACCGGGCGGACCAGGTGTGCCAGGCACACCAGGTACCCCAGGACATCCAGGTAAACCTGGAACTCCTGGCTCACCCGGAGGGCCGGGTGGACCTGGCGGTCCTGGGCAGCCTGGAGGCATGGGCGGGCCAGGGGGTCCTGGTGGTCCTGGTGGTCCAGGTGGTCCTGGAGGACCATGTGGACCTGGTGGACCAGGGGGGCCAGGTGGTCCAGTTGGACCTTTATGTTCTCCTGGAACTCCAGGTGGTCCTTCTGGTCCAGGTGGGCCTGGAGGACCTGGTGGACCTGGTGGTCCAGGTGGTCCAGGAGGTACTAATGGACCTACAGCACCGGGGGGACCCGGAGAGCCAGGTGGACCATTTGGACCTGGAGGCACTGGCGGTCCTGGTGGTCCAGGTGGTCCAGGAGGACCTGGAGGACCTGGAGGTCCGGGTATGTCTGGTGGTCCTGGAGGACCTAATGGACCAGGTGGACCTGGAGGGCCAGGTGGACCTGGTGGACCCACTGTTCCAAGTGGACCTGGGCAACCAGGAAATCCTGGTGGACCAGGTGGTCCTGGTGGTCCTGGAGGCCCTGGTGGACAGGGTGGCCCAAATGGACCGGCTGGTCCTGGTGGTCCCAATGCCAATATTCCGGGAACGCCAGTACAACCACCTAATACAGGAGGCCCAGGTCAACCGGGGGGCCCTGGTGGCCCTGGAGGCCCAGGAGGGCCTGGTGGGCCAGGTGGACCTGGAGGTCCAGGGGGACCTGGTGGAGCTGGAGGTCCAACCCAACCGAGTAAACCAGGTATACCAACAAACCCACCTGGTTCTCCAGGGGGTCCAGGGGGTCCAAATGGTCCAGGAGGTCCAGGTGGTCCTGGAGGACCCGGAATGCCAGGCGGGCCAGGTGGTCCAGGCGGCCCAGGTGGCCCTGGTGGTCCAGGTGGCCCTGGTTCACCTGGTGGAAAAGTGCCAGGAAGTCCTGGTCAACCAGGTGGTCCAGGAGGCCCAGGTGGACCATCTGGACCTGGGGGACCAGGTGGGCTTGGTGGGCCTGGAGGACCAGGAGGTCCTGGTGGCCCTGGAGGGCCTGCAGTGCCAGGTAACCCAGGTGATCCCGGTAGTCCTCAAGGACCAGGTGGACCAAGTGGTCCTGGGGGACCAGGAGGACCTGGTGGTCCTGCAGGACCTGAAGGACCTCTTATGCCAGGAGGACCTGGAGGTCCAAATGGTCCTGGTGGTCCAAAAGGACCTGGTGGGCCAGGTGGGCCTAAAACACCTGCTGTTCCTGGAAACCCTGGGCAACCAGGTGGTCCCGGAGGACCTGGTGGTCCTGGCGGACCTGGTGGACAAGGTGGACCTGGTGGACCAGGAGGCCCAACACCACCAGGGGGACCTGGAGAACCTGGTGGTCCTCTTGGTCCTGGTGGTCCAGGAGGACCTGGAGGTGCTGGTGGACCAGGCGGTCCTGGAGGACCTGGGGGACCAGGTGATCCAGGAAAACCGGCAGTACCCGGAGCACCTGGAGGTCCGGGAAAACCTGGAAAACCATCTGTACCAGCACAACCAGGACAACCTGGACAACCTGGTGGTATTTTCGGTCCAGGTGGACCAGAAGGTCCTGGAGGACCAGGTGCTCCAGGTGGGCCAGGCAAACCCGGAGGAATTGGAGGACCAGGTGGACCTGGTGGACCTGGAGGTCCTGGTGGACCTGGGGGACCTGGTGGTCCTGGTCAACCTGGTGGCCAAAATGGCCCAACCCCTCCTGGAGGACCAGGTCAACCTGGTGGTCCTGGAGGACCTGGGGGACCTAGTGGTCCTGGAGGGCCAGGAGGACAAGGTGGGCCAGGAGGACCTGGTGGGCCAGGTGGACCTGGTGGTCCGGCTATACATCCAGGAAAGCCAAAGGAAGGAGAACCAGGAGGACCAAGTGGTCCTGGAGGACCTGGAGGACCAGGTGGTCCAAATGGCCCAGGGGGACCTAAGGGCCCTCAAGGACCTTTGCAACCAGGTGGGCCTGGTGGACCGAATGGCCCAGGAGGCCCTGGTGGTCCTGGAGGACCTGGTGGACCTGGTGTTCCAAGTACCACTGGAAATCCTGGTAATCCAGGTGGACCAGGAGGGCCTGGTGGTCCTGGTGGACCAGGTGGGATTGGGGGACCTGGTGGTCCTAGTGGGCCAACTGTCCCTGAAGGCCCTGGACAACCTGGAAATCCTCAAGGACCTGGAGGCCCTGGTGGGCCTGGTGGACCCGGTGGTCCAGGGGGTCTAGGAGGACCGGGATCACCTGGAGGGCCAGGTGGCCCTGTTGTCCCTGGACAAGAAAAACCAACTACTCCAGGCACCCCTGGAAAACCTGGGCAACCTGGTGGTCCTCAAGGCCCTGGTGGACCTGGAGGACCAGGGGGGCCAGGTGGTCCTGGAGGTCCTGGAGGTCCTGGAGGACCTGGACAGTCTGGAAAACCAGGTCGACCTGGAACTCCTGGTGGACCATTAGGACCTGGTGGTCCCGGAGGTCCTGGAGGTTTTGGAGGACCGGGTGGTCCTGGAGGTCCAGGGGGAAAGACTCCTCCTGGAGGACCTGGTCAGCCTGGAGGTCCGAAAGGTCCAGGAGGTCCTGGAGGGCCAGGGGGTCCAAATGGACCAGGTGGTCCAGGTGGGCCTGAAGGCCCCTTGTCACCTGGTGGCCCAGGTGGCCCTAATGGCCCTGGAGGTCCAGGTGGTCCTGGTGGACCAAATGGTCCAACTCCACCTGGTGGTCCAGGTGAGCCAGGTGGCCCATTAGGTCCTGGTGGACCACAGGGTCCTGGTGGCCCTGGTGGTCCGGGAGGTCCTGGTGGACCTGGTGGACCTGGAGGCCCTGGTGGACCTGCTGTTCCTAGTGCTCCTGGAAAGCCAGGAAATCCTGGGGGTCCTGGAGGACCTAATGGACCAGGTGGACCAGGAGGGCCTAGTGGTACAGGTGGTCCTGGTGGACCAGGTGGACCTGGTGGACCTGGAGGACCAGGAGGACCCTTTGGCCCTGGTGGTCCTGGTGGCACAGGGGGCCCTGGAAGCCCTGGGGGCCCTGGAGGACCAAATGGTCCTGGAGGCCCTGGTGGGCCAGGTGGGCCTAATGGCCCATCTTTACCTAGTAGTCCTGGACAACCTGGTAGCCCAGGCGGACCTGGAGGCCCTACTGGTCCTGGTGGACCTGGTGGGCCTGGTGGACCTGGTGGACCAGGTGGGCCTGGAGGTCCAGGTGGACCTTCTGTTCCTGGAACACCTGGACAGCCTGGTAAACCTGGTGGCCCAGGTGGACCAAATGGGCCTGGTGGACCTGGGGGACCTGGGGGACCAGGTGGACCTGGTGGACCAGGAAGTCCTGGTGGGCCTGGTGGACCTAAAGGTCCAGGAGGTCCGGGTGGACCTGGAGGTGATAATGGCCCTGCTGTTCCCAGTGGACCTGGACTGCCTGGAAATCCTGGGGGACCCGGTGGACCTGGTGGACCTGGTGGACCTGGCGGACCTGGTGGGACTGGTGGCCCTGGTGGGCCAAGTGCACCTAAGGGACCTGGAAATCCTGGAGGTTTGTACTTTTTAGTCAAATCAATTGATTATTATTCATAGTGAGAAGCCTACATATAAACTGGTTACTGTTTCTTTCATGATGACACATTTTCGGCTCTTTCTGAAGGCTTAGAGGATCATGATAGGATCAGTTAAAATGTGGCAAACGTTCTCAAATATTTTTTAAAAAAGCTAATTTAATATAAGATTAGCTGATATAACACCTACATGCCAATGATGCTCCATTTATTAATATTAGGCCAAAATTATGGCCTTATTAGAATGGGCCTCAAGTTCAACACACATTTGAAAACATTTATATCGTTTTTACACGCCAGCAAGTGGAAAATCCTATTTTTATTAATTCTGTGCAAAGTAAATTGTTTCCTGTCAAACTGTTTGCTAAAATTAAAGATCTTTAAAATTTTTATGAGATGTGGTATACAGGGTGTATAAAAAAACGCAACTACGCTTAATATTCACGAATATTCGCTTTGGTCGCTTTCTATAGTCGAATGAAAAAGAGCGAGTATTCATTATCCACCAGTTTTCTTCCCTTCGTTCTGGTTCAGCCTCAAAGATTGATTTTAGTTCCATTACTTGGTCAGTTAACATAACGAAATCATGTCTGACACGAACATGAACCTTCTAATTGCAGCCATATTTGTAAACAAAAAGAAGCTAAATTCAATCATTTAAATAACTCTTACAAATACAAGGCATGTATCATAGGTATAATGACGTCAGTAAAACTTCAATCAATTCTAAAACTCGTAAATAAGTTTACCAAACAAGAAGAAAAGCAAAAACGTATCGTAGCGTATATTTCTAACAGTCATAATATTACAAACTGATACTATGACATGTTGCGAAATTAGCAACTAAAATTAAGTTATTGGAAACCATTAAGACACTTCTTTTCATTGCAGGTCCAAATGGCCCTGGTGGACCAAATGGGCCAGGTGGTCCTGGTGGTGTTGGAGGACCTGGTGGACCTGGTGGCCCAGGAGGGCCAGGTGGTCCTGGTGGACCTGGTGGACCTGGTGGTAAAGGAGGCCCTGGCACACCTGGTGGCCCAGGAGGACCTAATGGACCAGGTGGGCCTGGTGGACCTGGAGGTCCAAATGGACCATCAATACCTGGAGGGCCAGGTAAACCTGGAAGTCCTGGGGGACCAGGAGGTCCTGGTGGGCCTGGTGGGCCTGGAGGGCCAGGAGGGCCGGGAGGACCAGGAGGAAAAACCCCACCTGGTGGTCCAGGAGAACCTGGTGGTCCAAGTGGTCCTGGGGGGCCAGGTGGACCAGGTGGACCTGGTGGACCTAGTGGACCTGGGGGGCCAGGTGGCCCAGGAGGACCAGGAAAACCAGGTGGGCCTGGTGGGCCTGGTGGGCCTGGGGGACCTGGGGGACCTGGTGGTCCCCAAGGTCCTGGTGGACCTGGTGGCCCATCTCCACCAGGTGGTCCTGGCGAACCTGGAGGTCCGCTTGGTCCAGGTGGTCCTGGAGGTCCTGGTGGACCTGGGGGGCCAGGTGGACCTGGTGGACCTGGTGGTACAACACCTCCAGGTGGTCCAGGGAAACCTGGTGGCCCAGGTGGACCTGGTGGACCAAAAGGACCAGGTGGCCCTGGAGGACCTGGTGGGCCTGGTGGACCGCAAGGGCCACTAAGTCCCAGGTGGTCCTGGGGGGCCAAATGGCCCTGGGGGCCCAAATGGACCTGGTGGGCCAAATGGACCAAAAGTACCCAGTGGTCCTGGGGAGCCTGGTAGCCCTGGTGGACCTGGAGGTCCAGGTGGATCTGGTGGGCCTGGTGGGCCAGGTGGGCCGGGTGGGCCTGGAAGTAAGACACCACCCGGAGGACCTGGGAAACCTGGAGGTCCAAATGGACCAGGCGGCCCTGGAGGACCTGGTGGTGCAGGTGGACCTGGTGGTCCTGGAGGCCCTGGAGGTCTTGGTGGACCTGGTGGGCCAATGGGACCAGGTGGGCCCAAAGGACCAGGTGGGCCAGGGTCTCCTGGAAGTCCTGGAGGTCCAGGTGGGCCAGGAGGGCCAGGAGGCCCTGGTGGTCCTAATGGTCCTGCTGCCCCTCATGGGCCAGGACAACCAGGTGGACCTCTAGGTCCTGGTGGTCCAGGAGGTTCTTTAGGCCCAGGTGGTCCCAATGGCCCAGGTGGGCCTGGTGGCCCTGGTAAACCCAATGCTCCTGGTCAGCCTGGTGCTCCTGGTGGACCAGGTGGGCCTGGTGGCCCTGGTGGACCTGGAGGACCTAAAGGTCCTCTTATGCCAGGTGGACCTGGGGGTCCTAACGGGCCAGGTGGTCCAAATGGCCCTGGTGGGCCTGGTGGTCCCACTGTTCCAGCTGGCCCAGGTAATCCTGGACAACCTGGCGGACCTGGAGGTCCTGGTGGACCTGGTGGGCCTGGTGGGCCTGGTGGACCTGGTGGACCTGGTGGGCCTGGTGAACCTGGAAAGCCTGGAAAGCCTGGAGAGAAACCGAATAATCCTGGAAGCCCTGGAGGTAGTCAAACATGTAAATTGTTTACCCCTATTCCGCTAGTTGTCTTTTCATAGTTTTATAGCATCCCCACACAGTTTAATGCATGAATTTGAATACCTCTGGATTCCTAACAAATAGGTTTGCCTTTTCATATGTACATACCTGCTACATCAAACCTAAATCACCATTACCACATACCTAATATCCTTCATTTCTATCAATACTTGATTGTCACAATTTTTCTCGCCTTTAGGACCAGGTGGACCAAATGGACCTGGAGGGCCTGGTGGCCCTAGTGGACCTGGTGGACCTGGTGGACCTGGAGGTCCTGGTGGTCCTGGAGGAATAGGTGGACCTGGAGGTCCTAATGGCCCTGGTGGGCCTGGTGGACCTGGATCTCCCAATATGCCAGGTGGACCTGGTGGGCCAGGTGGGCCAAATGGCCCGGCATCACCAAAAGGACCTGGTGATCCCGGAGGACCTGGTGGACCAGGAGGGCTTGGTGGCCCAGGTGGTCCAGGAGGTCCTGGTGGCCCAGCTGTTCCTCTTGGACCAGGTCAACCTGGCAACCCTAACGGGCCAGGTGGTCCTGGTGGGCCAGGTGGTCCTGGTGGACCTGGTGGTCCTGGTGGACCTGGCAAGCCTGGTGGACCTGGTGGTCCTGGAGGTCCAGGTGGACCTCATGGGCCAGGTGGACCTGGTGGCCCTGGAGGGCCAGGCTCCTCTGGAAAACCTGGTATACCTAGTAAACCTTCTGGTCCTGGGGATCCTGGAGGACCATTAGGACCTGGTGGCCCTGGAGGTCCTGGTGGCCCAGGTGGTCCTGGAGGCCCAGGGGGACCTGGTGTAAATAATACCACCTGGTGGACCAGGTCAACCTGGAGGTCCCAATGGTCCTGGTGGACCAAACGGACCAGGTGGACCTCTGGGACCAGGTGGGCCTGGTGGACCTAAAGGCCCATTGTCACCAGGTGGGCCAGGAGGACCTGGAGGACCTGGTGGACCAAATGGTCCAGGTGGACCGAATGGACCAACTCTTCCTGGAGGTCCAGGAGAACCTGGAGGACCTGATGGGCCAGGTGGACCAGGAGGACCAGGTGGTCCTGGTGGTCCTGGTGGGCCTGGAGGGCCTGGTGGACCAAAAGTACCTGCTAAACCAGGTCAACCTGGAAATCCTAGTGGTCCTGGTGGGAATGGTGGTCCTGGGGGGCCTGGTGGTCCTGGTGGTCCAGGGGGACCTGGTGGTCCTCAAGGACCAGGAGGACCTCTTGGTCCTGGAGGACCTGGTGGCCCTGGTGGACCTGGAAGTCCTGGTGGCCCTGGTGGGCCAAATGGTCCTGGTGGTCCTGGTGGACCTGGTGGACCAAATGGTCTAACTCCTGCAGGAGGCCCTGGAAAACCCGGAGGACCTGGTGGACCAGGTGGACCAACAGGCCCAGGTGGGCCAGGGGGACCCGGCGGTCCTGGAGGGGCTGGTGGTCCAGGGGGACCAGGTGGTCCAGGTATCCCTGGTGGCCCAGGGCAACCTGGTAATCCCGGTGGCCCTGGTGGCCCTAATGGACCTGGTGGACCTGGTGGACCTGGCGGGCCTGGTGGGCCAGGAGGCCCATTAACTCCTGGTGGACCCGGTGGGCCAAAAGGACCTGGTGGCCCTGGTGGCCCTGGGGGACCTGGTGGACCTGCTGTACCTAGTAGACCTGGTGGACCTGGAGGCCCTGGTGGACCTGGCGGGCCTGGTGGACCTGGTGGACCTGGAGGACCTGGTGGACCTGGAGGACCTAGTGGACCGAGTGCTCCAAAAGGACCAGGGAATCCTGGTGGTATGTATTTCGTGAAAAATATTATATTACAGATTATAAAGTTGTAATAAAGTTGCCGATGAATATATAACTAAATTGACAATTCATGCACTGAACGGAATATCAGAATGAACATTGTCTTTGGAAATGTTTAGCATACTCGTAACCCATTGAGATACCTTTTGTCTTCATTGACCAGTGCAACTTATTAGCAAAACATTAATTGCATTGTGAACTTACACTTATTTGCATTGTGAACTTACACATGTATTTCTATTAGGCTGCACACTTTTTTAAAGCCATATAATTCCTATCATTCCCATTTATCTACCACTGGTGATATCGCACTAAAGACCTAAGTATCAATAGCTTCCACTAAACAGTTAAGCACAATGGATGCAATATTGGCTATTTTTACACGAGAGGGCAATTTTAGGCGAATGGAAAAGCTTGAGAAACCTATGATAATGTGACACACTGTTTTATCTTGTTTTTAGGACCTAAAGGACCTGGAGGCCCTAATGGACCAGGTGGACCAAATGGACCTGGTGGTCCTGGTGGACCTGGAGGGCCTGGTGGACCTGGTGGACCAGGTGGCCCTGGAGGTCCAAGTGGACCAGGAGGACCTGGTGGTGTAGGTGGTCCTGGGACACCTGGAAAGCCTGGTGGACCAAGTGGCCCAGGAGGACCTGGAGGACCAGGAGGACCTGGAGGATCAACGCCTCCTGGAGGCCCTGGAGAGCCAGGAGGTCCAGGTGGACCAGGAGGTCCTGGAGGTAAAGGTGGACCTGGAGGTCCTGGAGGACCTGGTGGACCAGGAGGACCTTCTGTTCCCAGTGGGCCTGGTCAACCAGGATCACCAAATGGTCCAGGGGGGCCTGGGGGGCCTGGTGGACCAGGAGGTGAAGGAGGGCCAGGTGGACCTAGCGGACCTGGTGGCCCAGGGAAACCTGGTGGGCCTGGGGGACCCAATGGGCCTGGTGGGCCAAATGGACCTGGTGGGCCTGGAGGACCCGGAGGACCTGGTGGGAAGACACCGCCTGGTGGCCCGGGACAACCAGGAGGGCCATTAGGCCCTGGTGGCCCAGGTGGTCCTGGTGGACCCGGTGGACCAGGTGGCCCTGGTGGTCCAGGCAGCAAGATACCACCAGGTGGTCCAGGCCAACCTGGTGGGCCACAAGGTCCTGGAGGACCAGGAGGTCCAGGTGGACCAAATGGACCTGGTGGTCCTGGGGGCCCAAGTGGCCCATTGAGTCCTGGGGGACCTGGTGGTCCTGGTGGGCCAGGTGGACCTAATGGTCCTGGAGGACCAGGTGGAAAAACACCGCCAGGGGGACCTGGGAAGCCTGGTGGGCCTAGAGGACCTGGAGGTCCAGGAGGCCCAGGTGGACCTGGTGGTCCTGGGGGCCCAGGCGGACCTGGTGGTCCTGGAGGCCCCGGAGGGCAAGGGGGAGAAACACGACCTAGTGGCCCTGGTAAACCGGGTGGTCCTGGAGGTCCCGGAGGGCCTAATGGGCCAGGAGGAGCTGGCGGTCCTGGAGGACCTGGAGGGCCTGGAGGACCAGGAGGTCCAGGTGGCCCATTTGGGCCTGGAGGTCCAGGATCTAATGGTGGACCTGGTGGGCCTGGTGGGCCTGGTGGGCCAGATGGGCCTGGTGGTCCTGGGAGTAAAACACCTCCAGGAGGTCCTGGTGAACCTGGTGGTCCATTAGGACCTGGAGGCCCTGGTGGCCCTGGAGGAACTGGTGGGCCTGGTGGGCCTGGGGGCCCAGGTGGACCTGGGAAGCCAAGTAGGCCTGGTGAACCTGGAGGTCCTGGAGGTCCAGGGGGACCAAAGGGACCTGGTGGTATAGGTGGGCCAAATGGACCTCTTTCTCCTGGTGGGCCAGGTGGGCCAAATGGGCCTGGAGGCCCTGGTGGGCCTGGAGGACCTGGGGGGCCAAGTGCGCCTAAAGGACCTGGACAGCCTGGACAAGCTGGGGGAGCAGGCGGACCTGGTGGGCCTGGTGGTCCAGGAGGGCCTGGAGGGCCTGGTGGCCCTGGAGGGCCAACAATACCAACAAAACCTGGAGGTGAGTAGCAAAACTTCATATTCACATGCGGAATTCTCTTGTTCATATCACTGCATACCACTCATGCATTCAATTATACTGGCGCATTATTTGTAATTGTTAAATACTTTTATTCTAGGACCAGGGCAACCTAATGGCCCAGGAGGACCAAATGGTCCAGGTGGTTCTGGAGGCCCCGGAGGACCTGGTGGTCCTGGTGGGCCAGGAGGACCTGGAGGTCCTGGTGGACCTGGAGGACCACGGGGACCTGGTGGACCAGGTGGGCCTGAAGGACCTGGTTCACCAGGAGGCCCTGGTGGCCCCGGAGGCCCCGGAGGTCCTAATGGTCCAGCAGTCCCAAGTGCACCAGGTAATCCAGGAAATCCAGGAGGACCTGGTGGACCCGGTGGCCCTGGTGGACCAGGTGGTCCAGGAGGACCTACTGTACCTTCTGGTCCTGGCCAACCTGGTAGTCCAGGAGGACCTGGAGGACCCGGAGGATCTGGCGGACCTGGTGGGCCTGGTGGGCCTGGTGGACCTGGAATGCCTGGAAGTCCTGGACAACCAAATGGCCCTGGTGGACCAGGTGGTCCTGGAGGTCCTGGTGGACCAGGAAAACCAACGGAAAAACCTTCCGTTCCTGCACAACCTGGAAATCCTGGTGGACCTCTAGGACCTGGTGGCCCTGGAGGGCCAGGTGGGCCTGGTGGGCCAGGTGGACCTGGTGGCCCAGGTGGGAAAACACCACCTGGAGGTCCAGGACAGCCAGGAGGCCCTAATGGACCTGGTGGTCCAAATGGACCTGGTGGACCACAAGGGCCTGGTGGACCAGGCGGCCCCAAGGGTCCATTATCTCCTGGTGGACCTGGAGGACCTGGAGGACCTGGTGGACCAAATGGTCCTGGAGGACCAAATGGGCCAACACCTCCTGGCGGGCCAGGTGCACCTGGTGGTCCTGATGGCCCAGGAGGACCAGGAGGGCCAGGAGGACCAGGTGGACCAGGAGGTCCTGGGGGTCCTGGTGGACCCAAAGTCCCAGCCAAACCTGGACAGCCTGGGAATCCTGGTGGCCCTGGAGGAAATGGAGGTCCAGGAGGACCTGGTGGCCCTGGTGGCCCTGGAGGACCTGGAGGTCCACTAGGACCTGGTGGACCTCATGGTCCAGGGGGCCCAGGTGGACCTGGTGGACCAGGAAGCCCAGGAGGCCCAGGAGGACCTAAAGGACCAGGAGGTCCAGGTGGACCTGGAGGCCCTAATGGTCCAACTCCAGCAGGTGGTCCTGGGAAACCTGGTGGACCTGGTGGGCCAGGTGGACCAACAGGACCTGGGGGGCCAGGTGGCCCAGGAGGTCCAGGTGGCCCCGGAGGACCAGGTGGACCTGGGGGTCCAGGAATTCCTGGGGGACCTGGACAACCTGGAAATCCTGGAGGTCCTGGCGGACCTAAGGGACCAGGTGGACCTGGGGGTCCAGGTGGTCCGGCCAGTCCAGGAGGACCACTAGCTCCTGGTGGCCCTGGTGGTCCAAATGGACCTGGTGGTCCAGGTGGTCCTGGGGGACCTGGTGGACCAACTGTACCAAGCAAACCTGGAGAACCTGGCCAACCTGGAGGACCTGGTGGACCTGGTGGATCTGGAGGGCCTGGTGGGCCTGGTGGCCCAGGAGGACCTGGTGGACCAAGTGTGCCAAAAGGTCCAGGAAATCCTGGAGGTGTGTTGTATTTTCAATCATTAAATTACTTTCTCTATATGTAATGTTATCGCCAGTTTAAGAAAAAAATTTTTACTGCCCCCTTATAAATATATTCAATAATCATTTCGACACTACCCAAGGTTAAGAAAAAAATAATTTACTGCCCCCTTATAAATAAATTCAATAATCATTTCGACAGTACATTATGAGATTTACATAAATCAACAGCTGATATTGTCTCAGTTTTTCTTGGTCATAAATTTTACATCCAATCATTTTGATATGAATGGTAGAATCATAAGCAATAAACACTAAGCAATATAAAAGTCATGTCTGATTAAATAGCAATTCGACATGGTCTTTTATCAATTCTTGCAGCATTTCATATTTGAAGTCTGAAACATCTCTTTATGATTATTACATTAATATATAATTTCGTTTTTTTTACTCTAGCACCTAAAGGACCAGGTGGGCCTGATGGGCCAGGTGGACCTAATGGTCCAGGTGGTCCAGGTGGTCCTGGAGGGCCTGGGGGCCCAGGTGGTCCTAGTGGACCTGGAGGTTTGAATGGCCCTGGCGGACCTGGTGGTGAAGGTGGACCTGGAACACCTGGTCAGCCTGGTGGTCCAGGGGGACCAGGAGGTCCTAATGGACCTGGAGGTCCTGGAGGAAAAACTCCGCCTGGTGGTCCAGGATCTCCTGGTGGTGCTGGCGGACCAGGTGGTCCTGGTGGTCCAGGTGGACCTGGAGGGCCTGGAGGACCAGGTGGACCTGGAGGTCCAGTTGTTCCTGGTGGACCTGGTCAGCCAGGATCACCAAATGGACCAGGAGGGCCTGGAGGTCCTGGTGGGCCAGGGGGTGAAGGTGGAACAGGTGGACCTGGAGGGCCTGGAGGACCAGGAGGACCTGGTGGTCCTGGTAAACCAGGAGGTCCTGGAGGTCCTAGTGGCCCAGGTGGACCAAATGGACCAGGTGGACCTGGTGGACCTGGAGGTCCAGGTGGGAAAACACCACCTGGAGGTCCTGGTCAACCAGGAGGACCTCTAGGACCAGGTGGCCCAGGTGGCCCAGGGGGACCTGGTGGCCCAGGCGGGCCTGGTGGACCAGGTGGTAAGACACCTCCTGGTGGGCCTGGACAACCTGGTGGACCACAAGGACCTGGAGGACCTGGCGGCCCAGGTGGACCAAATGGACCTGGAGGCCCAGGTGGACCAAATGGACCTTTGACTCCAGGGGGACCTGGTGGACCTGGCGGGCCTGGTGGCCCTAATGGCCCAGGTGGGCCAGGTGGTAAAACACCTCCTGGTGGCCCTGGAAAGCCTGGTGGACCTGATGGTCCAGGAGGACCTGGTGGACCTGGAGGACCAGGTGGTCCTGGAGGACCTGGTGGACCTGGGGGTAAAACACCACCTGGTGGTCCTGGAAAGCCTGGTGGTCCTGGAGGTCCTGGAGGACCTAATGGACCAGGTGGACCAGGAGGGCCTGGAGGACCTGGTGGGCCTGGAGGTGCAGGTGGACCAGGTGGACCATTTGGGCCAGGTGGACCAGGATCTAATGGCGGACCTGGAGGACCAGGTGGGCCTGGAGGACCAGGAGGGCCTGGTGGACCTGGAGGTAAGGAACCCCCAGGAGGACCAGGTGAACCTGGTGGACCATTAGGACCTGGAGGCCCTGGTGGGCCTGGTGGAAATGGAGGACCGGGTGGTCCTGGTGGCCCTGGTGGACCTGGAAAACCAGGTGCGCCTGGCGAACCTGGTACTCCTAGTGGTCCAGGTGGGCCAAGTGGACCTGGTGGCATTGGTGGTCCAAATGGACCTCTTTCACCTGGTGGACCTGGTGGGCCAAAAGGGCCTGGTGGACCAGGTGGCCCTGGAGGTCCTGGAGGGCCAAGTGTTCCAAAACAGCCTGGACAACCTGGACAACCTGGTGGAGCAGGAGGGCCTGGTGGGCCTGGTGGGCCTGGAGGGCCTGGTGGACCTGGTGGCCCAGGAGGACCAAGTGTGCCAACAAAACCTGAAGGTTTGTAGCATATGTAGTCTGAAAAGAACTATTGTATTTACCTGAAGTAATGCTCTAAAAACTGCAAATTAGCTGCAATTCTTTGAGCAATAGCACAGCTGCCATATTATCATGCAGGAATGAGCTGTGCAACTTAGTGAATCTTTTTCTTTTTAATATGTATGGGAGGAGGTAAAGGAAATTCCAAAAACAAACCTCTATTTTCAATTGTGGTATTAGTTGCAAAATGGGGAGCTGTCATTATAACATGAGTAGATGTTTCATGCATTTCCTAGTTATTGTTTTTCATCATTGAAAATTAATGCAAGGGTGATCTTTCTGTAGGACCTGGACAACCAAATGGGCCTGGTGGACCAAGTGGGCCTGGAGGACCTGGAGGACCTGGAGGACCAGGTGGGCCAGGTGGGCCTGGAGGACCAGGGGGTCCGGGAGGACCTGGTGGACCAAAAGGACCAAGTGGCCCTGGCGGACCAAGAGGACCAGGTTCGCCAGGAGGTCCTGGTGGACCAGGAGGGCCAGGTGGTCCAAATGGTCCAGCTTCCCCAAGCGGACCAGGTAACCCTGGAAGTCCTGGAGGACCTGGTGGGCCTGGTGGCCCTGGTGGACCTGGTGGCCCAGGAGGACCTGCTGTACCTTCTGGGCCAGGTCAGCCAGGTAGTCCAGGAGGACCTGGAGGACCCGGAGGTGCAGGTGGACCTGGTGGACCTGGCGGACCTGGTGCACCCGGAAAGCCTGGTAGTCCTGGACAACCATATGGCCCTGGTGGACCTGATGGCCCTGGTGGACCAGGTGGCCCTGGTGGACCTGGAAAACCTTCTGTTCCTGCACAACCAGGAACTCCTGGTGGACCTCTTGGACCTGGTGGGCCAGGAGGGCCAGGTGGCCCTGGTGGACCAGGCGGACCTGGTGGGCCAGGCGGAAAAACACCACCTGGTGGTCCTGGACAACCAGGAGGCCCTAGTGGACCTGGAGGCCCAAATGGACCAGGTGGACCGCAAGGGCCAGGTGGACCAGGTGGCCCCAAGGGTCCATTATCTCTTGGTGGACCAGGAGGCCCTGGAGGACCTGGGGGACCTAATGGTCCTGGTGGACCAAATGGACCAACACCTCCTGGGGGGCCAGGTGAACCTGGTGGCCCTGATGGCCCTGGTGGTCCAGGCGGTCCAGGTGGACCAGGTGGACCAGGAGGTCCAGGAGGTCCAGGTGGACCCAAAGTACCAGCGAAACCTGGGCAACCAGGGAATCCTGGTGGTCCTGGTGGAAATGGTGGGCCAGGAGGGCCTGGTGGTCCAGGTGGCCCTGGTGGCCCAGGAGGTCCACAAGGCCCTGGTGGACCATATGGTCCTGGGGGACCCGGAGGACCTGGGGGGCCAGGAAGTCCAGGGGGACCAGGAGGACCAAAAGGTCCAGGAGGGCCAGGTGGACCTGGGGGCCCTAATGGTCCAACCCCAGCAGGTGGTCCTGGAAAACCTGGTGGACCAGGTGGACCAGGTGGACCAACAGGACCTGGTGGTCCGGGTGGCCCAGGGGGACCAGGTGGACCGAGAGGACCAGGTGGTCCTGGGGGTCCAGGAGTTCCTGGAGGACCTGGACAACCAGGGAGTCCGGGAGGTCCTGGTGGACCTAACGGACCTGGTGGACCAGGAGGTCCAGGTGGTCCGGGCAATCCTGGAGGACCACTAACTCCTGGTGGCCCTGGTGGTCCAGAAGGACCTGGTGGTCCAGGTGGTCCAGGGGGACCTGGGGGGCCAACTGTACCAAGTAAACCCGGAGAGCCTGGACAACCTGGAGGACCTGGTGGACCTGGTGGATCTGGAGGACCTGGAGGGCCTGGTGGCCCAGGGGGGCCTGGTGGACCAAGTGCACCGAAAGGTCCAGGTAATCCTGGAGGTATGTAGTTATCAATATGAGAACCTAATAGGTAGATGTTCGGAGAAACATAAAAGACTTATTTTTGATGTAAGCTTTAGCAATGCTAAATCATATTCTGATATTGAAAAAGCATAATCACTGCTCAAAGATGCAGAAGATACAAATTTAAACGACACTGACACCTGTGCCAAGTGATGAGCATTTTGTTTAGCTCTACACCATGCTCTTATATGGTGCAAATGGTCTTATGTTTTTAAGATGAAGTTTTTCTCTATGAAAACCATAACAAAGAATAAAGGATATGCGAATATTTTTAGGATGCTTCTAATATTAGTAAACAGTGATCTGAGAAAAAATTACGTCTGTATTTAGACCTATAGCAGGTTGCTGTCTGTACCAATATCAAGGACCCTGACATCAGCTCTCAGTATGCTCAATATTTACATTACAAAAAGTTCGATATTATCATTACTATATTTTCTTTTTGTCTTTCAGCAAATAAAGGACCAGGCGGACCAGATGGACCGGGAGGACCTAATGGTCCAGGTGGTCCAGGTGGACCTGGAGGGCCTGGTGGCCCAGGTGGCCCTGGTGGGCCTGGAGGTATACATGGCCCTGGAGGACCGGGTGGTGAAGGTGGTCCTGGGACACCGGGTCAACCTGGTGGTCCAGGAGGACCCGGTGGACCTGGAGGAAAAACTCCCACTGGTGGGCCTGGCAACCCAGGCAGGCCTGGTGGACCAGGTGGTCCTGGGGGTCAAAGGGGACCTGGAGGTCCTGGAGGACCAGGTGGACCAGGAGGTCCTACTGTTCCTAGTGGACCTGGTCAACCAGGATCACCAAATGGACCAGGGGGTCCTGGTGGGCCAGGTGGTCCTGGAGGTGAAGGTGGTCCTGGTGGACCTGGAGGTCCTGGTGGGCCTGGTGGCCCAGGTGGCCCTGGAAATCCTGGAGGCCCTGGAGGACCAAATGGACCTGGTGGCCCAAATGGACCTGGTGGACCTGGGGGACCAGGAGGTCCAGGTGGACAAACACCACCTGGTGGCCCTGGTGAACCAGGGGGACCTCTTGGGCCTGGTGGCCCAGGTGGCCCTGGTGGCCCAGGTGGTCCTGGAGGACCTGGTGGACCTGGAGGTAAGACACCACCTGGTGGGCCAGGGCAACCTGGTGGGCCACAAGGGCCAGGAGGACCAGGGGGTCCTGGTGGACCAAATGGACCTGGAGGTCCTGGAGGTCCAAATGGACCATTAAGCCCTGGTGGACCTGGTGGGCCTGGTGGGCCTGGTGGTCCTAATGGTCCAGGTGGACCAGGAGGAAAAACACCTCCAGGAGGTCCTGGAGAACCTGGTGGACCTGATGGACCTGGAGGTCCTGGGGGACCTGGGGGACCTGGTGGTCCAGGAGGGCCGGGTGGTACGGGAGGGCCTAGTGGTGCTGGTGGAAGATCACCTCCTGCTGTTCCTGGAATACCTGGTAATCCAGGAGGTCCAGGGGGACCTAATGGACCTGGTGGACCAGGTGGGTCTGGGGGACCGGGTGGTCCAGGGGGGCCAGGTGGGCCTGGTGGACCAGGTGGACCAGGTGGACCATTTGGACCAGGTGGCCCTGGATCTCAAGGAGGACCTGGTGGACCTGGAGGACCTGGAGGGCCTGGTGGGCCTGGTGGCCCAGGTGGTAAAACACCCCCTGGTGGCCCTGGAGAACCTGGTGGACCATTAGGGCCTGGAGGTCCTGGTGGACCTGGTGGAAATGGAGGACCTGGTGGCCCAGGTGGCCCAGGTGGACCTGGAAAACCAAGTGGACCTGGTCAACCTGGTGGTCCAGATGGCCCAGGTGGACCAAAAGGACCTGGTGGAATTGGAGGACCAAATGGACCTCTTTCTCCTGGTGGACCTGGTGGACCTAAAGGGCCTGGAGGTCCAGGTGGTCCTGGGGGACCTGGAGGGCCTAATGTTCCGGAGACGCCGGGACAGCCTGGGCAACCTGGTGGTGCAGGTGGACCTGGTGGTCCTGGAGGTCCTGGTGGACCTGGTGGACCAGGTGGGCCTGGGGGACCAACAATACCAATAAAACCTGCAGGTATGCAATATTTTGGGTACTTTCAATTTGGGTTTAAACAATTAGAGAAACTAACTATATATATGATAAATTTTGCATGCATGGAGCATTATCTATATACAAACACAATTCTGGTATTTTACATACGGTTAATACTTTTGCTTTTGGACGAAGATGCTTCATTCTTTTTATTTGAGTCTTATCTTTCATTTCATTTAGATTATTCTTTTAACTTACTAGTTTTACTTGCATTTGTTTTTGTTAATCTATTAAAAGAATTGGCAATTGTTCTCTACTGTTGCTCTTTGTTAAATAACTACATCTACTTGTTGAAACTTAAATTGCTACCCTAAACGTCATATCCAACTCATGTTAATTAGTTATCCAATGCTTAGATTTAGTTGAATTTACACCATGCTGGTTGCAATCTTAAGTTTCAACGAACCTTATTTGCTATTAGAGAGCTTTAGCTGTGAATACAAGTACACAATTCGTCATTGTAACATGTTTTTTGTCTATGCTATCAGCATAAACCATGAGGACCACATGTTTTGTCATATAGCAGGGCAAAAACTTGGAGAAAGAATGACTTGGAGTAAAATTTGTACTTGTAGTCATACTCATACGCACTAATAAAGCCCCTAATGATGGTATACATGGACTCTTTCTAGGACCTGGACAACCTAATGGTCCTGGTGGACCAAATGGGCCAGGAGGACCTGGTGGACCTGGTGGGCCTGGTGGACCTGGAGGAGCAGGTGGTCCAGGAGGACCTGGTGGACCTGGTGGACCAAAAGGACCAAGTGGTCCAGGTGGGCCCAAAGGACCAGGATCACCAGGAGGTCCTGGTGGCCCAGGAGGGCCTGGTGGCCCTAATGGACCAGCAGTGCCAAGTGGTCCTGGTAATCCAGGGAATCCTGGAGGACCTGGTGGACCTGGTGGGCCTGGTGGACCTGGAGGTCCTGGTGGACCTGCTGTACCCTCAAGTCCTGGCCAACCAGGCAATCCTGGGGGTCCTGGAGGACCAGGTGGACCAGGAGGACCTGGTGGACCAGGTGGTCCTGGTGGACCTGGAAAACCTGGAGGTCCTGGACAACCAGAGGGACCAGGGGGACCTGGTGGACCTGGTGGACCTGGTGGACCTGGTGGTCCTGGAGGTCCAGGAAAACCCACTGAAAAACCTTCTGTGCCAGCACAACCTGGTAACCCTGGTGGACCTTTAGGTCCTGGTGGACCTGGTGGACCAGGAGGTCCTGGTGGTCCTGGTGGACCTGGTGGTCCTGGAGGAAAAACACCTCCTGGTGGTCCAGGACAACCTGGTGGTCCTAAAGGACCTGGTGGTCCAAATGGACCAGGTGGACCACAAGGGCCTGGTGGACCTGGTGGCCCGAAAGGCCCATTGTCGCCTGGTGGACCTGGAGGCCCTGGAGGACCTGGTGGACCAAATGGTCCAGGAGGACCGAATGGACCTACACCTCCAGGCGGCCCAGGCAAACCTGGTGGACCTGATGGTCCTGGTGGACCAGGCGGACCAGGTGGACCTGGTGGACCAGGAGGTCCAGGGGGTCCTGGTGGACCCAAAGTTCCTTCTACACCTGGACAGCCTGGGAATCCAGGGGGCCCTGGTGGAAATGGTGGACCCGGAGGACCAGGTGGCCCAGGAGGTCCCGGTGGACCTGGAGGTCCTGAAGGTCCTGGTGGACCTCATGGCCCAGGTGGCCCAGGGGGACGACTGGTGGACCAGGAAGTCCTGGGGGACCGGAGGACCAAAGGGGCCAGGAGGACCTGGTGGACCTGGAGGCCCTAATGGTCCAACTCCTGCAGGTGGTCCTGGAAACCTGGAGGACCTGGTGGGCCAGGTGGACCAACAGGTCCTGGTGGGCCTGGTGGACCGGGTGGCCCAGGAGGCCCAGGTGGACCTGGCGGACCTGGAGGTCCTGGAGTACCTGGAGTGCCTGGGCAACCTGGAAACCCTGGGGGTCCTGGGGGACCTAATGGGCCTGGTGGTCCTGGTGGTCCAGGTGGACCAGGCAGTCCAGGTGGCCCGCTAACTCCTGGTGGCCCTGGTGGTCCAAAAGGACCTGGTGGTCCTGGTGGTCCCGGTGGTCCTGGTGGACCAGCTGTACCAAGTAAGCCTGGGGAGCCTGGACAACCTGGAGGACCTGGTGGACCTGGTGGATCTGGTGGACCAGGTGGTCCTGGAGGCCCTGGGGGTCCTGGAGGACCGAGTACTCCCAAAGGCCCAGGAAATCCTGGAGGTTTGTATATTTTGTTGACTTTTTTGTATTATTGATCAATGGTTTTGAATTTGAATTGGGAAATTGTGGTCATTAAAATTATTTCATATTTGCTTTTTAAGTGCTCTTCATGCTTTCAACTTTAGAGCCATATGCATTTTAGAATAAAATATTTTTATCTGTGCCAATGATTTGTTCACAACTCTTATTTTGTATGAAAATTTCCTGTTACCAAGTGTAGTAAAATCTTTGTTTCTATCTGGCGTATTTTCTACATGTCTAATATTGTAGTTTTCCAAAAAAATACTCATTAGTAGAAGAGCAATCCAAATTTCCAAATTAGCACAACACACTATAGATACAGGCCGCTTCTGTCTGTAGGCTTGCGGTGGGTAATCTCGAAATTTTTTCACATTTAAATAGTGACACTTAAATACTTTTTCCAATAATGTTTTTTTGCTTTTAGCACCTAAAGGACCAGGTGGGCCTGATGGGCCAGGTGGACCTAATGGTCCAGGTGGTCCAGGTGGTCCTGGAGGGCCTGGTGGCCCAGGTGGTCCTGGTGGACCTGGAGGTATGAATGGCCCTGGCGGACCTGGTGGTGAAGGTGGACCTGGAACACCTGGTCAGCCTGGTGGTCCAGGAGGACCAGGAGGTCCAAATGGACCTGGAGGTCCTGGTGGAAAAACTCCTCCTGGTGGTCCAGGAAAACCTGGTGGTCCTGGTGGTCCAGGTGGTCCTGGGGGTAAAGGTGGACCTGGAGGGCCTGGAGGGCCTGGTGGACCCGGAGGTCCTGCTGTGCCCAGTGGGCCTGGTCAGCCAGGATCACCTAATGGACCAGGTGGTCCTGGAGGGCCTGGTGGACCAGGTGGTGATGGTGGTCCTGGCGACCTGGTGGACCTGGTGGGCCAGGTGGACCAGGTGGGCCTGGAAAACCTGGTGGGCCTGGAGGGCCAAATGGCCCAGGTGGACCAAATGGACCTGGTGGACCTGGCGGACCAGGAGGACCAGGTGGAAAAACACCACCTGGGGGCCCCGGTGAGCCTGGAGGGCCTCTTGGGCCTGGTGGTCCAGGTGGTCCTGGAGGGCCTGGTGGACCAGGAGGTCCAGGTGGACCTGGTGGGAAGACACCACCTGGTGGTCCAGGTCAACCTGGGGGCCCACAAGGACCTGGAGGTCCAGGAGGTCCAGGTGGACCAAATGGTCCTGGTGGTCCAGGTGGGCCAAATGGACCTTTAAGTCCTGGGGGACTGGGGGACCCGGTGGGCCTGGTGGGCCAAATGGACCAGGAGGACCAGGTGGTCAAACACCTCCTGGAGGTCCTGGGAAACCAGGTGGACCTGGTGGACAGGGGGACCTGGAGGTCCTGGGGACCCGGTGGTCCTGGAGGACCTGGTGGACCTGGTGGAAAAACACCCCCTGGAGGTCCTGGTGAGCCCGGTGGTCCACAGGGTCCAGGAGGACCAAGTGGACCTGGGGACCAGGAGGACTGGGGGACCTGGTGGGCCCGGGGGTCCTGGTGGACCAGGTGGTGCATTTGGGCCAGGTGGTCCTGGATCTCAAGGAGGGCCTGGTGGGACCTGGTGGACCTGGAGGCCAGGTGGGCCTGGTGGCCCAGGTGGTAAAACACCCCCTGGTGGCCCAGGTGAACCTGGTGGACCATTAGGCCCTGGCGGCCCTGGTGGGCCTGGTGGAAATGGGGGGCCTGGGGGTCCTGGTGGACCAGGTGGACCTGGAAAACCTGGTGCACCTGGCACACCTGGGACTCCCGGTGGGCCAGGTGGGCCAAAGGGACCTGGTGGCATTGGAGGTCCAAATGGACCTCTTCTCCTGGTGGACCTGGTGGCCCAAAAGGGCCTGGTGGACCAGGTGGTCCTGGAGGACCTGGAGGGCCTAGTGTTCCAGAAACTCCTGGTGAGCCTGGACAGCCTGGTGGAGCCGGTGGACCTGGTGGTCCTGGTGGCCCTGGTGGTCCTGGTGGACCAGGTGGCCCAGGGGGGCCAACTGTGCCAACAAAACCAGGAGGTAAATTGACCTTTAATCTTTAATATGCTAGCTACAGTTAGAGTGAGTTTCCACTTGCAGAAAAATGGTTCTCAAGAAAAAATATTTTCATATTCTCTTTAAAATTTTTACGTCATAAAGAAATTAGTACAATGTGATTCTTTTCAATTCAAAAGAATATTCAAAATATTTTGCTTAAAATTATTCATCGGTACTTTGATATTGTTTAAAAAAATTGTTTTTTAAAAACAAAATTTAGATCCCTAGGTTGATATTGTACCTTGCATGTTAAGTTTCGCTCAGTTGTTTGTTAAGAAATAGTGAAAAATCCAGTCAGCATGGAAGACATCTTCTCATGGAATGCTTAAAATATTAAAAAACGGTCACGTGCTGTAGCTCTGTTTACCAGCTTTTGCTTAGCCGTTTTAATAATTGGGGTAATTTATGTTTAATTTTAGGACCTGGACAACCTAATGGACCTGGTGGATCTAGTGGACCTGGAGGTCCAGGTGGGCCTGGCGGGCCAGGAGGGCCAGGTGGTCCAGGAGGACCTGGTGGACCTGGAGGACCTGGTGGACCAAAAGGACCAAGTGGTCCAGGTGGAGTTAATGGTCCTGGGTCTCCTGGAGGGCCTGGTGGACCAGGAGGGCCTGGTGGCCCTAATGGACCAGCAGTGCCAAGTGGTCCTGGTAATCCCGGAAATCCTGGAGGACCTGGTGGACCTGGTGGGCCTGGTGGACCTGGAGGTCCTGGTGGACCAGCTGTACCCTCAAGTCCTGGCCAACCAGGCAATCCTGGGGGTCCTGGAGGACCAGGTGGACCGGGAGGACCTGGTGGACCAGGTGGTCCTGGTGGACCTGGAAAACCTGGAGGTCCTGGACAACCAGAGGGACCAGGGGGACCTGGTGGACCTGGTGGACCTGGTGGACCTGGTGGACCTGGTGGTCCTGGAGGTCCAGGCAAACCCACTGAAAAACCTTCTGTGCCAGCACAACCTGGTAACCCTGGTGGACCTTTAGGTCCTGGTGGACCTGGTGGACCAGGAGGTCCTGGTGGTCCTGGTGGACCTGGTGGTCCTGGAGGGAAAACACCTCCTGGTGGTCCAGGACAACCTGGTGGTCCTAAAGGACCTGGTGGTCCAAATGGACCAGGTGGACCACAAGGGCCTGGTGGACCTGGTGGCCCGAAAGGCCCATTGTCGCCTGGTGGACCTGGAGGCCCTGGAGGACCTGGTGGACCAAATGGTCCAGGAGGACCGAATGGACCTACACCTCCAGGTGGCCCAGGCAAACCTGGTGGACCTGATGGTCCTGGTGGACCAGGCGGACCAGGTGGACCTGGTGGACCAGGAGGTCCAGGGGGTCCTGGTGGACCCAAAGTTCCTTCTACACCTGGACAGCCTGGGAATCCAGGGGGCCCTGGTGGAAATGGTGGACCCGGAGGACCAGGTGGCCCAGGAGGTCCCGGTGGACCTGGAGGTCCTGAAGGTCCTGGTGGACCTCATGGCCCAGGTGGCCCAGGGGGACCTGGTGGACCAGGAAGTCCTGGGGGACCAGGAGGACCAAAGGGGCCAGGAGGACCTGGTGGACCTGGAGGCCCTAATGGTCCAACTCCTGCAGGTGGTCCTGGAAAACCTGGAGGACCTGGTGGGCCAGGTGGACCAACAGGTCCTGGTGGGCCTGGTGGACCGGGTGGCCCAGGAGGCCCAGGTGGACCTGGCGGACCTGGAGGTCCTGGAGTACCTGGAGTGCCTGGGCAACCTGGAAACCCTGGGGGTCCTGGGGGACCTAATGGGCCTGGTGGTCCTGGTGGTCCAGGTGGACCAGGCAGTCCAGGTGGCCCGCTAACTCCTGGTGGCCCTGGTGGTCCAAAAGGACCTGGTGGTCCTGGTGGTCCCGGTGGTCCTGGTGGACCAGCTGTACCAAGTAAGCCTGGGGAGCCTGGACAACCTGGAGGACCTGGTGGACCTGGTGGATCTGGTGGACCAGGTGGTCCTGGAGGCCCTGGGGGTCCTGGAGGACCGAGTACTCCCAAAGGCCCAGGAAATCCTGGAGGTTTGTATATTTTGTTGACTTTTTTGTATTATTGATCAATGGTTTTGAATTTGAATTGGGAAATTGTGGTCATTAAAATTATTTCATATTTGCTTTTTAAGTGCTCTTCATGCTTTCAACTTTAGAGCCATATGCATTTTAGAATAAAATATTTTTATCTGTGTCAATGATTTGTTCACAACTCTTATTTTGTATGAAAATTTCCTGTTACCAAGTGTAGTAAAATCTTTGTTTCTATCTGGCGTATTTTCTACATGTCTAATATTGTAGTTTCCAAAAACAATACTCATTAGTAGAAGAGCAATCCAAATTTCCAAATTAGCACAACACACTATAGATACAGGCCGCTTCTGTCTGTAGGCTTGCTGTGGTTTATCTCGAAATTTTTTCACATTTAAATAGTGACACTTAAATACTTTTTTCCAATAATGTTTTTTTGCTTTTAGCACCTAAAGGACCAGGTGGGCCTGATGGGCCAGGTGGACCTAATGGTCCAGGTGGTCCAGGTGGTCCTGGAGGGCCTGGTGGCCCAGGTGGTCCTGGTGGACCTGGAGGTATGAATGGCCCTGGCGGACCTGGTGGTGAAGGTGGACCTGGAACACCTGGTCAGCCTGGTGGTCCAGGAGGACCAGGAGGTCCAAATGGACCTGGAGGTCCTGGTGGAAAAACTCCTCCTGGTGGTCCAGGAAAACCTGGTGGTCCTGGTGGTCCAGGTGGTCCTGGGGGTAAAGGTGGACCTGGAGGGCCTGGAGGGCCTGGTGGACCCGGAGGTCCTGCTGTGCCCAGTGGGCCTGGTCAGCCAGGATCACCTAATGGACCAGGTGGTCCTGGAGGGCCTGGTGGACCAGGTGGTGATGGTGGTCCTGGCGGACCTGGTGGACCTGGTGGGCCAGGTGGACCAGGTGGGCCTGGAAAACCTGGTGGGCCTGGAGGGCCAAATGGCCCAGGTGGACCAAATGGACCTGGTGGACCTGGCGGACCAGGAGGACCAGGTGGAAAAACACCACCTGGGGGCCCCGGTGAGCCTGGAGGGCCTCTTGGGCCTGGTGGTCCAGGTGGTCCTGGAGGGCCTGGTGGACCAGGAGGTCCAGGTGGACCTGGTGGGAAGACACCACCTGGTGGTCCAGGTCAACCTGGGGGCCCACAAGGACCTGGAGGTCCAGGAGGTCCAGGTGGACCAAATGGTCCTGGTGGTCCAGGTGGGCCAAATGGACCTTTAAGTCCTGGGGGACCTGGGGGACCCGGTGGGCCTGGTGGGCCAAATGGACCAGGAGGACCAGGTGGTCAAACACCTCCTGGAGGTCCTGGGAAACCAGGTGGACCTGGTGGACCAGGGGGACCTGGAGGTCCTGGAGGACCCGGTGGTCCTGGAGGACCTGGTGGACCTGGTGGAAAAACACCCCCTGGAGGTCCTGGTGAGCCCGGTGGTCCACAGGGTCCAGGAGGACCAAGTGGACCTGGGGGACCAGGAGGACCTGGGGGACCTGGTGGGCCCGGGGGTCCTGGTGGACCAGGTGGTGCATTTGGGCCAGGTGGTCCTGGATCTCAAGGAGGGCCTGGTGGACCTGGTGGACCTGGAGGGCCAGGTGGGCCTGGTGGCCCAGGTGGTAAAACACCCCCTGGTGGCCCAGGTGAACCTGGTGGACCATTAGGCCCTGGTGGCCCTGGTGGGCCTGGTGGAAATGGGGGGCCTGGAGGTCCTGGTGGACCAGGTGGACCTGGAAAACCTGGTGCACCTGGCACACCTGGGACTCCCGGTGGGCCAGGTGGGCCAAAGGGACCTGGTGGCATTGGAGGTCCAAATGGACCTCTTTCTCCTGGTGGACCTGGTGGCCCAAAAGGGCCTGGTGGACCAGGTGGTCCTGGAGGACCTGGAGGGCCTAGTGTTCCAGAAACTCCTGGTGAGCCTGGACAGCCTGGTGGAGCCGGTGGACCTGGTGGTCCTGGTGGCCCTGGTGGTCCTGGTGGACCAGGTGGCCCAGGGGGGCCAACTGTGCCAACAAAACCAGGAGGTAAATTGACCTTTAATCTTTAATATGCTAGCTACAGTTAGAGTGAGTTTCCACTTGCAGAAAAATGGTTCTCAAGAAAAAAGATTTCCATATTCTCTTTAAAATTTTTACTTCATAAAGAAATTAGTACAATGTGATTCTTTTCAATTGAAAAGAATATTTAAAATATTTTGCTTAAAAATTATTCATCGGTACTTTGATAGTGTTTAAAAAATTGTTTTTTAAAAACAAAATTTAGATCCCTAGGTTGATATTGTACCTTGCATGTTAAGTTTCGCTCAGTTGTTTGTTAAGAAATAGTGAGAAATCCAGTCAGCATGGAAGACATCTTCTCATGGAATGCTTAAAATATTAAAAAACGGTCACATGCTGTAGCTCTGTTTACCAGGTTTTGCTTAGTCGTTTTAATAATTGGGGTAATTTATGTTTAATTTTAGGACCTGGACAACCTAATGGACCTGGTGGATCTAGTGGACCTGGAGGTCCAGGTGGGCCTGGCGGGCCAGGAGGGCCAGGTGGTCCAGGAGGACCTGGTGGGCCTGGAGGACCTGGTGGACCAAAAGGACCAAGTGGTCCAGGTGGAATTAATGGTCCTGGGTCTCCTGGAGGGCCTGGTGGACCAGGAGGGCCTGGTGGCCCTAATGGACCAGCAGTGCCAAGTGGTCCTGGTAATCCGGGAAATCCTGGAGGACCTGGTGGACCTGGTGGGCCTGGTGGACCTGGAGGTCCTGGTGGACCTGCTGTACCCTCAAGTCCTGGCCAACCCGGCAATCCTGGGGGTCCTGGAGGACCAGGTGGACCTGGAGGACCTGGTGGACCAGGTGGTCCTGGTGGACCTGGGAAACCTGGAGGTCCTGGACAACCAGAGGGACCAGGGGGACCTGGCGGACCAGGTGGACCTGGTGGTCCTGGCGGTCCTGGAGGTCCAGGCAAACCCACTGAAAAACCTTCTGTGCCAGCACAACCTGGTAACCCTGGTGGACCTTTAGGTCCTGGTGGACCTGGTGGACCAGGAGGCCCTGGTGGTCCTGGTGGACCTGGTGGTCCTGGAGGGAAAACACCTCCTGGTGGTCCAGGACAACCTGGTGGTCCTAAAGGACCTGGTGGTCCAAATGGACCAGGTGGACCACAAGGGCCTGGTGGACCTGGTGGCCCGAAAGGCCCATTGTCGCCTGGAGGACCTGGAGGTCCTGGAGGACCTGGTGGACCAAATGGTCCAGGAGGACCAAATGGACCTACACCCCCTGGCGGTCCTGGTGAACCAGGCGGACCTAGTGGACCTGGTGGGCCTGGTGGGCCTGGTGGGCCAGGGGGACAAGGAGGTCCAGGTGGTCCAGGTGGGCCAAATGTTCCGAGCAAGCCTGGCCAACCTGGAAACCCAGGTGGCCCAGGAGGACCTGGTGGAGAAGGTGGACCTGGAGGTCCAAATGGACCCGGAGGACCAGGTGGCCCTGGTGGACCTGGTGGTATGGGTGGACCTGGTGGTCCAGGTAGTCCAGGTGGTCCAGGAAGTCCTGGTGGTCCTGGGGGACCAAATGGCCCTGGTGGTCCTGGAGGTCCTGGAGGCCCCGGTGGGAAGACACCGCCTGGTGGGCCTGGAAAACCAGGAGGACAAGGTGGTCCTGGAGGACCATCAGGTCCTGGTGGTCCAGGAGGCCCTGGAGGGCCTGGTGGCCCGCAAGGTCCTGGAGGACCAGGTGGGCCATCAGTTCCTAGTGGTCCTGGACAGCCTGGAAGCCCAGGAGGTCCAGGTGGCCCAAATGGACCTGGAGGTCCTGGGGGGCCTGGAGGCCTTAGTGGACCAGGTGGACCACTTACTCCTGGTGGTCCTGGTGGGCCGAAAGGACCTGGAGGACCTGGAGGGCCAGGCGGTCCAAGTGGGCCTACTGTTCCAAATAGACCTGGAGAACCTGGTAACCCTGGCGGACCTGGTGGACCTGGAGGACCTGGTGGACCTGGTGGAATTGGTGGACCTGGTGGACCTGGTGGACCAAGTCTTCCAAAAGTTCCTGGAAATCCCGGAGGTAAGATTTGAGATATAACTTGTGATGACTGCATAACTAAGATGACTGCATACCAGAACGAGCTCAACAAATTAATATTAATGCTTGGAAAATTTGGAATGTTGTTTGGAACAGTGTTTACGCTGTCCGAGAACTATCTTTCAATTTCACGAAATGTAGGATCGCTTGTTATATTAAACAAACTCATTTCGCGGAGAAGCACCTGAGGCAAACAATCAATTGTTGTTTTTTTGTCGCAGTTAATACAATTATGAAGCCTAGCTCTCACATCGACCCAGCGATGTGTTTTCAGTGGTCGGTGATAAGAAAAATTAACAAGTCTGTGTTCCGCATGATCGCGGATAATGCCCATTACTGACGATGATTGTGGTGTATGGGAACTATTCTTCAGTTTCGGCGAATGGGATAAGAGACTATTTCTCGGGCCCCGAGAGGGTTTTAGTTGCACTCTTTCGTTTGCAAGGCGTCGTTGAAGGGCTGCGACTTTACGGCTGCGTTTACTGTTTTAACTGCGCTGTGTTCCTCAGATAACCCATTTGATTCGATCGACTTATCTATTTTGTGTATCTCATATTTCATATTACTGATCTTGATATGTGTAATAATTTCGTGTGCAAATCGAAAAGGGACGCTAATTTGCTCTAAGAAAACGGCTAGAACTTGGCGATAACTTCACGTGGAGGTTAATTTCTCCCCAATATGCAATGTGCTCCTAGTGTAAAGAATATTTGCTGGTTCAGCCATATAAAAATGTGAGTCATTCAACATAGCTGTTAGGAAGCTAAAATATTTTATATTCAACTTTTTAAACGTTTCAACGAGGTAAATTATCACAGACTAAATGTTAAATTCGGACGGGAACACGATAAGGATGGCTATCAGTATAACGTATACAAAGTCTGCATTATACGACGTATTCAGTAAAGTTGTCTGCATAAAATAGGTCGCATAGAAACGTTCCGAAACAATGTTCCAAAACGTCCCAAACGCACCGAATGTTTTCCTTTTCGGACACCATAAATTCATGCGATCGATAGTACACAACAACTGTTAACTGAAACATGTATTTGAAAGTTACTTCAGCCTTGTCGTTGTCGTGTTCCGCGAAAACCGCAAATTGTAGTTTGCGGTTTGCCCTGGACGCTAGGCTAAAACTCGCCATCAGAAAGCTTTTACATCAAACTGATAACGGATCATTTGTAATTTTTTTAAACAATTTGAACTTTATCAGTAGTGTAAACTGTAGTGTGTAGTGTAAATGAATCCGGAATCATTCCAGATTGAGAATTTTGTATTCTTGCTATACTGTGGACGGACTATGCAATGACAAATAAGCGAGGGAATACCGTTAGAGACACTATACCAAAACTCATATTCAATGGTTGTACATTTTTTGCGGCATGTTGACATATGATGCCTTATATTCAATATTCACCCACCATCCAGAAACTCCCATACAACAACACCTAAAGAATATGATTAGGATTTTCAATTTTTCACATAAAATCTGGTCAAAGTAATACTTTGTAATGAGTTTCTGACCATGCAATTATTCTGGAAGGTAATAGATGTGTTCAAACAATTTTTCATTATATTTTGTAGGACCTAGGGGTCCTGGGGGACCTCTTGGACCTGGAGGACCTGGTGGGCCGGGAGGACCAGGTGGGCCCGGCGGACCTGGAGGACCTGGTGGTCCTGGTGGTAGTGGTGGTCCTGGAAGCCCTGGAGCCCCTGGGGGACCAAATGGCCCTGGTGGTCCTGGCGGCCCTGGTGGACCTGGAGGACCAACTGTACCAGGAGGACCTGGTAAGCCAGGAAACCCTGGTGGTCCAGGAGGTCCTGGTGGACCTGGTGGTCCTTCTGTGCCAAGTGGACCTGGTCAACCTGGAAATCCAAATGGCCCAGGTGGACCAGGAGGAATTGGTGGACCAGGAGGAGAGGGTGGCCCTGGTGGTCCTGGGCAACCTGGAGGCCCTAGTGGGCCAGGTGGTCCTGGGGGACCCAATGGACCTGGTGGGCCAGGTGGTCCTGGTGGCCCTGGAGGTAAAACACCACCTGGAGGACCAGGTGAACCAGGCGGTCCTCTTGGACCAGGTGGTCCTGGAGGGCCTGGTGGGCCTGGGGGCCCTAGCGGTCCAGGTGGTCCAGGTGGAAAAACTCCACCTGGTGGACCTGGACAGCCTGGGGGACCAAATGGTCCAGGTGGTCCAAATGGCCCTGGGGGTCCAGGTGGTCCTGGAGGACCTGGTGGCACTAACGGTCCAATGAACCCTGGAGGTCCTGGAGGTCCAAATGGTCCTGGTGGTCCAAATGGCCCAGGTGGACCTGGAGGGCCGAAAACACCAAGTGGTCCAGGTATGCCTGGAAATCCTGGTGGCCCTGGTGGTCCTGGTGGGCCTGGTGGACCTGGTGGGCCAGGTGGAAATGGTGGCCCAGGTGGTCCAACAACTCCAAATTCCCCTGGTCAACCTGGTCGCCCAGGTGGTCCAGGTGGTCCTGGTGGTCCTGGGGGCCCTGGTGGTCCTGGTGGACCAGGTGGACCTGGAGGACCAGGAGGACCTGGAGGAGCTTTTGGACCTGGTTCACCAGGTACACCTGGAGGTCCTGGAGGACCTGGTGGACCAGGCGGACCAAATGGCCCGTCTCCTGGAGGACCAGGTGAACCTGGGGGCCCATTAGGCCCAGGTGGGCCTGGTGGGCCTGGAGGGCCAGGAGGACCCAGTGGACCTGGTGGACCTGGAGGACCTGGTACACCTAATGGACCAGGACAACCTGGTGGACCTGGAGGACCTGGAGGACCAAAAGGACCAGGTGGCCCAGGTGGACCAAACGGACCATTGATGCCTGGTGGTCCTGGTGGGCCTAATGGGCCTGGAGGGCCTGGTGGACCAGGTGGACCAAATGGACCTGCAGTTCCTGAACGGCCTGGAAATCCTGGAAGACCTGGTGGGGCTGGCGGTCCTGGTGGACCTGGTGGACCTGGAGGACCCGGTGGTCCTGGAGGGCCTGGTATTCCTGGAGGACCAAGTGTTCCTGGAATACCTTCAACACCAGAAGGACCTAAAGGTTTGTACACTGCTATGAGTTAATTGTTGGACATTTGAACATTTACATCTGAGGACACTTGTAATGCAACAGCAATTGTGGTTGTTACTCTGAACATTTTTAACACATTTATTTTGTTCATACATATTTGTGCTCACTAAGCTTCACTTATACATGACGACAGTATACATAACTCTGCTTTATTGCCAAACTCTGTCCCCATGTCATGGTCCTTTTTCCTTAATATACACAAACTATTTGCATAGCCCTGCAATAATAATCTGGTATGCATTGCTTATTTATGACATTTATTGTTTATTTAGGACCTGGTCAGCCTCTTGGCCCAGGAGGACCAGGAGGACCAGGAGGACCAGGTGGTCCTGGTGGGCCTGGAGGACCAGGAGGACAAGGTGGTCCTGGAGGTCCAAAAGGACCTGGAGGACCAGGTGGACCAGGTGGACCTGGAGCTCCGAATAGTCCCGGTGGGCCAGGTGGACCAGGTGGTCCTAATGGACCAACTCCACCAGGTGGACCAGGCGAGCCTGGGGGACCAGGTGGACCAGGTGGACCGGGTGGCCCAGGAGGTCCTGGTGGACCAGGAGGACCCAGTGTACCATCTGGCCCTGGGCAGCCTGGTGGTCCCGGGGGACCTGGTGGTCCTGGAGGACTAGGTGGCCCTGGAGGGCCAGGTGGCCCTGGGACTCCTGGAAAACCTGGTGGACCAGGATCACCTGGTGGTCCAGGTGGTCCAGGAGGTCCAGGAGGACCAAGTGGACCTGGTGGTCCCCACGGACCTGGTGGTCCTGGAAAAAAACCTGGGCCAGGTAAACCTGGACAACCTGGTGCACCAACTGGGCCAGGTGGCCCTGGTGGACCTGGTGGCCCTGGGGGACCAGGAGGACCTGGGGGACCTGGAGGCCCTACCCCTCCAGGTGGACCTGGTATGCCAGGTGGTCCAAATGGTCCTGGAGGGCCTGGAGGCCCTGGTGGACAAGGAGGCCCTGGGGGACCTGGTGGGCCTGGAGGACCTGGTTCACCCAATGGACCAGGTGGTCCAGGTGGACCTGGAGGACCAAATGGGCCTGGTGGTCCAGGAGGAAAAACGCCTCCTGGAAAACCTGGTGAACCTGGAGGTCCTCAAGGACCAGGAGGGCCTGGTGGTCCAGGGGGACCTGGAGGCCCTGGTGGACCTGGTGGACCAGGTGGAAAGACACCTCCTGGAGGTCCAGGACAACCAGGTGGCCCAAATGGACCTGGAGGTCCTGGAGGACCTGGTGGTATTGGCGGTCCTGATGGTCCTGGTGGTCCTGGTGGACCAGGTGGTCCTGGGGGACCATCGGGTCCTGGGGGACCAACAGGTCCTGGTGGACCTGGTAGTCCAGGTGGACCTGGGGGACCCAATGGGCCTGGAGGACCTGGAGGTCCTGGTGGGCCAGGTGGACCAACTAAGCCTGGTGGTCCAGGCCAACCTGGAGGACCTGGAGGTCCTGGAGGCCCGTCTGGGCCTGGTGGACCTGGAGGACCTGGAGGACCAGGTGGCCCAGGTGGACCTGGTGGCCCTAATGGACCTGCTGTTCCAAGTGGACCTGGACAACCAGGAAGCCCTGGTGGACCCGGTGGGCCGAATGGGCCAGGTGGACCAAATGGACCTGGAGGGCCAGGAGGTCCAGAAGGGCCATTATCACCTGGTGGTCCAGGTGGGCCAAATGGACCTGGTGGACCAAATGGGCCTGGTGGGCCTGATGGTGCAACAATGCCTGGTGGCACTGGAAAACCTGGAGGACCTGGAGGTCCAGGTGGTCCTGGTGGGCCCGGTGGGCCTGGAGGGCCTGGGGGACCTGGAGGACCAAATGGACCAAGTGTTCCTGCAGTACCGGGAAGCCCTGGATGTAAGTAAACTATAATAATGAGGTGCAATCCTATGCACAACTTGGGATTATAAATGTCACTTAAATATAGTAAAATGTTTTATTAAAATTATTTTCTAAATTTTTAGCTCCTGGAGGACCTGGTGGCCCTGGTGGACCTGGAGGTCCTGGTGGTCCTGGTGGACCTGGTGGTCCTGGTGGGGCTGGAGGTCCTGGTGGACAGAATGGACCAGGAGGACCAGGTGGTCCTAGTGGACCTGGCCTACCCGGAGGCCCTGGTGGGCCTGGAGGTTTAGGTGGACCTGGAGGACCAGGTGGTCCAAATGGCCCTACAAAACCTGGAGGGCCTGGTGAACCAGGTGGTCCATTAGGGCCAGGAGGTCCAGGTGGACAAGGTGGACCTGGAGGACCAGGTGGTCCAGGAGGACCTGGATCAAAAGAAGGACCAGGGGGACCAGGTCAGCCTGGTGGCCCTGGTGGCCCTGGGGGGCCAAAGGGTCCAGGTGGACCACAAGGACCAGGCGGGCCAGGTGGGCCTACTGGACCACTGTCGCCTGGTGGACCTGGTGGCCCTAATGGCCCAGGTGGTCCAGGTGGACCTGGTGGACCAGGTGGGCCCTCAGTTCCTTCTGTTCCTGGGCAGCCTGGTAAACCAGGAGGGGCTGGTGGTCCAGGTGGACCTGGTGGTCCTGGTGGTCCTGGCGGCCCTGGGGGACCAGGTGGTCCAAGCACTCCTGGTGGCCCTGGTAAGCCAGGAGGACCAGGAGGTCCTGGTGGTATAGGTGGACCTGGTGGACCAGGGGGACCTGGAGGGCCTGGTGGCCCCAGTGGTCCTGGTGGAGCAAAGATACCTGAAAAGCCAGCAATTCCCAGTGGTCCGACAATTCCACCTGGAAAACCAGGTGGTCCTGGTACGCCAGGTGGTCCTGGTGGTCCTGAAGGTCCTGGTGGACCAGGGAAGCCAGGAGGACCTGGTGGCCCAAATGGGCCAGGAGGACCTGGTGGTCCAGGTGGGCCTAATGGGCCAGGTGGACCAAATGGTCCAGGTGGTCCTGGGGGGCCATCGGTACCCAGTGGCCCAGGACAACCTGGAGGAATAGGTGGACCTGGCGGGCCTTCAGGACCTGGTGGACCTGGTGGGCCTGGTGGGCCTGGGGGTCAAGGAGGTCCTGGTGGGCCTGGAGGAGCCACACCACCTGGCGGTCCAGGAGAACCAGGAGGACCAACTGGACCTGGAGGGCCGAAAGGTCCTGGTGGCCCTGGAGGACCAGGTGGGCCAGGTGGGCCAGGTGGACCATTAAGTCCTGGAGGACCTGGTGGACCAAATGGTCCTGGTGGTCCAGGTGGGCCTGGAGGCCCTGGTGGTCCAGCAGTTCCTGCTGGGCATGGAGAACCTGGTTCTCCAGAAGGACCCGGTGGACCTGGGGGACCTGGAGGTCCTGGTGGTCCTGGTGGACCTGGTGGTCCAGGTGGTTCTACGCCACCTGGTAAGCCAGGAACACCTGGTTCCCCAGAAGGACCGGGTGGTCCTGGTGGCCCTGGAGGTCCTGGTGGCATTGAGGGACCAGGAGGGCCAGGTGGCCCTGGTGGTCCTGGTGGGCAAGGTGGACCAGGGGGACCTGGTGGGGCTGGTGGACCGGGAAGCCCTGGAGGACCAGGCGGACCAAATGGACCTGGTGGTCCAAATGGGCCTGCAGTACCCAGCACTCCTGGTTCTCCTGGAAAACCAGGAGGACCTGGTGGACCAGGTGGTAATGGAGGGCCAGGAGGACCAGGAGGGCCCGGTGGTCCTGGAGGTCCTGCAGTACCTAGTGGACCTGGTCAACCTGGATCACCTGGTGGACCCGGTGGACCAAATGGTCCAGGTGGACCAAAAGGTCCTGGTGGACCAAAGGGTCCACAGGGACCAGGATCTCCAAATGGACCAGGTGGACCTGGTGGCCCAGGTGGACCTAATGGACCTGGTGGACCAAATGGTCCAACACCGCCTGGGGGCCCAGGGCAACCTGGTGGTCCTGGTGGTCCTGGAGGACCTGGCGGACCTGGAGGTCCTGGTGGACCTGGTGGACCCGGGGGACCAGGTGGTCCTGGAAAGCCTGGAGGACCTGGTAAACCTGGAGGTAAGAAGATATACTAAGGTTTCTACTTCTTTGAGATATACTTTTTAGTAATTGTTACCTAACTATAATCGCAATTTTTTTTAATATTAATGTAAGGAATATTTTTGAGTAATGTAACAACAAAGGGTTGTGCAGAATTTTGAAATATTTAGATACTCATAAACTGCACACTGCGACTGTATAAACTATTTAGTAAAGTATTTTTAATTCTATTTCACAGGAACTGGCGGTCCTGGGGGACCATTAGGCCCTGGTGGCCCTGGTGGACCTGGTGGTCCTGGTGGACCAGGTGGTCCTGGTGGTCCTGGAGGATTAAGTGGACCAGGTGGACCAAGTGGACCTGGGGGACCTGGTAGTCCTGGAGGACCTGGTGGCCCAGGTGGGCCTGGAGGACCTAAAGGACCTGGTGGGCCGGGTGGGCCAACACCACCTGGTGGACCAGGTGAACCTGGAGGAATACTTGGTCCTGGTGGACCAGGAGGACCTGGTGGCCCAGGTGGCCCGGGCGGGCCCGGTGGGCCTGGTGGTACAGTTATACCTAGTGGACCTGGACAACCAGGAAGTCCAAGTGGCCCAGGTGGTCCTAAAGGACCAGGTGGCCCCGGTGGACCAGGTGGTCCTGGTGGCCCTGAGGGGCCTCTTATGCCAGGAGGTCCAGGAGGGCCTAAAGGACCTGGTGGTCCTGGCGGACCTGGTGGGCCTGGTGGGCCTGCTGTTCCTGGAAACCCTGGTCAGCCAGGAAATCCTGGTGGTGCTGGTGGTCCAGGTGGGCCAGGAGGTCCTGGTGGGCCTGGAGGACCAGGAGGGCCTAAAGGACCTACTAGACCTGGTGGGCCTGGTGAGCCTGGTGGACCAGGAGGCCCTGGTGGTCCTGGCGGGTCAGGGGGACCTGGTGGTCCTGGCGGGCCTGGCGGTCCAGGTGGGCCTGGAGGACCTGCAATTCCTGGTGGTCCTGCTATACCTTCCCAACCTACTATCCCTAGTACTCCTGGTACCCCTGGCACTCCTAGTATACCTGGGATCCCTGGTACCCCTGGCACACCTGGCACACCTGGTACCCCTGGTACCCCTGGTATTCCTGGACAACCTGGAGGCCCAGGGCAACCTGGTACTCCTGGGGGTCCTGGTGGGCCAGGAGGACCTGGGCAGCCTGGTGGACCTGGTCAACCAGGTGGAATACTCGGTATGTACTGGATTTGTTAATGCAATTGTAAGATGTGCAACTAAAACTTGTGCAACTATCCTACTTTTTCTTAGTAAGGTTGCTGATTCACATGTTGTTTTTTTTGTTTTAGGACCTGGTGGTCCTGGTGGGCCTGGAGGTCCTGGTGGGCCTGGTGGAATCTGTGGTCCAGGTGGTCCTGGTGGACCTGGTGGACTCCCAGGAAAACCATGCTCAGGAGGAGAACCAGGTGGACCCTTAGGACCAGGTGGTCCTGGTGGACCTGGAGGTCCTGGTGGACCTGGTGGACCAGGTGGACCAAACGGGCCAACCCCTCCTGGAGGACCTGGTGAACCTGGTGGTCCAAATGGTCCTGGTGGGCCACAAGGACCTGGTGGTCCTGGAGGTCCAGGCGGGCCTGGCGGGCCTAATGGTCCATTGTCGCCAGGTGGCCCTGGTGGACCTGGTGGTCCTGGTGGACCAGGTGGCCCGGGAGGGCCAGATGGCCCAACACCACCTGGGGGACCTGGCGAACCTGGTGGGCCTGGTGGTGCTGGTGGACCAGGGGGTCCAGGCGGTCCTGGAGGACCTGGTGGTCCAGGAGGTCCAGGTGGACCGGGAACCCCTGGTCAGCCTGGTGTACCTGGTAAACCAGGTGTACCAGGAACTGAAACAGGTATGTCAAAACTCATTTGTGAAATATCTTGAGGTGAAATTTCTATTTTCTATGTTGGTGCCGTTATTGTTTTAACATAAAAAGATTGACAGGACTGTTTGAGTAACTTCTATCTGCTCAAAAAACCGTTTGTAACCATCAAACACCCACATATTTATTTGCACATATAAATATATTTATTTGCGTTATTTTCCCGTAGGTGGATTATTTGATATTGCGTTTATCATTGACGCATCTCGTTCTGTTGGCGGGGAAGCTAAATTCAAGTTGATAATTCAATTTGTAAAATACATCGTCGATAATTTCCCCGTCTCGCAAGCCGGGACGCGCTTTGCCGTGGTGTTATATGACGATCTCGATGGCTACCTTATTCTTGACTTCAAATCAACCATCACGAGCGCTTCAGTAATCCAAGCACTGGATAACATTCGATACCCGATTCCACAGAAGTCAAAGCCACCCGTTCTCACAGCGTTCAGTCACGCTCTGATTCTCGCCAACGAGATTCTCTTCAACGTCCAATACCGTGCTGGTGCCTCGAAATACTTGATAACTCTTACCACTGGAATGACTTTCCCAAGAGCGGGTAGGCCGAGTAAAGCCCTCAGAAGGGCTGGTGTGGACATATATTCTGTTGATCTGAGTGAAGCGGGAAGTGCTGACTTAGAAAAGATCGTTAGCCCTGTACCTTCGGCGCATATCATGAAGACAAGCTATGATAAACTGGTCGTCCTTGCCTCAAAAATGATTGTCAATCTTAAACGTAAGGAGAAATTGGACTTTTTGTATTAGATATGCCTAAATGGAAACGCCAATTTAGTTCACAGCTTTACATCTAATTTATACACGAGATTTTTATCCGAAAAGGAAGAAATAAATTAAACGCCACAGCTTGAACGAGATCTTCGATTCAATGAAACTGTGTAGTTTTAGTTTTAATGTATCTTTCCAGCTTTTATTCTTGCTAAAGTTACGTAGAAAGTACGTTTACCATAAGTAATCAAACCAGCAGAAATTTACGCACAAAAACGAACTGGAAGCCGGATACAAACCAATGTTGTTCATCTTTAGCTCTGCGAGATTTGTGCTAATCGAATTTAAACGCCTTTACCATGAGTTCTTACGATGTTTTTATTTTACTTCTAGACAATCCGAAAGGTCCATCGATTTCAAATTTCAAACCACGGCCTGCTTATCTTCCGTATCGTCCTCCGGGTCTTCTTCCAGCTCCAGGCCAACTAACACCAAGTCACCATAGACCTGCAAGTATGTGACAGCGTTTACTCTTGAGCACTCATTTATTTGTTAGTCGTTTTCACTATGAAAGCATCCCGTTCTTCCCTTTTCACATTGGGAAGAACAAATTTATGTTTACGTGAAGAATTGTCTCCAATGCAAATATTTTGAATTCAAATTTTCCTCTAAAGTTTCTGGATCAAAAGTATCCGGGTACAGCTCAAATTCGATGTCATTCACTGTTTCAGTCATGCGACAAGCAGGAATCTTTCGTTCTATACACACTTCAGTAATTACATAGAATACCTCATCAGCATATACCACACACTATGCCATATCACATATATCACCCTATACCATGCCTCATCAGCATATACCACACACTATACCATACCACATATATCACCTTATACCATGCCTCATCAGCATATACCACACACTATACCATACCACATATATCACCCTATACCATGCCTCATCAGCATATACCACACACTATACTATACCACATATATCACCCTATACCATGACTCATCAGCATATACCACTATACCACACCACATATATCACCCTATACCATGCCTTATCAGCATATACCACACACTATACCATACCACATATATCACACTATACCATGCCTCATTCCATATTAACCATACCAAACTTAAAAATTCCGCTCCGTGCGCAAAATTCCGTCTAGTGGAAAACAGCCCTGATGCTGCTATTGTTCAGTATAATATTTTGTAGCTACTATAGTAATCGCTTATGCTTTCTATGTCAGGTATTCATGGGGTACACATGGACATCTGGTATTCAATCAAAGGTAGAAATCTAATCAATCTGGAACAAGATAAAAGGTATCCGAGCCAACCAGACGTGACTAAGATTATAGAAGATCTGGCATCGCCATTGAATATGGGAGACAATTATGGGCTGAGACTCAGAGCGTACTTTGTGGTAAGTATACTAATGTTCAGAGCTCCCTGGATAGTATTCGAGTTCGTATCGATAGGGTTAGTATACTTCATAGTACATAGAATTGGCATCGATAGGGCTAGTATACAATTTATAGAATAAGTGTTTCCTTACTGGAAAAGAGATGATCCTTAAGGCTAGTTTCCACTCAGGAAAATTTTCCTCTGGATCGGACAGGACAGGAAAGTTTCCTTTGTATAAACGCCGCCTGGGAACTCACCGACAAAGGAAATTTTCCTGTCCGTTCCGATCCAAAGGAGATTTCTCCTGAGTGGAAACTAGCCTTTACTAGAACTCTAAGAAGAACAGTTTGAAATTGTTAGAACTATTTTATCCAGTATAAATGACGGTAGTCTGGCTTAGGTGTCCTCCTGTAGCAACACCAAAACATAATATTCAACAAAAATTTTTGTACGCATGAGATTTTGCAGAGTTATTCAAATTTCGCCCGTACTAATTTGATCGGTTGATACTGTGTTCAATTTGCGTTTTGGTACGAATGAAGTTGACGTTGATGAAATTTGGAATTCCTAAATAGATGGGAGCAATTCCATCCGCAAACCAAACCTCTAATTGGGGCTTGAGAAATTATTCACGGTGAACCTATTGAAGAGCTATTGAGGTCTGATAATGTTTATAGGGCTGTAGAACAAGGTCAGTGTGAAGCATGTGGACTTCAGCTTTAAAAATTCATTCTTTTTTCTAGGCGCCAGAGACAGGAACGTATGTTTTTTACTTGTCGGGTGACGATGAATGCGCCTTGTACTTAAGTACGAATGACAAACCAGACAACAAAAAGAGAATTATTCTTCTTCCTGGGGGAAAACACACTATGAAAGATCAGTGGGATAAGTATGTTTTTGTGCAATCTGTTTTACGTTCTTGGTTTAGTGTGGATGGGGTGGTTGTTTGAAAGGCGTTCTAATTTCAAAATGGAAAACGGAATGATCTCTTTATTGGACAGCTGAGCTGAAATATTTTGGTGTAAATAGTTTGTTTTCGATGGAAGGATATTTCTAATGCCTAAGATGTAGGTTCTGTCACTCACAAGATGTATGAGAGCTAGTATTTTAAACTTTATCTTATACACCGATTAAGCTAAACGCCTTTCGAACAAACGAATTTCCGTGCGCATAGATTAATGAACAGAAAGGCAAATGTATCCAGAAAGCTTTTCAGTGATAGATCTTATGTAGTTTGAAGTATAGGTGAAGGTTTTCTCATGAGGTAACATTGTACCAGCGAATTGAACACTTGTTCAACAAGAAATGGCAAATCTGATCGCTTTCGAGCTGATGAGAAAATATTCGTTCATAAATGGTTTTTCATGCGCATTTTAGGTACCCTGAACAGAAATCGGCTGACACCAGCCTAACCTTCGGTCAAATTTACTACATCGAGGTTCTGTTGAAGGAAAGTCATGGAAGCGATCACGTCAGCGTCGGCATAAAATTGCCCTCGACCAGTGAGGTGAAATTAATTGAGAAAAAATACCTTTTCACCGAGCGACCAATGATTGTCATACACCGCAAGCCTGTGTTGCCTCCAGTACAACCTGTTTCGCCAGTCAAACCAGTCTCACCAATTCCAGGTATGTGAAAGATTTCTACTCACTTCGAAAGCTAAAACCTAGTTTCCATTTTGTCGTAAAGTGAACAAGTGATATTCCAATCGGCCAGAACACACGCAGTAATATAACTAATATTCTATAACATTAAAACTAAAGACCCATTTACACAATGCGATTTGTTGTATATGATTCTTAGCCTGGCGTATGGGAACTAGTACACAAACATACAAATGTGACATTACAAATTCCGCCGTGAACAAAATGTGCAAGATTGTGGCATATAGGCACTCTTTTACATTCGTCAGAATGATAATCGAGTCAACTCATCGCGTAGTCTAGGCCTAAACATCCTTGGCATCTTCGACTGCGAAATGGTCGCTAGCGTGTGTTTGAAATTCTGTGGCAGTACCAGGTTAAAATGAATGGGGGGGGGGAGATTGTGGGTAAAAGAAAAGGTTTGGGGGGCGAGAACGTATTATAAGTGAAGCATACATCGCATAAAACTCAAAACTACTTTTCTAACATGAAAAGATCTGGGGAAAACTGAGGGGTAAACAGAAATATTGGGGAAGCCAACCCTCCTTAACCACTTCCCCGGGCGCTACCCGTGATTTGAATATCAATTATGCTACTAAAAATAATGACTATATGTTTTCTTTTTAGCTCCCTCGCCAACCGACCTTGAAATTCAAGGTACGTTCGGCCAAAGTGAATTGTGAATACATCAAAGTCCATTTTTTGCTGTAACTGACGCTCAATTTAGTTCATTTTAGCCAAAAAATGGTCGTCAGTGTCAGCAAAAGACTGTTTGAACAGAACATAGAATGCGGAAGAACCATATTGTCTTCTTACTATTATCTCCTGTCTATTTAGTAACCTGGACGAGCCTATCGAAGCCAATGAAGCAGATCGATACGGGCATAACAACCACCGTCTGGGCGACTGATGCGGTTCAAGACATTTACTATCTTAACGGCCGAACCTTTGAGAAGGTGGAAGGCAAACTGATTCATGTCTCGTCAGGGGCGGCTGGTGTTTGGGGCGTCAATGCGCAAAATAATATCTTCTACAGGGAAGGCTCAAATACTGGCTCCAAGGGCACAAGTGAGTTTCAAGTACTTGCGCCGGTTGTATCAAGCCCGTTTAGCTTAAACGGTGGATAAGCTCAAAATAGAAAGCAAGTCTATCGTTTTATTCAACAAGCAAACTAAATGTTTTTAACCGTAATACAAAGATACTGTTTACAATTACATATTCAGTGCATAATATTCAAGTTCACTCATTCAAGAGAGATGTAAGAGTGTTATTAAATTTTGACTTATCCACCGTTTAACCTAAACGGGCTTGATACAACCGGCCCCTGGACAGCCGGACTATATTGAAGCTTGGGCCTATCACGTTGTACTCGTAGTCACTGTTAAAGCTCCCTGTAACATTGCTACTGCTGCAGTTGTCGTTGGTATCGCTGTTGGTGTTACAATAGACGTATATCCTATCCGTACAAGTGTCAGTTCAAACTGTTTTTCCAGCATAAATCGTCTCTTAAAGATTCATTACTAATAATCTAGTGAGCTATCATTTAAAGTGTTGTTGAAGACGTTTGTATTATGTTTAGAGTAAAGAAATATGTAATATATCTTTCTTTCTCAGGTTGGAAACTCATCGGAGGTGCCTTGATACAGATTGATTCAGGTCCCAAGGGAGTGGTTTGTGGTGTCAACAAAGCAATGCACATCTATTGTAGAACAGGTATTACGGACGCACAGCTCTCTGGAACAAAGTGGGAAAAAATATCTGGGTCGCTGAGCTATATATCCTGTGGAGCATACGGTTATTGGGGTGTTACCCAAAGTGGCGAGATTTACTTCACTGCGCTTACGAGCGGTGCCAACACAAAATGGACGAAGATTGACGGCAGTCTCACGCAAATCGAAGCTGGTCCCGATGGTCAGGTTTGGGGTGTAAATTCAAACAAGGAACTGTACACGAGGATCGGCGTAACCCAGAACTCACCATCAGGGTTTAAATGGAAGAAGATTGGATCTAGGAGTTTCGTCTTTGTTACCGTTGGCCAAAATAAAGTTTATGCTCTTGACGTAGGGTATACCGTATATATCGGTTCTGTTGCTGTTCAAAATCCAGGTTCGTAATATTCATGTGTTTTTAGAGAATTTTGTACTTTTTAAGGAACGTCTAAATCGTCGATTAAGATTTAGTCATGCTATGCAAATTTTAAGTCATTATACTGATAATTTTCTTATAATGATACTTACTGAACACCAAAATAGATTTTGGAACACTAAAAAAAGGTTGGTTTTTGTATAAGATAACTCGTCGCAGTTCGTCGTAGTTCGTCGTAGTTCGTCGTAGTTCGTCGTAGTTCGTCGTTGTTGAAAACCGAATTTCAACAAATTACAACGAATTACGACGGGTTATGACATGTGTCATATGAAAACCAGCCTGTACCGTGACTAAATAGACCTTGCCGTGACTACTAAGCAACGACTACTAAGACCAGAATTCCTTGCAGGTATCACGGCTTGTTACGTCATTATGCTCTATTGTCTGCTGGCTACGCTAGTTAGTGATTGTCATGATTTTCATAAGTTATCTTTCTCATATTTCCACAGGTGTTGTTGGAGGGCCAGGTTCATTACCACCAAATATAGGTACGTTTTCAATGTTATTCAATAACAAGTTTGATCATCATCATTATCTTGATCAATCATCTCAATCATCATCAATCATCATCATCAATCATCAGCATCAATCATCTCAATCATCATCATCAATCATCATCATTTATCATCATCATTAAGTTATATTATGATAATAATGATATTCACTCACAATACTCACAATCATCATATTCACTTTGCACCTCCGTCATAATCTGATACATACATCTATAATATTGATATTTGCATTCTTAATCATGATCAGAAAGCATTCAAAATCATCATCATCGTATCGTATTCTTAATCACAATCATAAATCATTACATTATCACAATCATGTTCACATCCAACCTCGTTCCCACGGTTTCACTTTGGTATTCGTATCATAATCATATTTCTTCATCAAAATCATCAGTAGCAAGGATTTTTTTATATTTTTCCAGTGGGAGGACCGGGAAGCCTACCGCCTCAAAATATCATGATGACAATACGAGGTAACTAAGATTACGTGCACACGGTAACGTTTTCGAGCGTTTTCATTTCTATTCTCATGCCAAAACGGTTTCAAACACCGTCAATCTGCAATAGAAGTTGAATATAATTTACAGTACATACAGTACTGTCCAGCGGTCGACCGATAGAAGCCGCAGACGAACGCAAGGGAAAAAATACGATCGCGGTTGCCGTTCGCTTCTAAACGGAATGTTATGAACTGCTGAGAACGACAACACAATAATCAAATCGAAAACGTCTTAAGAAATGTCTGCCAGACCGAATTCGACCGAGGTTCAATATCGGGCTCACCGCGGTTAACCTAGGTCGAACCGCGTTTTTGTTAGGTTATGTATTGAGCATACCTTCCCTTGGAACGTGTGAACAAGGCTTCAAAGCGATAAACTAGATAAAAACGAAAACGATGCCAATGTGCACATAGCCAAAATGTTCCGGCCATTAAAGCCATCTGGTTTAGTTCCATAACGAGAAGCTGCCAATTTAGGACATTCAGATGCAGACAGCATCTCTATTCCGGTCGCCTCTCAAGGGTAATGGGAACAAATGGAGCAGGGCGCCCAGGCATAGAGGAGCCCTTACAGTGAAGAAGATAGATATGGTACAGTAGATACCAAAGGGGGAGGGAGACAACAGAAAGCAATGGGACCCAAAATTCATTTTACCCTAGTATGTAGATCACTTTTCAAATAACCTCACTCTTTATTTCGTAACAGTTTCTTGGAAATCTTTGAGTAAGCCGATGGTCCAAATCGACACTGGAATGACGCCATCAACTTGGGCAACAGACGCCAACTATGCTATTTACGAACTGAAGGGCGACGCTTTCGTGCCAGTGGAGGGTAAACTCAGCCACGTTTCATCTGGTGCCGCTGGTGTTTGGGGTGTGAATACAGCTTCAAACATCTTCTACAGGGACATAACGACTAACACATGGAAGCAAATTGCAGGAGGTAAGATGTATCCCTGTTTAAAATGTGCATCTAAAAATTTCGAAAAATTGTATCGAGCCACCTTAATACTTAAAATGGCTGTCAGTTTGAGATAACTTTCTGACGTGAAACATTGCATAGATGAGTAAGAAATGGTCATACAAATGCTGTTGTCTCGCAAGCTGCGCATTTTACCAAGCTCTTACCGACAGTGGTTTTTGTCACTTTTCACATGACATTTCTTCTTTCGTATTGTAGCTTTGAAACAGATCGACTCAGGACCCAAGGGAATTGTCTGCGGTGTCAACAGTATTGATAAAATATACTGTCGTAAGGGAATGACTGACGCTGCACTTGACGGCACAGACTGGATTGAAGTCGACGGATCCCTGAAGTACATCTCATGTGGCGAGTATGGACATTGGGGAGTAAACAAGAACAACCAGATCTTCTTCCGAGAAGGTATTTGACTGTTTATTCTCCTAAAACAACTGGTCAGGTGTTCCTCAATTGATTGGACAAACAAACACATTTCTCTCTGTTCATTGCCTAACTATGGAAAGTATATTCCAGGTGTAACCGTCGCCTTACCTCAAGGCACAGGCTGGAAATTAGTCGAAGGCAGTTTGGTTCAACTTGAAGCAGGACCTGATGGCAAGGTTTGGGGTGTCAACAGTAAGAACGAGTTGTATCGCAGATCTGGTGTAAGTGCGGCTGTTCCAATGGGTACATCTTGGATGAAAATTGGTGGAATGTCGTTGAAATTCGTCACAGTTGGCAAAGATCAGTTGTACAGTATTGATCTCGGTAATATGGTCTTCAGTGGAACATTGGAGAGAGTTGGAGCTGGTCAGAAACGTAAGTTGATTGTATTTTAACGAATCTGCTTAGTCATCATCACTATTAACTACAAAACGTTCGCTGCAGAGGTTTTCGCTGAATCTTTTAACATAATTTCTTTAATAGTTCCAATTTTGAAGCCACCAACTCTTATCGGAGGTCCTGGAAGTCTTCCGCCTCAGAACCTGATGATGACAATACAGGGTATGTAATATTTATGGTTTTCAAAATAATAAAGATTCGACTCGTTCCTGATTTGTCAATGGTTTTTGCAAACTCAAAATTCGGGGCATTCGGGTTTATAAACCCGCATGTTGTCATCTTAAAGCTCCAAACGACAGGACGTCGTTCTTCGAAGTTCGAAATATGCTTTTTTTTGACAATTTATTAAAGTGTTTGCTGGTAATGATTCTTAACAGTATCCTGGAGGCCTCTGAGGAAATCTATGATTCAAATTGACACTGGAATGACGCCATCAACTTGGGCAGTAGACGCCAGCAATTATATCTACGAACTGAAGGGCGATGTTTTCGTGAAGGTGGATGGTAAACTCAGCCACGTTTCATCTGGTGGTGCTGGTGTTTGGGGTGTGACCACAGCTTCACACATCTACTATAGAGACATGGCAACTAACAGTTGGAAGAAGATTGCAGGAGGTTTGAAAAATTATAGCTTCTCTACATCTTGAATTGCGATATCAAAAGTAAAGCTTGGTCTGGGTTTTAATTTTCAAAATTGATGAACTTTTTCTCAGTCTCTAATTCGAAAGATCAATTTAAAATTGAAACCACCAACAAAATTAGTTTATTTTAGATTTCCTCCCGTAGTTACTCCGGCGTCAGCGACGGAGTTGAAAATTCGCCTCGGTTTTGTTTTGTTTTTGTTTTTTTTTTTTTTATTTTTTTTTTATTATTTTTCGTCGTCGCAAGTCTGTAATGGCGCGAAACATTCTAGTATTTAAAATGTGTATGTGATTGGATTTATCTATGTCCCAGTCTTGTCTCCCAAGAGTTGTGGTGCACAGCTTTGGCTAATTTTCCGATGCGCGATTCGATTTCGCTCGCATGATACGGCAATTCCTCCAAGAGGAACAAATAAACCGTTCTTTTCATGCTTTTCGATTAAGTTTAGACTGAATTGGGGTAAGAATATATTTAATACGTGTAGATTCTGGTCCTATTTTAGTAATATCGCTGCTATTTCGCCGTTTAACAAGATGATGTGGTCGTGTATGGGCGCTTTGACTCGTCGTAGTTTGCACAGGATTGAAGATTTAATATAACTATATAAGCGCGAATTCCAAAGGCAAAGTGTAAGACAAAGCGAATGTATTATGCGGTTTATTTACATTTTTGAACAATTGAACTTCTATACTTTTTAAAGTACGATGTGCTTCTGAATTTCGCGATGGAACATTTAGGTTCGCAAGGCGTCTAAATGCGAATATGAACTGCATTGTTTATGTTCAGAAGCTCTATATTGAAGACTGGCACGTGCGCCGGAGTTAACGCCAGAACAGGCGTCTTGTTATATTAAAAACGTAACCATTTACTCGATGCAGTACACAACATGGCAACTTTGCTTACACCAGGTTTGAAGCAGATCGACTCAGGACCCAAGGGAATTGTCTGCGGTGTCAACAGTATTGATAAAATATACTGTCGTAAGGGAATAACTGACGCTGCACTTGACGGCACAGACTGGATTGAAGTTGACGGATCCCTGAAGTACATCTCATGTGGCGAGTATGGACATTGGGGAGTAAACAAGAACAACCAGATCTTCTTCCGTGAAGGTATTTGACTGTTTATTCTCCTAAAACAACTGGCGTTTCTCAATTGATTGGACAAACAAACACATTTCCCTCTGTTCATTGCCTAACTATGGAAAGCATATTCCAGGTGTAACCGTCGCCTTACCTCAAGGCACAGGCTGGAAATTAGTCGACGGTAGTTTGGTTCAACTTGAAGCCGGACCTGACGGCAAAGTTTGGGGTGTCAACAGTAAGAACGAGTTGTATCGCAGATCTGGTGTAAGCGCGGCTGTTCCAATGGGTACATCTTGGATGAAAAATTGGTGGAATGTCGTTGAAATTCGTCACAGTTGGTAAAGATCAGTTGTACAGTATTGATCTCGGTAATATGGTCTTCGGCGGAACGCTGCAAAGAGTTGGACCTGGTCAGAAACTGCCACGTAAGATGCTCTGAATTGTGCCTTAACGAATCCACTTTATTGTCATGATCACCATCGTTATCATTGACTTCCATGTTATTTTGTATTGAAACTGGTACTTAATTTATCCTACAGTTCCAGTCGTAAAACCACCACCTCTTATTGGAGGACCGGGAAGTCTTCCACCTCCAAATCTGATGATGACAATACATGGTATGTAATGCATTATCCATAGTTACCTCCCACTCGCCTGTGAAAGAAGTACTTCAAGTTTTCCCACACACCAGACTTTATTGAGTTATTGTGTGGCACCGAACTTGACATGTAATATTACCCTTTTTAAAATCAAGATAGAAAGTAATGAGCTCGCTTCTCGTTGTAATCAGGTCCCTGGAGTAGAGTAAATCTATGACTCAAATTGACACTGGAATGACGCCATCAACTTGGGCAGTAGACGCCAACAATGATATCTACGAACTGAAGGGCGATGTTTTCGTGCAAGTGGCTGGTAAACTCAGCCACGTTTCATCTGGTGGTGCTGGTGTTTGGGGTGTGACCACAGCTTCACACATCTACTATAGAGACATGGCGACTACCAGTTGGAAGAAGATTGAAGGAGGTTTGAAAAATTATAGCTACTCTACATCTTGAATTGCGATATCAAAAGTAAGGCTTGGTCTGGGTTTAAATTTTCAAAAATGATGAACTTTTTCTCAGTCTCTGATTAGAAAGATCAATTTGAAATTGAAACCATCAACAAAACTAGTTTATTTTAGATTTCCTCTCGTAGTTACATTAAAAACGTAACCATTTACTCGATGCAGTACACATCATGGCAACTTTGCTTACACTAGGTTTGAAGCAGATCGATTCAGGACCCAAGGGAATTGTTTGCGGCGTCAGCAGTATTGATGAAATTTACTGTCGTACGGGAATAACTGACGCTGCACTTGACGGCACAGGCTGGAATAAAGTTGACGGATCCCTGAAGTACATCTCATGTGGCGAGTATGGACATTGGGGAGTAAACAAGAACAACCAGATCTTCTTCCGTGAAGGTATTTGACTGTTTATTCTCCTAAAACAACTGGTGTTCCTCAATTGATTGGACAAACAAACACATTTCTCTCCCTCTGTTCATTGCCTAATTATGGAAAGTATATTCCAGGTGTAACCGTCGCCTTACCTCAAGGCACAGGCTGGAAATTAGTCGAAGGTAGTTTGGTTCAACTTGAAGCAGGACCTGACGGCAAAGTTTGGGGTGTCAACAGTAAGAACGAGTTGTATCGCAGATCTGGAGTAAGCGCGGCTGTTCCAATGGGTACATCTTGGATGAAAATTGGTGGAATGTCGTTGAAATTCGTCACAGTTGGCAAAGATCAGTTGTACAGTATTGATCTCGGTAATATGGTCTTCGGCGGAACGCTGCAAAGAGTTGGACCTGTTCAGAAACTGCCACGTAAGATGCTCTGAATTGTGTCTTAACAAATCCACTTTATTGTCATGATCACCATCGTTATCATTGACTTCCATGTTATTTTGTATTGAAGCTGGTACTTAATTTATCCTACAGTTCCAGTCGTAAAACCACCACCTCTTATTGGAGGACCTGGAAGTCTTCCACCTCAAAATCTGATGATGAAAATACATGGTATGTAGTGCATTATCCATAGTTACCTCCCACTCGCCTGTGAAAGAAGTACTTCAAGTTTCCCCACACGCCAGACTTTATTGAGTTATTGTGTGGCACCGATACTTGACATGTAATGTTACCCTTTTTAAAATCAAGATAGAAAGTAATGAATTCCCTTCTCGTTACAGTATCCTGGAGGTCCCTGAGTAAATCTATGATTCAAATTGACACTGGGATGACGCCATCAACTTGGGCAGTAGACGCCAACAATGATATCTACGAACTGAAGGGCGATGTTTTCGTGCAAGTGCCTGGTGAACCTGGTAAACTCAGCCACGTTTCATCTGGTGGTGCTGGTGTTTGGGGTGTGAATGCAGCTTCACACATCTACTATAGAGATATGGCGACTAACAGTTGGAAGAGGATTCAAGGAGGTTTGAAAAATTATAGCTATTCTACATCTTGAATTGCGATATCAAAAGTAAGGCTTGGTTATGGTTTTAATTTTAAAAATTGATTTTTCTCAAACTTTTTCTCAGCCTCTAATTAGAAAGATCAATTTAAAATTGAAACCATCAAAAAAATTAGTTTATTTTAGGATTCCTTCCGTAGTTACATTAAAAACGTAACCATTTACTCGATACAGTACACATCATGGCAACTTTGCTTACACTAGGTTTGAAGCAGATCGATTCAGGGCCCAAGGGAATTGTCTGCGGCGTCAACAGTATTGATGAAATTTATTGTCGTACGGGAATAACTGACGCTGCACTTGACGGGACAGGCTGGATTAAAGTTGACGGATCCCTGAAGTACATCTCATGTGGCGAGTATGGACATTGGGGAGTAAAGAAGAACAACCAGATCTTCTTCCGTGAAGGTATTTGACTGTTTATTCTCCTAAAACAACTGGTGTTCCTGAATTGATTGGACAAACAAACGCATTTCTCTCCCCTGTTCATTGCCTAACTATGCAAAGTATATTCCAGGTGTAACCGTCGCCTTACCTCAAGGCACAGGCTGGAAAGCAGTCGAAGGTAGTTTGGTTCAACTTGAAGCAGGACCTGACGGCAAGGTTTGGGGTGTCAACAGTAAGAACGAGTTGTATCGCAGATCTGGAGTAAGCGCGGCTGTTCCAATGGGTACATCTTGGATGAAAATTGGTGGAATGTCGTTGAAATTCGTCACAGTTGGCAAAGATCAGTTGTACAGTATTGATCTCGGTAATATGGTCTTCAGCGGAACGTTGAAAAGAATTGGAGCTGGTCAATCACCAACTCTCATTGGAGGACCCGGAGTTCTTCCACCCCAGAAAGTGTTTAAGCCACCAACTCTTATTCCCCCACCAAAAATGATGATGTCAATACATGGTAAACGTTCACATTTCTTCTATTGGAACTTTATTTGCTTTCACCTTTGTGGAGAAAAACACTTTTTGTTTTAACTACAATTTATCAATCTGGTGGTTTTATTTCTTACTGTCTTCAACCACGATATATATCCGACCTATTTTGGACGTACATTCAGACTGATAGAACTGTCTGAAATATACAAAATTGTTCCATTCTTCCCTTACAGGAACAAAACTTCGGGTGGAAGTTTATTTTTTAATGTTTTCTAATATTTGAATTTTCCTTCTTTCAATAGTATCCTGGAGGCCTCTGAGGAACCCCATGGTTCAAATCGACACTGGAATGACGCCATCAACTTGGGCAACCAACGCCAACAATGATATCTTCGAACTGAAGGGCGATGTTTTCGTGCAAGTGACTGATGAACCTGGTAAACTCAGCCACGTCTCATCTGGTGGTGCTGGTGTTTGGGGTGTGAATGCAGCTTCAAACATCTACTATAGAGACATGGCGAATACGAAATGGAAGAAGATTGAAGGAGGTTTGAAAAATCATAGCTTTTTTATATCTTCAACTACGTTTTTTATATCCTCAATTACAAATGAAAACTATAGATTTTTTAGTTCTCAGAAAGGAAAAACGTTCACTTGGCCTCTAATTAGATAGACCAATTTACTAATTTAAAATTAAAACCACCCACAAAAATGGTTCATTTTAGCTACATGGCTAACTTTTCACATCACGTTTTATATGCCAATTTTACATATTCCAGGTTTGAAGCAGATCGATTCGGGACCCAAGGGAATTGTCTGTGGCGTCAGCAGTATTGATGAAATATACTGTCGTACGGGAATAACTGACGCTGCACTTGACGGGACAGGCTGGATTAAAGTTGACGGATCCCTGAAGTACATCTCATGTGGCGAGTATGGACATTGGGGAGTAAACAAGAACAACCAGATCTTCTTCCGTGAAGGTATTTGACTGTTTATTCTCTTAAAACAACTGGTCAGGTGTTCCTCAATTGATTGGACAAACAAACGCATCTCTCCCCGTCTGTTCATTGCCTAACTATGGAAAATATATTCCAGGTGTAACCGTCGCCTTACCTCAAGGCACAGGCTGGAAAGCAGTCGAAGGTAGTTTGGTTCAACTTGAAGCAGGACCTGACGGCAAGGTTTGGGGTGTCAACAGTAAGAACGAGTTGTATCGCAGATCTGGAGTAAGCGCAGCTGTTCCAATGGGTACATCTTGGATGAAAGTTGGTGGACTACCTTTGAAGTTTATTACAGTTGGTAGAGATCAGTTGTATGGAGTTGATCTTAGTAGTACAGTGTTCAGTGGAACATTGAAAAGAATTGTACCTGGTCAGACACCGCCGAGTAAGAGCTTTTGTTTAATTTTCTACTGCGTTTTTACCATTGCTTTGTTAGGAGTTGAATTGGTTAGGAATTGTTTGGAGTGGTATTGTGTAAAATGATATCGTATCGCAAGATCTGTATCTGGTGGTATGAGAGTTCCAGAATTAATTTTATAAATTCTGCTTTTTAGTTGTCGGTGGACCAGGGTCTCTTCCTCCAACTCAGACACTGCCAGGTAGGAATTTATTTCAAGAAAGAGATTTCTCCTTTATAAGAAAATTTTTTCCGTAAACACGAGGAAATAAACTGTTCTCGCAACTTGTCATCAACAAATGTATTGCTGTGCTGACTTTGCTTCAAACTACCACCGTATCATTTATAACCACCATGTTCACCCTCACGTTTTCCAAATCTCAATTACAGCTCACATTAGATCAATCATGGTTTAACCAACTAATCCCATCACTAAACATAATCGATAGTAAAATCACAATATCGATAGTATCTAATATAATCATCTTCACTGTTTCACTTGTCATCTTTTTAGTTGTCGGTGGACCAGAATCTCTTTCTCTTGTCATCACTTGTCATCTTTATCATTTAGGTGCATCAAACGCCATGCAAATCTTCTATCTTTACCTTCTTTAGCTCCTAAAATGTGGAATCTAATTCCGCTCGATCCGAAGATAGAGAAAATCGTTCAGATAGATTCGGGTATAACCAATGCAGTTTGGGCCATCAACATTCGTAATGCTGTGTACATGCTGAAAGACCTTAGTAAATGGATCTACGTCCCTACCAACCAGAAGTACGTCACGGCTGGGGAGTCTGGGGTTTGGGCAATCGGCAACAAAGACGAAATACAACTTCGCGTTGGCGTTACCGACGCGTTGCCTGACGGGAAACAATGGTACACCATCACTGGCAAACTCAGGCAGATCGACTCTGGACCATTAGGCGTACTCTGTGGAATAAATAAACAACAAGTTATTTATTGCCGTGGTGGAGTCACACTGCTTGATCCCAAGGGAACCGGGTGGACTATTGTTCCATTCGAGAAGAAGCCTAAGCATATGTCTTGTGGAGAGTTTGGATGTTGGGTCGTGACCACGAGCAATAAGGTCAGTCACCTTCTGAAAACCTTTCGCGCGTATTCCAAAAGCTCACTCACATTCATTTGGTGGGACACATGCATAGAAATTGTGTTCATGTTGATTAATGAGGGAGTTTGTGCTTTCCCAATCAATGACAAAATATGTTCAACATTTAAAATCAAACTCTTATTCGAATATGGGAATACCGTCATTGAATTGTCACGAGATGTTTAAGATATCGCATTCAGTGAGTTTGAATGTGAGTGAATCCTTAGAATACAGCCGTTACTAGTTGAAGATGGGCAGGTATTAAAGAAGAAACGGAACTAGTCGAGGATGGGCATGTATTAAAGAAGTTAGCTATTATAGCATGGCGCTCATGGAATTCTTGGTTTCACCCAGAATGCTATCAAACAATTTGATTGTTTTTGTCTGTTACCATCTCTCCAGGTTTACTTCAGACAAGGGCAAACTCAGTCAGTACCCACAGGAACGACATGGATGCTTGTCGAAGGCCAACTAACCCAACTTGACGCTGGACCAGGTGGACAGGTGTGGGGTGTAACGCCTACTGGTGGAATAAAAAGCAGGGCGGGTGTGAGCGCAGCTAATCCAACTGGAACCACATGGAACGACGAGAAACCATCTGGATACTCGCACGTCTCCGTTGGTAAACTTGGTGTCTTCGCTGTCACCGTCGCCGGCGGTGTCGAACATTGTAAGTAAAACTCGCCAACCGCTTTTTTCACAAGTATAGTGGATTCGTATCATCTTCAACATCATTTGTATTAGAAGATCATGGCTACCTCGAAATCATTTGTTTCTGGAGTTGCGATTTCTATCAGTTTTTCTGATTGCGTTTTTTCATTCCCAAAGATGGATAAATCACCAACGGTGCTTCCTGGTCTTCATGCATATGATCTCTCGCACTGATTTTCAATTGCAACCTAATCTGTGACTTTTAATCACCATTTCATTGGTATTAAGACGAGCCTCTTTTTAGTTCAGTCGAAGAATGTATTTGGGTGCAAAATTGATGCAAAATTTAATATGGTTTACAATCGATTTATTCTGAAATTCCCCTCTGATTTTGGATATCCAAAAATCGACTTAAGGCAATGGTACATATAGTTTTACTGTTTTACCTTTAGTGCCTATATCGTCGGGCGTTGCAACAGGTAAGATCATCATTTGATTTATCATCGATAATATCGATCATTATTATGATACCTAAGATCCACACTGAATCACTTTAGCAGTTAAGATTGGGGTTAAACCATTCAATGTGTCCCTCTGTTACTTGTAGTTGTAAAGCCTAGTCAGCCTCTTCCAGTTCTTGGCGGACCAGGATCACTGCCACCTCAGACTAAACCAGGCAAGCTATTCTGAATAACTTTGAATAGTTGTAATGGTTTTAAAACACTATTGGCTCTTCAATGTCAGAATGTATATTCTATATGAACTGGATGTTTACTAAATTTTCTTATTTTATTTAGCGCTTGTTGGTGGACCAGGATCATTACCACCTCAGACTAAACCAGGTAAGCCATTCTGAATAACTTTGAATAGTTTTAATGGTTTTGAAACATTATTGGCTCTTGAATTTCAGAATGTATACTCTATATGAACTGGATTTTTACTAAATTTTCTTATTTTATTTAGCGCTTGTTGGTGGACCAGGATCACTTCCGCCTCAGACTAAACCAGGCAAGCCATTCTGAATAACTTTGAATAGTTTTAATGGTTTTGAAACATTATTGGCTCTTGAATTTCAGAATGTATACTCTATATGAACTGGATTTTTACTAAATTTTCTTATTTTATTTAGCGCTTGTTGGTGGACCAGGATCACTTCCGCCTCAGACTAAACCAGGCAAGCCATTCTGAATAACTTTGAGTAGTTGAATGGTTTTAAAACATTATTGGCTCTTAAATGTCAGAATGTATCCTCTATATGAACTGGATTTTTACTAAATTTTCTTATTTTATTTAGCTGTTGTTGGCGGACCAGGATCATTACCACCTCAGACTAAACCAGGCAAGCCATTAGGAAAAATATTTTTTATGTTTTTACAGCATCATCAGATCTTCAGAGTTTTTACTAACTTGCTGAACTTTTCTCTTTTTTGTAGCTATGGTTGGCGGTCCAGGGTCACTACCGCCCCAGAAAAAGCCAGGTATTAACGAATTTACGGTTTGCTTTTGATCAGGACTTAAAACGCCTGACTTTGATACGTAGATTTTCTCTTGAGAGTCTCTTTTATTAAATCTATTGTTCACTTTTCACAGTGGAAGACGAGATGATGGACGATACCTCTACGATGGGCGATACCTCTACGATGGGCGATACCTCTACGATGGGCGATAACGGCATGTCTGAAGAGCAACAGGAAACAGATGAAATGAACCAGCAAAGAGATCAGACGATGGCAAACATGAAACATCCCACAAAAGGTACGAAATTCTTGCAACGAAAAGAGTTTTTGTGTAATTTCTTGCTCAAACAGAGAAAATATTTAAGGTGAAACATTCAAAAGCAAGGCCGAAGCTCTCGTTTAATAAACAAAAACCTGGTAGTTGCGAGCTGACTGACTTCTGAACTCAATTAAAAACAGGTTTTGAAAGTCTAAGGACTACCAAACCGTTTTTAAAATTATAACAACAAAGGATTTTACTGTTGGTAATGTGGTAATGTTATCATAGTTAACGAACTGGATCTGTGTTAACTTTTTCAGTGAAAACATGCAGTGACAGTTACACTAAATGCCGTATCTATGCCTCTCATGGAATGTGCGATGATCCTGACAGCAGAACGTCCATGATTGAAATTTGTCCAAAATCTTGCAAGGCCTGTTAACGGTGAGTTTTACACAATTCGGTTGGCCTAGACGCGTCAGTAATTAAGGGATAGGGTAGACATACTCCCTCCCCACACCTACTCGTGGGTAAGGACCCAACCTTTCCATCTTTGTGGCGCTGTCAATATTATATTAAATTAACTCTAGCTTCTACCCCAAATAGATAATGTTTGCAACCGTTTTAGCTTGGAAACATTAGCTTGCCGTGTGCACAAGCCTTCGGGGGCCGGTTGTATAAAACTGCAAAAGCATAGTTAAATCTAAGTTAACTTAGAAATACAACTCTTATCGGCCAATTCTGTCCTTAACTACAGTTACAAGTTAACTATTCTTTTATACAACTGGCCCCTGACTTTTATTTATATTTTGCGGATATATTTTGTTGGATATTATTTGCATCAAATTTTTAAAAAAACCTTATCTGTAGCTACATTTTTTTCCATACTATTGCATATTATTGATACAATAAAGTAATAATATACAATCATTTTATTCTTTTCTGTAGATTTATTAATTCAATCATCGTTAAGAATGCTGATAAATTTTAATAATTAATTTAATATGTTAAATATTCAACTAATATTATATATAAGTATATCCGTAAATTACTAAGTTTGTTGTACAAATAATTAAATAGCAAATTATTTTTGTTGAAATTAAATGTAAAATATTATTTAGACCTAGATTTTGTGTGTAAATATATACCATAAATTTGTGTATTGTCGGAGCTCGTTGTTTGAAGCCCGTTTAGCATAAACTGGCAGGTGTAGTGATAGTTTTTCCATTTATTAAACAGCCAAGATGAAATATTTCAATCCGAGAAGAGTATTAAATATCTGCGTCGCAATATTTAACGATTTAAAGTCCATTCTCCCAAAACGTGAAAAATAAATATTTTGACATGATGCACGTTTATGCTAAACGACCTTCATATACAACCACTCGTATAAAAACAATTTACGAAATATATGTTTTAAAAATTAAACTTTGTGTGAGAATTTGATTCAGCATCACATTTATTAAAATTAACAAATTAATATAGTTAAAAGATTAAAACTCGCGAAATCACATATTACTATATTAAACAGACATGCGCAGTGATCAAAGTAGCAAAGTATTGAAATCAAAAATACTTGACGGAGACTTTCTAGAACCAGGGCCGTAACTAGAACGATAATTGGGGGGGGGGGTGTGTTTATTCATATATTCAGTTCTGCCCGACAAGTTTCTTTTGTAAGTGCAATAGCTTACAATAGAAATCCGTCGGGCAAAACTGAATATATGAATAAACACCCCCCCAATTATCGTTCTAGTTACGGCCCTGTCTAGAACTATAGGATATTTATGTTTGCAAACACGGAAGCAATTGAACATATACCTGACGTTTGAAAACAAAAACTGAATTTGAATATTTTATTATATGAAGATATATAAGGAATTGTTTCCGAGGTTGTTGATGGTATAAATCGAAATGTCAAAGGTAAAAACTCAAAGTTTGTTCTATTGAAATTTTGTTTCTCGAAAAATCTAGTCGAATCAAAGTGCGGTAGATGATATGAAACCATATTTGAAAATGTCAATTGGCATAATTTTATCTTCATTTAAAATTTTATATGTAAACGCGGCTATTTCAAATTAAAAGTGCCTATATCATGGTTGCGGATTTTGAATATATAAAAAGTTGAAGGTATTTTAAAAAATTTTACAATACATTTTGTTTTTGAAAAATTTTGTCTTGAAGGATTTATTAGCCTTTATGTCAAATATTTTGATATGGATAACCACGCTGTTTTAATGGTCAAATGCATGTCCTATGTAAAGTTGCAAGCATGTTTCATGCTCATATACAAACATTAAGCAATATAACCATGCTTTGGTTTATATGATGTGATTATGTCAAATATTTTCAGTGGCGTAGCCAGCCTGACGATTTAGTCATGCTATGCAAATTTTATGCAATTATCATTATTCATTTCTTTAGAAATTCATTGTTTTCACAGTCGATGAACACCAAAACATTAGCATAGCATGACTAAATTGTCGGGCTGGCTACGCCACTGAATATTTTGACATGGATAACAGCTGTTTTAATGGTCAAATGCTTGCCCTATGTAAAGTTTCCAGCATGTTTGGCGCTCATATACAAACATTAAACAATATAACCATGCTTTGGTTATGATGTCAAATATTTTGATATGCATAACCACGCTGTTTTAATGGTCAAATGCTTGTCCTATGTAAAGTTGCAAGAACGTTTCGTGCTCATATACAGACATTAAATCATATCATATAATCATGCTTTGGTTATGATGTCAAATATTTTGATTTGGCTAACCACGCTGGTTGAATGGTCTAATTTTGGTCCTACGTATATAACCTTAAACACCAAGCGCTGATGCAATAGTAGCTAATCCTTTTATGCTAATTATAGAAATTTGCAGAAATGCGTCGTGCATGTGGCTTGCTATCTTTAATTATCTACGTTTTTATGTGTGCACGTGGTTATTCGTGCACTTTGTGCACTATTACATTAAATCAAGAATCAAGAATGTTCATTATCCACACCGTATTGGAAAACGATTATCCTAAAATTTTAATTTGTGACCTGTGAATTGTGAAATCAGACTTGCTTTCATTGACCATAAACAATCGCACCGTAACCATTAGCTTCACCTGGGCCACATATAACTAGCTTATGGATACGTATACTTCTTTGCTCAAAGAATTCCATACATATGATAATATAGCCTCAACAGAAATGGTTGATATTAGGTAAAAGCTACGAATATAATGCAAAGTTATGTGCGTTTTAGAAAAGAGCATAAATCGTCATCATAATGAAAATAAACTCATTGACATCATTGATTTATATACAATCCCTCAAAAAAAGGTTCAGTAATGAAATATAATATTGTAGTAATTCTCCACAAGTTCTACTGGTCTGGTGGTGAGGCAGTGCTCTCCCGCTTTTCAAACTGGGGGTTCGAATCCTACAATAACCGTTCTTCATTATGAACTTCGTGAAAAGGTGTAAAGTAAATTAAATAACCATCGCTGTTCAGCCCAGCATCTTAATTGTAGTCTAGTGGCGAAGACAATCGTCTCCAAGTGGTAATTAGATGGTTCCAATCAAAGTGTAGTTGTTTTTTGGCGAAAAGGATAAAGTAAATTAAAGAACCATAGCTGATCAGCACAAGTTTTCGTAGTCTAGTGGTGAATACAACGGTCTCCCACGTGGTAAATCGATGATTCGAATCCTACCATAACCGTTTTTCATTTTGTCCTTGGCGAAAAAGATAAAGTAAATTAAATAACCTTCGCCGTTCAGCACAAGATCTTGTTGTCTAGAGAAGAAGGCCATCGTCTCCAAAGTGGTAATTCGATGTATCGAATCCATGTGTAATTGTTTTTCATTATGTCCCTGGCGAAAAGGCTGAAGTAAATTAAATAACCATTGCCATTCAGCACCAGATCTTGTAGTCTAATGGCGAAGACAATCGTCTCCCAAGTGGTAAATCGATGGTTCGATCGAGTCCAAACGTAGTACTTGTTTTTCATTATGTCCTAGGCGAAAAGGATAAAGTAAATTAAATAACCGTCACCGTTCAGCACAAGATCTTGTAGTCTAGTGGCGAAGACAATGGTCTCTCGAGTGGTAAAACGATGGTTCGAAACCTGCCATAACCGTTTTTCATTATGAACTTCTTGAAAATGGTAAAGTAAATTAAATAACCATAGTCGTTTGCACAAGACCTTGTAATCTGACAATGGTCTCTCGAGTGGCAAATCGATGGTTCGAATCCCACTATAACCGTTTTTTATTATGAACTTAATGAAAAGGGTAAAGTAAATTAAATAACCATAGTCGTTCAGCACAAGTTCCTGTAGTCTAGTGGTAAAGATGTTGGTCTCATGTGTCGACAGTCGAAGGTTCGAATATCGTTTTAGATGGAAATTTTCGTTATTAACATTACATGGTAAGGTTATGGAGAATAAGTTGGTGTAGGCTTCCAACAATCACCAGTTAGCCTTGTGGTAAAGTCGTGGACTATCAAGTACAAGATTGGGTATCAAGAACAGTATGGTATGTTCCTCATGGCGCTAAAAAAAAAAAAAAGTTGGTAGGTATGTTGCTCGAGAGAAGTATATATTCGGTTAAACTTTGGAAATCAAAGTTAATCTTTAGGGAAATCTGGGGATAGGTAGGGTGAATGAGGGGTATATGAGTACAAAAAGACTTAGTAATTGGGCGGGCGGCCTCGGCTCCCGGGGCAGGGGGAGGGTATAGGTGAGAAAACAGTATATAAAATGTTTAAGTCTTTTTGTACTCATTTAAACCTCTTTATCCCTATTTATCCTCCTATTTACTCCTATCTATCCCTACTTTTACCTATCCTCATGTATCCCTAACTATCCCCTAACACAATTAAATGTTTGAAGAAAGCTTGCTTTGAAAGTCAGGAAAGCCGGGGGAAAGAGAACCCCCCTCAGTCTACTCCTCGCCCAAGGCGAGGGCATATTCGCCCTCTCGCACTACTCCTCTCACACTCACAAATTCTCACTTTGTTACCTTTTTCTTTTTCGGTTTCTCCAGGGCTTGAACCATCGACTGTATACTTGGCAGATCATCGTCTTCACCACTACACCACCAGTTCTTGTGGTGTAAGCCTAGAGTTTTTTATTTTACTTAATCCTTTTTGGAAGGAACTTTGATGAAATAGAAGAAAAAATCATTCCAATGTGGGACTCGAACCTTCGCCATCAAACTCGGAGAGCTTGACCTTTTCGAGTAGGCCGCACGATCTTGCGGTGAAACGCTTTATTTTTTTATATTACTGAATACCTTATGGGTAGGATCTCAAATGAATAACAATTCACTTTATTATGTCTTTAACGTTCATGATTTATTTTCTCGTCGAAAACGCACACAATATTAGCCATTTGTGTTGTCGCTAAAGTAAATTACAATTGTGCAGTTCCCTAAAGCACTACCTTCCCAATTCCCATAAGTTAGTTATATGCGTCCCAGATGAAGCTAATGGTTACGGTGCGATTTTTTTGTATTTTTAATGAAGTGAAGTCAAGTAAAGTACCAAAATTAACAATGCATTTTAAAAGAAAAAAGTACAAGAATTAAAACTCGTCTGATTTACTGATCCGTCTAAATGCGAATTTAAGACGAATTTCTCTTCCAGACGGGATTCCCATCTAACTTACCCGTCTCTTAATTTAGTCAGGAAAGTTGGACGGAAAAATTCGGACGAGAAACCCGTCTGTGGGGTTCACATCAGACGAGTTTCCCGTCTTCGATGAGTTTCCCGTCTTTGATGAGTTTCCCGTGTACATGAATTCGGCTAAAATCCTAAATGTATATAACTCGTATAGTCATGAGACAACAAGAAAAATTAAAAGAAGTTCAGTTCAAAAGCGCAATTTTCGCAGTTAACCGCGCTAACAAACAAACAGACAGCAGCTCTACAATATTACAGCAACGATTTATAATTATAATTAGAAGTTCTTCGAAGAAACCATTAAGTGAAATAGAGAACAATAGCTTATCGACAAACAATGTGGTCGTCAAGCAGTTGTTAAGACGTTCTTTACTGCAAAGGTTCAAATATTAGATTAGCGTATTTTATATTCGACGAACCGGCTGGACGAACCGGCGAGGAACAGTCTTGAAATAAATATTAAATATCCGTTTTTCTGGATATTTGCTTATTTGCAATTTCAGATGAAATGTTTGTTGCCTCATGAGTATATACGAGTTATATAGCTACATTTAGCCGAATTCATATACACGGGAAACTCATCAAAGACGGGAAACTCATCAAAGACGGGAAACTAGTCTGATGTGAACCCCACAGACGGGTTTCTCGTCCTAATTTTTCCGTCCAACTTTCCTGACTAAATTAAGAGACGGGTAAGTTAGACGGGAATCCCGTCTGGAAGAGAAACTCGTCTTAAATTCGCATTTAGACGGATCAGTAAGTCAGAATAGATTCAGAAATATCAGCACGGTCAAGGACGGAACAAGTCTACGGAAAATAAACACAATTGTTATCGTAATGATTACGCATTACCCGAACCATGCATCACACGTATAAATTTTCCATATTCCAATTCACATTCAGACGGGTTTTTACGGCTATTAACTTTCCAGTCTCAGTAAGATGAGTATTCGGCTATTCTTAATTCTTGTACTCTACTTCGACTTCACTAGTTCACTTCATTAAAAATACAAAACAATCGCACCGTAACCATTAGCTTCACTTGGGCCACATATAACTAACTTATAGAAGATAGTTCTTTAAGGCACTGCATTCCTGTATGTGATATGTTACAAGCTACGAATACGATAGTAAAGCCTGTAAAGATACAGTGTGTGAGATTTTAGAAAATAAATCATGAACATTAAAATGAACTCATTTAAATTGTTATTTCATTTGAGATCCTACCAAAAGGTATTTACGTTTCGTCACAGATCCTTCTAAAAAAGGATTAAGTAAAATAAAAAACTCTAGGCTTTCACCACAAGAACTGGTGGTGTAGTGGTGAAGACGATGATCTGCCAAGTATACAGTCGATGGTTCAAGCCCTGGAGAAACCGAAAAAGAAAAAGGTAACAAAGTGAGAATTTGTGAGTGTGAGAGGAGTAGAGCGAGAGGGCGAATATGCCCTCGCCTTGGGCGAGGAGTAGACTGAGGGGGGTTCTCTTTCCCCCGGCTTTCCTGACTTTCAAAGCAAGCTTTCTTCAAACATTTAATTGTGTTAGGGGGTAGTTAGGGATACCTGAGGATAGGTAAAAGTAGGGATAGATAGGAGTAAATAGGAGGATAAATAGGGGTAAAGAGGTTTAAATGAGTACAAAAAGACTTAAACATTTTATATACTGTTTTCTCACCTATACCCTCCCCCGGGAGCTGAGGCCGCCCAATTACTAAGTCTTTTTGTACTCATATACCCCTCATTCACCCTACCTATCCCCAGATTTCTCTAAAGATTAACTTTGATTTCCAAAGATTAACCGAATATATACTTCTCTCGAGTAACATACCTACCATATCTTTTTTTTTAGCGCCATGAGGAACATACCATACTGTTCTTGATACCTCGATCTTGTACTTGATAGTCCACGACTTTACCACAAGGCTAACTGGTGATTGTTGGAAGCCTACACCAACTTATTCTCCATAACCTTACCATGTAATATTAATAACGAAAATTTCCATCTAAAACGAGATTCGAACCTTCGATTGTCGACACATGAGACCAACATCTTGACCACTAGACTACAGGAACTTGTGCTGAACGACTATGGTTATTTAATTTACTTTACCCTTTTCATTAAGTTCATAATGAAAAACGGTTATAGTGGGATTCGAACCATCGATTTACCACTTGGGAGACCATTGCTTTCGCCACTAGATTACAAGGTCTTGTGCAAACGACTATGGTTATTTAATTTACTTTACCATTTTCACGGCGAAGTTCATAATGAAAAACGGTTATGGCAGGTTTTGAACCGTCGATTTACTACTCGAGAGACTATTTTCTTCGCCACTAGACTACAAGATCTTGTGCTGAACGGTGACGGTTATTTAATTTACTTTATCCTTTTCGCCAAGGACATAATGAAAAACAACGATTTTTTTTAAAGACGATCTACGATCGCTTTTGCTTGGTCTTCTACCTTATGTAAAAATCTACCTTATACTCTACATTATGTAAAATCTGCTTCGCTAGGCTTTATATTTAAATTTTTGGGCAACTGTCTCTCGTTGGAGCTTTTTCGTCGCCGAAGAAGCCTTTTCTTATATATACTGCCTTTTCTTGATTCCTTTCGTGGAAATTTTATAGAATTTCAAATTTGAAAGTGGAAGCACTGGAAGAAGATAAGGAGTATTTTGGAGTTTTAAATTTGGAGAAATATACTTTTGGTAAAGTTTTACGAGACCGTCAGCGCGATCTCCGTTGTTTTTCGGTTAATTTTCGAAGCTGAAGAAATATGAGAACTATCAAATAACGATTTGGCATAGTGCTGCCTGCTGGTTTCGGCGCTGGCTTGCAATCTTCGATGATATGGTTTAAATGAATTGGATTTAGCCATTTAGAACAAGGCCTGGTTTACGACGATGGAGTTCATGCCAACTATAACATGTGAGTTGTTCTCTGTGCTAAATGGATTGATTTAATAGATCGCATGTGCATTTGTTTAATCAGTTTTAAGCGTCTCATTGTTTTCACCATTTGATCAGTCGATTATTTAATTCTATTCGATATAAATTGATATTTTGCATTGACATTAATTTGTTTGACATATGGTTTGCAACATGAGATGTTATTCATGCTCACAGATCATTGCTCTTGTTAGATTACTGGCATGTAAAATCTTTGGTAAAGACAAAAGAGGATGTTATCTTAATTCTGTTGAGCTTCCTAAGCATGCATGTGCAGATGTGCCCTTTTAGACCATGAGAAAATCCATAAATCTTGCCATAGACAAGTTTGATCACCAATAGAAGGTCATGTCTATTGGTGTTGTAAAAATGGTCAAATGCTAAAAATGTGCAATAGTTTAGATATACGAATCTGACATTTATCTGGTTCTTCAAAATTTAATCAACAAAATTCTATGTAGTCCATGGTGCATTCCAATTGTTAATTGAATGTGAAAGATGAAATTGAATTTAACTATGAAATGCATATAACAAATTTGTAACTCTATGCGGAAGATCTTAGGCATATGCTACGCAGAATTCACCGAGTATGCAGTAGTCACAACAGAAACCTGTGTACATGCATGTAATATGAAGGAAGTTACATACAGTTAGTGGTTTGGGTCTGAAAAGACCCAGTGAACAGATATGCATGTGCTTATAAGCAGTTCCGACCATGTTACAAACGTCGCACAAAACATCACACAAAATTCTATTAAAAATATTAAAGTCCGCAGACATATTATTGATGCATGACATGCTCAGGGCCGGCACAGTCAGGCTTGAGTCTAAGAATGAAATTGATAGGCTTGCTAAGGCTACACAGCACCTGTCCCAAAAAGTTTAATCTCTAAAGTGTAACAAGTATTACATTTTGTATTTTGATTTAACAGGTGAAGGAGACTATGACATATTTTTTCCATTCAAAGATGATATTCAGCGTAGACTATCAGATACAACCATTGAATGGAAAAGGCAAGTGTAGATTCAAATTTTAGACTTACACCAGTCTGTGTAGAAAAGCTAGATACTGCATCCAGTTATTCTGCAACATGAAAATGAAATAAAAAAAGTGGACTTAAACATTTAGCTCCAGTGTATATTCTAGATCTATTTAAAGTGCAGCCTACGCATTATGACATAGAAATGGTACTGTTTAATGGCGGTGTTACAGTATACAACTTTCCTTGCAATTTGCAATGCAGTTCTACTCCTGGGGCATCTAAAGTTGTCAAATACGAACATTTCTTACGATCTGCAAACGTTTTCTTAGCATTTCAAACACTCTTTACAAACTAACATTCCTCAAAATTATAGAATATAGTTGCATTGCAAGTTGCAAGGATAGTTGCACAGTGTAAAGGTGTGCGCCTTAAAAGCTGTTTAATCTTTCTTGCTATGGCAAAATTATATCCTTGACGTCTTAAACGGAAACAGTGAGTTTAAGATGCACCAAATCTACATAAAAACAGCCGCTATAAGTGTTTATAGGAAACCTTGTTTTAATTACGGTTCTGACTTTGTTTAATCAAAGGATTCATCTTTGTTGTGAGAATGTTGTAATAAAGGCAGTACAGCGTCGTAGATTTGGTGTATCTTATAAACAAACTAATGGTTAAAGTTTGATAAATCTCTCGCAGATCTCACGGGCGTCCTTCAAAGATGGTTGTTGTCAGAGGGCAATGTTTACGACTCACGAAAGATCACCTTAAATATACCATCGAAACTACGCCGAGTTTAAACGACCTGCCATTTTTTCACATGTTCTGGACCGATTGCCAGGTACTGTACGTCTGTGAGGTTAAATCATGCAAATAATAGACATTATCGTCTATTATTTCCGTTGGTTAAATCTGTAAAGTTTAAAGACAATACAGTATTCTCTGTATGCTTCGGTGTGTAGACTGTAGAGTTCTACAAGACAGACTGGTTCGATTCTAGTCCTTGTAAAAGACGGTGAAATGAATCTTGGGCCTGCTTTACGAAGCTGGATAGCGCTATCCACCGGATAGTGATTTTTCCAACCGTTTAAAACATGCTTGGAAAAACAATTAAATTACAGATTTGGAGCTAATCATTATGAAAGAGAATCCCCAATTTAGGAATACTAAGGTTGAATCCAGGTTATACCGAGCAACGGGCAATTTAGAGTGATTATAAAATTAAACACTATCAAGTGGATAGCGCTATCCAGCTTTCGGGGTCGTTAACGTTATTATAACAAATGTTACAGTGAATTAACCAATGTTATGTCTATTCATATTCGTAAGACGACAGACTTCAGCAGTTATGCTTGAGAAAAATTTTACTAGGGTAACTCCTGTGTTCTAAAATCTCACCCACACTCATCACTCATCCAAACTCGTCCAGTAGAAGATCTCCATCAATTTAAGTAGGAACGATTGCATGACGGGTTTTCCCTTTAAAATAAGAGCTTGATTTTCATTATTCTACATCTTCAATCTGTCCGTTGATTACGAAAGGAATTCCTGTGCCACACTCAATGTGTGAGTTTTTTGAATACATCTAGGCATAAAGCCCGTTTTCCACTGGGTGAATTTATTCCCGGGACGCGAAGCGTTATCTAAAATCCGGTGATGTGATTGGTTTGCGAAAAAAATCGCCGCGAAAAAGTAGAACCGCTTCCTACTTTTTATCTGTTCGCACGAATAAATTCCCCTACTGAAAAACGGGCTTTAAGGTCGACACAGACCGGACGCGAATTTTCAACGTTTTTAATTTTTCAAAATCAAATAAATTTTAAACTATCATAATATTCTTGTAGATTACATAACAATAAAACATTTTGACTGCTCTAGCGTCCATAATTTCCAAATTTTACTTCCAGAATTTATAATTTATATGCTTCTAAAAACTCACGCGTCGCGTTGACGCATCGCGTCCGGTCTGTGTCGACCTTAAGACTCCCTAGGCCTAAGGCTACAGTATAACACGGCCTGAATAGAGTTTTTAAATTTGGGATGATAGTCTACAAATCTGTGTTTGTTTTCTCCGAAGGACTTTGACGAATATCGCAGTGAAGTGAAGGATCGTATCAACAAATGGTTGAGGAATATCAAGTCAAACTCTAACAACGATTGGTTGGTAGTTCAGGTGATTACACATGGTTCATTGAAAGGCAACAAACCAAAATTACAGCTTCCCCGAAGCAGCGTTTTCGACAAAATCAAGAGTGATTTTGGTGGCGGAAAAGCAAACGACAGGTCGGTATTTGAGAAAAAACTAACGATTTGCAAATCTGTGGTCGGTTGTATCAAGCCCGTTTAGCTTAAACGGTGGATAAGTTCAAAATAGAAAGCAAGTCTATCGTTTTATTCAACAAGCGAACTAAATGTTTTTGACCTTAATACAAAGATGCTGTTTACAACTACATATTCAGTGCATAATATTAAAGTTGATTCATTCAAGAGAGATGTAAGAGTGTTTTTTTTTTATTTTGACTTATCTACCGTTTAAGCTGAACGGGCTTGATACAACCGTCCTCTGAAAAATACCTACCAACAGATAAGGTATGCGCTATCCAGTGTTGCTATGGTACAGTGTATATCGTGCACTCGTTGCAGATGCATCCAGTTGTGGGAACCGTCAAAGCACGAGGTAACCCCGAGGTCAGTGGAATCCTGGCAGGCGTTTATGAACAAACTGAGGCAGGCCATTCTTGCAACCGTCGACAGAAACCTGAGAAAATTCGAAGACAAAGTTCGTAACACAAGAGATAAGCGGAACGAAGCCAAATGGGATTTCACAAAGTACTTTCTTTGTCACGTGAGTGTACCTCGTGACTGATTCACGGACCTTATCATTTACGAACGCCGGCCGGAAGTGTGAACTGAGCCGTTTTGATTACAACCGTTTTTGTTTAAAATCTCCAACGTGAAATTCTGTCTACTGCCGTTCTAATCTTTGACTTACCGACTGCTGACGCTTAAATTTACCGTGAAATAATGTACCGTGATGCCCGTGTTGTTAAAAACAATTACCTTGAATTCTTGATATTCGCGATGAAAGCGTTAAATTATCAATAGACATTTTGCATTATAGACTACTTTTTTATCGATGCAAGGAAATGAAATCAAATCACCACAGCCGAAAAGAGCGTATTGAAATTAGTAAATGCAAAATTTACCACATTCGGGCCCAAAATGGTAACAGCCGTGCGTTAAAGAAAAGCATATAGAAATTTGCAAACTTTGCAAGGCTATATTTTCCGCATTTTACGACATTTCGCAACCAAATTTTGCATTTTTACTAATTTTGATATGCTCTTTTCAGCTGTGGTGATTTGATAGGATTATCTTGCATAGATCAAAAAGTAGTCTATTTAAAGGTCTTATTGTAAAAAGCAGAATTTCAGACTGATTTCGTTGTTTAGAGACAACGTTTGAGATAAAGTTAACCATGTAGTTTTATTTTAAATAGGAAGAAGTTGCAATGGTTTATGAAATGATGCATCTGAACGAGGAGGCTCTCATTCATTATGACGAAATAGACGCGCTCATGCATCAGCTTGTGAATAATGTGAAAACCTCAGGTATGCAAGAAGATTACGATTTCTTTTAAAGTTCGTCATGGTTGCTGTTCTTCCTAGAGGTCCAGTAAGAATCATCCCTTATTGATCCAGTGTTACTACAGAAGGAAACCTAAACTAAACTAACTGTATTTATACTGGATAGCTCTATCAGTTCTAAACTCTTCTTCCTAGAGATCCAGTAAGAATCATCTCTTATTCATCCAGTGTTACTACAGGAGAAAACGTAAACTATATAAACTAACTTTATTTATACTGGATACAGTAGCCCTATCAGTTCTAAAACAAAACGTTTTCCCTCTAGACTACTCGGGACCGCTGACCCCGTTCACGGGGGAGTGTTGGTGCTGGGATGGTGCATCAATTTCGTCGGATTCGGAAAAAAAACTTCGTGCGAAAATTAAAGAAAGAAATGCGACGTTATTGGATATAAGAAACTATCTTTTCATCAGGCAGTGTGCCTTGTTATTCCAGTTGGACCGAGTGAAAGATGTCTTACAGCGAATGCTGGAATTTATGCATAACGTTGTTCACGAGTTGACGATTTTAAATGTAAGTTCGATGTGATAACTCACTGTCTTTTAATATTATACGCTTAATGTTTGCTCCCGAGGGAAATAGTGAGTTTTGTTTTCCCTCGAGTCTCAATGTTCCGAGACGAAGTCGAGGGAAACATTATTTCCCGAGGTAGTGTATCTTAAGTGTTTTGTTATATAGGAACAAAAACACACATGTTACACAACAATTTCATTTAAAAAAACCCACTTTACTTTGTTATGACAAGAAGCGGGCAACAATTTTTCACTTGTTTCCCTGGCGGGAAACATTGCATTTATTTAAAGTCATGTGACTACGAATGAACCAATCACATTTAAAATACACAGCACCTATATAACAATCTTGTATGTTTGCATGGTGACATCACTGATAAGTAAATTAGCTTGTAGGTACAGCACGTAAGTATAATATGCTTAAGAATAGTATAATAATAGTATAATGATAGTATAATTATAATTAAGATAATATATATACTTACGTGGTGTACCTAAAAGCTAATTTACTCACTGCCTAAATGTTTTTAAAGGATTTATTGATAAAGAGTTTAATGGTTTGGTTTATATGATTTAACATGCATGTAAATCATCGATTATTTTTGTTTAAATCATATGTTGTATTATCAAGATAGCTTGGCTATAACCAAGATGGCTTGCTCCTCAGTTCTTAAAAGTGTTTTGTTTGTTAAAGGTTTCGATTCCCGCCGGAGCTTCGGCCTGTTGGGTGACTTTGAGCTCGCTTCAGTTGATACGTTCCACAATCCAGAAGAATCCCGAGTTAGTGACGTACAGTCTTCACACTGCTCAGATATATCAATATGCAATGAAAAAGGTACGATTATCACACGGAACTCTGGCTATAACTGCATGGTGTTACATTGGAAATGATTGGGTCATGTGAGATCTTTTAACAGAACAGTTTACAACTGTTAAGCTATCCGCAATATAAATTAAGTTTGTTTAGTTTAGGTTTCCTCCTGCAGTAACACTGGATCAATAAGAGATGATCCTTACTGGACCTCTAGGAAGAACAGTTTAGAACTGATCGAGCTATCCAGTATAAATAAAGTTTCTTTAGGTTAGGTTTCCTCCTGTAGTAACACTGGATCAATAAGAGATGATCCTTACTCGACCTCTAGGAAGAACAGTTTAGAACTGATAGAGCTATCCAGTATAAATAAAGTTACTTTGTTTAAGTTACCTCTTGAAGTAAGACTTGATCAATACGAGACTATTATCCTTACTGGATCTCTAGGAAGAACAGTTTAGAACTGTTCGTGCAGTGACATAATTTATCAGTTGAACTTAACATTTAGTACCTTTGATTTTGTTTTTTAGCTTTTCGAAGTTGGTCATTTATGTGGCTTGATGCCTGATGAAGTCTCAACTGACCAGCAACTTCATCTGGCGTGTGAACTTTCTGGAGGCGTGGGAAAGAACGACGAAGGTGAGAGCAGTTCGATATTGATCTGGAGTGATATGACGTGGTAAAGAGTGGGGGATTGGAACAGGGTGATGTTAATATCGTGTCTTACATACTTACTTTCATTTAGTTAAATTCAGTGAAGGTAATCCTAGCAATAAGCTGAAGACTGCCCTCTCATCGAAAGATGGCTTCAAAGCGCTCTATTTGGTACGTCTTGAATTGTTTTTGTTCAAGAATTAAAGTCCGATAAGATTCAGTGTACAAAATCTAGTCTCACGTTACATTAACTTTTCTTGTCAGGAACTTTTGCAAATGGCCATTAAAACGTACGAAAATATCAAAAGAACGCGCTCAGCGAAAGTCCTGGGAATAGATTTGGGAAGGTTTTATATGTAAGTGTTGAACAAGGAATAATTCAATTAATATTCTTGCATGGTAACATCAATAACTAAATTAGCTTGTAGTTACACCACAGTGGTGTAATTCAATTGATTAATGAACTTCAGACACTTAACATACATACAGTATAAGTTTCTAGATCTGAAATATATAATTTATATTGTGATTAATTTAAGTTAGTTTCATTCTTCAGGTCGGGAGGAAGCTTCGGTGATGCAGAAGAGTTGTTAACTGAAGGATACAAAATGTTTGCTGAAGAAGGATGGGGGTTACTCGCTGCAAACACGTTACTTTGCTTAGCTCAATGTCAATACCAGTTGCGTAACATGGAAAAATATCCTTCCGTTATTGAATATTAGATCTTAGTTATACACTTACAGTCAGGCACATAGCCGTCTCCACGTAATATTGAAGATACATGTTATTACAGGAGGAAACCTTAAACTAAACTAACTTTATTTGTACTGGATAGCTCTATCAGTTCTAAACTGTTCTTCCTAGAGGTCCAGTAAGGATCATCTCTTATTGATCCAGTGTTACTACAGGAGGAAACCTAATCTTAACTAACTTTAAATATATTGGTTAACTCTATCAATTGAATTTTAAATTTTTTTTTCTTAACAATCTTTACATATGCGCAATCATGTGCTGTTTTAGCATGTCAGTCCCACCTTAAGAAAAACGAAACACTATTTTTCACGGAGGAACTGATCAGATTGAAAGATGACAAGGAACATGACGGTGAGCGAATAAAAAAAGCTAATCCAACGTTGTTTTTTTTTTATCCAAGTAAAGCTCCATTGTCTATAACCATTCTTTTACGACGCAAAGCGTCCGTTTGAATACATCAAGTAATGTAAAATTACGAATTTTCCTTCGTCTAGACAAGCCTCTGGTGATAAGAGCCGAACCATTGTTCAAACCGGAAATGGTGAAAATTCATTTAACAAAGAATATTGCGACCGTCGGTGAAACGGTTCATATTGAGATACAGCTGGACAGTGGACTGGAGCGGGTTAGTGTATTAGGATTTCTCTGCAATTTTTCTTCAAACTTGTGATCCGACTTTACTTTTGAGTGATGTAAACTAGCATCTTGGGAACTTTTGTATCTATTACACTCAACGGATGTTCTCCTTTTACATACATTTCGAAAACTCTTCACTAATTTACATCTCAAAAAGTAGAGTTGCATTGCAAGAAGATTTGATGGTTGAATCAAAAAAACTGAAGCAAGTTTTTGACTGTGTTTCTCGTTCAATTTTTATAAAAATTAGCGAATGGTTGTATTTTACATAGTTCTAGGCATTCCTAGATAATTAATCTCTACATCTGTTTGATACGTTCAAAAACTTAGAAAAACTTCCTTCATATGTGGCTTCAAAGATGGCGGCGAAGTTAGCTTTCCAAGTTTTATTACAGTTCACTGGGACTAACGCGCTAATGACACTGTTCAAGCTGCCTAAACTTTAGTTAAGCATGCACAATTATGAAGGTTTTGCAATATTTCTCGTATTAATTGCACATTCATCGTATTATAGGTTGTGGATGACTGCTTGTTGAGGACAACAATGAGGATGTCCGTGGCCCCCCAGGACAGCGAACCAATACGACTTTCGAACGAGGAAGATTCCGTGGATTCATCTAGTGTCAGCAATGCGAGTAAGAAAATACGCTTAACTTTCCGGGCGAGCTAAAATAGCGGAAAGGAACTGGGACTGGTTGTCAAGTAAAATCGATTTCTCGGTTGAAAGAACCGAATATCTCTTCAAATATACTTCACATCAGTTAAAAATTAATGTCAGAGCTATAGTTCTTATATAACTAAACGTAATCACAAAATTTCGACTAGTTTCATAACGAATAACGAAAGATATAATCGATTATATATAGGTCCTGTGACTGTGTAATTTATTTCTACCTCGACAGCCCTTCTCATAACTGATCACTTTGCACAATTTGTAGTTTGAGCGAACATAATTCGCCTGGTGGGAAACAAGACAATTAGTTTTGGTTGAGAATATGTGGATAACACAAACTTTTCAGTCCGATAAGGTCCGGAGGATAATTTTCGTGACTGGAAACCATCCATTGTACATAGCTGAGTTATATTCTAAGGTTAATGATTGTTGAAGGTTCCGAGGTCTTTGCCGTTCCTCTCGCCTTTCGTCACACGAAGGTCATGTATAAGTTTTCATTAAGATTTGCATTTTCTGCAGGTGTGTCGAGTTCATCCAGCGACGGTGTCTCTTCGTCTGGCGGAGATGAAAAAGTCAAAGAGAAGTTTATACTCGATTCTGAGAAAGTTCAGTTAACCGCTGGAAAACACATATATTGTCTCAAGGGGAAGGTGGGTATTTCTAATGTTTGCTGCGGACATTAGAAATATTAGACATACAGTTAATAGTATAAATAAAATTTGTCCTGTAGTAACACTGGGTCAATAAGAGATGATTCTTACTGGGCCTCTTGGAAGAACAGTTTAGAACTGATAGACTTATCCAGTATAAATAAAGTTAGTTTAGTTTAGGTTTCCTCCTGTAGTAACACTGGATCATTAAGAGATGATCCTTACTGGACCTCTGGAAGAACAGTTTAGAACTGATAGACTTATCCAGTATAAATAAAGTTAGTTTAGTTTAGGTTTCCTCCTGTAGTAACACTGGATCATTAAGAGATGATCCTTACTGGACCTCTAGGAAGAACAGTTTAGAACTGATAGACTTATCCAGTATAAATAAAGTTAGTTTAGTTTAGGTTTCCTCCTGTAGTAACACTGGATCATTAAGAGGTAATACCTATTGGACCTCTAGGAAGAACAGTTTAGAACTGATAGAGCTATCCAGTATAAATAAAATTAGTTTAGTTTAGATTTCCTCCTGTAGTAATACTGGATCAATAAGAGATGATCCTAACTGGACCTCTAGGAAGAACAGCTTAGAACTGAAAAAGCTATCCAGTATAAATAAAGTTAGTTTAGTTTAGGTTTCCTCCTGTAGTAACACTGGATCAATAAGAGATGATCCTTACTGGACCCCTAGAAAGAACAGTTCAGAACTGAAACATATTTAGTAAATTTGTCCTCCTTGTGTTAATCAGGTAAGAAAGAGTGGTACATACCTTCTCCAACAGTTGTTGGTAAGAATGGGCAACATCCAGTTGCTTGCATCACTTCAACGTTTGCCAAAAAAATCCAGGAAGTTCGTGGTTGTCTCAGAATCTCCGACAGTTACCTGGACCCCAGGCGCCCTTGGTAAGTAAAATTAAGCATGCATTTATGTTATACGAGTCAGTACAAGATACATTACATGACGTCTAGAGCCTATTTTTTCCATGTGATTTACAGACACGGCAGACCACTGTACACGCCTAAAAACGCTCAGGTTGATGCAAGTTGATACAAACAGGATGGAGCAATGTTGTGCTGCCCACATTGTACAGGGTTGTTATCAACATTGAACAATATTGTTGAAACTTAATCGGGTGTAACAATGTTGTTCAATATTGATAACAACTCTGAACAATGTGGGCAGCACAACATTGCTCCATCCTGTTTATATCAACTTGCATCAACCTGAGCGTTTTTACGCGTGTAGTTGTCAATCTGAAATCAATTTTTGGTTTAATGCTATTTCATACCGCATGATACTATATTATATTGCAAAATTCTACTTATATATACAATACTTATACAGTGCAGTACAATACGCTACAGTACACTAAAATAGTACAATGCACAAAGATAATGTATTGCAGTGAAATTCAGAGGCCTGTTCTTCAAAGCTAAGTTAGGCCAGGACAAACATCGTTGTGTTGTACGCTACAAATATGGTTGTCAAAATAATTCTTACAATGAGATGGGAATTTACATTAATGATGATCCCACTTTGGTCCAGCTAATTTTTTCAGCTTTTCAATGTTGAGGCCTTGTTACACGGTGTAATATTTCCTGCAACTTGCAATATTGCAATTCTTTTGAGAGATGTAAATTTGGCAACTACCAAACCTTTGTCTTTATTACACCCCATGGCATTTCTTTTCTGAAAGACTCTTTACTAATTTACATCTCTTCAAAGTAGAATTGCATTGCAAGTTTAATGTAAATTGCACCGTCTAACATGGCCTTTAATGAATTGACATTCCTTGTTGCTTTTTCAAATTGCAGACATTCCTTTAGTGGCAGGTCTTCCAAACTGTGTCTCCTTAACGATTGCAACTGGACCAGCGGCGATATTGGACCAATCTGTATTGCAAATGTCATCAGAATCTGGACTTCTCTTCCAACCAATGGAATGCAGACAGGCTGTGATTACGTCACAATCAGACGAGAAGAGTACCGATGCAGAATATAGTATAACGCTGCTGGATGAAGTCAAAGATGAGAATTTGGTGGAAATGTCGTCAAGGTGAATCAAACTACTCTTAGTAAACTCAGCTTTTGCACTAGAACTAACTAAACTACAGTAAGCTAACTTTATTCATACTGGATAGCTCTATCAGTTCTAGACTGTTCTTTCTTAACATCCACTTCTACAGAAGGAAACCTAACCTAAACCAAACTAACTTTATTTATACTGGATAGCTCTCCTCAAGAATTGAAAGCTTTGTTATTTGAACTTTTGAACACTATTTTTGTAGATGTTTGGTGAAATTGCCTTTAATACCTCCTTACCACAAGATTCAAATAGATTTGTTGTTGTATTCTCAATTTGATGACGCAGATGTTGAACAACTTACAGTAGATCACGACGTAAGTTCTAAGCTGTTCTTCCTAAATGTCCAGTAAGGATCATCTCTTTTAGATCCAGTGTTACTACAGGAGGAAACCTAAACTAAATTAACTTTATTTATAGTGGACAGCTCTATTTGTCCTAAACTTTTTTTCCTAGAGGTCCAGTAAGGATCATCTCTTATTGATCCAGTGTTACTACAGGAGGAAACCTAAACAAAACTAACTTTACTTAGTAGATTTCCCATCAGATGTCTCATTTAGTCTGTATATCATTCATAGTGTCACATGTGTGTTTAACTGTTCTTTTAGGCTTTATCTTGTGCGACGTGGTCTTCAACAAGTCAATTGACCAGTCTTTTCCTAACTTTCAACAAACCTTTTCTGTTCGAGCACGTTCTTTTCCGGACGAAATACGGGTAATTCTAAACAATGAACTAACTTTATTTATACTGGATAGCTCTATCAGTTCTAAACTGTTCTTCCTAGAGGTCCAGTAAGGATCATCTCTTATTGATCCAGTGTTACTACAGGAGGAAACTTGAACTAAACTAACTTTATTCATACTGGATAGCTCTATCAGTTCTAAACTGTTCTTCCTAGAGGTCCAGTAAGGATCATCTCTTATTGATCCAGGGTGACTGGAGTAGCAAACCTATAAGCTAAAGTAACCTAAATTTAAAACGTTTAATCCAACCGGTTTCTTTATTTGAAGATACCGCTGTTGTTTTTTTCGGAACATATTCTGTGATTCTTTCAAATACTGGCTGACTCTATCATTTCATCAGTGTCTGTCAAAGAATTGGTAGAAAACCTCGTCAGCATTTGATTGGTCATGCTTTATGAACGTTTTACACATTTATATTTTTCAGTCAGTTTCTCCAAGTCATCTTAACTGGAGCGACGTGTGCAGAGATTTTAATTTGTAATGCTGAACTGGAACGCGAAAGTAAACTTGACCTGGACGTAACGGAATTAATCCCTCTTAATACTTCCACTCCACAGGTAGGATGAATAGTCGCAACTAAACGCACTGCATACCCATGTAGCTCTATCGTTTGTTAATCAGTTTAGGATTCTCGCTGGATATCTCTATCAGTTCTAAACTGGTCATTTCTAACCCAACTAAACTAACTTTATTTATACTGGATAGTTCTATCAGTTCTAAACTGTTCTTCCTAGAGATCCAGTAAGGATCATCTCTTATTGATCCAGTGTTACTACAGAAGAAACCTAAACTAAACTAACTTTATTTATACTGGATATTTCTATCAGTTCTTTCTAAGGGTCCAGTAAGGATCATCTCTTATTGATCCAGTGTTACTATCACAGGAAAAACATAAAATAAACCAGTGGATCGTATACAGTGGTTTTGAAACTGGAAATATTTTCTCACCTAGGTCTTGTATTACCAAGGAGAACTGTCTTATGTCTGGCGTATGAATAAAGGTACAGTAGCTACGTCTGGGCTCCTAGCTTAGGAATATTTAGTTCTGCACTTGAAAACCAGTGGCGTCGCCAGCTTGATAAGTGGTGGGGACTTATTCATATATTCGTGTTTTACATTATTCGTTTCTTTTCAAATTGATTGTTTTAACGGTCTGTCAACATGAATATATGAATATGTCCACCTCACTCATCGGGGCTTATGTGACACTGCACGCGCGAGCTACCCGACACTTTTGAAATAGAGCTTCTTTAAACAATTCTTCATTTTGAATAATAGAGATCAAGTGTAATATACCCCGGTACGCCTGCTAACCTTATTTTGTTCGATGAAGTTTCCAGTCGGTTTTTGACCTTTTGAGGCAAACAGGATTTTGCAAGATTTCGTCATAAAACATGTAAGGAACAAGACTAAAATTCCATTGCAAAAAGCCTAATTACCATAGCTTTAACATAAATTTGAAACCGAAAAAAAGGTATATTTCAAGAGATATTATATGGCCGAAATCCTTTGATCGTGGTGAAAATTTTTTTCCAATCAATTTCAGCGACATGAGACAACTATTTTTCGTAATATTTTTAGGATTGCCGGATGTTTCTACCTTTGTCCTCAGTCTTGCTTATTCTTCCAGAATTGAGGTAATTTTTGTATATGTGATAATTGTAGAATTAAGGCGGTTTTCCACTAGGCGGAATTTTTCGATTGATCGAAATTTTTCGTCTGATATTCTTTTCAAATATGAGAATTCGACCGTAGCGGATTCTCTTCACCGGTCAAAATTGAGAAGAAAATCGAGGGAAAAATTTCGTTCGACCCAAAAATTCCGCCTAGTGGAAACTGGCTTTAAGGCTATTCACCATTACCATCTAAACTATCTAATCTCCATTACATCGCATCTCAACGGCAAAACTCGGCTTCGCCTCGTGAAATATCGACAGATTTCGGGTCCACAAAATATGTTTCCTTCGTTCGCAATAAATAAGTGTTATCTATAATCGGTCATCGGAAGCACTTTACAGAAACTGTCACTGTTCTCTGACTAATATTTCTATCTAATTTTCCACTTTTTTCTAGGCTGGTGATAGGTATACGTTCAAGCATACTTTTAAAGTCTGAATATGTGAAGGTATATCAGTTCATGTATCACTCGAACAACTTAATTTAAACAACTGAATTGGTTGGTTTATCACGCTGGTCCTAATTAGCTCAAATAGTCCTAATTAGCTCCTACTCGTGCAGGCTCATATTGTCAGTGGATAACTTACATACATTTGAGAGCAGTGCGTAAAACGAAAAGCTTTTAATTTTTGATGCGAAGACCGTTGGAACGGTGACGAGATGGCACAATTTCCTTGGTCTACAGTAATATGGTGGTCTGAAATTTTCACCCTATGCAGAGCCAGTCCGTCACTGCGTAGATAAAGCCAGATATAATTCTATTGCCACGCTAGTTTCCCGCCACAAACACTCAATAGCGATAGTTTTAGCGGGAAACGGAAGCTGGAAAATGAAAAAGAAATGTTGCTTTGCCCGAAAAATATGCCTGGTGAAGCTAGGCTTTTATTTAGATCGCATTCCCTTCAGTAATACAAAATGGTTTGAATTATTGCGCAATAGACTAGAGCTCGTATAACCTAATCATATTCTATGGAATTTTGCAAGTTGGGATACCGTAATTATTCGAATAAACGCCGCGGCGTTTATTAAATTTTTAGCAATTAAGATGCGGCGTTTATTCGAGGGCGGCGTTTATTCAAGGGAGGCGTTTATTACAAACTCGTAACAACTCTGAATTTCAGTGTGTAATTTAAACGCCAATTTAACCAATACAATCAATCCCCAAAAAAACTAAGTATAAAAGTTATGTGTCTTTTCTATTTATATAATTATATAAGAAAATTGAACTGTGGTTATAAATAAATGCTTCGAATAAACGCCGCAATGACGAAAAGGTTGCGGCGTTTATTTGAGGGCGGCGTTTAATGAGATTTTTGCTTGTCCCTGCGGCGTTAATTCGAGGGCGGCGTTTATTCGAGGGAGGCGTTTATTCGAGTAATTACGGTATATAATAATACAATAGCGTAGCTATACGAGACGACGGGCTGGTTCAGTTTAACACTTCCAAATATTTGTTCGTTGAGAAGGCTAAATATCTTAGTATAGTTTTTATGATGTGATTTCACGGTTGTGAAATTTTCATATGGGACCAAGATAGTAATAATAATAATGTCTTGTTATGTCGTTTTGAGTTATTTATAAACTGCAACCGTGCACTTTAAGATCACCACTAGAATAAATGGATAGCTTTAACAGTATATTTCATTTTCGTTGATCAAAACCCCGTTTACAGTGTTTACTGTCACTGGAGAGTCTGGACTTAAGTTATTGGCACGACACGGCACGGCACGAAACGGCACGACACGGGAAGCACGGCACGGCATAGCTTGCATTTAAAATGAGTAAATTGCAGTGCCGCCTTCGTATACCAGCCAGAGAAGTTATTCCTGTTGCATTAAACGGTCTACGTACGAGATGAGCGGCGACGATTTACTCGAAATGTTTGACGATTTCGCAGAGCGATATATCGAAGAGGAGTTTCACAATACTATCGCGCTTGATGACGAACGAGAAAAATTACAGGCCGCGATCGAAGTCTACGAAGCAGAAAAGAAGGAATTAGACGCTGTTGCGGTCGATGATGATGATGTTATTCATATGAATGTTGGTGGACAAAAATTCACCACAACAAGATCGACTCTCTGCCAAATAGAAGATTCCTTACTCGCCTCAATGTTTAGCGGTCGTTGGGAGAATAGCGTGCTTCGTGACCAAGACGGCGCTGTCTTCTTTGATTATAATCCCAAATATTTTGATTTCATTTTGGCTTATCTTCGTGCAAAGACGATGGCTACCCCGGAGAATCCAGCCGCACTTCCAGAAGTTCCTGATGATCAAGTTAAGAATTTCCGAAGCCTTGTCGGATATCTTGGCTTGACTGAGGAATTTTTCCCCGTGAAAACTCTGCTGACAGATCAATTTAATGATCGGAGCCCTGAAATTACTCTTGAAGGAAACGGAAAAGTCGCAGTGCATGATTCGAGCTTCGCATATAAATATGTCGTAGGTAGTAAGACTTACCAACAGGGAGTTGTGAGTTTCAAGTTGAATTTAGAGTCCTTTAAGGATAACCATTGGTTCATGATTGGTATACTGAATGGTAATGTCGATGTAACACAGTCAGTGAATACGGAGTCATTTAAGTTGGAAGGTTGTTATGCATGGGCACTCGGTTGCGGTGGTCAAATGTATAAAGGCGGAACATTTGCATATGACAATTCGTTAAAAAATCTGTCTAAAGAAGGCGATCAGGTTGAGCTGGTCTTAAATTGCAATGCAAGCAAACTGTCACTGCACTTACCCAGTGGTGATCAGTTTCACATGGACATACCAACGTCCCAAAACTGGAGACTTCATGTTAATTTGTTAGGTGCTAACGACAAAATCCGCATCGTCGAAGTTGCGAAAATTTGAAGAATACTTGTATGATCATATAAAAGACATTGTACTTTAGCCACATTATTACAGTCAAGCCATACATAAAACATATAAGCAACTTAGTTTTTTGTTTGTTAATTCGTAATAACATGAATTGCCAAATATATATAACTAGGATTTACGTCATATAATTTGAATCTATTATTTTACTCTCATATTTAGAAAGTAATTGTATCAATTGAATCCAATATTTTCTTCGTCTACAGTGTGATTATATTTACAAAAATTGAGGAATATAGTGTATATACCGTGTGTTTATTTGTGCCTATCACATAACAATTATATAAACTAAGGCCCCGTTTACACTATAGTGACTATACCGAATTGCTTCCAGAGTGGCTATACACGAGAGCTATTAGCTGAGCTAAAGACCACGCAAGGCTGTCAGCTCAGCAAGTTCCTCTCCTGTGCGGATAGTTTTCGGGCTTGAGAAATTCGCCTCGATAGGCAGGTTTATATCTATGGTTTATACATATCATAACGTAATGGCATCATGAAACACAGAGAGAAATGCAATAATAAAGATTACATCAATATATTCAAACTTGAAGGAAATTTACCTGCATGATTTAACAATGCCGGTCGATTTCAAGTCGAAATTAGTAAAACCGATAAATTAGAATTACACAAATATAATAATAAAATAATTCCATTGCACAACTGTGTAACTTCGATCAACATGAGGTCACATATCATGCTGTCGCGTGAAATCAATCTCCAAGTGCGATGTCCAGAAAATGCTTTTTTCTTATTAACCATCAAAGAATTTAACTCTAACTAAAATAAAAAGAAGTGGATGGTATATTTAGCCGAAAATATAGCGACGATCCTATTGTTGTGTACGAAATATAATACCTAACTATCCTAAATTTGTCTGGTGATGTTTACCTGTGGTATTGCACCAATCAGGTGTCGGTTAATTGTGTCGGTATTTTGCATAACAAGAAACCGGATAACATATAATTTTAATATTTAACAAAAGGCCATACTCAGAAAACCACTTCCTTGTGCGAACATAAGATAGAAGAGCAAAATCATCGCATTTTACGAAGAGGGAACAGCGCCTCTATATAGCAAACCATTCCAAAAGTCATTCCAAAACATCCATAAGATGAGCTCTGACGATTTACAGACAAAGTACGGCGATTTGGTAAAGCGTCTCATTAAAGAAGAATTTCACGACGTCATCGAAAGCAGACAAGCAGAATTGAGGGTTGAAATCGAAGCGTACAACGCTGAAAAGCCACGAATGAGCGCTGTTGTGATCCGCGATGATGATATCATAGAATTACACGTCGGTGCAGATAAATTTACCACAACAAAATCGACTCTGTGCCAAGTTAAAGATTCCTTACTCGCCTCAATGTTTAGCGGTCGTTGGGAAGAGAGCGTACGTCGAGATAAAAAGGGCAATATCTTCTTTGATTACAATCCCAAATATTTTGGTTTGATTTTGGATTATCTTCGGGCAAAGAAAATTGCTAGCCCGGAGAATCCAGCACCAATGCCGGATGTCCCGAATGATGAACTTCAAAATTTCAAAAATTTTGTCGGGTTTCTGGGCCTAAGTGGGGAAATTGTTCCGACCATAACTGTGCCAGTAGAAAAGTTTGAATTACGCAGCCCAGGAGTTACGCTTCAAGAAGACGGGAGAGTCGCTGTTAACGATACAAGTGGTCAGTATAAATATGCTTTAGGTAAAAATGCCTATCAACAAGGGATTGTGAACTTCAAGTTAAATTTAGAGTTATTTCAAAATAACAATTGGATCTTCATTGGTATGTTGAGAACAGATGTTTTACCTCAATATCAAAGTGATAATTCATTTAAATGGCCTGGTGGTAATGGATGGGCACTTGGGGCAAATGGTTATGCATATGCAGGCGGAGTTGCTTCAAATGATTCTTCTTTAAATGGTTTATCTAAACAAGGTGACACAGTGCATGTTGTCCTAAATTGTGACGAAGGTAAACTATCACTGCACTTGCCCAGTGGTCATCAGGTTCACATTGAAATACCCAAATCTCAATCCTGGAGACTTCATGTTAATATGTACGGTGCAAACGACAAAATCCGCATCGTCGAAGTCGTGCAAGAATGAAGAATTCGAAAAGTACAGTCTTAATTTCATAGTTGTGTGATTCAACCTAATCATATAGTAAGAAATAACTCAGTCTTGTCACATTGCTGAGCTATAATAGTTCAAATGCATGAACAACTTAATCTAGTTGAATAATTATGTGCATTCTTAGTAATTAACATATATATCATGTGAATTCTTGGGCTTAAAGGGTCTTAATTAAGTTCGAGTGGAATTATACACACACTCAAATTCAAGCCAGGAACAGTTGAAGGAAAAATGAGTCAACTATAGGTCCTCCGGCAGAAATCGAACCTACGCTTTTGCGATGCCGGTGCAATGCTCTTGCCACCATTGGCATTGCACCGGCATCGCAAAAGCGTAGGTTCGATTCCTGCCGGAGCACCTATAGTTGACTCATTTTTCCTTCAAACTGTTCCACAAACGTGTTGTGTGTAATTTGTACTTCATCGAGCCTCTATTACAGTGGTTTAAGACGTATCCTAATTGTTTTGGTTGGCAACTGCCATTTCAAAGCAAGCATTCGTGCATTTTGAAATCTTTGAGCCCTGTCCATCTGCTATATTAATAATATTATGAAAGATATAGACTATAGTATTACATGTCATAGAATAATTAGAATTCCACTGAAGACGACTGGCAAAACTTGTCTTGACGTGTCGAATAAAAAATTTCAATAATCTCATTTCGAGTCGAGTTTGGGTTTTGGTCGAGGGTCGAGGGTCGAGGGTAGTAAGTCGAGGGTCGAGAGTGAGGTCGAGGGTAAAGTCGAGGGTCGATTTTTATCGCATTTTACAATCGGCAAAGTCGAGGGTGAAGTCGAGGGTCAATTTTTATCGCATTTTGCAATCGGCAATGTCGAGGGTATATTTTCCGCCCTGTTGTCCGAAACTATTATAATAAGTGAATTGACAGTTGCATGTGAATAACGCATGCAGGCAGCTCACCGCTTCTGCAAACAGTTGCATGTTACACTGGAAAGAGTAAAATAGCCATGGCCCATAGGAAGAATATGGTATATTTGTTATTTTCGCATTGCTATTTACGCGTTACGGCTTGTGATGCTTGTTTTTCAAACTGAAATGCAGGCATAGTACAATATGTACAATACAACATAATTTTTTTATAACAATATTCTTGTACGTTTGCATAGTGATATAAAATTAGCTTGTAGGTATACCACGTAAATATTTTATACTGCAAAGATAATTAAAACTTAAAGCTTAAAAAGCTTAAAAGCAAAGCTTAAAACTCTCTCTTAATACGTCTAGAAGAACATACGACGAACTGCGAGAAGGTAAACTGGATAAGTCTGCTGTAGCTCGCCATGCTTTGCAGTATTGAATACGTACGCGATGCACCTACAATTTACTTATTAGTAATGAATCTATTTAATAACGAACTTTTGTAAAAGAAGTTTTGGTCGAGGGTCGAAATACGTCGTTAGTCAAAATCTAGTCATAATCTTGAAAACCTAGAAACTTGATACAATTTGAATGTCACACTGATTGAGGATTTCCCTTTGCCCTGCATCTAGTGCCGATAAAATTGAATTAGAAATTGTGGCAACGCCGCTAAAAACTGGATTTTTCCTTACTATATGTAATGAAGACAAATGATAATACGTGTTACTATAGTCCTGACTATAACAAAGATTCGAGTAGAAATATTCGCTAGCGGATAGAAAGCTGTATTTACCAAGCCAAGAGTTCAGTAAAGTGAAAACCGACACCACATGGCACATCGTCTCACCACTATGTCGGCAATTCGAGGTGACAACTCGGATATTATTAAGACACAGGAATCAAAAAACAAAAAAGTGAGACCGCAAGATGGGAAGATGTTCATGCAAGAGAATTAATTAATAAGTTTAACCCGTTTTGGAAGTCTGACTTGTAAAATATAATGCCCAAAGATTCATAAATTGCAACTGCAATCTGTATGTATACTTATACATATAATTTGTATAGCTTGCGCTGTATCGCATATTGCGTAGAAGAAAATATTAGCAATAATAATATTAATAATATAATATTAATATTATTAACAATACAATATTAGTATAGGCAAATTGTGAATTTCTACAATTGACCCTCGACTTCACCCTCGACATTGCCGATTGTAAAATGCGATAAAAATCGACCCTCGACTTTACCCTCGACCTCACTCTCGACCCTCGACTTACTAGCCTCGACCCTCGACCCTCGACCAAAACCCAAACTCTTTCGAGTCTTAGGCAATTTGTGGGTTTCACCATGTGGCGTTGTTTGCACTATAAATCAATTTTTTTGTACAGTACGTCTAAAATGGGCACCCGTACCCAATTTTATCCATGCTCAGGCTACATTATAATATTTGTGTGAAATTTATGCAAACGTTTACCAGTTTAAAATTGTGTGGTCATTCATAACCCATCCAAACCTGAACATATTGAAGCAAGGGGGAACAGGAGGGGGCAGCAAGGGTAGCTTTCCCCCCTGCCTTTTACTAGCAGGGCCAAGGTGGGCGAAGATACCCTTTCATTTTAAAGAATTACATTCTATATCCTAAGTAGAAGTGTAGCCAACGAGCCTAAAAAATAGTACAATCTTTTGGTGAAAAACCTCCAGAAATTAACTTAGAAAGAGAAAACACGATCAAACAAATGTTTTGCAAACATTCTCTAGCTGATATGCGCCCCCTACAGAAATGCCCTATCACCAAAATCTGCTCCCTTTGCCCTTGCATTGTTCAGACGTCCTTATCAATAGGGGTCAGAGACCGTAAATTATTTTTTCCATATGAATATTTTCTGCAGATGGGATTCCTGTTCATGTCCGTGCGTGTTTTTCACCATATATGGATTTGTAAACCAAATGATCAGCACGAGTTATAATCCATGTTGACCAGGTCAGAGCATACGCATGTGTAGAAGAGGGGTTTTATGACTTTTATCGATAATTTTGCAATAGCAAGGAGCCTTCATTTATACTGCATCGTTTCCGTAGTATCATTATTCCCCCATATACATTGTTTCACGAAATGTGAAGACAAGATTTAAAGGCAGAATAATTGCTAGCCATGAAATTAAGTGTGTGTGAGCAGCTTCGAATATCAAGCCAAAAAATCATTCTACTGCATTAAAGCTTGGATGAACTGGTTGAAGAGGAATTTCACGACATCGCGTCAGCTAGTCTCCAATGCTATAAAAAAACTTCACCTCAGGTCAAACTGCTACGTAGATCGCTGTGTTGATAGAGTAAACTGCTTCACTCATAGTATCGCGTCCCCGTCTGCTGGGTTTTTTTGGCCATATAAAATTTTCTGCTAATAGAATTTTAAGTAAATTAGCGCTTGTAGTACCTTACACCACGTAAGTATTTAATGCTGCAAAGCTTTCGGTCCTTTAGCTCGGGCCTTCATCAGTTACAAGATAATTGCGGTGCCCGCGCCAAGTTTGGCACCGCATTATATTGCGGTGCCCGCGCCAAGTTTGGCACCGCATTATATTCTATATTCTGCCTGTGAGTTTGTTTGTTCGCATCAATACGTTTCCTTAATCGCCTAGTAAAAATTCCTTGCACATACTTGGAATGCTTGGAATTTTTTCCTAATTATTACTATTAATCTTGTTGTACGTTTGGCAAATTCCTTTTTTAAAGGAACGTTCTTTTTTCAATTTCAATCTCAAACTCTGATAATTGCGTGTATCTCTGCTTTTATGCACCCAAGAAGGACAAAAATACCACCATTCGATTCAGCGTAAGAAATTATACTTACGGGTCTTAAATATATTACTAAACAAGAGTATTCGCAGCGATTTATGACGTTTGAAAGACAAACGAAATTGAATTGTTGACAAATCGCTCAAAATTACTATGCTATACTTTACTATAGTAATAGTAAGTTTGGTCTTTGATATCTTTCATATCGTTGGTTTTCTCTTTTAATTTTCGTCCTTAAATAAGTGGATCGGTCTTACATTACGATTTATTTTATAGTACTTTGAGCCAAATATATTCTATTTCGAAGGTTTTAAAGTATAGTTTCAATAAGCGAACTTTATGACAAATCGCTCATTGCGAACTCTATGACAAAATGCAGTACGCTTAATCCTTGACTTCTGTATCGTTGCTTTTCTAGTTTCCGGCTCTACACCAGTTTATTCGTCTCACGTTTCTATTCATTTTGATAGTATTTTTAGATAGTATTTTTAGCCTAAATATTTTATTTCTGAAGATTTTAAAACGGCGCAATTTTGACCTTAATGTACCAACCAACCAGGCTGCGGCCGACAGGAGAATGTAAGTTGGTGATGTCCTTAGAAATGAGCGGACGTTTTATTTCTAGGCAAGCATTGCGGGCACCGCATTTTAGTACTGTGTCTGGTTTACTTATTGTTGTCACCATGCAAACATACAAGAATATTAATAGGATTTTAGCTTACGCGGGCCGTTTGTAAGCGACAAATATATATTTGTATACAGTGTATTAAAGCTGCCGTATCGATGGGACCTGAGAGTATGTGTAAATATTCTTATTTGATCAAATTAGGGATCTATTAGCTCAGACAATTCGTGCCCATGCATGCATGCATTAACGATCTAAAGGACTTGCATGGAGTTCACGAGACAGTGAGACAACGGCATGATAGAAAACACGGATGACCGGATAGCCGGATTAGATTTACTTTGTTAGATTTACTTTGAATTTTATGGTGTTGTTACGAAAGATAAGAGCACAGCTAAGTCAAGCCCCCCCCTCTCCAGTGGCTTCCTCGATCAGGTATCGATGTTGCAATTTGCATAAGAAGAAACCAGATACATTATAATTCCTGCATTTCGCAATGTTCTTCTCAGAATAGCCTTCCTTTTCCGCGAAGATAAGATTGACAAGCCAAATCATTAATACTGGCTGTTTTACAAGTTGGTGCTGTCACAAATTATCCCTTTCGCTGTGAGAAATCTACAAGATGAGTTGCGACGAAATGCTGACAAGATTTGATGAATTGGTAAAGCGATTCATCAAGGAAGAGTTTCACGACGTTCTCAAAGCCGAACGAGCAAAGCTGGATGCGGAAATCGAAGCTTACAACGTCGAGAAGAAGAAATTGAACGCAGTTATAGTCAGAGACGACGATATCATCCATTTGAACATCGGTGGGACAAAATTCACCACAACAAGATCGACCCTGTGTCAAGTTAAAGATTCCTTACTCGCGTCAATGTTTAGCGGTCGTTGGGAAGATAGCGTGCCTCGTGACCAAGATGGCGCTGTCTTCTTTGATTATAATCCTGTATACTTTGGTTTCATTTTGGATTATCTTCGTGCGAAGAAAATGGCCACCCCGGAGAATCCAGCACCATTGCCCGATGTCCCTGATAACCAAGTTAAGAATTTCCAAAACCTCGTCGGATATCTTGGCTTGAGTGAGGACATTGTTCCGACCAAAATTGGGCCAACGGACAAATTCAATTTACGAAGCCCAGAGATTACTCTTCAAAAAGAGGGGAGAGTCGCAGTTCATGATCCAAATAGTGGACATAAATATGTTTTAGGTGAGAATACTTACCAACAGGGGATTGTGCGATTCAAGTTAAAAGTAGAGTCAATGCAAAATAACAATTGGGTCTTGGTGGGTATACTTAAAGCAGATGTTGTGCCACAATCTCAGAAAGGTCATTCGTATCAATGGTCTGGTTGTAATGGATGGGCAATAGGCGCTGATGGTCAAGTGCATAAAGGCGGATCGTATACAAATGACACGTCTTTAAATGGTTTGTTCAAACAAGGTGACACGGTTGAGATAGTCTTAAATTGTGATGAAGGAAAACTATCGCTGCACTTGCCCACTGCTCATCAATTTCACATGGACATACCAAAGTCCCAATCCTGGAGACTTCATGTTAATTTGCACGGTGCAAACGACAAAATCCGCATCGTCGAAGTTGTGCAAGAATGAAGAATACCAAAAGCACTGTTTTCAGAATGGTGTGATTCACCCTAAATAGTAAGAACCACAACTGCATTTTCCATAGACGAGCTATAAACTAAACACTTATTATATTATTAATTAATTTACATATATGATTGACATTTAATTAACGTAGATATTAAGACTCAATTTCCGGTATAAAATTTCTGCACGGACACAAAACGAGCAATTGCTAACTAAATGGTATGGACTGAACAGTGAGAGATTTATGCTAACCTGGTTGGATTTTATTTTAGAACTAAACTGCATATAATTCATTTTTAATTGCATTATTTCATAATTTCTTATTACAATTTAGATCTGTTTATGTCAAATTAGATACAATATACCAATATCCAGTCTTGTGTTGTGTTGTTATTGACGCGAGTATTACCGTCTCGAGGAACCACAGTCAATAATAAATCGAAATATGTGACAAAATAGTTGTCAAAATGAGAAAATATGTTTAAAATACGTAAAGACTTTTGCAAATGATTAGGCACTGAGGAAGAAGGTGGCTAACTGGACTGTAATCGACTATTCCACTATTAAACTAAATCCCAAACGATAGGAAAATTTACCAACTTCACACCGCGATATTTTTCACACTTTACAATAATTCGTCACAACACTTTCCAATTTTACTAATTTGAGGATGCTCTTTCCAGCTGTACTGGATATTAAAAATTCCTTGTTAGTTTAATAGTGGAATGTGGTCCATCGGAGGCTCAACTGTTAACGTTGGATTCTGTAATGAGTTTTTCACACAGCTGAGACATCAATAGCGAAACATTCGTGCAAGAAGACATCAATAAACCTCACAAATTCAGCATTGATCCATGATACTTGAATTATATACTCAAACATACAAATGCAAAGGCCATACGATTCGAACAGTCACTATGAATCACCAAGACAAGGCTACTCTGCACTCGAACGGCCTCTATCCAATTAATTTTAAATGCTCTCATGCGAAAAAAATTGGTTTATGCAGTCGTATACAGGGTGTATCAAAAAAAAGTAGACAATTTTGAAATGTTTAGAAAACTATAAATTTATCAAAATATCTCATAGATTTATGCTAGTATGGGTACTTTACCATCTTCAGGTCATTCTAACACTAAAAACAAACAGAAAAATTAACCTCGAAAAATGGAAGAGCGGTTTGTGGAAGCATCATTTTGAATTGCTTGTGCAAACATGAATGAGAGGTTTAAAATCCAATTTGAATTCAAGGGCTGAACGTTTGGGTATTTGTTTACAAAGAATCGAAATTTCAGAAATTTTGATGAAAATTAAGTCAGCCGCGCAACTGCGTAAACGTGGGCTTTTTTCCGTTTAACTCGCAGCTTGAGTAACTTTTTTCATGCACGAATGATTTCATGCATGAGTGATTGCTCGGGTGATTAAACTAACAATGGTGTTGTGAAAAAAGTTACTCAAGCTGCGAGTTAAACGGAAAAAAGCCCACTTTTACGCAGTTGCGCGGCTGACTTAATTTTCATCAAAATTTCTGAAATTTCGATTCTTTGTAAACAAATACCCAAACGTTCAGCCCTTGAATTCAAATTGGATTTTAAAACTCTCATTCATGTTTGCACAAGCAATTCAAAATGATGCTTCCACAAACCGCTCTTCCATTTTTCGAGGTTAATTTTTCTGTTTGTTTTTAGTGTTAGAATGACCTGAAGATGCCAAAGTACCCATACTAGCATAAATCTATGAGATATTTTGATAAATTTATAGTTTTCTAAACATTTCAAAATTGTCTAATTTTTTTTATACACCCTGTAGATAAAAAATTTAAATTATTTTGACAAAAAATTAAAGGAAAAGTTTATTCTTTCAGCTGGAACGTGGATTGCAGGAAGGTCAACATTCATTCGTATTCCGGTCTCCATTGCTATCAAAAACAACTGCACCTTGCATCTGGAACTGCATATGTAGATGCCTGGGTCCCAATAACCTGGTTTATCTTGCATGCCATCGAGTTCCTTGTCTGTTGGGAAGAGTTTAGCATCCTGGGCAACAAGGAACACGTACGACCACTCGAGTGACCAAATGTCATTTGGTATATCTCGAACCACAATGTCATCGTCACTTGTGCTCAGAAAGTAATCGCTTTCAGACCAACCCAACTTTGCAAGAAGATTTTTTCTGATCGGGATTTTTGATAGAGGTGGAGAATGGACCAGTACTGCGCAGTCTCGGTACGCGATGTTTTCGCCATCAACATACTGCTGCAACAAACCGTGTATAAGTTCCACTGTTTCTTCATTGCTACGTGGACGATAGATTGGCACATCTTGTACAAACATCCGATTGCCCTGGGCAAAAGAAACAGGAGATTCTGGTGGAACGTACTTGGACCAGAAGTGGGTGATTTCTGGAGTACACCTCATTACATGGTACAGTGCCGGAAGTGTGGCAATACCAAGCTCCGTTGATACTTGTTCGACAGTCATGTGTAATTTGTCGAGTGCTTGCAGGGGATCGAGGGGAATCCATACGTAGTTTTGGCTGTTCTTCTTCGAGCTGATCGCCTTGAGAAATGTACTGAATTGCCTCAGGTTTTGAGCCTCGTCAATAAAAAGATGAGCTCGACACAGTTGAGACAGTACTGTTTCTGGATCATGAATAGGTAAATTAAGATTCAATTCGGTAGAAACACTTACTCGTTCGCTTGCTCCATTCCGACCGAAGAATTTCTCATACACCTTGGACACAGCACTTGTAGTCACAACTCTGATTTGTTCCTTGGGTGGAAGCGACTTATCCAGGTCCAAAACTTTATGCTGAATAAGGACTGTCTTTCCTGTGCCAGCTACCCCATTCAAAACCTGGTGCTTTGGACCATCCCATACAGCGATCTGCTCAGGATTTAAAAACAGAACCTCAGTAGCACTTTTCACCTTTCTCACAAGTCCAGCTTTTTGATCAGCTTTCGAGAAAACATCATGTTGTATACCAGCTTAACATCAGTCTTCTTCACTTGCTTTACAACATTCACAACATCATCTTTGGTGATGATTCGTGTTACCTTGCTGTTGTTTACGGACGATGTAACGAGGCATTTCAAGCATATCATGTAGTCGAGCAATTCGTCTGCCTCTTCCAAGAGCTTTTCCTTTGAATGGCCTTTCTCAGTAGTAAGTTCCTTTAGCCTCGTCAGCAAACGTAGAACGACCTCTGGCTGCGATGAGAATTCACTGTCACAAAATACAAAGTCATTTTTCAGCTCGAGTCTCTTGATCTCGGATTTCTGGTGTTCCGAAAGACATTCGCTATTAGGGAAGAGAGCCACTTTGTAAATGGGGAATAATTCGTCACAGAAGAGCCGCAACAGGCTTTCAGCTTTGTGTAATGACGTAACAGCATCGCCAATGTCCACCAGAGGGTTTGTGGCAGTCTTTATCTCGATCATAATTGCACCAATGTCAGCATGGATGATTGCCCAGTCAATATCCAATTTCTCCGTTGTCGAAGCAAGCTGCTGTTGTTTGTAATTGGGCAAGAACGATCTGAGCACCGCTGGTGCCTTTTTCGTTTTATTCTCCGGGTCGTAGTCTATCTGTGCGATAAGAAACATTGGCTGTTCGTACAACTCTCCGCACTTGAAAACCGTCTTGTACACCATCAATTCTGTGTCATCTCCGCGTTCTTTAGATACACTCTGGCCTGCTTTAAGTCGAGGCCCCAGAACGCGATTGTAAGTAGTCCAAGGGATTGGCGGTACAACGCAAGTCTCCCTTCGTAAGAGCCACTGACTGAAATACTCGGAGACATAATAATGCCCTGCTGTTCGAAGATCAGCGAACGTCTCGGTACTTCGACCGCGCACTATCACTTCGGGTTGCAAAGCACATGCAAGCCATTAAACTAGTCAGGACTTACAACAGATGTGAAAACGCTGCTTCAGCGACGTATGATCCCAGAAGTTTTCAGATTTATTGAAATTATTTTAAATCATTTAGTTCAATGTCGATGTTACTTGTTTTTGACTTTCGAAACCACCGGAAGGTGGAATTGACGTCATGTAGAGATAACGCTCTGCCATACAGACTTCATTCCATACGTCAGAAGTAAATTGGATCGTGTGAACTGACCTTTAGACACTGGAGTTTCAGTTCCCAGCAGCCAAGTGTTTCAAATGTAGTTTGTGGTTCGGTGCGAAATGCGAACGATTCGACCGCTGCTCTAGTTTTTCAGTCATATTATGTTTTTGACAATGCTCAGTTCTGAGTTGTAATAATAATAATAATAATAATACTTATATAGCGCCTATACATTACTGTTCTAAGCGCTTAGTACAGTTGTAGTACAGTTTAAAAAATAGCGAATGTTGTTGAAATGGTTATCAGCAGCCTGACTGCTAAAAAGATAGGTCAATGACTCAATGATAATTGATAAAGATGCATGCAGTTCGCTACAGCCTACAGTTGCAAACTAATTGCGTAAAGTAGCTTAAATAAAAGTCAAAAACTAATCGCTGCCTGAATTCGCAGTGGCATATCTAAGTTCACGGCCTCCGTAAGGCATTCTGCTGGACAACCATGTATGAGAAGGTTTTTTTAGGAATTTCTCATATTCAATTGATGATAATACAGATAAAATACTTTGATATGCACATTTTGAACTTTAACTGCATTTTTTCTTGTAGATTTCCTAATTTTCTCGTGAAATAATTTGCTTTTTTATAAGTGATGACTTTTAAAATTAAAGTGGCATTGTTATTGTTAAATATTGGACTCGCTTCACACACGAGTAATCCACGGCAGCATGGGTTAATTCAATTATAGACTTGTCTAGACTCTTGAATGTTTGCAAACCGTATAAGCGCCGCACTTCTTCCAAAAAAATTTAATAAGCGCCGCTGTTGAATTAGCGCCGCGGCGTCTATTTAAAGAATGCATATCTTTTACAACAGCGCTTTTATAACAATTCTAATAGTTTAAATTTCTCCTTCTGAGCAATTCCGCGTCTAACATCTCTGCATGTCGTTGATTCACCGTGTATAGGGGAAACCAACAGCCCAACTAAGCGTTTCCTTTCTAGTACGTGCTGGTCTTTTCACTCACTTCGAAATAAGCGCCGTACTTGAATTTGTAATAAGCGGCGCTTATTCGATCAATTACCGAGTAGTCCTAAGAGTCATAAATATCATATCACATAGATTGCCTTTCTCTGCAAAGTCTTGTCATCATTGCTCAAACTATCATTGTCCACCATAAATTACGATCAAACAAAATGAGTTCCGACGAGCTACTGACGAAATTCGACGATTTAGTGAAGCGATTTAAAGAGGAATTTCACGAAATTGTCGAAGGCGAACGAGCAAAGTTGAAGGCGAAAGTCGAAGCATACAACGCTGAGAAGAAGAGAATGAACGCTGTTGTTGTTCGTGATGATGATATTATTAATTTAAACGTCGGTGGGAAAAAATTCACCACAACAAGGTCGACTCTGTGCCAAGTTAAAGATTCCTTACTCGCCTCAATGTTTAGCGGTCGTTGGGAAGATAGCGTGCCTCGTGACCAAGATGGCGCTGTCTTCTTTGATCATAATCCCAAATATTTTGGTTTAATTTTGGATTATCTTCGCGCAAAGAAAGTCGCTACTCCGGAGAATCCAGCACCATTGCCCGATGTCCCTGATGATCAAGTTAAGAATTTCCAAAACCTCGTCGGGTATCTTGGCTTGAGTGAGGAAATTGTTCCGGCTAAAATTGTATTAACGGACAAATTTAATTTACGAAGCCCAGAGATTACTCTTCAAGAAGAGGGGAGAGTCGCAGTCCATGATTCAAATAGTGGACATAAATATGTTTTAGGTGAAAATACTTACCAACAGGGCATCGTGCGATTCAAGTTGAATTTAGAATCCTTTAAATATAACAATTGGATCTTGGTTGGCGTATTGGAAGCGGGTGTTGTACCACAGTCACAGAGTAATCATAACAATTCATTTTTATGGTCTGGTTGTAATGGATGGGGACTCGGGACAGATAGTTATGCTGGAGTGTTTAAAAATGGGTCAAGGTCAAAAGAAAATAATTTACAAAATCTGACAAAACAAGGTGACAACGTCGAGGTAATCTTGAATTGTGACGAAAGCAAACTATCGCTGCACTTACCCACTGCTCATCAATTCCACATGAACATACCCAAGTCTAAAAGCTGGAGACTTCATGTTAATTTGCACGGTGCAAACGAGAAAATCCGCATCGTCGAAGTTGTGCAAGGTTAAAAAATACCAAAAGTACAGTTTGACACTTTTCGGCGCAGAGACAAGCTAAAATGTATATATATATATTTTTATTCATTAACAATCTTTATAATTGAAACTACATTTAGCATATGCATTTGTTATATATAAACATACTTTGCATGAGTAAAACCTAAGTAAGTAATATTTGTTTCTTTAATTAATGCACGTGTTTCCTCTGCTCGTGCAACCATCGCGAGTTTTGCCGCTCTTTTTCGCGTTTTATTATTGAGTTTTGTCTTCATTTGTCCATATAATAAACAGAAGAGAACGAGTGAGGTATTGTTTTTGACACGAGAACAAAAAATGCATATCTTCGAGCGAACCGTGTAATATCCTATATATATTACCCTGCGGTTAATATAATCCACTGGTAATAAACATACTGGGTCAGTCTAGGTGAGCAGGGAGGTGAGTACGTGATTTACGCACCGAGGGAGGCTGGAAGTTTCCCGAACTTATCCAGCGTATCGTACGTTTAGTCTTTATCTCATGCCTTTCCGGGAAAAAGTTTAAAGTGTTCAGAAAGTTGCGCATCAGCGCATGGGGCTCGGCAGGTGGGTTCGAGTTTGAACGCCGGGTATGGGATAGATAGGTATTTAAAATAACGAACTTACGGGTGCTGCACTGGTACCTAAAGATACACTGCTATGGGGCCTGGGTATTCACAGCGCAGAGTGAAGCACCCAAATGCAATAATTCCATGGCAATGGCACAATGACCCACAATCCAATTGAAAAAGCCTCGTATCAAAAATCCAAACGAATTTCAATGTTGTCCGCTTTTCCCACTGAGGTGAACTGCAAATCATTATCCCATTTCATCCAGCGGTATTTCACCATCTCTAAACCCTGTTACACCTTGTTACACCTGCTAATCCCCTACTTTGACCTTCGATCACACGAGTGACACGACGATCAGTTCGATGCAAAGAGATGTAGTATGGTAGTTTAATATTGATTTTCCTGAAAAACCAAGGAAATTGCGGAAAAGTCCGGTAAAAAACGCTGGTAAGTCAATATATTGTTCTACGTAAGCTAAACTCTGCTTGTATTGTTTTAAAGGAGCGTTATTTATCAATATAAATTGCCAGCTTTGATCTTCATAGGTGGATGGGACACATTGTTTTCACTGTCACAGTATACATATAAACTACAATAACTCACCACTTAATCTTTTGTTTCTATGCATGTGTCATTCAGGGCTTCCACAACTTATTTGTATGTGGTTGCATGTCCTCATAGGGGGATAGCATTGACAAATAAGAGAAACAAAGAACTTTTGAAAAGAATGCATAATTGATATATCCTATTAACACAGATCCCTCCCTTGTGGTTGTCATTTCGAAGGAAATTTCCTTTAATTGTGGAAACTGGTGTCATTATATACCTTATAGCCTAGCCAGTGCAGCAAACCACTGAAAACCAGCAGCTAATATTTCAAGTGACATTTAAAGGTGGATATTTTGCACTTTTTCTCAGTGGTTACTTTATGTCTAAACAAGATCCACCAATATTCTAGACCTTTGTCTCGAAACTATTTCATGCTGTTTGCTGTTGAGTCTTAAATACCAAGTAAAGGTCATTACTGTCATTACTTAGTTTGTCAATTCCAATGTAGCTAGACCATAAGTAGATGTGCCTGGTTTCAGTGATATCAAGACTAAATATCTTCACTACATAATATATTTCTTCACTGTAGTAGCTAGCTGCTAATTGTGCTATTTAAAAGTCAGAAAATTTAATTAAGTTAAAGCTCACTTAAATGATAAAATTTAATAGCTAAACACCTGTTATTACTTTGGCTACCGAGTCTAGGTTTTGCTATTATTATTATTTTTGTTGCAGGCTTAGTCTTCCATGCGGATCAGTCACATATTTACAGTGTATCAATATAGCCCAGTTTCAGTGGAGTGTATCTACTGTCTACATAGCGAGATTTAATGCCTACCGGGCATCAATCTTGTTAAAAGATTAATTGCCAGTTTAATTGCCAGTAAAAGATTAATTGTCAAAAGAAAAAAACAATAAATTTCTCTGTATTTTCAATGCTAAAAAACAGGAGGTTTTGACAAATTGAGTGAAGACCTTCTTTTACCATAATTTCTTTTGATTATTTCAGGGAGTAACTCATGTTCAGAATGAGTTGGATATTGAAAGCAGGAGCTACCATCGCTGTAGCTGGCGTTGCCATGATAAATGCTGGTTTCTTCAATCCCAGGATTGCAAAAGCTACTTTACCATACTTGTCCAAAATCCAACTGAAAATGTTAAATGGATCCGGCAGGGTATTCACCGCATCTGAGTTGTGGCAAAAGAATGGTGCGGTGATTATGGTAGTACGAAGGCCTGGATGATCTTTGTGTAGAGAGGTATGGTATTCCCAGTAAAACAAACCAACCAAATGAAGGAATTGAATACATGTTATGGAGGACTGGATTTTTATAACATTTAATTACTTTAAAATATATCCTTATTAAATAAGTGATTCTGATTAGCCAATTACATTACCAACTGTAGGTAAATATGAACTAAAGATATACCTTTTCATAAAACCCGTGATACATGAGAACCTTTTTACGTAATTGGGCTTTAGCTAGGAGCATTGAGCATTTTCACTGGCAGTTTTTGCCTAATAACAAAAAAATGAATTTGCCAGTGGAAGTGTGACCCATTTAATTAAACCCATTGTGTATTTAATCCTATCCTATAATTTATCCCATCATGGAATTAATCGCATCCTATAATTAATCCCATCATGTAATTAATCCCATCATATTATTTATCCCATCCTATAATTAATCCCATCATGTAATTAATCCCATCATATTATTTATCCCATCCTATAGTTAATCCCATCATGGAATTAATCCCATCCTATAATTAATCCCATCATGTAATTAATCCCATCATATTATTTATCCCATCCTATAATTAATCCCATCATGGAATTAATCCCATCCTATAATTTATCCCATCATGTAATTTATTCTATCAGGTAATTAATCCTATCCTGCAACTAATCCTATCATCAGGGCCGTAACTAGAACGATAATTGGGGGGGTGTTTATTCATATATTCAGTTTTGCCCGACGGATTTCTATTGTAAGTTATTGCACTTACAAAAAAAACCTGTCGGGCAAAACTGAATATATGAATAAACACCCCCCCCCCAATTATCATTCTAGTTACGGCCCTGCCTATCATGTAATTTATCTCATTTATCTGTTGTGTAATTTAATCGGTTTAATCCCATCATGAAATTAATCCCAATTTTGTTTTTACTAATTTTGTTAATTACTAATTTTGTATTAGTTTAAAAAAAAGCTACATATTCATTGCAAATATTCTTCAATTGTATTTCTTTTATTTTCTGTTACAGGAGGCTTCACGGCTTTCCTCTTTAAAACCTGCACTGGATCAAAAAGGTATTCCTTTGTTTGGTGTGGTTCATGAGACGATTGGAGTGGAAGAGTTCAGAGAGTTTTTGAAAGGCGACATTTATCTTGATTCTGAGGTTGGTTTTGACTTTTCACTTAAGCCTAGTTCACAGTTGGCCTAAGAATCTCGGATTCCCTTAGATCTCTGTCTGAGGTCGCTGGTGAACAAAATGCTTTGTCTATGGGAAAGTAATATAGTGGATCACCGATTCTTAGGAGCTAGTGTGAATCAGGCCTTACAATGTGAATCAAACGTACTTGAGGGAGCTGAGTCCGGTATTTTTGCACCGACGGAGCGAGGTTTTTTGTTTTGTTTTTATCTCATGCCTTTTTGGGAAGAAGTCTCGGAAAGTTTCGCATTGGGTTCGGCAGATGGGTTCACCCCTGCTCTGAGCCAATAGGAACACAGCTTTTACACTAGGTATGGGTTAGGTATGGGACTATTGACATATATATATATGCCTGGAATGCCCGCTCATCGTTAAAAATGCGTGATTCGAAATGCCGGCAATTATGAGAGTGTTTGCTCATGAAGTTGACCACTGACCAGTATTGCTGACTGCATTTATGGGGTGAAGATCAGCTTATTATAAACAAAGAAAATCACTAAACAGAGTACTTTCAGAATATTTTCAAGCTTTACAAGAATTTTTTTAAATTTCAAGTTATTCCATTTCAAACTGTTGTATTTTTGAAGAATCAGCGATGTACACCATTGCATTTACTCTCATATTCGTCAGCAGATATGACGTGTAATTTGCCACGCTCGTCGCTGATTAAAAGTGCACGAGCAGGTATATATATGTCAATGAGTCCAGGTATGTATATGTCAATGTATGGGACAAATGATACCCGTAGGAAAAGGCGTAAATTCCAGTAAATTCACGTATGCTAAATATTTGGGTGGTGCGGGTTTTGTCATGCTAAAACAGCATCAACATATAATCTATAGTCAAAAATTTGGAAAGGCTAAAAAGTGGAAGTGAAGTGGGGTATTAGAAAATATATAGTTAACCAGGAAAACTCTCTTTTTTAGAAAGAGTTTTATGGTCCAGTTAAAAGATGGGAAAATGTTGTTGTAGGTATGTTGTTACGATTTATACTACAACTGACTTACACTATGATGTACTGAGATAGTCTAGTTTAGGTCAGTGTTCAAGCCCAATGGGTTCAAGATATTTGTTGGGTTATCGAAATTACACAATAAAGCTAGCGCAAAATTAAAGACCTTTACGAGCATCTACGAGGGCGATAATCCTCGTTTTCGCGCCAAACTCACTGCTGTTTGCTTGCGCCATCTGACGAATCTCATATAGTCGTTGAGCTTTTTTCAAAGAGTATATTTTCAATCAAAGACTATATTCAACAAACTTGTCCTCGGAAGTCCGACGACTCCGGACGAAAATGACGTAAGCAAAAAACACGCATAAATGACGCATTTCTCAGCTGCAGCTAAAGCTCGCAATTGGCTTGTTATTGACGCAGATGCACCACTGCTAACACAGCTAGAATAATGTCGTGTTGTTTTTGATGGCATGTTTTTGATGGCGAAATATGTCAAATTTTTATTCAAGGTCTCTTGCGAGTACAAACGTGGATAAACTTTTTCCGAGCGCGAAATGGTGGTTTCCATGGCAACATGAATGGCGAGGGTCGCCTGATGGGCGGACTATTTGTACTCGGGGCCGCTGACCAGGGTGTATTGTTCGAGTACCGGGAGAAGGCCTGGGGCGATCATGCCGCCCTTGAGGACGTCATGGCTGCTGTTGATAAAATCAAATCGTAGCTAATATTTGTGATTTTTCTGGCTCTATGATTAGCTGCAAGCCAGGTTTCCATTAAGTTGTAGCTTTTTTGATCCGATGTGAAGTTAGGTTTAAATGTCTGATGATGCAAAGATGATTCGTATACTGGCTGTATCTACAACCATTGCAATGATTTGGTATTGTTTTAATGATGGTGCTTGACGAAGCTTTCAATGTAAAGGTCTTGCACTTGAGGAATACTTACGGCAAAGCCATTCGTTGAGGTTGTACAATACACAATGCAACAATTGGGATAATTATAATAGAGATAATTGTTTGAAGTACACATATTTTTCTATTAAATATAATATATTCATAAATCAAAACATGGAAGAATTCAACAATCAATTTTCTCTATTTTTAAAGGTAATGTCCAGTCGGGTTTTCGCATCGGCACTTGTCATAATAATGCCCACGGCGCCTGCAAATATAAAAATTGCCTAAATTTCGCATGTTTTTTACTTCCTGGACAAAGATTCCCGCTCATATTCATTTAAAACCACAGCGAACAAATAATGTGTGCGTTACAGTGTGTTAAAATGGGAAGCCCAGTGGAAAGCAAAACTGGTCTCAAGGCAGGCGCGGTCCTCACTAAATTGAGGTGACAAAACAAACATTTTGAAATTGTTTTCTGAACTGGATCTTGAATCGCCAGAAAATTTTATTTTTAGGATCTGCAGATCCTAAACAAACTTCGATTACTTCGATTCTGGTTCTCCGGAGGAATTTCTATTTTTACTTCGTTTCTGATTGCAAGAGTTGTTATGTCCAGTGTAGAATCAGATCAGTGAATATTGACCAACTAACCAACCAACACTTTGACGTAATATATCGTATTCGGTCGAATAAGCGCCGCCTTCAAATAAGCGCCGCCCCAGAGCAAAAAGTTTCTAAACATCACCAGCATGACAGGCGCACTCCGTAGCAAGAAGCGCATTATTAAACAAAGAAAACATTCAGATTAATATGCAGAGAACTATATTTATTTTACCACAATACCATTGTAAACTGATACAAGAGAGCTTAGATTTCCCTAGTTTTCCTAATCCATTCTAAAGCAGCTAAAGTCCTCCCGTTCTTGCGTGGTTCTGGGTCTTAATTCTCAATACCAAAGCTGAACTGCAAGTTTGCCTGTCCGGAGCTTGTCATGGAAGCATCTTTGATGAAGAACTGGTATCCATCGCCAGTGTAAATAACTTTCTTTGTTATGGGCTGGCTCGCCTTGATCGCATCTTTTTGAAGGTCATTGTAAACCGACTCGCTTGCTTGCTTTTGCTCAGGATAGACCTTTACATTCCACTGATTCTCGCCACTCCAGGGCAGTTTAAACATAACACAGAACGATTCGGGCGCCTCTTCAAAGCCGTAGCAGAACGCTCCTGACACCCCTGTTGCCGAAGGACCTGCCTTTTTTACTCCTCCCATGAGGACACCCTCTTCCACCGGCACGTTAGGGGGGAGGACTTTGATGAGAGAACCTTCTTTCATGTAAGCCGTACCGCCTGCAAGGAAATAGGATCACATTAGTACGGAGTCATCAACAACAACAATAACGAAGTTAATTACTTACAAAGTTATTAACAACGGCAATAACGAAGACATCAACAACGACAAAGACATTGACACAACAGCAGAAACAGTGACATCAACAGTGACAACAACAATGACAATGACATCAACAACAACAATGATAACATTGACAATGACAACAACAACACAGACATTGACACAACAGCAGAAACAGTGACATCAACAGTGACAACAACAATGACAATGACATCAACAACAACAATGATAACATTGACAATGACATCAACAACAACACAGACATTGACACAACAGCAGAAACAGTGACATCAACAGTGACAACAACAACAATGACAATGACATCAACAACAACACTGATAACATTGTCAATGACATCAACAATGACAATGACAACAACAACAACAGCACAAACAATGACATCAACAGTAATAACAATGACATAAACAACGGCAAAAACGATGACATAATAACAATGACATCAACAACAATCTACAACACCCCCAAAAGAGTAGTTATGGCTATGATTATAATATGCAATATCAATCATCTCAAACCTTGCCAGGGAGCTCCCTCCACGTTTCCAAGAGTTATAACAATTTTGCGTTCCACGTTTGACATTTGTTCTAGAACTGTATTGGCAACTCCGGCTCCCAACTGGGCCAGATCTATGATGGTGCCCAGTTTCTGCCACGCACCAATCGCTGGTAAAGAAAACAACAACTGGGTGTTAAATTGAGAACAGCACATTCGGTTTCTTTTGCCACTTTTTGCCACGTGGATCAAATCACCCTTCATAAGGCATTTAAAGCATATATTCGCAAATTTAATCTGTGTTTAATCGGCTAATTAGAAATTAAACCAGTATTTTTTGCCAGAAGTCTTCTGCCCGTCATCGTAATTACAGGATTTTCAGGTAACGGCCAACCTTTAGGCCTGCGTACAATTTTTTGTTTCCCAGACAAAAATTTGAGACACACTGTATACTACCCATAGGCTCTCACACGACTCTGAAATGTTCAATTCCGAGTATCTAGATTCTAGAGCAATGAAATTTCAAAAATATTCTCATTTGGCGGCAAGGCGTGGTACCTTGTTAGCCTGGACCACCAATCTTAGGCATATTTATTCTACGCCATATTCAACGTCGTGCTTTCATCGGTTCAACGAATCGAGCATTTTTTTGCTGTAATAGACAGTTCCGAGTGTTACCCTTCCAAGTGTTTCGAACGTTTAATTTTCATTTGTCTCATCAGTGTAAATTTGTCTCCCCACCAAAAAATTAATGTTCGTATGCCTAAGGTTGTAAAATACACACCAAATAACCCTGGGGGTTTCGTCTTAATCCTAGGCCCTCCCCCAAATATATTTGAAATGTGCGCCCTTGATCCATATACACGCTGGTCCAAATTAGCTAAATTTCTCCCACACATGCATACTCATATTACAAGCGGACAACTTAGATAAAATTGATAGCAGTGCGTGAGATGAAAAGCCTTTAATTTTTTATGCGAAGCCCGCTGGAAAACTGAGCCCTCTGTACTTGGAGAAAATTATGCCGAATATGACCAACGTGTATATGGATTTCTTAGGGCCCGATTTTGTGTGCGATTTTCGTCTTTTGATAGATGTGAACGAGTGAATTACTTACTGATTTTCAAATATGAGTTCTTATACATCAGAGCATTCGTAGCTCATTACTCGTTAACATCTATCAAAAGAAGAAAATCGCAGCAAAAATCGCAAGTGTTAACGGGCCTTTACCGCTTCCACCTCCACCATTTGTCCCAGTGGATCCACCCCCTGTGGTTTGTCTCGTTCTCCTGAATGTAAAGCGTCTTGTGCTTGAACCACCAGCGCCGTTGCCTGATCTTCGACCAAACCTGAAACCTGAAATATCAAGTATTAATCAATAATGCCAATATCTAAATTTTCTAATACGGGCTTTATGCTAATAGCATGGGCGTAGGAAGCATCCAGAGATTGGGGGACACCAGCTACACCAGGGGCACTTTTGGTTAATAAAAAGGGCAGCTAAAATATGTGTAGGGACGGTTTGATTGCCAAAGATCCATGGACACCACCAGTGTGGTGTATATTTATGCTCTACAAAAAGATTTGGGCACGTGTAAGGGGGCATTCGATTTTATAATAGTATTTACAGCAGCTTCGGCTTCTCTAAAAAGGCAGTTTTCATCACGAAAAGGGCACTATTGGTCCTGAAAAATTTAAAAATGCGAAATTTTACTCTTGATCGTCTTACCGCCACTGCGAGTTCCACTTGTACCGGCTCTATTCCCAAATCTGAAGCCTATAAGATAAGCAAGACTTCACTGGTAAGGACACATACAGACCCATTTGAGTAGTTAAACTTTAGCTCAACATTAGATTTAGCACATGAAAAATTCGACGTCTAAAACGGTCCACAATTCTCTTTTTGACGCGAACCACGTGCGTAGAGATGCACAAATTTAAAAGCCCACGTTTATGGAAACTGATAACTTGGCACTTGTTCGACATGGAGCTTGTTCGATATAGCATAGAATGAAGTCAATGCATCGCCTACCGCCTCTGGTACTACTGGATCCACCGGTACTACGAGTTCTTCTAAAGAATCCTAGAGAAACATCAGGGCATTTTACAGATGTGGTGACGAGTATTTGCTGAGTTTCACCAGCAATTTAATGGCAATTTTTCAATATTCCGATATCGAGGCAAGATAGGTGGTGTCAGCCAAAATATGGGAAATTTGGTTTTAAACAATTTGGCAAATTTGTTCACATTTCTGAGCCGATCAGAATGCCTAGATTTTTAAAACTTCATGTAAAATGGTAAGTAATGTACCTTTTTACCGGATGTATTCAATGTTTATTCATTCTGATTGGGTTAATGAAAATGTAAACAAATTAGTTTTGCTAATTTGTCTAAAACGAAATTCTCCCATGTGTTGACATTGATAACTTGGAGCTTGTTCATTGTGTACAGTAATCCTGTACCGATCAGAACACGCTTTCTGATTGGCTGGTACTTAGTAATCAGGCATTATTATACATGTACATATACTACAATCTAATATAAGAAATAGTTAAATTCACTAAAGCAAAATTACTAGGTACTAGTTAATTGATCATTTAGCATCAACCAATCAAACATGGCAGAATCAGACTTGGTACGGGTTAGCTCAATGGACCTTTTCGGTAATTACGTCACAACATTATAGCTTTAAATTTCGAACTACCTTAAATGAGATGGATTTCAAGTTTTACTGTCACAAGCTATATGCAACGATGAAAACATCCTTCTTCAACACATGCATGAAAAAGTATTTTTCATTTTGACAAATAAGTATGGAAATACGATATAATGCGAGAACGAGGCTCGCGGTCTTAGCCCCTGACCCTCGTTCTCGTGTCGGCTTATATCCACATTTATTGGTCAAAATAAAAAAAATCTTTTTCATGCATGTGTTGAAGAAGGATGTTTTTTATCTTTGCACGTGGCTCGTGAGAGTAAAACCTATCTACATTTCATTTAAGGTGGTTCTAAATTTAAAACGTTGTGGTGTTAAAATGTTGTGACGTGATTACCGAAAAGATATATTTGTAAGGAATTGAATTTATTGGAACGAAATCAAGGTATCGCTTACCACCGCTGCTGCTTCCACCTGTACTACGATTTCTTCTAAAGAATCCTAAAGAAACACCATGAACAGCCGACAATTTAAAAAAGTAAAGTAAAAAGCAAATTCCGAATAAACAAGACATCTTGAGAATCAAAATATAATTCAAACAAGACACAGATTGAGACTGTAAATTTTCGACTTTATTACAAAGTCATCTTCAGACAGAAACATCCTACGTCTTACGTTAAAGTGCCACGAGGGAGTACTAAGAATAGCACAATCGCCTGGTGACAATCTTACAGACGCCGAATCATCTTGGAAAGCGGGCCGAAACTAGGATAATATAGGAAATTGGAGGAGGGGGGGGGGTAAAGGTGCCCTGGCATCGTTTCGTCCCTGGGTATCTTGACCTCTCTATTATATTTAACTGTATTCGATATGAAGGAGTTGGGATGAAGTCAATGTATCGCTTACCACTGCTGCTAGTTCGACTCGAAGAACTTGTTCTTCTGAAAAATCCTAAAGAGACACCAGGAAAAAATTCATGCTCCAAATGTATTTATATATTTACATGCTCTATATATATCTGGAGTGGAAACGCCAATAATTAATGGCGGAAATATTGGATGAAGGAGCTACTGGAAATCATTTTTAGTCTTCATTCTTCTTTTAAGGACAAACGTGATATGCTACAGATTTGAGGAGGACTCATATCGCTTTTGGAGGTGAACCGCATTTCGTGCGAGTTAGAAATGCACACATTTCCAGTTAATAGACTATTGCGTATTGAACAACATTTTAATCAAAGCAACACTACTTGGAATAACACATCTGCTACTTGTTCCATTCGAACCACTCCTGTTTCTGAAGAAAGAACTATCTATAATTAGCTCACCTGATGATGATCGAGTACCCAGCGATGATCCTGGAAGTGGAAAGAAAGATATCAGGCGATATTCATCAATCGTTGAATTAATTTAGTGAAGGAAAAGATCTATGGGCCCTTAGGAGTGGGGACAGTGGGGATACGTAGGGGACCAAATCCAATTCACACGCTCCCCCCCCCGTCCCAAAAAAAGAAAGCATAATGTTAAGTCCGATAAACCCGATGTCGCATGATTTTCCTTTTGCGTCGCGAGTTTACGAAAGTCACGCATGCGCAGCACGAAGTTTTCCAACAAATCGAAATCATCGTAGGATCGTTTCTCGCGCGGGTGTCACGAACATGCCATGTTACTACGAGATAACTGTAGCCCGGGTGAACGCCTGAGCAGGCGTCTTGTTTTAACTATATATTCGTTCGTATATATTCATTAAGTGGCTATTGAGGATAGGGTGGATATACGTTTGAGAAAATATTCTATAAGAATAATAGTAGCAACTCCACCTCTCATTATCTACCCTCTTCAGTGTGTACTTACTACTTCCGGTTCTTCTTCCAAAGCCAAATCTTCTTGGGGCTCGAGCCTCGCTTTCCTCGTCGTCTTCAACTGAAAAGAAATCACATAGACTGATATAGACACCTCTGTAAAATAGACTCTTCTGTAATATAGACACCTCTCTAAAAGAGACTTTTCTGTAATATATAGACACCTCTCTAAAATAGACACCTCTCTAAAAGAAAGTCTTCTGTAATATAGACACCTCTCTAATATAGACACCTCTCTAAAAGAAAGTCTTCTGTAATATAGACACCTCTCTAAAATAGACACCTCTCTAAAAGAAAGTCTTCTGTAATATAGACACCTCTCTAAAATAGACATCTCTCTAAAAGAAAGTCTTCTGTAATATAGACACCTCTCTAAAATAGACACCTCTCTAAAAGAAAGTCTTCTGTAATATAGACACCTCTCTAAAATAGACATCTCTCTAAAAGAACGTCTTCTGTAATATAGACACCTCTCTAATATAGACACCTCTCTGTCACGCACACCTCCGACATAACAGTAAAAAGTATTTAAAAAACATCGAACCTTTTGATTCCATGTATTCCTCTTCTGCATCGTCTATTTCCTTGAAATCATCTAAAAAAGTTACACGAATAAGCTTTACAGTGGGGTTCTAAATCTGCATGGTGCATCGAATAATGGCAAAAAAATCTTGGTTGTTGAATAACCGTGAAATTACAAACATCAGCTAACAATTACTGAAAATAATACTAAGATTTAATCTAGGTGTTTCCAAATCTCAAATGATTTATGAAAAACACTATTCATTATTCTACACGAAAGATCGGATTTGGTTCCGAAGCAATATTTAACTACATCGTGTTTACTGAAGCTTTTTTTTGCAAACGATATCTTTCCCACGACGCAACATTTGATTCTGTTGAAAAGTTTTCAACGGCAACGATCTGAGGCAGGAAAATGTCAGGAAAGCTCGCCAGCACTCACCTTCTGCGCGAACAGCGATTAACGCCAAAGTTGCAAGCACGACCAAAAAAATGAGCTTTCTAGCCATAGTTATTCTTTCAATATCCTGTCCTTTTTTCACCTGGAAAAGAAAATTTGTGATGGAACATTATCCACTGCAAACCTTATACCAGGCTTTACTAAACTCTTTAAGAAGCAAGGTTATTTAATTCTATCGAACTTAAGTGATCGCATTTATGCTGTTGCTGTTTAAATTGGGTTTAGCCTTTAAACTGTGAAACCTTATGGAACAAACATCTGAGGGCCCCATGCATGATATGGAGAAAGCTGTATTCAAACTGTCGATAAGTTTAATTTACGAGAATACATATACATTATAACATTGATCTGTTAAGAAATTTACTTGAAATCACAGCAAATTAATCACGCTAGGATTCTGAGTACTATAGTAACTGCAACATTTTCAAAACCCCACCCAAAAGCTTCGAAAAGTAGAAAAATAATTTGAATTCTAAAATAGATAAAGACAACAAAATAGTGAGCACTCACCAACAAACTCGTTTCTTTCCGACCTGGAGAAAAAATGGCGAATCGCTTTCAACCGTCTCGCTTATATAACGGCCGTTTTTTTTATAAATGTTTTTATATTTGCAGTCAATATTGCTCCGTCATTATTATTTGCGAGAACTCGTTAAAAAATATATCAGTGTAACTTCCTAAGGTAAACAGGTTTGTATAACATGTTTGCCTCAAGTTGTCATCCAGAAATTTCCGATTTAACTTTTGTCAACATAATTTAAATCATGTGTACTTTGATTCCGCGTATATAATAAATTAAATACAACGAGTAGCTAAGTCAACGGTGAAAGCTACGCTTACACGTAGGCCTATTAAACGTACATTGGTATCTCTTGACATAATATACTACAAACATAATAACTAGGAATAAAGATAGTTTGAATATCCCAGCGTATATAGATCAGTTTCAGGGCAGCGAACATTCCTATACCAAGCTATCAGTTTATGGAACTGACTTCCGCGACAAATTACAGATACCAGTTGTTTACGTACTTTTAAGAAACGACTAAGGAAACTACTTTTTATTCATGTTATAGCTAATAAATGTATATAGATATAAAATTGGTAAAATAAATAGGTATTACCTAATGAGATGTAAATTAGAACTGAAAAACTCTTTGGGAGTTTCTAATGAAGATGTGAGATAATAGAAGCGCTTGTAAAAGGTTAACTACTATTGGGCCTTTAGATAAAATAATTAAGAAATACCAGCTTCGCATATAAGCAGAACCTGCAAATTATTTTTTGATGCAAACGCAGTCTGGGATATTGTCTGGGATTTGAAGATAAGTTTTATTCCCTGTCATTCGAATAGGCAAATAAATTGGGTTAAAATGCAATTAAGAATATGGCGAACGAATGACTCAGCTAACCTCAGAGCAAAGATGACATGATAATGAGATGATAATGGCTGCATGAATAAGGTTCACCATTTCATTATCTATTGTTTGATTTGCATTCGACGCAACCAAAATGCGACGTATGAACTTGGCCCTGATGAAGGTCTTTTCATACTATATGATGTTGTTGAATCCAATTCACTTCTGACGTATGAGATGTAGTTTGTTATCGATAAAACAATACTGAATTGGCTGCAGTGGATTTGCTGCCCATATTCATTGCAAGTTAACAGACTATTAAATATCTATTCTCGGTGGGATTATTCACGTTCAATGCCCAGGCGGGGGAGTTCTTTCAATTCTACCAAGCCTGGCATCTCCGGCATGTCTTAATTAGGCCCTAATAGTCCGCAAACGCTTTAAAATCCGGCTGAAAGCAAAGTTCCTGGTCATTGCACCGTTCGCACTCGAAGAAGGAAGTTCCTTTTATCAAGTTTTCCGTTGCCCACCCACCTCCCCTCAGCTACAACACACGTCAACACCTTCCTCCCGCCTTTCCCGGGCGGAAAATTCAATTTCATCCCCAATCTTAACTCCCTCCACCCCGGGCATTGTGTGGGAGGAAGGCCACCGAGAATATATTACTATCAGAAGTTAATTGGATCCAACAAAATTTGATCGTGTGAACAGACCTGAGTGTCTTGAGCGCACGCTAAGCTCGGGTTCAATTAGTGCTGAATTATACAACTTTTATAAATATCTATTTAAAAAGAACTTTTTATACACCTGTATGATATTCAGTAAACAAACGTTTCCTCATCTATTATGAGATGCTTTCCCAGTGCGGATCATTCTGCGGATTAACAGACCTTTGACGTCAACGCTGAAAGCCAAAGTCCTAATGTTAGACTAAGTTTGATTGGCTCGTCACTTTTGCTGAACCAATCAAACTTCGTGTAACATCAGGCTTTCCGCGCTTGAGGTCATTATACATGGAAAAGTCCATTCTTTTACACTCGATATTATGCAGCATATATATGAGTGCCCTCGCTATAGTGCAGTTTAATGTGCTTTGTTTTTTTATCAACACAATAAGCCATAAGTGATGATTCTTCAAAAAGATTGCATGGGTATCAATATTTCAATAAAACGTTTATAAATACGAATGCAAATCGATTTTTTAGTAGATTAATTGCACTTTAACGTCTCCAAACAATAATTTATGAAGTGATGTGAACTTTAAACAGCTGTTTAGCAATTTCGCAAATGTTATAATTGCACTTTTAATGAAATGTCCACACCCAGCGATCTGTGTTGACAATTTTTTTATTTCAACTAATCAAAAATTTCAATTCAATTTTTTTAAAAAAATTCAAAATATATACGCTGTACTTTGGCGTGTTCAATACATACGGCTTGCTGGCTTTAGAATATAAATGTTTGTGGGTCTATTAGAAAACTGAAAGTTTCCTATATCCGCTGAACTCTGGCGCGTATAGATAATCGTTCGTTGCAGAATACAATTAGGGATTTATTATTAGTACGAGTGAAAATTTTGCCGAAATTAAACGTGAAAAACATGATAAGTGATGATGATGAATGTGTGGATAAGTCTTTAGCAAAAATGCGGTGAAATACTGACAAAAGGGACAAGAACGAATAGCCTAATAGCGTCGTTAATTATGCGGGAGGTTATTCCCTTGAATAACCGCGGCAATTTATTCCTATTGAGCTACCTTAATATACTCATCACTGAGCTATATTTTAATAGACCTATAATGCATAATGACGTATCAAGCCGTGACGCCCGCCGGGAATTCTGGTTTGGTAGTCACGGCAAAAAATTCAAACTTCAAAATTTCCCGACATGACTACTAAGACCAGAATTCTCTGCTGGTGTCTATTCCTGGAGGAACTAGGAAGTTTCACTGAGAAGTGCTCGTCTTATTTATTCGTATTTTATGAGATATATAAAGATTATTGTTGAGAGTCCTGACCAGTGACACAGACAACAGAGTCTCGTGTTGACAAGTGTTGGCAACCAAATCACACACACACACCCTAACCCCACCCTACCCCATCCATCACCCTACCCTATCCATTACCCCACCCCCCTCGGCATCAACATTACATACCCAAGAAAGAGTGTTTTCAGAAGGCATTCACAATAGTATGCAGAATACTATATTTATTTCACCACAACACTTTTATAAACTGTTACAATCTCCCTAATTTCCCTAATTTTTATAACAAGAACAATAACTTTCAAGAAAGTCAAAGTCCTTCCGTTGACATGAGGTTGGGTGACCACCTCTCGGCCTTAATTACTCAACACCAAAGCTGATCGATAAGGTTGCCTGAGGGGAGCTTGTCATGGAGACATCTTTAATGAAGAACTGGTATCCATCGCCAGTGTAAATAACTTTCTTTGTTATAGGCTGGTTTGCATTGGTTGCACCATTTTGAAGGTCATTGTAAACCGACTCGCTTGCTTGTTTTTGCTCAGGGTAGACCTTTACATTCCACTTATTGTCGCCACTCCAGGGCAGTTTAAACATAACACAGAACGATTCGGACGCCTCTTCAAAGCCGTAGCAGAACGCTCCTGACACCCCCGTTGTAGAGGGACCCGTCTTTTTAACCCCTCCCATTATGAAACCTTCTTCCACAGGCACGTTCAGCGGTAACGCTTTGGTAAGAGAGCCTTCCTTCATGTAAGCCGTGCCCCCTGTAAGAAATTTCAGAATATTTTGACTGGCAAACATGTTGATATTTGCCGCAAGCTAAAATAGTTTTTGTTTCATATACCGGATCGGTCCCAAAAAAAGTACTCACGTTTGATTGATCATAACTTTTTAACAAGTGAAGTCAATAAACTGGATAGATTTTAATAGATAGATGGAACGCTAACTCAGATTTTACCCTAAACGTCGGACGGTATATCAAACAGTAGCTAATGTAAATTGCTTGTTTGAAGTGAGAGCTACAACAGCAATGACAGCAGTAACAATTTTACAACAGTTATGATTGCCACGGTAGTCATATGATAAATGCAATAACAATCGTCTCAGACCTTGCCAGGGAGCTCCTTCAACATTTCCAAGAGTTATGACAATTTTGCGTTCGACGTTCGCCAGTTGTTTTAGAACAGTATTAGCAACTTCTAGTCCAAACTGTGCCAGATCTGTGACCTGGCCTAGTTTCTCCCACCCGCTAGTACCTGGTAAATGAAAAAGCGACAAGCTAATAAATTGAAAACAGCTTCCTGAAATAGATAAAATAACAAAGTTTTGCCACTTCGTTGTTTTGATCTTATGTTGATCAAATTACCTTCCATAAACCATTAAAGATATGTTCTTATCCCTAATCTTAGTACAGTCAGCTAGATAGAAGTCAAGTGGTCGGGCACTGTCATCGGTGACGTATTCGTCCCTATTTCAAGCCCTTCTTTGGGTTGAAGACCAACCTGCTCTTGGTTACCCACGCAACACCCCCCCCCCCTCACCTTCGAACCTCCTCTACTGGTGAATGACATGGTGAATTGTACATTTTTATATTGAATTCCTTGCCACCTCCACCTCCTGTGTTTCCGCCTGTTCGTGTCGTTTGTCTGAAACTGAAGCGTCTGGTTTGTGTGTTACGTGTCGTACTGGTAGATCGACGAAATGGTGAACCTAAAAGGTACCTAATGTGAGCATTTCTCCTAAAATGGACACTTTCTCCAATGCGGACACTTCTCTGAAATATTGGACACCTCTTTCCAATATGGAAACGTCTTTCTAACATAGACTGCTCCCCAAAATAGACACATCTCTCTGAATTGGACACCTCTCTCTAACGTAGACACCTCTATCTTATATGTCCACCTCTTTCAAATGCTGTCATCTCTATATAATAGGGACCATAATGTGTCCCTCTAAAGGTCTGTTCACACAATCAAATTTTGTTGGATCCATTCCACTTCTGATGGATGCACTAAAGTAGAAATTTTTATGGAACATCTTTTTCTCTTTATTATACTTCAAGAAGCACGCGAACGGGCAATGGTCATAGGTGGTTTTTTTTGTTATTACGGAGCCCAGACGTTTTCAGATTTGATTGAAATTAATCGTTTAGTTCAATGTCGATATGATACTTGTTTTGACTTTTAAAACCACTGGAAACCGGAAAGTTGAATTGACGTCATGTAGAGATACGCTCCAGTGGCGTAGGAAGGGGGGGGCACTGGGGGCACGTGCCCCCCCAAGATCTTTCAAGGGACCAAAAGTGCCCTTTTTGTGAGAAAAAAAATGCCTTTTTGGGAAGCGAAAAGAAAGAAAAAAGTATCTACTATTTCCCAATAATCCTTAAATTGAGAGGGATTTGCGGCCATTTCAGAGGCCTATATCTCAAAATTTTCTCGGGGGAGCATGCCCCCGGACCCCCCTAGCAGTACGAAGCCCAAGAAATACGAAAAATGCTCTGCGGTCGGCGGTCCCTGAATCACACTGTCCCTATATATATTTTTTTATCAACCATTTTAACCGTCATTTTTATTAACCAAAAGTGCCCCTAGAAGCTGGTGCCCCCCCCCAACCTCTGGATGCTTCCTACGCCCTTGATACGCTCTGCCATACAGACTTGTAAATTGGATCCGACCAGTGAACTCTATACAATTTTGTTTGTTTACAGTTCAATGGATCCGACCAAATTGGATGGTGTTAAATGTCCTTTAGACACTGGAGTTTCAGTTTCCAGCAGCCAAGTGTTTAAAATGTAGTTCAGGTTTGTGGTTTGGTGGGAAATGCGAATGATTCGACCGCTCTAGTGTTTCAGTCATATTATGTTTTTGACAATGCTCTGTTCTGCTAAAGTTTAAAAAATAGCGAAATGAAGTGGATAACAAAATGGTTATCATGCAGCAGCTTGATTGATAGAAAGATAGGTCAATGATAAAGATGCATGCAGTTCGCTACAGCCTACAGTTGCAAACTAATTGCGTAAAATAGCTTAATTCGACGATTTAGTGAAGCGATTTAAAGAGGAATTTCACGAAATTGTCGAAGGTGAACGAGCAAAGTTGAAGGCGGAACTCGAAGCATACAACGCTGAGAAGAAAAAAATGAACGCTGTTGTTGTTCGTGGTGATGATATTATTAATTTAAACGTCGGTGAGACAAAATTCACCACAACAAGATCGACTCTGTGCCAAGTTAAAGATTCCTTACTCGCCTCAATGTTTAGCGGTCGTTGGGAAGATAGCGTGCCTCGTGACCAAGATGGCGCTGTCTTCTTTGATCATAATCCCAAATATTTTGGTTTAATTTTGGATTATCTTCGCGCGAAGAAAGTCGCTACTCCGGAGAATCCAGCACCATTGCCCGATGTTCCTGATGATCAAGCCAAGAATTTCCAAAACCTCGTCGGATATCTTGGCTTGAGTGAGGAAATTGTTTCGACCAAAATTGTATTAACGGACAAATTTAATTTACGAAGCCCAGGGATTACTCTTCAAGAAGAGGGGAGAGTCGCAGTTCATGATTCAAATAGTGCATTTAATTATGTTTTAGGTGAGAATACTTACCAACAGGGGATTGTGCGATTCAAGTTGAATTTAGAGTCCTTTAAAAATAACAATTGGATCATGGTTGGCGTATTGGAAGCGGATGTTGAAACACAGTCACAGAGTAATCATTGTTCACATGCATGGCCTGGTTGTAATGGATGGGCACTCGGTGACAGTGGTCAAGTGTATAAAAATGGATCGTGCACAAATGACAATTCGTTAATGAAACTATCTAAACAAGGTGACACGGTTGAGGTGGTCTTGAATTGTGACAAAAGCAAACTATCGCTGCACTTGCCCACTGCTCATCAATTTCACATGAACATACCCAAGTCTAAAAGCTGGAGACTTCATGTTAATTTGCACGGTGCAAACGACAAAATCCGCATGGTCTAAGTTGTGCAAGGTTAAAAAATACCAAAAGTACATATCTTTATTCATAAACAATCTTTATAATTGAAACTGCAGTTTAGTATATGCATTTGTTATATATAAACATAATTTCCATGTAAAACCTATTATTTGTTTTTTAATTAATGTTTCCTCGCGCAACCATCGCGAGTTTCCCGCTCTTTTTCGCGTTTTATTATTGAGTTTCTCTTCATTTTTGTCCATATAATAAACAGAAGCGAACGAGTGAGGTATTGTTTTTGACACGAGAACAAAAAATCCATATCTTCGAGCGAACCGTGTTATATCTTATATTTATTACTTATTGCACCGAGGGAGGCTGGAAGTTTCCCGAATTTATCCAGCGTATCGTATGTTTAGTCTTTATCTCATGCCTTTTGGGAGAAGTGTTCAGAAAGTTACGCATGGGGTTCATGGGGGCACGCAGGTGGGTTAGGGTTTAAACGCAACTGCTCATAGCCAATAGGAACACAGCTTTTACACTGTCACCGGGTATGGGATAGCTAGGGACCGGTTGTATCAAACGGTGGTTAAGTTCAAAATAGAAAGCAAGTTTATCGTTTTATTCAACAAGCAAACTAAATGTTTTTAATCATAATACAAAGATACTGTTTACAACTACATATTCAGTGCATAATATTCAAGTTGACTCATTCAAGAGAGATGTAAGAGGTATTTTAAGGCCGGCGCACACTAGAGCTATGTGCTTAGCAAAAAGTCATTCGTGGCCATTGGCGTAAGCCAGTTGCTCTCGTGTGCGGGCGACTTTTCAGGCGACTTTGGTCATTCGTGCCACTTGCGGCAAATATCTAGAATGTTTGATAATTTCTGCCTCGCGTGCCGAAATCTTTCCGTGTGCGGCAAACTGAAAGCTATCTGCTTTTGTTTTTGCAATCTGTCCAGATTGCAAAAACAAATTTATGGATGAAGTGAAGACGAAGAGGTGTTGTTATTTTTCTTGCTGTTGCGTCGCATTAGACTAGACTTCCGCTTTAAACACCATTATCCAAGTGCTATTAATTATATTATCTGTTTGAGAAAGATATATATGTTATTTGCCGGCTGCGAGGTCCGGATGCAAAAAACTGTGCCGGAGGTCTCGAAGATGCCATCATGTAATTAATGCCATCATGTAATTAACCCCATCATGTAATTGATCCCATCATGTAATTGATCCCATCATGTAATTAATCCCATCATGTAATTAATTCCATCATGTAATTAATCCCATCATGTAATTAATGCCATCATGTAATTAACCCCATCATGTAATTAATTCCATCATGTAATTAATTCCATCATGTAATTAATCCCATCATGTAATTAATCCCATCATGTAATTAATCCCATCATGTAATTAATCCCATCATGTAATTAATCCCATCATGTAATTAATCCCATCATGTAATTAATCCCATCATGTAATTAATTCCATCATGTAATTAATCCCATCATGTAATTAATCCCATCATGTAATTAATCCCATCATGTAATTAATCCCATCATGTAATTAATCCCATCATGTAATTAATCCCATCATGTAATTAATCCCATCATGTAATTAATCCCATCATGTAATTAATCCCCTCATGTAATTAATCCCATCATGTAATTAATCCCCTCATGTAATTTATTCCATCATGTAATTAATCCCATCATGTAATTAACCCCATCATGTAATTTATTCCATCATGTAATTAATCCCATCATGTAATTAATCCCATCATGTAATTAATCCCATCATGTAATTAATCCCATCATGTAATTAATCCCATCATGTAATTAACCCCATCATGTATTTTATCCCATTTATCTGTCGTGTATTTTAATTGGTTTAATTGATTAATCCCATCATGAAATTAATCCCAATTTTGTTAATTACTAATTTTATATTAGTTTTAACAGTTATTTTAAACAAAAAAGCTACACATTCATTGCAAATATTCTTGTATTTCTTTTATTTTCTGTTACAGGAGGCTTCGCGGCTTTCCTCTTTAAAACCTGCACTGGATCAAAAAGGTATTCCTTTGTTTGGTGTGGTTCATGAGACGATTGGAGTGGAAGAGTTCAGAGAGTTTTTGAAAGGCGACATTTACCTTGATTCTGAGGTTGGTTTTGACTTTTTACTCAAGCCTGGTTGAAATCTGGGATTCCCTAAGGTCTGCACAAAATGCTTTGTCTATCGGAAAGTAATACAGTGGATCACCGATTCTTAGGAACTTGTGTGAATCAGGCTTTAACGTTTTATAATAAACATACTTGAGAGTGGTCAGTCTGGGATTTTTCCACCGAGGGAGCCTGAAAGAGTGAAAGTGTCCGGAAATCACCCAGCGTAACGAGGTTTTTGTCGCTCCGTCAGGCAGTCCAGGTATTATATATGTCAATGTATGGGACAAATGATACCCGTAGGAGAAGGCGTCAATTCACGTATGCGCTAAACATTTGGGTGGTGCGGGTTGTGCCATGCTAAAACAGCGTCAACATATAATCTATAGTCAAAAATTTGGAAAGGCTAAAAAGCGGAAGTGAAGTGGGGGAAAATATATAGTTAACCAGGAAATCTCTCTTTTTTTAGAAAGAGTTTTATGGTCCAGTTAAAAGATGGGAAAATGTTGTTGTAGGTATGTTGTTACGATTTATACTACAACTGACTTACATTATGATGTACTGAGAGTCTAGTATAGGTCAGTGTTCAAGCCCAATGGGTTCAAGATATTTGTTGGGGTATCGAAATTGCACAATAAAGCGCAAAATTAAACTAGAGAAAACTACTTTATCTAATATTAGAGTTCCATTCCGACAACGAGATATCTGTAGTTGAAGGAATGTTTAAAGTTCTCCAGGAACGACTACCACGAACACACACAACCCTAGCGCGAAGAAGAGCGAAAGCTATCTTCTTACGTAACCAGTTGAGAACGATGGAATCAGTGAATATTGACCATCTAACCAACCAACACTATGACGTACTAAATCGTATTCGGTCGAATAAGCGCCGCCTTCAAATAAGCGCCGCCCCAGAGCAAAAAGTTTCTAAACATCACCAGCATGACAGGCGCACTCCGTAGCAAGAAGCGCATTATTAAACAAAGAAAACATTCAGATTGATATGCAGAGAACTATGATTTTTTTTACTACAATACCATTGTAAACTGATATAAGAGAGCTTAGATTTCCCTAGTTTTTCTAATCCATTCTAAAGCAGCTAAAGTCCTCCCGTTCTTGCGTGGTTCTGGGTCTTAACTCTCAATACCAAAGCTGAACTGCAAGTTTGCCTGTCCGGAATTTGTCATGGAGGCATCTCTGATGAAGAACTGGTATCCATCGCCAGTGTAAATAACTTTCTTTGTTATGGGCTGGCTCGCCTTGATCGCATCTTTTTGAAGGTCATTGTAAACCGACTCGCTTGCTTGCTTTTGCTCAGGGTAGACCTTTACATTCCACTGATTCTCACCACTCCAGGGCAGTTTAAACATAACACAGAACGATTCGGGCGCCTCTTCAAAGCCGTAGCAGAACGCTCCTGACACCCCTGTCGCCGAAGGACCCGGCTTTTTCACTCCTCCCATGAGGACACCCTCTTCAACCGGCACGTTAGGGGGGAGGACTTTGATTAGAGAACCTTCTTTCATGTAAGCCGTACCGCCTGCAAGGAAATGGGATCACATTAGTACGGAGTCATCAACAACAACAATAACGAAGTTATTTAGTTACATGCAAAGTTATTAACAACAGCAATAACGAAGACCTCACCAACAACAAAGACATTGACACAACAGCAGAAACAGTGACATCAACAGTGACACAACAACAATGACATCAAGAACAACAATGATAACATTGACAATGACATCAATAACAACAATGACAATGACAACAACAACAGCAGAAACAATGACATCAACAGTAATAACAATGACATAAAATACGGCAAAAACGATGACATAATAACAATGACATCAACAACAGCAGACACAATCCCCAACACCCCCAATAGAATAGTTATGGCTATGATTATAATATGCAATATCAATCATCTCAAACCTTGCCAGGAAGCTCCCTCGACGTTTCCAAGAGATATAACAATTTTGCGTTCCACGTTTGACATTTGTTGTAGAACTGTATTGGCAACTCCGGCTCCCAACTGGGCCAGATCTATGATGGTGCCCAGTTTCTGCCACGCACCAATTCCTAGTAAAGAAAACAAACAACTGGGTGTTAAATTGAGAACAGCGCATTCGGTTTCTTTTGCCACTTTTTGCCACGTTGATCAAATCACCCTTCATAAGGCATTTAAAGCACATCGGCTAATTAGAAATTAAACCACTATTTTTTGCCAGAGGTCTCCTGTCCGTTATCGTAATCTCCTGTCCGTTATTGATTTTCAGGTAACGGCCAACCTTTTGGCCTGCATACATTTTTTTGTTTCCCAGTCAAAAATTTGAGACACAATGTATACTACCCATTGGCTCTCACACGACTCTGAAATGCTCAATTCCGAGTATCTAGATTCTAGAGCAATGAAATCTCAAAAATATTCTTGTTCGGTGCCAAGGCGTGGTACCTTGTTAGCCTGGACCACCAATTTTAAGCATATTTATTCTACGCCATATTCAACGTCGTGCTTTCATCGGTTCAACGAATCGAGCATTTTTTTGCTGTAATGGACAGTTCTGAGTGTTACCCTTCCAAGTGTTTCAAACGTTTAACTTTCATTTGTCTCATTAGTGGAAATTTGTCTCTCCAGCAAAAAATTAATGTTCGTATGCTTAAGTTGTAAAATACACACCAAATAACCCTGGGGGTTTCCTCTTAATCTTAGGCCCTCCCCCAAATATTTTTGAAATGTGCGCCCTTGATCCATATACACGCTGGTCCAAATTAGCTAAATTTCTCCCACTCATGCAGGCTCATATTACAAGCGGACAACTTAGATAAAATTGAGAGCAGTGCGTAAAATGAAAAGGATTTAAATTTTGATAAATATGACCATGTGTGCGATTTTCGTCTTTTGATAGATGTGAACGAGTGAATTACTTACTGATTTTCAAATATGAGTTCTTATACATCAGAGCATTCGTAGCTCATTACTCGTTAACATCTATCAAAAGAAGAGAATCGCAGCAAAAATCGCAAGTATAAACGGGCCTTTACCGCTTCCACCTCCACCATTTGTCCCAGTGGATCCACCCCCTGTGGTTTGTCTCGTTCTCCTGGATGTAAAGCGTCTTCTGCTTGAGCCACCTGCGCCGTTGCGTGATCTTCGACCAAACCTGAAACCTGAAATAATCAAGTATTAACCAACAATGCCAATATCTAAATTTTCTAATACGGGCTTTATGCTAATAGCAGGGGCGTAGGAAGCATCCAGAGATTGGGGGACACCAGCTTCCAGGGGCACTTTTGGTTAATAAAAAGGGCAGCTGAAAGTATGTGTAGGGACGGTTTGATTGCCAAAAATTCATGGACACCACTAGTGCATGTGGTGTATATTTATGCTCTACAAAAAGATTTGGGCACGTGTAAGTAAGCATACGTAGGAAACCAAAAGTGCACCTTCGATTTTAAAATAGTATTTACAGTTACATTAGCTTCTCTAAAAAGGCACTTAATTTTCATCACAAAAAGGGTTCGTCCACTATTGGTCCTGAAAAAATTGAAAATGCGAAATTTTACTCTTGATCGTCTTACCGCCACTGCGAGTTCCACTTCTACTGGCTCTATTCCCAAATCTGAAGCCTATAAGATAAGCAAGACTTCAGTGGTAAGGACACATACAGACCCATTTGAGTAGTTAAACTTTAGCTCAACATTAGATTTGGCACATGAAAAGTTCGACGTCTGAAACGGTCCACAATTCTCTTTTTGACGCGAACCACGTGAGTAGAGATGCACAAATTGAAAAGCCCACGTTTATGAATGCTGATAACTTTCCACTTGTTCTAATCTAATATAATCTAATATAAGAAATAGTTAAATTCATTAAAGCAGAATTACTAAGTAGGCTACTAGTAAATCGATCATTTTGCATCAACCAATCAGACATGGCCTTTCGTTTGGTACGGGTTAGCTCAATGGACCTTTTCGGTAATTACGTCACAATATTATAGCTTTAAATTTCGAACCACCTTAAATGAGATGGATTTCAAGTTTTACTCTCACAAGCCACGTGCAAAGATGTAAAACATGCATGAAAAAGTATTTTTCATTTTGACAAATAAGTATGGAAATACGACATAATGCGAAAACGAGGCTCGCGGTCTTAGCCCCTGAACCTCGTTTTCTTTCGGCTTATTTCCACATTTATTGGTCAAAATAAAAAAACTTTTCATGCATGTGTTGAAGAAGGATGTTTTGCATCTTTGCACGTGGCTCGTGAGAGCAAAACCTGAAATCCATTTCATTTAAGGTGGTTCTAAATTTAAAACGTTGTGATAACGTTGTGACGTAATTACCGAAAAGGTCTATTTGTATGGAATTGGATTTATTGAAACGAAGTCAAGGTATTGCTTACCACCTCTGCTGGTTCGACTCGAAGTACGTGCTCTTCTGAAAAATCCTAAAGAGACACCAGGAAAAATTCATGCTCCATATATATATATATATATATATATATATATATATATATTAATATATATATATATATATATATATATGAGTGCTTTCGAAACAAATTTGTAGTTTTTTTATGTGTAAATAGCCTTCTTAAACGTTGTATATAGCTCCTTTTGTTGAGCAATTTTTTGACAAAGGAATCCACCTACCATTATTATCATTATATATATAAACTATTCCAAATAGAATTTTGTAGAACACAGCGTGCTCTCAATACATAAAATGCAAAGCGTGTTATAACAATTATAAATACAATTCGCAAATTTATATATATATATATATATATATATATATATATATATATATATATATATATATATATATATATATATATATACATATATATATATATATATATATATATATATATATATATACGCCAATAATAGCGGAAATATTGGATGAGGGAGTTTTTTTCATTTTCAGTCTTCATGCTTCTTTTAAGGACAAACTTGATATGCTACAGATATGAGGAGGACTCGTATCGCTTTCGGAGGTGAACCGCATTCATTCGAGTTAGAAATGCACACATTTCCAGTGAATAGACCATTGCGTATTGAACAACATTTTAATCAAAGCAAATTTCGACAACGATTTTACCATAGCTGCAAAAGACCATCAAAATTTGCAAAATTACGAGGTAGCTATAAAATGCGGGAGAAAAGCTCTATGCCTTGAAAATTTGCGAATTGTACATAAATTGGTGTTATTTTACGCGACCGAACTAGTTCTTTTGCATTAATAAAAAGGGCAGCTGAAAGTATGTATAAGGACGGTTTGATTGCCAAAGCTCCATGGACACCACTAGTGCATGTGGTGTATATTTATGCTCTACAAAAAGATTTGGGCACGTGTAAGTAGGCATACGTAGGAAAAAAAAAGTGCACCTTCGATTTTAAAATAGTATTTACAGTTACATTAGCTTCTCTAAAAAGGCACTTAATTTTCATCACAAAAAGGGTTGGTCCACTATTGGTCCTGAAAAAATTGAAAATGCGAAATTTTACTCTTGATCGTCTTACCGCCACTGCGAGTTCCACTTCTACTGGCTCTATTCCCAAATCTGAAGCCTATGAGATAAGCAAGACTTCACTGCATGGTAAGGACACATACAGTTATTCCTTCAGTTACTACGGTACAATTAATGATTTTCACTATGAGGGGCTGTTCTATCAAGCCCGTTTAGCTTAAACGGTGGATAGGTTTGTTGAATAAAACAATAGACTTGCTTTCTTTTTTGAACTTATCCAGCGTTTCAGCTGAACGGGCTTGAAACAACCGGCCCCAGAACAATTTGATGTTTGCCGATTAAATTCTGCAGACTAAAATCGTACGACAAAAATCGCGTCGTGTGCACCTGGCCTAAAGCTCTCTAATGTATCGCCGACTCCCGATAATACCGATCGAGGCTATGGTTGAAAACTAGCGGAAGCTCAGACCCATTTGAGTTGTTAAACTTTAGCTCAACATTAGATTTGGCACATGAAAAGTTCGACGTCTGAAACGGTCCACAATTCTCTTTTTGACGCAAACCACGTGCATAGAGATGCACAAATTTAAAAGCCCACGTTTATGGAAACTGATAACTTGGCACTTGTTCGACATGGAGCTTGTTCGATATAGCATAGAATGAAGTCAATGTATCGCTTACCGCCTCTGGTACTACTGGATCCACCGGTACTACGAGTTCTTCTAAACCACCCTAGAGAAACATCAGGGCATTTTACAGATGTGGTGACGAGTATTTGGTGAGTTTCACCAGCAATTTAATGGCAATTTTTCAATATTCCGATATCGAGTTAGCCAAAATGCGTGTTAGCCAAAATATGGGAAATTTGGTTTTAAACAATTTGGCAAATTTGTTCACATTTCTGAGGCTGAGCACATCAGAATGCCTAGATTTTGAAAACTTCATGTAAAATGGTATATAATGTACCTTTTTACCGGATGTAGTCAATATTTATGCATTCTGATTGGGTTACTGAAAATCTAAACAAATTAGTTTTGCTCATTTGTCTAAAACGAAATCCTCCTTACCGCCTCTGGTACTACTGGATCCACCGGTACTACGAGTTCTTCTAAACCATCCTAGAGAAACATCAGGGCATTTTACAGATGTGGTGACGAGTATTTGGTGAGTTTCACCAGCAATTTAATGGCAATTTTTCAATATTCCGATATCGAGTTAGCCAAATGCTTGTTAGCAAAATATCCAAATTTGGTTTTTCAATTTGGCAAATTTGTTCACATTCTTGAGGCTGAGCACATCAGAATGCCTAGATTTTGAAAACTTCATGTAAAATGGTATATAATGTACCTTTTTACCGGATGTAGTCAATATTTATGCATTCTGATTAGGTTACTGAAAATGTAAACAAATTTGTTTTGCTAATTTGTCTAAAACGAAATCCTCCCATGTGTACAATCTGTACAGTAATCCTGTACCAATCGGAACACGCATTCTGATTGGCTGGTACTTAGTAATCAGTAAACATCTAATATAAGTAATAGTTAAATTCATTAAAGCAGAATTACTAAGTACCAGTAAATTGATCATTTTGCATCAACCAATCAGACATGGCCTTTCGTTTGGTACGGGTTAGCTCAATGGACCTTTTCGGTAATTACGTCACAATGTTATAGCTTTAAATTTTGAACCAAATGAAATGGATTTCAAGTTTTACTCTCACGAGCCACGTGCAAAGATGCAAAACATCCTTCTTCAACACATGCATGAAAAAGTATTTTTCATTTTGACAAATAAGTATGGAAATACGACATAATGCGAGAATGAGGCTCGCGGTTTTAGCCCCTGAACCTCGTCCTCGTGTCGGCTTATTTCCACATTTCTTGGTCAAAATGTCAATACTTTTTCATGCATGTGTTGAAGAAGGATGTTTTGCATCTTTGCACGTGGCTCGTGAGAGCAAAATTTTAAATCCATTTCATTTAAGGTGGTTCTAAATTTAAAACGTTGTGATGTTATAATCTTTAGACGTAATTACCGAAAAGGTCTATTTGTAAGGAATTGGATTTATTGAAACGAAGTCAAGGTATTGCTTACCACCTCTGCTGGTTCCACTCGAAGTACGTGTTCTTCTGAAAAATCCTAAAGAAACACCAAACAAAAGTGTCACCAGCGAGTATACTAAGACCCCGTTTACACTAGAATGAAAGTTTCCGGATTTGTAAAATTATCAGGATTCATTGTTACACACATGTATCGGATTCGTCAGGTGTTTACACTACACTTTAGTTGTCTCTGTATGCGGATTTGTCCGGCGGTTTACACTCACATTACTTGTTCTTGGAGAATTGTTTGGTCCGCCATATTGAATTTCTTCGGATTCGTCGTGCAAAGCGTTTACACAAGAAAATTTTCCGGATTCAAATGTTTCTGGATACGAAGTTTCCACAAACTTTTACGGATTCAAAGTTTCCGGATACGGCTTAAAACCGAGTACATTTTCTATCGGATTCGTTGCTGCGTGTGTAAACAGCAACATGAATCCGGTACTAAAACATTCCGCTTTCGTGATGAATCCGGAAACTTTCGCTCTAGTGTAAACGGGGTCTATAAGAATAGCACAATCGTCTGGTGACAATCTTCCAGACACCGAAATCATCTTGGAAAGCGAAAACACGAAGAAACGAGTTTCAATCAGGGGCCAATTGTTCAAAGCTAGGTTAGCGCTAACCCTGGGTTAAATTTTAATCCAGTGTTTTAGTTTAAATGCTTCTGAACCACTGTTCCTTTTGAAACTTTAGAAAATATTACGTATCTATTCGTACAGAAAATATTTATGAAAAAAGATATATTCAACTTTGCAAACAAGCGATTTAAAAAATCGATGTAAAGATTTGCTTTAACCGAGAGTTAAGCTAATCAGCTTTTGAACAACCGGTCCCAGGGCCGAAACTAGGATAATATAGGATATTGGAGGGGGGCGAAGGTGCCCTCGCATCGTTTCGGTGTTCCTGGGTATCTTAACCTCTTTCTTATATTTAACTGTGTTCGATATGAATGAATTGGGATGAAGTCAATGGCGGAAATATCGGATGAGGGAGCTATTGGAGGTCATTTTCAGTCTTCATTCTTGATATGCTACAGATGTGCTACAGATATGAGGAGGACTCATATCGCTTTTGGAGGTGAACCGCATTCATGCGAGTTAGAAATGCCCAGTGAATAGACCATTGCGTACTGAACAACATTTTAATCAAAGCAAATTTCGACAACGATTTTACCATAGCTGGAAAGACCATCAAAATTAGCAAAATTACGAGGTAGCTAGAAAATGCGGGGGAAAAGCCCTGTGCCTTGAAAAGTTGCGAATTTTACATAAATTGGTGTTATTTACGCGACCGAACTAGTTCTTTTGCATTAAAAACAACATTTTTTATCTAGGCAAAGGAGTGCAAACTATCGCAACAACGCAACTGCTTCACGTTCGGGCTGAAATGGTTAACAATGTCTGTGCGTAATACAAAAGATGTGCAAACACATGCACCCACGGCTGTGCTCTCTGCATTTTGCAGCATTTCGCAACAAAATTTTACAGTTTACTTATTTTGGTATATTTCCCTTTACAACTTTCTTGATCTACTTGCATTTTTTGCCGAGATCAAAGGTACTCTATAAACGTTGAAGTTTACGATCTGCTATCACATTATTATGTCGGAATTCGCTTATAGCTTGCTCAATTGCACACTGATTGGTATAAAACACCTACTACTTGTTCCACTCGAACCACTCCTGTTTCTAAAGAAAGAACTATCTATAATTAGCTTACCTGATGATGATGATCGAGTACCAATCGATGATCCTGGAAGAGGATAGAAAGATATGAATTGAGCATTTGAGGCGATATTCGTCGGTCGTTGATTAATTTAGTAAAGGAAAAGATCTATGGGGCCTCAGGGGAGATGCGTAGGGGACCGAATCCATTTCACACACCCCCCCCCCTCCCCAAAATAAACGAAAGCATAATGTTATGTCCAATAAACGTATACGGATGTCATACAGATGAATAAATTTAGTCTCTCACTTTCTTTTTTGCCCTCCTTTATACCGTTGTTTTCCTTAACTGCCTGTGCCAAAGTACCCCCCCCCCCCCTCGTCCTCATACGGCTTTGGTAAATTGCAAATATTCAAAATGTCGATAAGAACCATATGTATTTAAGAAAGACATTAAAATTAGGTTATCTTTCCTTGAGAAATCAGTGTTGTTACTGTTATATATAACAAAGTGCTTGTAAAATTTTTCTACCGGATATTTCTAGTGATCGTTTGAATCGCAAAATCGTCATTATGACCTCGTGTAGTCTACGATTATTACTCGGGCTACCGTAGATAGAGCGAGTTGAAAAATGGGCTCGGTTTTTCCTTTTGCGTCGCGAGTTTACGAAAATCACGCATGGGCAGCACGAAGTCTTCGAACGAATCTAAATCGTCCTAGGGTCGTTTCTCGCGCGGGTGTCACGAACATGTCATGTTACTACTGTAGCCCGAGTGAACGCCTGAGCAGGCGTCTTGTTTTAACTATATATTCGTTCGATTAAGTAGCTATTGAGGATAGGATGGACATCACGTCTGAGAAAATATTCTATAGGAATAATAGTTGCAACTCCACCTCTCATGATCTCCCTTCTTCAGTGTGTACTTACTACTTCCACCGTATCTTTTTCCACCGAATCTTCCAAAGCGAAATCTCCTTGGTGCTCGAGCCTCGCTTTCCTCGTCGTCTTCAACTGAAAAGAAATCACAAAGACTAATATAGACACCTGTCCAAAAGAGACCCTTCTGTAATATAGACACCTCTCTAATATAGACACCTCTCTAAAATAGACACCTCTAAAAGAGACTCTCCTGTAATATAGACACCTCTCTAATATAGACACCTCTCTAAAATAGACACCTCTCTAAAATAGACACCTCTAAAATAGACTCTTCTGTAATATAGACACCTCTCTAAAATAGACACCTCTCTAAAACAGACACCTCTCTAAAAGAGACTCTTCTGTATATAGACACCTCTCTATCACGGACAGCTCCGACATAACAGTAAAAAGTATTTAAAAAATATCGAACCCTTTGATTCCACGTATTTCTCTTCTGCATCATCTATTTCCTTGAAGTCATCTAAAAAAGTTACACGAATATGGCTCACAGTGGGGTTCTAAATCTGGTGCATCGAGTAAAGGCCAAAAAATCTTGGTTGTTGAATAACCTGTAATATAGACACCCCTCTAATATAGACACCTCTCTAAAATAGACACCTCTCTAATATAGACACCTCTCTAAAATAGACACCTCTCTAAAAGAGACACCTCTCTTAAAGAGACTCTTCTGTAATATAGACACCTATCTAATATAGACACCTCTCTAATATAGACACCTCTCTAAAAGAGACACCTCTCTAAAATAGACACCTCTCTAATATAGACACCTCTCTAATATAGACACCTCTCTAAAATAGACACCTCTCTAAAAGAGACTCTTCTGTAATATAGACACCTCTCTAAAATAGACACCTCTCTAATATACACACCTCTCTAAAATAGACACCTCTCTAATATAGACACCTCTCTAAAATAGACACCTCTCAAAAATAGACACCTCTCTAAAAGAGACTCTTCTGTAATATAGGCACCTATCTAAAATAGACACCTCTCTAATATACACACCTCTCTAAAATAGACACCTCTCTAATATAGACACCTCTCAAAAATAGACACCTCTCTAAAATAGACACCTCTCAAAAATAGACACCTATCTAAAATAGACACCTCTCTAATATACACACCTCTCTAAAATAGACACCTCTCTAAAATAGACACCTCTCAAAAATAGACACCTCTCTAAAACAGACACCTCTCTAAAAGAGACTCTTCTGTATATAGACACCTCTCTATCACGGACAGCTCCGACATAACAGTAAAAGTATTGTAAAGATATAGTAAAAAGTAAAAATAGTAAAGTAAAAATATCGAACCCTTTGATTCCATGTATTTCTTTTCTGCATCGTCTATTTCCTTGAAGTCATCTAAAAAAGTTACACTAATAAGGCTCACAGTGGGGTTCTAAATCTGGTGCATCGAGTAAAGGCCAAAAAATCTTGGTTGTTGAATAACCGTGAAACTACAAACATCGACTAACAACAATTACTGAAAATAATACTAAGATTTCAGATTTAATCTAGGTGTTTCCAACCAAAAAAAGATTGAATCTTTTTTTGCAAACGATATTTTTCCCCCGATGCAACATTTGCCTCTGTTGAAAAGTTTTCAACGGCAACGATCTGAGGCAGGAAAATGTTAGGAAAGCTTGGCAGCACTCACCTTCTGCACGAACAGCGATTAACGCCAAAGTTGCTAGCACGACCAAAAAGATGAGCTTTCTAGCCATAGTTATTCTTTCAATATCCTGTCCTTTTTTTCATCTGGAAAAAAAATTTGTGATGAAACATTATCCCCTGCAAACCTTATACCACGCTTTACTCAACTCTTTAAGAAGCAAGGCGTGATTCTCGATAGAATCTTAAGTGATCAAATTGATGCTGTTGCTATTGAAATTAGGTTTAGCCTTTGCACTCTGAAACCTTATGGAGCGAACAAACATCTGAGGGTGCCACGCATGATAAGGAGAAAGCTGTATTCAAAGTGTTGAACTTAATTTACGAGAATACGTACACATTATAACATTGATCTGTGAAGAAATTTACTTGAAATCACAGCAAATTAATCACGCTAGGATTCTGAGTACTTCAGTAACTGCAACGTTTTCAAAACCCCACCCAAAAGCTTCGAAAAGTAGAAAAATAATTTCTAAAATAGATAAAAACAAAAAAATAGTGATCACTCACCAACAAATTCGTTTCTTTCCGACCTGGAGAAAAAATGGCGAATCGCTTTCAACCGTCTCGCTTATATAACGGCCGTTTTTTTTTTAAAAAAATGAATATTTTTATATTAGCAAACAATATTACTCGGTCATTATTACTTGCAAGAACTCGTTAAAAATATATATATCACTGTGACTTCCGAAGGTAAACAGCTTTGTACAACATGTTTGCCTAAGTTGTCATCCAGAAATTTCCGATTAAACTTTTGTCAACATAATTTTAATCATGTGTACTTTGATTTTGCGTATATAATAAATTCAATACAGCGAGTAGCTAAGTCAATCGAATTACGCTTACACGTAGGCCTATTAAACGTACATTGGCATCTCTTGACATAATATGCTACTAACATAATAACTAGGGATAAAGATAGTTTGAATATCCCAGCGTATATAGATCAGTTTCAGGGCAGCGAACATTCCTATATCGAGCTATCAGTTTTTAGTATAAACTTACTAATAGGCTATCACTTTTCCTGCGTTCTGATTGGCTACGCTACTAGTAGGCTATTAGTGATAGCCTACTTAGTCTAGTAGCGAAATTCAAAACAATGGCGGAAAATTCGCGTTTCGCCGAAGTATCTGAAGATTTTTTGGACGACTTGTTGGACAATTCCGTACCAGAAAAAACAAAAAAAGCAACAAAATACGGAATTGCAATTTTTAAGGGTAAGAAAATACATAAAAATAACGTATACTCAATTGAATTTTTATATTTAAACTGAATTTTAAAACATTTTACGCGAACAACAATTAAAATATTTTCTTCCCTTTAATATACGAAATAAATTTCAGTTTCAATATTTTTGTATTGTGTTTCCTAGTTGTAAATTAATGTTATAGTTTATACTAAAACAATTAGACAACTCGCGGCCTCGTTGTCTATGAGCAAATAGTCAACTCCGCCTCGTTGACTATTCGCTCATAGACAACTCCGCCTCGTTGACTATTCGCTCATAGACAACTCCGCCTCGTTGACTATTCGCTCATAGACAACTCCGCCTCGTTGTCTAATTGTTAAATGGAACACACTTCCGCGAAAAACTACAGATACCAGTAGTTTACGTACTTTTAAGAAAGGACTAAGGAAACTGCTTTTTAATTCATGTTATAGCTAATAAATGTATATAGATATAAAATTGGTAAAATAAATAGGTATTACTTAATGAGATGTAAATTAGAACTGAAAAACCCTTTGGAAGTTTCTAAGAAATATATGAGATGTGAGAAAATAGAAGCGCTTGTAAAAGTTTAACTACTTTTGGGCCTTTAGAGAAAAGAATTTAGAAATACCAACTTCGCATATGAGTAGAACCTGCAAACAAAACAATACTGAATTGGCTTCAGTGGATTTGCTGCCCATATTCATTGCAAGTCAACAGACTATTAAACATCAATCAGAAGTTAATTGGATCGAACAAAATTTGATCGTGTGAACAGACCTGTGGCCGGTTGTATCAAGCCCGTTTAGCTTAAACGGTGGATAAGTCAAAATTAAATAACACTCTTACAACTCTCTTGAATGAGTCAACTTGAATTTTATGCACTGAATCATATAGTTGTAAACAGTATCTTTGTATTAAGGTTAAAAACATTTAGTTTGCTTCTTGAATAAAACGATAGACTTGCTTTCTATTTTGAACTTAACCACCGTTTAAGCTAAACGGGCTTGATACAACCGGCCCCTGACTGTCTCGAGCGCACGCTTAGCTTGGGTTCAATTAGTGCTGAATTATACAACGTTTATAAATATCTGTTTTAAATCGCGCTTGAGGTCATTAGGCATGGAAAGTCTGTTTTTTATACTCGAAATTATGCAGTATATATGATTGCATGCCCTCGCTATAGTGCAGTTTAATGTGCTTTGTTTTTTTATCAACACAATAAGCCAAAAGTGATGATTCTTCAAAAAAATTGCATGGGTATCAATATTTCAATAAAATGTTTATAAATACGAATGCAAAATCGATTTTTTAGTAGATTAATTGCACTTTAAGGTCTCCAAACAGTAATGTATGAAGTGATGTGAACTTTAAACAGCTGTTTGGCAATTTCGCAAATGTTAAATTGCATTTTTAATGAAATGTCCACATCCAGCGATCTGTGTTGACAATTTTTTTTATTTCACCTACTCAAAAATTTCAATTTAATTTTTTTTAAAAAAGTTCAAAATATATACGCTGTACTTTGGCGTGTTCAATGTATACAGTTTGCTAGCTTTAGAATATAAATGTTTGTGGGTCTATTGGAAAACCCAAGGTTTCCTATATCTGCTGAACTCTGGCGCGTATAGATAATCGTTCGTTGCAGAATACAATTTGGGATCCATTAATAGTACGAAAAATTTGAAAATTTTGCCGAAATTAAACGTGAAAAACACGATAAGTGATGATGATGAATGTGTGGATAAGTCTTTAGCAAAAATGCGGTGAAATACTGACAAAAGAGACAAGAACGAATAGTCTAATAGCGTCGTTAATTATGCGGGAGGTTATTCAAGGGCGGTAATTTATTCCTATTGAGCTACCTTAAAATACTCATCACTGAGCTATATTTTAATAGACCTATAATGCATAATGATGTATCGAGCCGTGACGCCTGCAGGGAATTCTGATTTTAGTAGTCACGGCGAAAAATTCAAACTTCAAAATTTCTCAACGTGACTACTAAGACCAGAATTCCTTGCAGGTGTCATTGCTTGTTACGTCATTATGCATAAGGTATATTCCTGGAGGAACTAGGAACCATCCATCATCCCACCCCACTGGGCATCAACATGACATGCCCAAGAAAGAGAGTGTTTTTAGGCAGAAAGCATTCACAATATAGTATGCAGAGTACTATATTTATATCACCACAACACCTTTATAAACTGTTACAATCTCCCTAATTTCCCTAATTTTTATAACAAGAACAAAGTCCTTCCGTTGACATGAGGTTGGGTGACCACCTCTCGGCCTTAATTACTCAACACCAAAGCTGATCGATAAGGTTGCCTGAGGTGAACTTGTCATGGAGACATCTTTGATGAAGAACTGGTATCCATCGCCAGTGTAAATAACTTTCTTTGTTATGGGTTGGTTTGCATTGGTTGCACCATTTTGAAGGTCGTTGTAAACCGACTCGCTTGCTTGCTTTTGCTCAGGGTAGACCTTTACATTCCACTTATTGTCGCCACTCCAGGGCAGTTTAAACATAACACAGAACGATTCGGGCGCCTCTTCAAAGCCGTAGCAGAACGCTCCTGACACCCCCGTTGTAGAGGGACCCGTCTTTTTAACCCCTCCCATCATGAAACCTTCTTCCACAGGCACGTTCAGGGGTAACGCTTCGGTAAGAGAGCCTTCCTTCATGTAAGCCGTGCCCCCTGTAAGAAATTTCAGAATATTTTGACTGGCAAACATGTTGATATTTGCCGCAAGCTAAAATAGTTTTTGTTTCATATACCGGATCGGTCCCAAAAAAAGTACTCACGTTTGATTGATCATAACTTTTTAACAAGTGAAGTCAATAAACTAGATAGATTTTAATAGATAGATGGAACGCTAACTCAGATTTTACCCTAAACGTCGGACGGTATATCAAACAGTAGCTAATGTAAATTGCTTGTTTGAAGTGAGAGCTACAACAGCAATGACAGCAGTAACAATTTTACAACAGTTATGATTGCCACGGTAGTCATTTGATAAATGCAATAACAATCGTCTCAGACCTTGCCAGGGAGCTCCTTCAACATTTCCAAGAGTTATGACAATTTTGCGTTCGACGTTTGCCAGTTGTTGTAGAACAGTATTAGCAACTTCTAGTCCAAACTGTGCCAGATCTGTGACCTGGCCTAGTTTCTCCCACCCGCTAGTACCTGGTAAATGAAAAAGCAACAATCTAATAAATTGAAAACAGCTTCCCAAAATAGATAAAATAACAAACTTTTTGCAACGTCATTATTTTGAACTTACGTTGATCAAATTACCTTCCATAAACCATTAAACATATGTTCTTAGCCCTAATCTCAGCACAGTCAGCTAGATAGAAGTCAAGTGGTCGGGCACTGTCATCGGTGACATTTTCGTCCCTATTTTAAGCCCTTCTTTGTGACAAAGATGGGTTGAAGACCAACCTGCTCTTGGTTACCCACGCAACATTCCCCTCCCCTCACCCTCGAACCTCCTCTACTGGTGCAGAGTGACATGATGAATTGTACACTTTATATTGAATTCCTTACCACCTCCACCTCCTGTGTTTCCGCCTGTTCGTGTCGATCGCCTGAAACTGAAGCGTCTGGTTTGTGTGTTACGTGTCGTACTGGTAGATCGACGAAATGGTGAACCTAAGATCAGGTGCAAAAGATCAGATTACTTGGCAACTTTCTACCACTAAAAAGGCTAATATGTACACATCCATTGTTTTTAATTCTAACACTTTCTGTCAGCTATACTTCTCCAATACCGTTTCTAATATCGATACCTCCTTTACAATAATTCCCAGATGCACTCACTTCGTTTATTACTGGTACATGAAAAACATGGCTACCTCTTTCTTAAGCATACCTCTCTTTTATTGACAGCTTGTGCTTATAGTTTTAAGCTGGTACTGTACAGTTATAATGCTTTTAAAAGGGACGCTTGTCTAATGTGAGCATTTCTCCTAAAATTGACACTTTTTCCATTGCGGACACTTCTCTGAAATAAGGGACACCTCTTTCCAATATGGAAACGTCTTTCTAACATAGACTCCTCCCCAAAATAGACACATCTCTCTCTGAATTGGACACCTCTCTCTAACGTGGACACCTCTATCTAATATGTTCGCCTCTTTCAAATGCTGTCATCTCTATATAATAGGGACATGTCCCTCTGAAGGTCTGTTCACACGATCCAATTTTGTTGGATCCAATCCACTTCTGATGGATGTTTTATAGTCTGTTGTCTTGTAATGTATACGAGCAGCAAATCCACTGAAGCCAATGCAGTACCGCTTTATCAATAACGGAGTATATTTCATACGTCAACAAAATTGGATCGTTTGAACAGACCTTAATATGAACACCTCTCTTTAATTCTCTCTATCTAATATGACAACCGCTTTCGTAATATAAACACCTCTCTGAAGTGGACACCTTTCTAACATGGGTACCTCTAATATGGGAAAACAGTAGGGAAACACCTTATAATGTGGATAGTTTTCCATGACAGGAACAATCCTTATTTGAATGCTTTTATTCAAGTCCGGAAGTCAAGTCCATTCTGCGTATAGGTTTTGCTCATAACAAAGTGAGGACCTCTGATGTGAAAATTTTGCATGTTTCTTATTTTTTCTTAACATAAACTCTAGTTCATATTAATTTAGAAGCACAACGAGCCTAAATAGTGTTAGATATTTAGACAGCACATCGTATTTTAAAAAATAGTGAAGTTCAAAATGAAAACAAACCGTTTGTTTATATACGGACTTGACTTCCACTTATAATCTTTTATTATGTTACTTACGATTAGTACGAGTAGTACCAGACCTCACTCCACCTGAAAGAAAGGTTAACCATCTTCAACATCCGCTTCACTTACATGGTGCCACCATATATTAATAGACTAGCCTAGGTCAAAATTTTTTTAATTTTCCATAGCTATTGGAACATGGTGCAAGCTATCTTGTTATGATGCTAACTATTTATCTGGTTTGGTAGTGCTAACACTCTATCTGCTATTTGGAATAACGTCAAAGTATTGCTTAGCGCTACTAGTTATGGTCGTGCTAACTATTTATCTGGTTATGGTGCTAACTGTTTATCTAGGTATGTTGCTAACTAATTATCTGGGTATGGTGGTAACTAATTATCTAGTTATGGTCCTAACTAATTATCTAGTTATACTGCTGACTAATTATCTACTTATGGTACTAACTAATTATCTAGGTATGGTGCCAACTATTCATCAGGTTATGGTGATAACTATTTATCTGTTTATGATGGTGCTATTTATCTGGATATGGTAAAAACTATTTATCTGGTTATGGTGGTGCTAACCATCTATCAACTCTATCTACTATTTGCAATGTCAAATAATCGCTTACCCGAGCTGCGAGTCCTAAAGAACCCTAAAGAAACACCAAGGAAAGTTACATACCATCACAAAGCAAGCAAATTTTTAAATTAATACAGTTCCTAAGAAGAGTTCATCAATTTAGATCGTCCAGTACGAAAATGTACCAAATTTCCAAATTTCGCATGACTGTATTTTCTACATTTTACACCACTTTTTACGACGGAACGCTCAATCTTATTTTGAGATTTTGGAATACCGAGTAGACTCTGCTGTGGTGAAATTATTGTCCAGATGTACCGGGATCAGAATGTTATTTAATAAGATTGTTGTTTGATACACTTGGTTGGTGTCGATTTGTAATAAAGTTGAAATATCGCTTACCACTTCTTGTTCCACTCGAGCCACTGTTTCTAAAGGAGGTTCCTACAGAAATACCGAAGCGGGTTACGGGTATGGCGACGACGATTGGAACTTTGTGTCCTTTTTAGGTGAAGCCTGTGCTCGAAACATGGATGATTTTGGGAACATGACCACCTACAGTGTTGTCAAATGCTCTCTTCTGCTGCTTAACTTACCTCTGCGGGTTGATCGAAACGATGATGATCCTAGAGAAAAAAATAAACACCCAGGTGAATGTTGATATCGCGCGTTTATTGAAGAATTTAACAAGGTAATCTAGCCGGCCAGGGAAGGAGGATTCTGTCACCCCTTCGGTACGGCCGACGTTCTTACATTCTGGATTTACAATAATAACTTTCCACTTTGGCTTATTCCCATCGTCCACATTAATGCTCGCCCACATCATCTAGCATCTTCCCGCTATATTACTTAACTTACTTCTTCCAAAGAGCCTTGGTGCTCGATCCACACTTTCCTCGTCGTCTTTAAACAAAAAAAAATTAGCAAGGACACATCATGGTTCATTATCGTTCTGTCCATGAATGTAATATAACATCGTACGTTTCAATGCTGTCGCGTCTCTAATCTGAACACCTTTCTAATATAAACTCTTCTGTAATATAAAACACCTTTCAATATGGACACCTCTCTAAATAGACATCTCTGTAATACGAACACCTTTTATGTGAACACCTCTCTGATATAGACTCCTCGTTAATATAGACACCTCATTAATATAGATACCTCCCTAATAAAGACATCTCTCTAGTATAGATCCCTCACTAACATGGACACTTCTGCAACAATTAAAGAGTTAACAATACAGACACCTCTCTAATATGGATACTTCTCTAATATCGACATCTCTCTAATATCGATACCTCTCTAATATAGACACCTCTCTAATATGGATACCTCTTTAATATGGATAACCCTCTAATATGGATACCTCTCTAATGTCGATACCTCTCTAATATGGATACCTCTTTAATATGGATAACCCTCTAATATGGACACTTCTCTAATATCGACACCTCTGTAATATACTGTAGACACCTTTCTATCACGAACACCTATAATATAGCACTAATTATTTGAGAAACATCGTACCCTTTGATTCCATGTATTCCAATTCCTCTTCTGCATCTTCCACGTCCTTGAAGTCGTCTAAAAAGTTTTAAAATAAGGCTAACGGTTGGGTCTTTATTAGTGCTCGAGTCTTACACATGACATCCTTGCTCTTCATTGTATCCTATTCTCGTTCGCATAATATGTGCATTCAAACCAACTTTGTGTTTACTGAAGCCTGCTTTTCACAAGCAAAATTTTTCGCACGAAGCAAGATTTTGCTTCCGTTCGAGACTTTTCAACCGCAGCGATGTAAAAAAAGAATCATAGGGTGACTCACCCTCTGCACGAACAGCGACTAACGCCAAAGTTGCAAGCAAAGCCAAAAACATGAGTTTACCAGCCATAGTTGTACGTTCACTATCGTTTCCTTTTTCTCACACTAAAATAGAAATTTTTATGGAACATCTTTCTCTCTACTATACTTCAAGAAGCACGCGAACGGGCAATGGTCATAGGTGGTTTTGTTTGTTTTTACGGAGCCTGGTCAACGGAGAAACAACGATTTTTTGCATTAGGAAAGAAAATAGGAGATGAACTCGACAGAATTTTAGTACTTTATTCCTTACGGTTTTTCAAAACCTCAAGTTTCCATGATGAAAAAAAAATTTAATTTTAAAATACATGAAGTACAAAAATAAATCAACGAGTACTCACCCACAACGAGGTTCCTTACCAAATAGGAAAGAAAAAATTTGAAGATCGCTTTCATACCTCTCACTTATATAACGGCCGTTTTATATTAATGAATTATATTATATTTACACGCCAGATGGCTTCGTTATTATTATTTGCATGAACGGTTAAGTTTATTAAACAGGTGTGGATATTATGTTTTCACAAGCCGTGATTGGGATATTCCGCATTAAAATTTTGTCAACATAACTTAGGTCGTGTGTACTTTATTACGCATTTAGAGTTAAGGAATTTTTTTATTCAGTTATCGTTTTTCAAAGCAAATGGGTTATTATGATAAGGAACATGCTGATAGAGCTATCCAGTAGTTTAGGTTTCCTCCTATTAAATAGAAGACAGGTTTATGCAAGGAAATAAGTATATACTTGTATTTCGTTATAACAGAGATAAAAGTAGTGCAACCTAGGTTTCCTCTTGGAGTCGAACTACATTGATACATTAGAGATGACTTATTGAACAGTTTAGAACTGATAGAGCTATCCAGTATAAATAAGGTCAGTTTAGTTTAGGTTTCTTCCTGTAGTAACACTGGATCAATAAAGGATGATCCTTACTGGACCTCTAGGAAGAACAGTTTAGAACTGATAAACACCGCAGAAGTTGGTTATAACTGTTGGGTGTTTATTGAAGTTTCAACTCGAAAATCTAACCACTGGTTCACAATTAATTGTGCATTTCTGTATTACTATGAAATCACTATCTTCTCAATACGCATTTACAATCTTTTGGCAGCTCATGGACAGCTGAATTAAATGGCCATTTTCAACCTTAATTAAAGTAAACACAAGGTTATTATAAAAATTTATAATTAAGACGATTTTACCGTGTGCAAGCTTCAGATATTGTGTGCAAGCTATATTTGTTAGGCATTTTTATATCTTTTTGCCCACCAAATTTGAAGTAGTGAGGAAAAAGTCTATATGGCTACTAATTCGCGGTGTCGAACTGATAGAGCTGTAACCTATATCCAGTATAAATAAGGTTCAAATTATTCCTTTTAGTCTCAATGCCGATGCAGTATATTCGTAAATTTTAGTACTTTCGAGTGGTTTTACCTTTTTTCCTCTGATAGGGTGCTTAATTTATAATAGGAGAAGGTCTTTCTTTTGAACCTTATACTAATACTTTAGAAAATCATGATAATATACCCAAAAATTATTTGGAACAGCTGAAATTCATATCTATATGACAACGAGAACGGAATGAGCAAATATTGATTTAACTCAAACATGTTAGGAGCATTTTATACACGAATTAGATGAATATACTGTGGGCAATCGTTGGCTTAGCAAAATGCTCCAGGATTCAAATAAATAATGTTCATTTCTAAAGATCTTTTTTTCTGTGCTTTTTCAGTCTGTAAATTTTGGGCTAAAATAGCCGGTTCTATACAAATTGAGTTTTTTAGTAGATTAACTACACTTAATTCACGAACTACAAACATTAGTTCACGGCTTCATGTAAAGTTTAAACAGCCGTTTAGTTGCCACACTTGCATCCAAGTTATTTTGCAGTTAATTGCATGTTTAATGAAATGTCTACATTCAATAATTTGTGTTGACACCAATCCTTTTTTAATTAAAAAATTATTTCAAAATTTATTCTATGCGACGCATTTTGGCGTTCTTCAATGATTCAAAGGATTAGTTTTAATCGTTGAGACATCATCTTGGAAACCTCTTTCTTGACTGTCCGAGTCTGTTTGTGACATGTTTCTTTCTTGTTCTCGTAGTGGACAGTATTCCTGTTCGTGTCTGCGCTGATTGTAACCGCGGCTAAATTTGTATCTTCCACAAAATTGACAGCTCATTCCCTTACCACTGGAGGTGTGGGAATGCCTTGTTATCGAACAGTATAATGCAGTTTTATGAGCAGATAAGCATGTGCTCACGAGCAGTCATGAGCATGTGATCATCGCATAAAACTGTACCCGGTTCATTGAGATTTTTTAGGCCCAAACTCCTGTAGTAAATTTTGTTCAATTTAGAAAGTAATGTCGGTTACAATTTTTAAGCAGATGAGTAGTGTTCATAACTGCGATGAGCAGAAGAGTAGTGCTCATAACTGCTGATGGGCAACTGCTCATCGCAAATTGATACTCTATTTTTGAATAGATTGATATTGATTCAGTGTCCTTCTCAAGCTTTACTATACTGAGCAACTACAAGTGCTCGAGCTAAACACATTTTGTCAGTGTTATTAATACGAATAATTGATCGCTTGCTGATCAAGTAAATTAGTCTCATATGGCTTCCTGCCGGGGCCTCCGTTAGGCATCTCAACGTTTCACAATATAAACGTTTACTGAATCATCTAATATGAATTCCCGATTAGATTGAGTAACTCGTTCAATTTCTGCTAAAACATGCTCAGATGTTAAGCCGGTTTTCTACTAGGCGAATGTATTCGCGCGAACAGATAAAAAGTAGGAAGCGATTCTACTTTTTCACGGAGAATTTTTTCGCAAACCAATCACATCACTGTATTTCAGATATCGCTTCGCGTCGCGCGAATAAATTCGCCTCGTGGAAAACGGGCTAATCTCTGCCTAGACATAAAGGGTATGCGAAGCAAGGGTCATGCAAAAAAGAGATTTTGGTAAAATAAAAAAGCACCATTCTCATTATCGAAAGAAGAAATAGTCATGGAGTAACGACAATGGCTTTGCAACTAACAATTGGTGGTTCGAATCTTGCATGGGGAAAAACGTGGTCATTCGTGCACCGAGTGGACTATTGCATGATGTCAAGAAAACTTTAAATGTCCTTAATTCATTTCATTCCTTGACGAAATCGACCGGTTTTAGGTTGCAATAAATGCAGTGAGTGAAAACGGACAATTTACGTTTATTAAACGTACTTAAACGCTATTGGAAATAAAAAAACAAATTCAATTGTTAGAAAACCCTACGCAGTCGCAGTAAACGAGCAATAATTCCACAATAACCGCATTGAGCAATGTCATATATACTAAGCCGTCGACTCTTGGATTCTTAGCGATTCTCGGTACCTGCTTTTTTGTTGGGTTTGAGGGAGAATTCTCGTGCCTCTTTCGGGCCCTGGGGGATTGGTTCGAATGCTGGAGTTTGACAGAATGCTTTTTATTAGCATCTTGAAAAAAGGATTTAAGTAAAATAAAAAACACCATCCATAATCACAAGAGAGAATAGTCACGCGGTAATGACAATGGCCTCGCAACTGTCAAGTTGGTGGTTCAAATCTTGCCTGGGGTTAAAATGTTTTCGTCACGACTACACGACCCGAAAGAAAAGATTTGGGTAGGATACAAAAAACGAACCTGTGAATCATAATATAAGATCTCTTTTGGTCTCGTGTTGAAGGTAATGGTCTCGCAACATTCAAGTCGGTGTTTCGAATCCTCGGAGGAATGATTTTCATAATTAACCAGAAAAAAAGATTGAGATAAAGGTAGCCTTGAACTTCTAGCGCGTGTGGTCTAGTGGTGAAGACAACGTTTTCGCAATCTAGATGACCATGGTTCGAAACGTTATCTGGGCCTTTTTTTTATGATGCTAATTGCAACTCACAGACATGCGTCGTGCATGTAAGTGTACTGTCTTTAATTCTCTACGCATATGATGTATGCACGTGGTCATTCGTGCACTGTGTGGACTATTGCATGATGTCAAGAAAATTTTAAATGTCTTTAATTCACTTCATTACTTGAAGAAATTGACCGGTTTTAGGTTGCAGTAAATGCATTAAGTGAAAAGGACACTTTACGTTTATGAAACCTACTTAAACGCTATTGGAAAACGAAAAAAAGCCAAATTCAGTGTTAGGAGACCTTGCGCAGTCGCAGTAAACGAGCAATTATTCCACAATAACCGCATTGAGCAATGTCATATATACTAAGCTGTCGACACTTGGATTCTTACCGATTTTCGGTACCTGCTTTTTTGTTGGGTTTGTGGGAGAATCTTCGTGTCTCTTTGGGAGATTTGTTTGAATGCTGGAGTTGGACTGAATGCTTTTTATTAGCATCTTGAAAGAAAAGATTTAAGTAAAATGAAAGCTATCATCATTATCGAAAGAGGGAATAGTAACGCGGTAACGACAAAGGTCTAGCAACTGGCAAATTGGTGGTTCGAATCTTGCATGCGTAAAAATGTTTTTGTCACGGCTCGAAAGAAGGATTTCGGTAACATTAAAAACGAACGTGTGCATCACAAGATATCTTAGTGGTCTAGTGTTGAAAGCAATGGTCTCGCAAAGTTCAAGTTGACGTTTCGAATCCTCGGTAGAATGTTTTTCATTATGATCCTAAAAAAGGATTGAGAAAGAATAAATAAATGTAACGCTGGTGGTCAAGTGGTGAAGACAACGGTATCGTAAACCGTCAGACTATGGTCCGAAACGGAAACTGGGATGTTTTTTTTATTACGCTATAACTCACAGACACGCGCCATGCATGTAAGTGTCTTTAATTATCAACGCATATGATGTATGCACGTGGTCATTCGTGCACTGTGTGGACTATTTCATGAAGTCAAGAAAATTTTAAATGTCCTTAATTCACTTCATTCCTTAAAAATATCGACCGGTTTTAGGTCGCAGTAAATGCAGTGAGTGAAAACGGACACTTTACGTTTATTAAACGTGCTTAAACGACATTGCAAAGAGAGAAAAAGTGAAATTAAGTATTAATAAATCCCGCGCAGTCGCAGTGAACGAGTAATAATCCCAGTTATCCCACAATAGTCACATTGAGCAACATTCTATATTCTAAGCCGATGACTTTTGAAGGTTGAAGCCAGTCAACCCACAACGATTATCGTTGCCTGCTCTTTTGGCAGGATTCTGTGGAAGAACTTGGTTTCTGGTATTATGCCAGAACACAAGTTCTATTAATTTGTATATGAGGTTGATGGTTCAAATCCTTCCATTGGGAAAATGGTTTAACATGACACGAAGGAAAATATTTAGTTGAAGTAAATAAAATAACCACAGCAGTTCAGCACAAGACCTTGTAATCTAGTGACGAAGACAATGGTCTC